GCTCCACTATGCTTCAATCCTTGGCCACTTAGTCCACTCACTCTCTCACCCCCCCAACACCCTCTTTTCCCTTTTCCTTCGTCTGTGTAGAATGTCGGTTGGTGTTTGTTTGTTTCTGGGGCACAATGTATGGCAGTCATGATCTCCCAGAGGTACCTCGGTCCGAACCTGTTTTCCCTCCCTCGTCGCAGGAGATCCCTTCCTCTCCGCCGTCTATAGCAGCATCCGACGCTGGAGTCTGTCGCAAGCCAAAGAAGCCTCCTCCGGTTACCCCTCGATCCTTTCGACGATTCTTTACGCCTCGTTCCTTGCTCAATGGCGGAAATAGTGCTGGACCCGTCAGGACCAACCGGCAGGCCTTGAAGGCTCTCAGCTCTCCGGCTGTGAACCGCCTAGGGCCGGCATTTACAAGAACATTGAAGGCGGTTGGCACGAGACCTGATCCTTCGGAGCTTATGCAAACCCCGAGTAGGAAGAGAAAGCTTTCGTTTTCTTCAATTGGCTCCCCATTACAGTCCTCGCCCCTACGAAAAGTCCGCGTTCGAACGCCAGACCAAGATGCCGACGAGCTAGACGCCCCAGTCCGTGATATCGAGGTCGACTATAAGATTCCGAGCAGCCCAATCAAGCCCCATACCGTGGCCCGTCCTTCTCGCCAAATTGCACCGGTCCAACGGTCGAGAGCGCTGCAGACATCTGGAGGACTGTTCATGCGAAGTGTGTTAGGTTCAAGAGCGAACCGGGTGACCATGCGTGCGAACTCCGGCGCTGGCTGGCAAGATCTTACATCATCATTTTACTCTCGACCATCGGACAGTCATACTTGCTCCGGCTCAACTGGAGACCGCCTTGCTCTTCCGTTCTGCACTGCATCGTGCAATAGTAAGTCGAATGAATGCCGCCAGGGTGTTCGTCGGAATGTTCGCTGACAATACAAACAGCCAATACGCTTGTTGCCGTAGGTGATGAAGAGGGCGGTATTAGACTACTCGACTCCGCAAAAGACGACAAAAATGGCTTCTCCAAGGCTTATCTTTCGTTTCGTCCTCACATGAACGCAATCATGGATCTTGAGTTTTCATCCGATGATATGCTGTTAGCAACAGCCTCCGGGGATCAAACAGCAGTCGTCATTGACATGGCTACGCAGAAGCCGATCTATTGTTTGGCTAACCATACCTCCTCCGTGAAACGCGTGCAGTTTCAACCAGCTGCTAATAATAAGGTCCTCGCGACATGCAGTCGTGATGGCAATGTCAACATCTGGGACCTTCGGTGCAAGGGCTTTGAGAAACCTGCCTGGCAGGCTCGGTGCTCTCTCGAATCGGAGTCCGACTACCCTAGTGCGCCCATCACTTCCAAGATGACGTACCCCCAGGTTTTGAACACGATACATGGTGCCCACGCTTGTATGCCTCAGGTCTTCACTGATAAGTCAGAACCTCAGATTGGGCGCTCGGACATCACTGTGACCTCTTTGGCTTTTCTTCCTCCGGGTCGGGAGAACTTGTTTGTCACTGCATCAGAAGCAAGTGCGTGTGTTAGGCTATGGGATCTGCGCACGACACATAACAATCGTCGTGGCCGGCCTGTACTTCCTCTTTCTACCACTCGAGAACCGGATAGTCACATCAAATATCGACGGTTTGGACTTACCTCTATGACACTGGGCGGTGATGGCTCAAGACTCTACACCTTGTGTCGAGATGGCACGGTGTACGCCTACTCGACTTCCCATCTAATCCTTGGCCATGCACCTGAACTTTCGCTAAACAACGACCGTCCTCGTCGCTCGGGAGGATCTGACAAAGAAGGTCTTGGGCCTTTGTACGGGTTTCGCCATCCTCGTTTACAAGTCGCTTCCTTTTACGTCAAGGCCGGTGTTCGAAAGGCCACGGCGGATAAGCCCGAGATGCTGGCGGTTGGGAGTACCGATCAATGTGCCGTCTTGTTTCCGACTGACGAGCGCTTCCTTCATTCCTCAGCCCAGACACAAACTATCGACGACAGAGAGCCACCCCTTCCATCGTCGTTCCCTTCTACTCGTTCTGGTCTGCGCCGTACGAACTCTGGGGTTGGCTTGTCTGGACGATTAGAGGACACGGTTCCAATTTACCAGTCTGGAACACCTTTAGTCGAAGGACACAAGAAAGAAGTGTCGGCGGTCTCGTGGACTGTTGATGGTGAACTCATTACGGTCAGCGATGATTATAGCGCTAGGTGCTGGCGCGAGGGACCTGATGCTAGAGACCTTCGAGTCGGTGGCGAGGCTGATGGCAGAAGATGGCGCTGCGGCTGGGCTGAGACGAAAGACTCGTACGATGATGAAGATGAATGATTTTTATGGTTCAAACACTTTTGCAACTGGTTGGGTTGCGCTCGCAAGCATTTTCAAGGCGTCGGTCGATACATCATTTGCTTCTATTTAGCGGGCGTTTGTGCGATTTCTAGAGGACTCCAGTCCCTTGTTTGATTTTCATTACAGCGTACACTGCATAACAGAAGATTCATCTGCCAAAGAAGCATTTATAATCATCTGTTCTGGTTTGGGTTTGGGTAACTGGCTTGGAAGAAGTTTTGAGGAGCCCTTCGGTGTTTATTTACATTTTGTTTCTACCATCAACAGTGATAAAAATCAATAAGAGCTGTGATTTACATTGAAAAGCTTTCTTTTCATCTATCAATTGAATAGATAGATTGCTCTAGTCTAGATCGCAGCCAAGAGGATTATTGTACGAGAGTGGGCATTAAGCCATTTAAAACGGCAGTAGAAATTTGTACTCATAACATCTTATTATACTTTTTTCTTCTTCACCCTGAGTCTAAAACTCCGTAAAAGGCAGGCAATTTAATTACGAGATCGACAGTCAGATTCTTTTAGTGACCGTGTCCGTCATCCTGCTGCGGCTCGGGGTCCAGCTTGATCATGGTGTCGATACGCATGATGGCAATGCAGGCCTCGACAGCACTCTTCAGCTGCTTGACCTTACCCATGCTGGGCTCCAGCACACCGGCCTTGAGGGTATCGTGAACGCGTCCCTTCATCAGATCCAGACCGTAGTTGCGGTACGTCTTCTTCTTGGCAATGGCCTTCTCTTCCTCGTTGGCATCACCGTCCTGCACCCGCTGGGAAAGAGCGTGGCGCACTCGGAGCTGGGCCACGAGTTCGGACGAGTCCTTGGCGGCGTTGACGGCCAAGGTCTTGGGGACCACCAGGAGAGATTGAGCGAATTCACCGATGGCGAGTTGTTCCCGGGAGCCCTGTTTGGAGGAATTGTTAGCGGTCCACTCCGAGACGTTATGTTCCAAATTGATTACATACCACCGTGACAGCGAACTCTTCAAGGTAGATGTGAAGGGCCGTCTCAACTGCACCACCGCCGGGCACGATGCTGCCGCTCTCCAATGTTCGCTTGACAGCACAGAGAGAATCGTGCACCGAACGCTCCATCTCGTCCAAGCTGAAATCGTTGGGTCCACGCAGGATTATGGAGGCCGAGCTGTGGACCTTGGTACCCTTCACGAGGATACACTCGTCATCCGATATCCGCTCTTGCACAACTTCCTCTGCGTGTCCCAGGTTCGAGGCCTCGAACTTCTCGTCGCCATTGAGGTCCGAGAGCGAGCTGACCAGAGTTGCGCCCGTGGCCTTAGCAATGCGTCTCAGGTCCTCCTTCTTGCAGCGGCGAACAGCCATGGCACCCTTCTCGACGAAGGCCTTGAGGACCATATCATCGATACCCTTGGTTGTGAAAACGACGTTGGCTCCAGACTTGAGGATCATGTCGACCCGCTCAAGAACGATGCCAGACTCTCTCTCACGGATCTTCTCCAGCTGGTCGGGGTCCTCGACGGTGATCTGAACGCCGAGCTTCATTCTCTCCTTCTGCAAGTTCATGTCCAGACAAGCGATCTTGGCGTCGGTTACCCGGGTGGTCATGGCCTGGGAAGCCACAGTACAGTTCAGAGCATAGCCGTTGACGAGCACAGACTCCGTTCCACTCTTACCGTGAGCCTTCAGCAGGTTCACGGCCTTGACGGGGTACTTGATCTCGCCCCTCTGGTTCGTGGACTTGACCTGAAGCATGGCATCGACAACCATGTTGGCGAAGAAGTCGGAATCGGATCCGATGATCTTGCTGGACATCGACGTCTTCGCAATGTTGACCAAGCTATCCTTCCCAAGCGTCTCAACCTTTGTGGTAATGTTCTCGTTCATGTATTTGACGGCTTCCCTGAGCGCAAGCCTGTAGCCGGTGATGATGGTCGTAGGGTGGATACGGTTCTTCATCAGTTCGTTGGCTCGTCGTAGAAGCTCGGCAGCGATCAGAACGACGGAGGTGGTTCCATCTCCAACCTGCAAGGATGTCAGCCCTGGTCGTTCGCGGGGTATATAGATTCGACAGTTCACCCACCTCCTTATCCTGCTGTTGGGCAAGGTCGACGAGAATCTTTCCGGCTGGGTGCTCGATGTCAAGCAGACTCAGAATAGTGGCGCCATCGTTAGTGACGGTGACATCCTAGATAGGCCATCAGAAAGCTGTTCGACGGACGCGGGGTTCGGAATGGTGCGTACACCGATATCATCCACCATCATCTTATCCAGGCCGGAGGGGCCGAAAGAGCTCTTGACGACATTGGCAATAGCCTGCGTTGCAAGAACTGCCGGCAAAATGGATCAGTATGGGCGTACAGGGCCGCCAGAGCAGGCCGAGATGGGGGACATACCGTTCTGCTCCCGGACATCAGCACCGGTGATTTTCTGCCCTCCCAAGACTGTGCGAGTTCGGTCAGTGAACGGGTTCAGGGGAAAGCAAAAGAGGGAGACGGGATGGTCTCACAGAGAGTGTCCGCATTCCGCGGGGCTTCGAAGATTCCTGCCATTGTTGATTAAGGGAGAAGAAAGGGAAGGGAGCGTGGCAGAGGAATCGATTCACTTTCGAGAGCTGCTGGACTTCGTCGTCGGTCGTGTTTGCGCTAAGAATTCTGCCGGCCCCGGGCGGTGAGAGATTCTAGATGCATCCCACTTTGACGAGGGGCGCCGCTCTTTCTTTCGCTTCACGGAGTTCCCCCTTCCTTGTCTCGCCTGGCGTTCGCTTCTTCGTCTGTTGCTCCGGTCTGCTTCCGTGTTTCTGACATTTCTATCCTGCAAGATGGCAAGCCAAGCTCCTGCTGATCCCCCGGTCGCCTCTGACTCGGCGCAAACCCTTCCTGATCGTACCCAAAACCCCGCCGATAACAGCGCTCCCCAGGGAGAGGTCTCCAAGAACGCCGCCAAAAAGGCCGCGAAGGCTGCTAAGCAGGCGTCTGACAAGGCCGACAAGGCTGCTAAACAGGGGGGTGCGAAGCAGGCTCCTAAGGCCCCCAAGAAAAAGATCGATGGCGCCGCCCTGATCGGTATCGATGTTTCCAAGGAGGAGGACTTCCCCGGATGGTACCAGCAGGTCCTTACGAAGGGTGACATGCTTGACTACTACGATGTCTCCGGATGCTTCATCTTGAAGGTTGGTCACAGTCTACCTGTCTTTTCTTGACCTCGTCGCCGTCGCATATCATTATACTAACTCATGACTCACCCAGCCCGCCTCGTTCAGCATCTGGGAGGAGATCCAAAGTTGGTTCAACGCGCGCATTAAGAAGATTGGTGTCAAGAACTGCTCCTTCCCTCTCTTCGTTTCGGAGGACGTTCTGAAGCGCGAGAAGGACCATATCGAGGGCTTTGCCGCCGAAGTCGCCTGGGTGACTCATGCGTACGTTTCCCCTCATCTCTAGGCTCTAATTTCCAGAGGATCCGGCTCTGACCTTATCTTTCATGCATACAGTGGCTCCACCCCGCTCGAAAAGAAGATTGCCATCCGTCCGACCTCGGAAACTGTTATGTACCCTTACTACGCCAAGTGGATCAGAAGTCACCGTGATCTGCCCCTCAAGCTCAACCAGTGGAACTCCGTCGTCCGGTGGGAGTTCAAGCACCCCCAGCCCTTCCTTAGAACCCGAGAGTTCCTCTGGCAGGAGGGTCACACCGCCCACCTGACCCAGGAAGGTGCCCATGATGAGGTTATGCAGATCTTGGACTACTATGCTCAGATCTACGAGGAGCTCCTGGCTGTCCCCGTGGTCAAGGGCAAGAAGACCGAGAAGGAGAAGTTCGCCGGTGGTCTGTATACCACCACCGTTGAGGGATACATCCCCTCGACTGGTCGTGGTATCCAGGGTGGTACTTCCCACGGTTTGGGTCAGAACTTCAGTAAGATGTTCAACATCACTGTGGAGGATCCTTCCGCCAAGGGTGATGAGAAGAAGGCTCCCCTCCATGTCTGGCAGAACTCCTGGGGTCTCTCGACCCGTACTCTCGGTGTCATGGTCATGATCCACAGTGACAACCGTGGCCTGGTTCTTCCTCCCCGCGTTGCGGAGAACCAGACTGTCATTGTCCCCGTCGGCATCACTGCCAAGACCACAGACGAGGAACGCGAGAAGCTGTACGCTGAAATTGACACCCTTGTCTCCACCCTCGAGGCTGCCGGCGTCCGGGCGATCAGCGACAAGCGTGAGGGATACTCTCCTGGCTGGAAGTTCAACGAGTGGGAGCTTCGCGGTGTGCCTCTGCGCATTGAATTCGGTCCCGGCGAGTCTGCCGGTAACTTTGTCACTGCTGCTCGCCGTGACATTCCCGGCAAGGACGGCAAGATCACCATCCCCATCCCCGAACTGGGAACCGCCGTTCCTACCCTGCTCGAGACCATCCAGAGCGACCTCTTCAAGCGCGCGGACCACGAATACCGCACTCACCGCAAGCTCATCACCAACTGGGACGAATTCACCCCCGCCCTCAACGACAAGAACATCTGTATCATCCCCCACTGTCTGACGGAGGAGTGCGAGGACCAGATCAAGGACATGAGTGCGCGCAAGGCCGAGGAGGACTCCAACGAGGCCCAGGACGCCCGCGCCCCCAGCATGGGTGCCAAGTCCCTTTGCATTCCCTTCGACCAGCCCGAGGGTATCGAAGCCGGCGTCACCAAGTGTGTCAACCCCCAGTGCACCCGGTTGGCCGAGAAATGGTGCATGTTCGGACGTAAGTCGACGGATCCCCTAGATAAACCCCCATCACCACCGCCAGTATCCTTGCTAACATCTTCTTCCCAACAGGTTCCTACTAAACATAGTAGACAAGCTATCCTTCCTAGTTGCATTTTTCGTATGGTTACAATGACCTTTATGACATTTATTTCACTGTTGATACAGCGCAAACAACCCTCCCTGGTTGACAACGTAAAATGAATGGACAGAAATAAGAAACACCAAGAAGTAAACAGACAAAAGAACAAAATTTACACCAATCTCTAGAGAGAAGGGCATTTTTCTTCGTTACCTGGAGTGACGCAATTGTGGGCGTGAGTGAGTAAGGGGTGATTTTGCCGAGGAGAGAGTGATTTACTGAAACGGAAAAGCGAGATATCTATCTTTCTTTATTGAGGAGTCAGGCATAGTTGTGTTTTTTGTTTGTAGCTAACGGGTTGAATGATGATGAGTTCCATGCGATGTTCCATTTTCTCTTATAGTATATTTTCTTCTATTTGAAATCCGATTATAAGATATTTTAGTCCTAATGTATGCACGATGAAAGAAATGCCAATGACGCTAAATGTGCGAAAAGGAGCTGTAAAAGATAGGTAGGTAGGAGGAGTGTGCAGGACGAGAGCCCCGATGAATCCTATAATGTCGCGTCAAGGGAGAGTAAAAGGAAGGAATAAGCCAGAATTTAACAATGATAAAAGGAAAATGCTTTTTGCGGCCGCTGAGAGCGAGTATGAACCCCAAAGTGGAATCATGAAAAAGGAGAGAGGGGTATTAGAAGTTAAGGAAGGAAAATGAGCACCAGGGGAAATTGAAAGAGAGGGATGTAGATGAAGAATAGCGAAAAGATATAGAAGGATGGACAAAGGTGGGTTGGGTTTGATTAGGGCTCCTCGAACACCGGGGCTCTTGGAACTCAATAGGATTCCACGGATCGCATCCCCTGGAGGCGGTTACTGCCAGACCTGCTCTTGTTCGACTTCCGCGGCCAGTTCATGAGTCTATACGCAGTCTGCGGCGTAGTCGGACCAGTAACATAGGACACATTGTTTTCGTCCACGCCTTGGATCTGAACGCATGGAATACCGACACTTGGCAGTTGGATCACTTCTTCGTCGCTGTCATCGGCAGAGAAGCTCGACCGGCCTTCGGAGGACGAAACCGATGTTTGTGCGCGGAGATGTAGTACAGAAGGGGCTGTTTTCGAGCGCTCTGGCATTGGGGGAGGAGAGATGGTGCTCTTCGATCCAGGGTTGGGCGAGTGCTTCTCGGAACGAAGCAGCAAGTCCATGTAGGTCATCTGTTCTTCAGAGCTTTCTCTCCCTGTTTCGGAGGTCTCAAAAAATCCAGGAGAAGGCGGCGGAGCGTCAGTGTGTCTTCGTCGGAAGACTTTTGGGGAGACACTGGTAGATATACTTTTGCGCGTCTCCGAGCTCTTGCTCCGGGCATGTTTCTGGACAGAGCCTCGTCTAGCTAGCTTAGAAAATTGGCCATCTTTGAGGGACCTAGTTCGGTTATGGCCTTGCTTAAAGGTTTTTTGGGATGGCGAAGGAGTGAAAGGAGGGCCCTGTTCAGGAGGAGGCACCCGTTGGAAGGCCTCGTGGGAGTTGATTTCCCGGATGATGGCGTCTTGCAGGGTCTCAAAAGTGGGATGTGGGGTAATAGCTTGCGATGCGCTATGTGCCTTTCTGAACATATCCATGATCTCTTCAATCCTTTTAGATTGGGGAAGGGGAGATATAGACGTGGGGGTACCTGCTGGCAAAGGACTGTTCATGACTTCGGCGATGCTGGGGTTCTGCCTTTCGAGAGTGTTAGGGGTCGGGGGTTGTATAGCACGATGCGTGATTTTCGCATTTGATCGACCATGGGCAGCCAGCTCTGTATTGATGGAAAGATCTCGGATGTTCTTCTTAGAACCCAGCCGAGGAGATATGAGGGGACTGCGATAAAGTGATGGACGTGAAGAGCCCGAGCCGCGACTTGAGCTCGAGGATCTATTGTGTATTGGCCGGTTTTCGTTCATATTCTCGTGCCTCATAGTAACGGGTATTGTTGGGCTATCAGGGAGAGGAGTATTGCTCCAAGTAACTCCTTGTTTGTGGGCTGGAGGCACGCCGAGATACCCGTCAGGGCTTGACCTAGCAGCTCCATCAGGTGCACTTGCTCGCTCAGCGGACAAGTTTGGTGCTGAATTTTGGTGTTTCAGAGAATTGCTAACACTTGGCACACGTTCTTTTGCGCTGGCGCTATGAGCGTCGTTCATTGACCTAGGACTCGTAATTTCCCGCGAGTTTCGCTCAATCTTCGACCTTGAATGCGAGCTGCCATTGTCTTGGCCTTCAGGCTCGCCGACCCTTGTGCGCGACAGTGAACGGCTTCTTCTCCGGCTTTTTGTTATGTTTCTCTCTGCAACGTCCTCTTGATACAAAGCAGACAAAAACCGAGCGTACATGTTTTTCTTGCGCGGTTGTTCCTGGAGAAATCGTGTCATGTTGCGCTCGGCGATATCTTCATTGTACGGGGTAATAGGCGACAATGAGGTCGTAGACTGTATTTGGTATCGATGTGAGGAGAACAGAGCATCGAGCAAATCCACATGACGAGGGTTTCGCTCCTTGGGCCGCATTGAACCACGAGATGGCGGGACCTGAGACCACGGGGACAATGGTTGGGTTTGCAACTGGTCGTGCATGGTTTCAAACTCCTTCTCAATTCGCTGGAAGTGATTTTGCCCACCTAACGGCGACGCAGCTTTTGCAGAATGAGTATCATTTTGCGGTAAGCTGCTTTCTCGGGACTCTCTTTCGCTGTGGTCCATCGACAAACCTCTCTCCGCCTGGAATAATCGCCTCAGGGCAACCATGTTAGACTGAAGACATGAAGCGAATCATGAAGCGAAAATCATTCCGGAAAGCTCAAGCATGAAACCTGCACAAGAACCAAACAAGCGAAGATAGAAGGGAAGTGCAGACCAATCGTAGTAAAAGGAAGAGTTGAGTACGCTAATCAAGGTAAGGTTGCTGTCATGACAACGTCGATGCGTCTTATGGTATCATTAATTAAACAAGGCCCGTAGGGCGCTTGAATCAAAGGAATTCAGAGCAAATGGAGAGGTCAAAACGAGGGACATGAAAGAGAGGGATAGAGGAAGAAAGAGAAAGGAAAGAGGAAACCCAGGTTTGGAGAACAGGTGAGGAACCCAGAGGTTTTGCTATCGAAGCTCGCCTGATTTGCAGATCCGATACTTGTTCCTGGATCAGGGGGGGAGGGTAAGTGGCCCGGTCTCCATGATCCATCGTGACGGACTGGCGGACAAGAAAATGGGGCTGGACCGACGGGAACAGGCGGGAAATTTCGCTGTCCTGGAAAGGTTCCGTGGTCTACGGAGTACGATGAAAGGCTTTGCTTTCCCAGAGGCCTACCCCTGTTCGTGGCGTCCGACCCAACGTATTCGGCGAGCAGATACCACATTGATAACTCTGGCTGTGACGCCCAAAGAGGCCTGTACATGCTTAGTTGCTTACTCGGTGATGATTGTGTAGAGCGTGCAGCAAAGCCCTAACGTCAGGACGCCCATCATCCATTATGCATAGACTAGGGCTTGAACTCCACTTGACAGCAATGCCATTGGAAAATTTGATCTGCAGGTCTTGCAGCCCATCCAAGCCGGCAGGAAACTAGGCACGAGGGAAGCAAGAAAAGCAAGCATAGTATAACAGTGGGCCCATTGTATCCGGCGGTACCGTAAAAACAGCCCCGAGAGCAAGTGGGCCGCTCTAACGACAGGGAAGGCACAAATGGGTTCCTAGCTTAAAGTCTGGCGGGCGTGTGCCAGTCAGGAGCCGGGAAATTGCGTCGAACGGGGTCGGCGAACATCCATAAAAAACGAGCGGGTATGAGATGAACCGTCTATTGGTATATCTCGGAGGTGATCGTTCACAAAGTACAAACACCGTAATTGTGGGAGGCATAAAGGAGCCGACTTTCCACGGTTCTTGGGTGAATAGTATGCACTAAGGAGCAGGATCACCCGAAAAGAAAATGGGGCCTTTGTTTCTTGGGAGATCAGGAATCAGGAAGTCTCCCCATGAGTAGAATACTATTGCTATTGCTGATGAGCCGAAGGATTGGCAGGCAGGCATATTGACAGGTAGACACTATTTCCGTAGATAAACCAATACTAAATAGATAGTTTGCATAGCTTAGGGGTCAGCATCGTCGAGGAGGTCGGACCCTCGGCAGACGCGTAGGCTGTCACAGATGACCAGCGAAGATCGTCATGGCTCTTTGTTCATGCACATCAATACCCCATTCTCATCGGAACCTCCATCGAGGATGAAACACCGAGGTAGAATGGCAGCTTGAATCTTGATCGATGAGGGACGGTGGATGCAGGAAGGAAAGAAAGAACGCAGGACTGGAAATGGCCTCGGGATTTGACACTTACCGTACCGTACCATAATTACCGGTTACCTCAGCAGCTGTCCTCGTGCTCTCTTAACCCTACTTCCGTACTCTGTAGGTTCTTTTTTCTTCATCCTCGTCCACCTATCTATCCGGCTCAATCTGAATCTACGCAGCTCATACACCATATCTCAAGATCGATCAGATCGGAGACACTGACGGCCTGGAGCTGGGAAAGAAACCCCATCTCGAGCTCACAGTTCTCCGTTCTCCCGGCTAACTTAGTCCCAGGTCTTGTTCTATTTGTGAACCGCCCCAACGCACGAACTAGCAAGATCGGGTATTGACGCCAACGATCCTAATCACCATGCCCAATCTTGGGGCGTCAACTTGGCAGTTGGTCTCTCTCCTAGTCAAATTAGACGAGGGACGGAATCAGAACTAGTCATCGGAAAGTGTTGACTATTTGCACCGGCCATCGGATCAGTCTCCGCGGATCCAGAGGGATCAATTTATCTTCAATTTATTTTTGACTCTGAGTCCAGATCTGCCTGCCATAGCTTCCACGCTTCCAGCCCAATCCCTCGAGGGATCCCAAGTCAAAGCAGCTTAGAGATAACCAAGCGAGCGAGCCCTATCTCTCATTTATCCACTTGAGCGTTATTTAGTATCCGAAAGTCCGACTTCTCGTCAACCCAAGCCCCAGCCCCTCTGCTGCATGTGGCTAGTGTCGTGTGATTCCCGGTTAGTTTGCAGGCAGCTATCACAAGCTGGCAGCTCGGATGCATGTCATCAAGTTGCCCCTGAAAAGAAAAGAAAGAAACAAAACGAAATAGCTGAAAGAAAGAAATCCCGCCCTCTGTTCATTGTAGCACAAGAAATTTTCCGAGGCAACGTCTCCCTAGTAATTTCCCGAATGCCAAATGCCAACACGCCACCACCGTTGCATCTAGCGAAGTCTAAATCAAGTCTTGGACTCTGAAGTCAATGAACGGACCTCAAACCACCGGAAAGATCAAGAGACAGATGGGAATCTCAACGGGCCTTAAAGGGCACTGGAGATCTACAGGCTGATACCATGACTTCTGTATGCAGCGGCCGGGTATCTTTTAATCTAGAACCATCGAACTTTAATCATGAGGATGATGAGGATGATGATTGCATTATACTCGAATTTCAGCTCCCTGATGGGGCTCTTCCCGAGTCACCAGCGGCCCAAATGAAACAGTAAATCCACCTTGACAATGCCAACGTCCTATCTAAACTCACAAAACCGACCGATTTAAGAGTTCAAGTCAAAATCCATTCAAAGTACAAATATAGCTGCCTATGTCTCAAACTCCCGCGTAGATGTATATCTTCAATTCCACTCAAAATCCTCACTCCCGCTGCCCTTCGACTACTTTTTTGAATCCCGACGCTTCCACTATAATCCTACCATGACTTATGTCTTTTTGCATATTTGCTGTACAGCTCCAACTACCCCTCTCGGGTTTTCCCGCACTACTTCACCCCTTAGCTATACACTATTATAGTTACGGCCGCCATATCGTAGCGCTCTAAAGACATGACCAAGACAACTTTGCTGCCGCCCAGTCATACGTAGGGTATAGGCGACACATATACTGCTTTCCAGCTACGCATCTGCATGAACTGCTTTCTAGGATCGGAGGTGGAGGCAGCAAGTAGGTCAAGCGGCCTGCCTGCAGAAGAAACCGGGCCGTCCTGGCCACATGCTTCTCCGTTAGTGCGGCTTGCATGCTCCGAGGACATGACATCGAACTTTAATCGAATGTAGCATGCAGGGAAGTACATGGGATCTTATCAATCGGGACGGTAGCTCTTCGCTAGGCCTTCAAAAAATGCATTCTGTGTAGCTAAACTAGGCGAAAAAAGAACCCCCGTTGTCCAAATTTGCGCGTGACTAGAACTCTTCATTCCAGGTTTCGTTGTAAGTCCATCCTTGTCTCATGCTCGATCGGATGTGCAAAAAAGCACCCCTTTCCACTGTCAATAGTTAGCTCGGCCATGTCGCCAAGATTCTTCCTCTTTATCATCGTAGAGCAACCTACTTCAACTCAGGTAGTCTTAAGCGAGTATCCAAGAAGTCAGAGTGTCATGCTGCTCTCATCTTTAGGCATCATCCTCATCATCAGCAACAGTCTTCTTGCGTTTTCCACCACGCTTCTTCTTGGCTGGAGAAGCAGTAGTCTCAGCAGCATTTTCAGCAACAGTAGGCTCATCAGGAGCAGCGACAGCAGCAGCCTCGACAGGATCAGAGGCCTCGACAGCCCCCTTGGTGAGGTCGAACTTGCCGTTAACCAGCTCAACCTCCAGCTGTTTCTTGAGACGGGAGTAACGCATGCGGGCGGCCGGGATCTTGAGGTTGGTTGCAGCAGCGACCTGGCTGAAATCGACCTGACGATCAACGAAAGAGTGATTCATTGTCAGCAGTGATCTATATCGACTGGGCACGTGGAGGTGTAGATATGGGTGAGAGAGATGGTACAAAGGCTGGAGATCCTTTCCCGTCTGTCTTGGTGAGAAACTTACTGCATTGTCCTTCAGGCTGAGGAGACAGATGAAGAGGAACATCAGGCTCTCATTGCTCTTCTTATTGGGTGCCATGGTCGTTAATCACCACAGAGGTTTTGTGTAGTTTTGGACGGGTGTATCCTGTTGTGAGAGCGGTTGGAGAGTGAGAGGGATGGTGAGCAGTAGGAAAATGAAGGAGAGGGATGATATGGTTTGAGGAGAGGACAGCAGGTTGCTAGGTTTCAGAAGAAGTGAATGGTTTTCACATAGGCTCACGGCGCAAGGTCACATCACATCTGCTAAGGGTTAATGCTGCTCTCACTTGTGGGCAACGGTTCAGAAAGTAGGTTGTAGCCCAAGTTTGTAGTCATCAACTGTGATAGCTTGGATGGGTACAATAGACCCCTAGGCACGTCTTGCTATACTGCTCGCTGCACACCACCTACCGCAGGAAATTGGTGGAACGTTCCATCTCGACAGGACTACGATGCATCACACACCCGCAGGCGATTCGCTACGGTGCCGAATTTATGCATCAAACAGGCCTCCTCCAGCAATTCTGCTTTGCTCTGTTGAGCGAAGAGGACGAGGACGGCGCTCCTGAACCCAGCACCCTCCTGAAAGGGCTCGATCAGTTACGAGGAACTTTGAGTGACGGGTCAGGGTCTTGGCTACTTGCTATGGCGCGCACATTCTACGAGAAACACCCACATAGAACGGAGCGGAAGGAGTGTACAGCGGCTAGAGAGGCGCGGTGGACACGCGGCAGACGTGTGCGTTGCTATGGCGTACAGACACGAGATTCTGCTTCAATCAACGAAGCATTTGCATAGTTTACCGTTTCAATAGATAGGCTTCATCAGGTCAATAGATTTTTGATTGATTGATTTGATAAGAAACGGTAACAGACAAAGGATATTGGAACAACCAAAGATAGTACGCCTTGATGTTAGATCTCATTAAACAGCATTTCCCGCCGAATCCAGACCAGCAAAACGCATGGCAGACTCTCTGACAGCCTCCGCTAGAACCGTGTGTGCACCTCGAGCCGCATCCACGGCGCCATCGATCAGGGCATCATGTGCGAGGCGTTTGTCGTCGGCCGCAAGGGACGCTTTCGAGCTGTCTCCCTTCAGCCAGAGTTCCGTAATTTCGTCGCGAGAAGGCATATAAGCCACAACACATGCTGAGACAATAGCCTTGTGCTCTGCGGGGTCCATGTCCAGCATCAACTTCGGTTTGGAGGTTTTCCCTTCCTCCGATTCATCAGAGACCAACGCAGCCACTCCGCCGGCCACGAGGTCGAGACAGTCGATTCGAGCATCACTGATGGCAGCAGATGCGGCCGTTACACACCCGGCAAGCACGTTCAACATGCCCCAAGGGGAATCATGCGAGTCCGGAGCATCACCCCACCAACGGTCATCCTCTGCCTCGAGGATTGTGATTGTGATATCCAAACCACTCTTGGGCCATCGCTCGGCGACAATAACACCCCTAAGAGCAGTCTCTAAATGCACTCCGAGGTCACGCTCGCTGGCATCGCGGATATGGCCCTTCCGTTTCCGCGCAGCGAACGGGGCATATTTAACGTGGGTTGTGAGGACGAGGTTAGGCGAGAAGGTAGCTGAGCGCGGAAGAGGCTTCGGCCCATGGACTGTACAGGCGAGCTTCAGTGCGGACGACGGCGGGATGAGAGACTGAGGGGATGATCGTGCGGCGGACAAAGAGGCTGAAGGTTCGAATTCAAGGTATGCGGAACCCGACGCGGAGGGGATCAAGCCGGTTTTCAAAACTAGTCAGAGCTCATATTAGTCCCGATGTCCTTTAGTAGTGGTAAACAAAGCATTGCGATCCTTACATATCTTCCGTAAATCGTTCGGTTGCCGTTGCCGTTGCGGTCTTGCGGTAGCAGTAAAGGCGGAGTTGAGAGACGAGGCAAAGATCGCAGGCCTCGTGCCGCCAGGCGGCCCATTGATTCTTCTTCGGTCAGTCATTACACATTACTTGGCAAGCTCTCCAAGCAGTATAAAAGGGAAAGAAGAACGGATATGCCCGGCGAGACGTGAAACTCCCGACGGCTGCCGTTGGAAGCCAGAAACGGAAATCTACAATTTTGAGGGATGTTTGCTTTGTTTGTCGGGCGGTGGAGTCGGCGCCAATTTTTCCTTCGTTTTTCTTCCCACTTAAATTCTCTCCTCTTCTTCTTTTTCTCTCTCTTCCTTCCCTACTTGCTTGACAACCCAACTTATGTTGTGGACAAGACGGTTTTCCTTCTTCATGCTGAAGGAAGACCAGTCACATTGCTCAAAGTCAACAATTATTTGTCACTAACTTTCTTACCTGTGAGTCTATCATCAATCCTGAACCATTCATCATCACCTTTCCCACCATCTTTTATGATGATTACGATCCAAAATCAGTTCTTGGCGACAAATAAATGGGCCATTGAACAAACATGCATCACCATCTGATCCCTTTCTACCATTACATCTTGCAAGAATTTCCTATACATCTTTACAGGAATTTCTGGCTAACGTCCAAGAAGACATCTTAGGTACTCTAGCATCACTCAACCAGAATCTCGTAAACAAACTGGGTAGGTTTTTTTTTTCCTTTTTCCTTTCCCTTTGGCACCTCCAGACTGCCATTGCTTCCGTGATGAGAAACATTTTTTTTCAGTTCTGCTTCTGCAAATTTCTTGAAGAAAACAAAATACCTTACCAAAAACTCCTGATCCCATTCGAAGCTTCTTTCCCATTTTCTACTTGCACACGCATTTTATAGCAATTGGTTGCTGACCCTTCGAAGAACTTTAGACACTGTATCTTAGTAACCTGTCAACAAGATCAAAAGCTCTTTGGCCATAAAAAGGTATGGTCACGATCTTTTCCTCTACTCTCTACCCCCCAAACACCTTTATGATGACAACAAGTCAATCCATTCAATGAATCTCCTCGTGAGATACCGCCCCTCGGGCCTGCATCGACCAACAGCCAGCGCAATGGAATCACAAGATCCACACGCCCCTCTCCCTTGTACTGGACCTTACACTCACCATCTTCCTCACGGAAGACGGCAGGTGAAAGGGAGGAAGGTTGTGGAGTTTGGGGCTGTGGGCTTCATCTTGTCTTTTCGTGCTGTACCTGCTGGTTCTTGCTTGACTGACTTGTGTCGACGTCTTTTTTCCGGCATGTCGTTCGTCTTGGATGGCATGTTGGGGGATCGAAGTCGGCAGGGGATGGGATGAGTTAACTCGGCTTGGCTGATTACGCCATTTTTGCATACTTGATGAAAATTTCACCCTGTTATGCTTGCAGCAAATGTGCTGACATTTTATCAGTAGTTTTAAACAGGTCTTTCGAACTTAAGGTAGTCTTTTTCAGTAATGACAAATAATCGTTCTCTACAAAGCATTTTTCCCCCTTTTTCTCCAAATATCTGCGTAGTTAAAATATAAGCGAACTATAAAAGAAACAAAAAGTCAAATACTCATTCCACTTTGAACATTTATATCATTTTTTTTCTGCCTTCAATATTTAGTTTTCTTGTGAAATTACATTGCAACGTTTGCATCCGGCCCCCCTCACCTATCTTTCGCCATCCCGGTCTCTTTCAAGCAACGCTTCATTCATCTTGATTGTAATCAAGCGTACAAGCAACAAAACCAACGCAGAAAGAAAACTGACAGAACCGCCTCGCCTACCTATCTCAGCGCCTCGCCCTGTCTATATAAAAAAAGAACAAGATATTTAAATCTTGCCATTGTTCATATCCACCATGAGCGTTAAGAACAAGACATAATATTGTACTCATCATTTCGTCGACTTAACCTGTTCTCTACTCTTTTCTTTCGGTCGGTGTCGTGGCGCCGTTTCGGGACATGCTATATGGGGCCTATAGGATAGAGGAGTGTTGTGAGCATTTGCTATTTTATTGACCAAGGGTGAGGGAGGACGTTGGTGAGAGAGAGGTGCTGACTTGACGTACAAGAACGGATTTCGCATGGCAGATTCTCCAGGCAAGATTGCGGACGGTTCCATCTGCTCGAACGACTTCCGGGGCGAACTCGATACCGAACCTAGGATTCGTGAGTAAGCAGTTCACATAAAAGAAACGGGATATTAGGACTGAAGACTTACATCTGATGCACGGCGAAGATGACCCGCTTGGCGTATTTGCCGTCGCGCTCGACCAGAGATCCAAACTGCTCTTCTGTGGTTTCGGGCGCAATCTCGGGGTCCCGGTCGAAGCAGTTGCGGACCACGGCCAGCAAGCTCTTCTCCACGGATGCTTGGCTAAGGTCCTGGTCGCCTCCGAGCAGGTCTTCCTCGTCGAAGCGACTGATGCGGATTTCAAAGGGTCTCGAGATGGCCATGACGTTGTGCTTGCCGTTGTGATGGTAGCGGAATTCAAAAGTGCCTTGGGTCCAGAACAGCTTGTCTCCAGAGAAGACGACCTCGCCTGTAGCGATGTCGTAATCGTCGCCATCCGCGCGCTGGGGTGTTGAGACAACATCACTTGTGACGATGCCCTTCTCGCACGTTGTGTTGTCGTAGAAGCCTTCATTCGTGGCGATCCATCTGGCTTGGGAGGAGACCCGTGTCACTTCTCGCGAAGTGTTATCCGTCACCTTGTACAGTCCGATCCAGTCCTTCTTGCTATGGTTGAGAGGCGCGGTCCATTTGACCTTGATCGGCGCACCGTATTCAAAGACCAGGTTTTTCAAATCGCCTCGTCGATCCAGGGGCATGCGAGCATTGGCGCCCTCTCTACCGCTGCTGCCGTCGGATTCGGTCAGTGAGGATGAGTCGGTGCCCTCGATTTCCAAGGAGTAGTCCCGGGAGTTGTATCCAGCCAGGTCTTCATCGATACGTGAGATGGTAACACGTGCTGGATACTTCTGGAAAAGGGCCGTGGTGTCCTTGACAAATGTGTTGACACCGGCGGCGAGTTTCGGACGCGCATTGTCAATAATGTCCTCGATAAATTCGAATGACTCGTCAAAGATCTTGTCCACACTGCCGTGAAGCTGCTTGAGCGTGGGAGGCAGAGACCTCTTCAAGCTCTTAACGAGACCGGCGTCCTGTCGCAGACTTCGGCCATACAGCTTTTGCATGTGCGGGCGTTCCACAAACTGGATGAAAGCCAAACTCAAGATGTGACTCAAGATGGCAAGGAAAGTGATGGCACTGCTACTGGTGATCAGGACAGCCCCCCACACGCCGGCTAGACCCAAAACACGTTCAGGGTTGTTTAAGAAGCGGTAGATACCATTATAGGTCAGTTTGGGAGACTCGTCGAAGAAGAAATCTCCATAGAACCACCCAAACTCGCCGAGAGACTCGTAGATGCTGACGCAAGTCCAAATTTGCAAGCTAATCAGACCCGCGCCCAGAACGTGCCGGAGCAGAACCAAACCGTAGCCCCAGTCGGCGGGAAAGGAGTACATTTTCCATACGGCAGCAATGAAACTGGCATAGCACATGACCATACTAATATGATATGTGCCCTTCCATTGATTCCAGGCCTCCTGGGGAGTTTCCCCATACTTGACAAAGTGCCGGGTCCAGGACTTGCGGTTTGACTGGCAATCCAGCAGGTACCCGATGCCAGCCGAGTACCAAAGTCTCCACACTGTAGCGTTGGCTACAAAAAAGAATTGATACCACCGAGTGGAGGGCGTCAAGACGGTCAGGGCGAATACGAGAAACTGGATCAACACGGAAGAGGTGTCGGTCGTTCTATGCAGATCCAAATTGTGGAGCCCCAGCAGATTGTGGACCGACGGAGGCGGGCTGCTAGAGTAGGCTGGCGCGTGGGGAACTTGATCGTCAACGGATGATGGCGCGATGGGTGAATCAGTGCTTTGGGACGTTGTCGACGCGACTTCTTGGTCGCTCATACGCTTCCGGGGAGGAGGAGGGTTGTAGGTCTTGTCGATGTGAGGGTTCTCCACGAGAACCAGAAAGGCGAATTGAGCTGCATGGGCGATGATCGAAATGAATAGCACTTTGTAGCTTGCGGCCATGAGCGAAATACCGTAGTATCCAGCGTAGCCGACCGAATACATTGGGTGAGGCGCCATCTCAAAAACCCCGTCGAAGGTCAACTCTTGGTCAATGAGATAGAAGAAATCGCCCCAGTACCACGCGAAATCTTTTACCACCCGATGGGCGTCTAATTTGACCCAGAGGTTGAATAGAACCAGGACAATACCGGCGGACCACCGCAGCGCAGTCATCAAGACGCCCTCATTAGCGGGATGGTGGCTACATGCTATAGCAAAGAGACAATATGACACGAAGTCACACATCAGAATCAAATCCACCAGGCGTCTAAAGACGAGCCAAGTGTTGTACTCAATCGGAGATTTGTCGAAGGAGTAGTCACTGCGAATTTTAGTTTCCAATTCCCGCTTGATCAGGTTGTAGAGAGCCGGGTGCGGATTGTTTCCCGTGGCGGGGTTCACGAAGATCTTGGTCTTCTCCGCCCAGCGGACAAGCGTATTGTGATGAGACTGGTTGTGAAGCAGCCAACCGATTCCAGCGTTGTAACCCGCACGCCAGAACAGATAGACAGCCGCGAAAACGGGGACTTTGGCAGCTGCGGGAAGCCACCAGAGAAGAAAGATATGAGCACCTAGAATAGCTAGGACCAGAAGATCGGATAAGTTTTTAGGTTCCGAAGGTGACAGGAGTTGAGAGACCATGTCATGGGTTTGAGGGACCGTGAAGACTATAGCATGGTGATGCTGAATTAGCTCTCTTGAACTTCGGAAGATCCATCGAAAAGAAACCCCGATCAAAGGCGCGAAGTCTTGTCAAAGAATCGAGTTCTGTCGAGGGAAGAAGGAGAATTGGTTTGCAATCAAACCATGTTCAAGGATGACCTACCTGTGCCATCTGGAGTCCGACCAAATGTTTTCGAGTGCTGGTCCTTGGGCTCGACGTCACCGGTGGCCGTGAGGGCCTCCGTGGTGAGCTTTGGAGCGGACTGGGAGGGCACATTCCTTTCACGAAGTCCCTCATTCCCAGCCTGGGTGCCTGTTGAGAGGCCACTATCCATGATTGCAAATCTACGGGGGGGAGAAAGAACAAGAACGATGGGAAGGAAGAGAAGGAAGGCAAAAAGGGTTGAGAGACAAGGGAAGAAAAGGCGATCAGAGCATGTGACAGCGGGCTTGCTTTGGCGGTGATTGGCCTGAGGTTGTGCCCCCAGCCCACTTGGTTGAGGCGTCAACTGTAAAGATTAAGTAAAGACAAAGACTCCCGGAGGCAGCGGGAAGTAGAAAATACTGGTGTCGCTTCGAATTGAGTATATTTTGAACAAAAAATGAAAAGAAAGAGGAAAGACGAATTGACAGGAAGTTATGGCCGCGTATTTATCTTGGGACAGACTCAAGCGAGCGCGCCAGAGCAAGATAGCACGAGCAAGCGACTCCTCATCCCGGAGTGGAACCCCGTGCACTACAGGGAAGAAGCAGCCGGAAGGAAGAAGAAGGGATTGGTGAGTTACTGTTAGTAAGGGTCTGCGGAGTAACTATCGTCGAGTCCTACTGCGCACTAACTAGTCTAGGGAGGCTTCTCCTCAACCACAAAGACGCAACGTTGCTTGGGATCCTTGGCACATTCTTCCATTTCTTGCTTCTGCCAGCGAGTACCCAGAGAGTCCATGGATGCCACCCTGAGATGCTGCATGCGTGCGGACCACCGTCTGCACTCTTTATTGTGCTCGACATGGTCGGAAGAGGGATTTATTACTCGGGAAGAGGGGGGTGTGCCGTCGAATGGATGATCGGCTGGGGGATAACCTAGACTGGTAACTGCGGGTGGTTTCAACGCGGTGGTTTCCATTAATTGCGTTATGACATATCATTACTCGTCTGCTCTTTTCCTCCCAGATATAGATGCATATGCACATGCATGGCTGCAGCGACGAGAATGGCCGCAACGGGCACCACGATCCGGCTTTGCATATGGACCGGATGCATGCCCGTGGCCTCGTTCCGAAACATGCGTATTTATATTATGGTTGATGCTCTGTCCTGTGCTCTGTTAAAGATAATCACTTTGTTCCATGGATCGAGATCGTCGGCAGACTGGCACCCGGAGCACGGCGACGATGACGTTGAGAGGGTTGGTGCCTGTTTCCTCAGGCCCCCACCAGAACCGGGTTGTGAGACGAAGACGATGAGATCATCAGCGACGACTTCTCGCGCGGTTGGACCACCGGCGTTAAAGTTCTGACCTTGCATGTCTTACTCTACCCCTCCTGGCTGTCTGTAACAGGGGATTAAATGGTAACCGCTATTTCCTTTCAATTACCCGAGATTGAGAGGATGAGATGAGGCACGCGATAGAATAATATATCCTGGTTGCTTCGAGCCACTCCCGGTCTTTAGTCGCCCTCCTTTCCTTCGCGAGAGTGACTCCAATTGCTCTGGTCTTGCGTACAGAACATCCTTGGAGTCCCGTGAATATAGGTGATCGACTAGTATCTGATGATCTGATATGATGGAGATAATCGCCAAGGGTCTAGCCGTCCAGTTAATGATGAGGTATTTTCTTATTCCCTGGGGTCGACAATCCTTCACTTTTAGAGCTCCTCCATGGTACAGAATACATACAGTAGTATATCCGTAGTTCCGTACCTCCATAGTGCGGAGAAGGATCCAGTATCTTAGGTAGTGAGGAAGATGTCTCTCCGGTAACATCGGGCGGCCATTCTCGACTTGAAAATGGCAAGATCATATCGAGTGGTCTATGGAAGCTAACGCGACCAGATCTTATCGCGGACTCCGAAACCGCAGCGCCCGGCGTGTTTGTCATCCGAGCACCTGATTTGTCGGCTTCCGTGGATTATCAAGCATCCCCCGCCATGAGTTCTTCCGCCACTCCAAATTTCTCCCATTCTCTGCTTCATCAACACTGCGGTGCATTCAATCTACATACTTTTCATATTCTAATCCTTTCGTAGTTGAGTCTGTTACTTTCAAGAACCACTGCCGAATCTTGAACTACGACCATGGCGCCCTCTTTCGAGGAGCCCACGCCGGCCTCCTTCGATGCGCCGTCCAAGATGGCACCGAATCTCGTCGCTCCCGAGCCAGGTACGATGTCTGTTGTCGCAAACACTCATTTCATCACTGACTGGTAAACAGAACACTGCCCTGGCCCCGAGTCTGAGCAGGCCGGTAAAGGCGATGCCTGCGCTGGCTGCCCCAACCAATCGATCTGTTCCACCGCCCCGAAAGGACCCGACCCCGATATAGCCATCATCACCGAACGTCTCGCGCAAATTCGTCACAAGATCCTGGTGCTCTCTGGAAAAGGGGGCGTGGGCAAATCGACATTCTCTTCCCTCCTTGCCCATGCATTTGCGGCGAACCCCGACTCGACCGTTGGATTAATGGATACCGATATTACCGGGCCTTCAGTCCCGAAGATGATGGGCGTCGAGGCGGAGACCATTCATGTGAGCAACGCTGGATGGAGTCCGGTGTGGGTGACGGATAATCTGGGTGCCATGAGTGTGCAGTTCATGTTGCCCAACCGAGACGATGCGGTCATCTGGCGGGGACCGAAGAAGAACGGTCTAATAAAGCAGTTTCTGAAGGACGTTGATTGGGGCGAACTGGACTACCTGATCATCGATACGCCTCCCGGTACCTCGGATGAGCATTTGTCAGTCAACTCCTTACTGAAAGAATCTGGCGTTGACGGGGCGGTTGTCATCACAACGCCTCAGGAGGTGTCGTTGCTGGATGTCAGGAAAGAGATCGACTTCTGCCGCAAGGCGGGAATTCGAGTCTTGGGGCTGGTGGAAAACATGTCGGGGTTCGTTTGTACCGGCTGTGGGCACGAGTCCAAAATCTTCCGGGCCACCACCGGAGGCGGCAAGCGTCTTGCCAAGAAAATGGGCATTCCTTTCTTGGGATCCGTTCCTCTCGACCCCCGAGTGGGCATGGCTTGTGATTATGGGGAGAGCTTTGTGGACAACTTCCCGGATAGTCCGGCATCGACTGCAATCAAAGGGGTTGTGCGATCGGTTGGCCAGCTTGTCGGCGAGGATCCGGACGCCGTGCTACCGGAGGGAATGATGGAATGAATATATGCATGCTTACTTACATTTGATTTCTCCAGCGTGATGCATTGGGGCAGCTTTTTCAAACGGATTGTTGGGTTGGGTTCTCTTTTCTTTTTCCCGCCCCTTTACTATTTTTGGCGTTGTACGGATAGAGGTACTAGTTTTTGGATACCATATCATTAGCACAGTTATGAAAATTGCAATGAAGATTGATGCATAGTCCCCTGATCCAAAGAATTCTACCCCTCCGACCCTCAACCCAACACAGACCAAGCGGGAGAAAACAGACAGCATGGCAGTCGGAATAGAGCGACTTTAAGAATCCAGTGCAATTTAGGGTGTGTCGATCCGGGCTCAGGGCGACAGCCTTGTACCATCCGGGTAATACATCCAGCTGGGCATGCTAAAATCAGTAATGCCAAGTTCGCCCATCCAGGGAGCGCGGTCATATATAAATTGGCCGTTCCGTTGATCGCGATCCTCGAATCTTAACCAATGCTTGGCTGCTCCATGCGGTCGAGTGATGCTGAATAATGGACCTTGTTCCCCTTCTTTTTCCAACACACAAACCGCAACGGGGGTTCCACTGGATGTTAAGCATGCCTGCCTACTGGTCGATTCATGAGACATTTGGTTCTTGGGACGTTGCAGTCTTGCCATGCCGATGCTTTGGACAATGGACCTAGGGTTCCACTAACTCGAGGAAGGGTTGACTTTGACGCTATCCACCAAGCGGCTTGTCCATGTTAGAGATCTGCCCTGTCATGCGACCGATGGCCAAAAGCGTCGATGTTCATGGTGCAAGTAGACAGGCTACGGAGGAGTCAGGTAGACAGACTTTCAACTACCTCATGTAGTACGTATACTGCGTATCTGTAGCACCAAATCAGACTCGAGGTGTTGTTAGGCTACCATATTTTTATTTTATTCTATTTCATTTTCTCTGTCCTCGAGTGCACGGATCAAGAGGGCGAACATGAAGCAACAGAAGCAACGGCACGGAGACTTCTAGTCCAGCCCAAGACGCAAGCTGTAACGGGGGCCCCTGCCCCAGCCCAGCTGAAACACCCGCCCGGCGCGGTGATTGGCCTTCCGGAGACGCCGCCCCTCCGCCCAGCGTTTCACGGGAGTCGAGTGCCTGCCCAGTGGCCACCACCTTTACGGAGTAGTGCCTAAGCCACCGCGGCCCTCAGGGGCAACGGAGGCCTGGCCGTCGCTGACTGGCCCCGACGCTCTTCCTCGCCGGCGGCTGTCATCCTCTTTTCATGCGCCATGGAGATCTACCGTTGAAAGTTCAAACGCTGTCACACTCTGCAATCCACCTGTGTCAGCCATATGAGCCGGTGGCCCGCTTCGAGTCCCTCCTGGCACCATGCATTGGTTCTTTCTTCCACCGCCGGACTCTTGGAGCTGCTCCATCGGCCCTGATCTTTGCTAGTCCTCGAAATTGGTGGATCAGGCATACGTCTTGGTACTTGTCGTGAAGTCTTGGAAACGCAGCCATTCTCGTGGATTCTCAGATTCTGGTTCCTGCACGCTTTTTTTATCTTATTTTTATTTTTAATTTTTTCCCCTTCTTCCCCTCGATTAGAAGGCCAGTGATCCCTGCACGATCACTATTAATTCCTTTCACTTCTCACATAATCCTAATGACATGCTAAACTTCTAACCTTTTCCCTTCGTTGTCTTCCTTTCCTTTAACCTCCGTTTCTTTTTGGCAGCAGTTGCTCTGCGAGGCTGCTGATCTTTACTTATCTCTTTACTTCTAATCTATTTCTTTTCGTGCTTTCTCTCTTCAGGTATCCAAGTCGGGACTTGGGCCCTATTCCATTCCTTTGTGTTACTTGATATAATTCCGGGGAAGAGCGCAAAAGAAAAGACAAGGAGAAAAAAAAAAAAACAATAGATTTATTCTGGGCATTCATTTTTCCTGTTTTTTCTTTATCATTCTTTATCTTGAGGGCTTCTTGACGAAGCATACCACCATCACTCATTTAATCATCAGCGGAGAGACCGATTGAACCCAGCATCAGCACCATGAGGTTCCTCTTTTCTTTCCTATTCGCCCTGTTCTTCGCCCATGGGGTGATTTCGGTTCCGACAGCCCCTCAACGGAAGGGCAGGTCCTACAAAGTTGAGCGGGTCCGACGTGGGAATGACGCTATTCACGGCCCTGAAGCCTTGCGCAAGGCGTACCGGAAGTACGGGATCATTCCCACCAACTTGGGTCTGGACCTAACGGACTTTGAGCCAATCCACGTGAAGCATGTCACCACCAACAACAAGCAGGTTGACGAACCCGAATCGGGGGCTGTCAGTGCTGTGTCCGTGCAGGGTGATGCTGCATTTGTGTCTCCAGTTCTTGTCGGAGGCCAGAAGCTGGTCCTCAATTTCGATACCGGATCCGCCGACTTGTATGTCAATAATTAGTGTTCGTCGACCTTTGGGGTGTGAATTGCTAACTGTTAGTCCGAAGCTGGGTCATGAATTCGCGACTGCCCAAAAGTGCGCAGGAAGGCCGCACGGTGTATCACCCCTCGAACTCGTCCACATTTGCCGAGATCACCGGAGCCACGTTCAACATCTCTTACGGCGATTCTTCTTATGCGTCTGGCGGCGTGGGCACCGAACACGTCAACATCGGCGGTGCCACCGTCAAGAACCAAGCCATCGGTATCCCGGACGAGGTCTCCGACTCCTTCATCGAAGACACCTACTCCAACGGTCTCGTCGGATTGGGCTTCTCGTCACTCAACACCGTCAAGCCGAAGAGCCAGAAAACGTTCTTCGAAAATGCCGCCGAGACCCTGGACGAGCCCGTTCTGACCGCCGCCCTGAAGAGCGACGGCGTCGGCGAGTACGAATTCGGCGTCATCGACCACAAGAAGTACACCGGCGAGATCTCCAACGTGACGGTGGATTCTTCCAACGGATTCTGGGAATTCGAAACGGCCCACTTCCTCGTCGGTAACGGAACCCTGCAGGACATCAAGGAGACGCCCACCGCCATTGCCGATACCGGTACTTCCCTCATGCTGCTCGACCAGGCCGTGGTGGATGCCTACTACGACGAGGTCCCCGGTGCCATCTTTGCCAGCAGTGCTAGCGGTTACATCTACCCCTGCGATGCCGACCTCCCCAGCCTTTCCATCGCCGTCGGCTCCAAGCACCTGGCCACCGTTCCTGGCCATCTGATCGGATTCTCCGAGGTTGGAACCAACCGAACCACGGGCGAGAAGGGTGAGCAGTTCTTTCTTTTATTTTCGTCTTTTTACCTTATACACCAAAAGAGCATTTGCTGATAAACCTATAGTCTGCTACGGCGGCATCCAATCCAACCAGGGCAGCTCGATGCAGATCCTCGGCGACGTATTCCTCAAGGCGTTCTTCGTGATCTTCGATCTCCGGGGCCCTTCTCTGGGTCTTGCGTCTCCCAAATAAACCCAACCAACCCAACCAAGCATTCCTTCCAGCCATCTTAATCAAATCTCATGAAAGATCCAGCATTTCACCCCTGTTTCCTTTTGTGTGTGCATGTGTGGCGTGTGTTCCAGAGCTACTATTACTTATTCGTCTGGAAACCCTTGTTCAAGCGTAATTTGTGGGGTGAGCTATATATATGATCCGATTATGGGTCGGGCATGTTGGGTTATCTTTCGTTAATGGGGAGAAAAAAATATCAATAAGGCAATTTGAAAGATTATCTATGGTTTTTTATAGTTAGGGTCAGGGCGAAGAAACAAACTGCTGAGTCATCCTGCAAATGGCCTGTTTCCACGCTAAACCGAATGCGGGAGATCAAATTTGATGGCGAGCGACGCTTTTTGATGTTGATGATTCGCTGCTGGACTTCGAGTCAATCCTGCTAGAACCCCATTAAATTAATCAATTCTATTCTCTAATTAACCCTTTCTCACCCTAAATCATATCATACTCGCTTTAAATCCCGAGACTTTGTCCCGGGAGTTGTGCCGACCGACAAGTTGACTCCCTTCGCCGGGCGCCTTTTGCGGGCCGCCAGAACCCCGCGGTGTGGACGCCTTTTGGCATCGAACAAATCTGCCCCTCTTCTTCCGCTTCTCATCTCGCCCTCTCGCCGGTTCCCATTCCGCCCATTCGCAAAAATGGCCATCCCCTCCGCCCCCGAGTCGTCGCTCCTCTCCCTCCTCTACCGCTCCTACCCCGCCGCCGTCTCGCCCGACGCCACGGAGCCCGACCTTCTGACGGCCTCGCCCAAGATCTTCCCTCAGACCACCTTCTCCGTGGCCGAGGAGGCCGACATCAAGCAATGGCTGCACACCATCTCCGGCCTGCAGGCCGCCCTCGTCAAGGATGAGAAGCCCGTCGCCACGAACATCCTGACCCAGCTGAACTCCCACCTGGCCACCCGCACCACCCTGCTGGGCTCCAAGCCCTCCGTCGCCGATATTGCCGTCTACGCCCTCGTGGCCCCTCTGGTCGAGAAGTGGTCCCCCGAGGAGCGTACGGGCGAGCAGGGTTTCCACAACCTCGTCCGCCACGTCGACTTCGTCCAGAACAGCCGTCTGTTCGCCCTGCAGATCCCCGAGGAGGAGAAGATCGCCATCGACGTGAACGACGTGCGATTCGTGCCCAAGCCTGTGGACCCCAAGGAGGAGAAGGAGCGCAAGAAGAAGGAGAAGGCTGCTGCCGCCGCCGGTGACAAGCCTCTGGTTGTGGGACAGGGCAAGCCCGAGAAGGCTGCCGCTGCTGCCGCTCCTGCTGCTGGCGGTGAGCCGGCCGAGAAGCCCGAAGGCAGGGTGAACAAGAAGGAGAAGAAGGAGAAGAAAGAGAAGGCGCCCAAGGCTAAGCCTGCTCCTGCTCCCGCCGCGCCGCCCACTCCCTCGATCATCGACCTGCGTGTCGGCCACATCCTGCGCGCTGTGAACCACCCCAACGCCGACTCGCTGTACGTGTCGACCATCGACTGCGGCGACGCCCCCGGCAGCGAGAACACCTCCCTGGACGAGGCCACCGGCAAGACGGTCCGCACGGTGTGCTCGGGTCTGAACGGCCTGATCCCTCTCGAGGAGATGCAGGACCGCAAGATCGTGGCCGTCTGCAACCTCAAGCCCGTCACCATGCGCGGCATCAAGTCGTGCGCCATGGTTCTGGCTGCGTCCCCGCGCGTGGCTGAGGGCGAGGACTCGCACGCCGGCCCCGTGGAGCTGGTCATGCCCCCCGCCGACGCCCCCGCCGGTCAGCGCATCTACTTCGACGGCTGGAGCGAGGGCGAGCCCGAGAAGGTGCTCAACCCCAAGAAGAAGGTCTGGGAGACGTTCCAGCCGGGATTCACGACCACCGAGAACCTCGAAGTGGCTTTCGAGAGCAGTGCCGTGCCTGCTGTGCAGGGCCAGGAGGGCAAGCCCGCTCTTGGCAAGCTGATTACTGCCTCGGGTGTGGTTTGCACTGTCAAGACCCTGAAGGGAGCTGCTGTCCGGTAAACGGGAGATCTGAAGACAGATGGGAACTGATTCATCAAATCAAAGCGGTTGTTCTACAAAAATAAAGAGAGAAACAAAAAAGCGTGCAAACATTAAGTCTCTTATTCCGTTGTATTTACAAACAGCGTAAGGTAGATATGGTCAACAGACAAGTAATTAACGTGTCAAACGAGTGAAACTAATTCTGCTCTATTTCTGTTCCAACGTCTTTCCTGGGTGATCCACAATCCAATTGTAGTGGCTTCTTAGGTAGCTAGCTTGGCTTCGCTTTCTAGTCCAACGACAAGACTGGTACATATTCGGAGTCAACATACCTACCTACCTACCTACCTTCTACTATCCAAGTAGCAACAAGAGTTCACAAAAAAAACAACTCAACCATAAACATAAGACTTCAATCCAATCAACAATCCCAGAAAAATATCACCACCGAACCATACCACACTCATAATCCTGACCCCTAATCCCCAACACCACGATCCAATCTAACTCGGCGAGAGATGAAAGCTGAAATCCATCCTGAGATAGTAGTGACAGTAGCCAAGGTCCCGCGACAGGATCAGGCGTTCGTCAGGATCTCGGATGCCGTGGGACCCTTGCACAGAAGGTGTGATTGCGGGGGCCGATGAGTATGCTTTCCTGGGTGAAGAGGAGGCGGGGATTTGGGTAAATTGAAAGGGAGGTGGTCATTGGGCTAGGCATGTAGATATGTTCGGAGGTTCTATAGGTGGTGGTGGTACTGTTGTGATTATGGATGATTGCTAGATAGCGTCCGCAACTGGTTGATGGAGATGTTGTGGAAAATGAGATCGAAGGCTGGAGTTGAGGTAGATTTAAGTACCTAGTTAGACAACAGCTTCATAATTAGGGATATATTTCTTTTCCATGAATTTGAAACATACGATAGGTGCCCAAATCAGACCACCCTACAATCCGCGGGCATCGAGAGGAACCAAGAATAGAAAAAGATGCCAATAGCAAACACATATGATCCCTGCTGATACCGAAATACTACTCCGCATTGTAAACAGAGCTAGCTCATCCCCCACTGTACTACAAAAGAAAGAATAAAGAGGAAAGAAGGTACAGGAGTTACTGTAAGATCCATCATGACGAGTACAAGGTAACTACTAAAGGTAGCACATACACGCAACCTCCCTCTCCACTGAACATATCACCACTTGAGTAATCTCTCTATTCAAAGATAGAAGGGGAAAAGAAAATAAACAAATAGTACAAGGTACCCTCTAAAACAGAACCAACCAAATCGATCTCCTGATCCTTTTATTCCCCGAGATGCGCGTCCCACCGGCCCGATTCCAAACTCCCCGGCATGGTCTGGTCGTCCAACGTATTCCCACAACCCCGGAAAATGCAAGGGTGGTCGGAGTAATACTCATTTCTGCAGCCGCTGTGAATTGGAAGTGGAGCCATTCCTACGAGGAAGGGAGAGTGGTTTGGTTTTGGGGAGGATTCAATTGAACCGGGGGTAGATAGAGGTGAGACAGGTTTCTCTTCTTGAGGCTGTGTGTACCTATAGAGGGGTGGATGTGCGTGCCTATGTATATGCTGTTTGAGACTATCGAGATGGGAGCAGGGAGAAAGAGTTCTGTTTTTGATAGCTTGTATTCGCACACGCAATGTACTATTTACTGGTGTACATGATAATTTGTGTGTAGCCCCTATATTTGGTATAGACGTGAAAAACGCGATCGGGGTAACCACCTCATTCTGGCACGTTCATAGTCGCCACAAGAGGTAACAAATAGAATATTCTCTGCGATAATGAATTACACGCTTGGTTTCGTCTCAAATTCGGACAGTAGAGAGAAACAGTGAGTTGCCTGGCGATAACATGCTGGAACTCTCATCACTAGAACATAAAATCTGATTCAAGAATTTCGATCAAGCGATCAATTCTCAAAAATAGGAAGATATAACACAGGTAAGTAAACAAAGACCAGAATCAGCCCACAAAAGTATGACCAGCGTTTCAGATAGCGGCGAGGGCGCTACTCTACTATTTCCTGAATACTGATCCCAGCTCATCCCGGCCCCAGGGGTTAGTAAGTAGTAAATACCTAAGTTAGGTAGAACGCAGTAGGTTCTGAATATAGTACCTTTATGTACTACTTACAAATCGAACTACCAAGCATGCAACCCCCACGACTCCGAGTCAAACAAACGGCAACGCAGCTAGCCACTTCCTCGAATCCCGAACAGCCCGAACCTCAATAACCTCTGCAACGGTATCAATCAATTCCCCGTTTGCTACATCCCGACGTGGTAGCCCGACATCCCGACGTGGTAGGTAGCTAGGTAGCCAGCTGTGCACGGTACCTAACCCTAGGCAGGCTAGGCCAGCATAGCAGGGACCACCTGGCTGGATAGCGCATAGCCAGAAAACAAAAAAAAAAACACCAAGACCGACCAACAAGGCACAGGGTCAATTCATTGGCTCCCGGGGAGTGTAGTGAAGACGCAAGGTCCCAGAGACGCGGTGAGGCTTATTGTGATGATGTCGACGCATACGCTAAAGGATATCAGGATGAGGGATGTGATGTGATATCTACGTGGACTTGGTCTGGTCTTGACTTTTGAGTACACCGTACTTCCAAGGAGCTATGGGGAACTATGAGGAGCTAGCTAGTTAGTGGATATGAAAATGTCGACATTTAGCGTAGCCATGGCGATTTGCAGGATTTTTCTTTCTGCCAAGGTTTCTAGGGCAGAATGTCAAGATGTCATTGTTGATGCCAATATGGCAATAGATGGTGTTTGTAGAGAGAAAAAAGGAAGTAAAGGTCGTTATTTCAATCCAGACCGGATGCGACCTTACTCGGCATATACATACTATCCGATGAACAACATTCCTGTTTGCTTTTTTCATTCATTTGACATTCTAAGACATTCTGGAGTTGAAAGCAGCCAGCAATCCCACCGGCTGTCGACCATCTCGGTGCCCACCCGTCGGTCAGGGAAACACGCAAACGCAGCTCCAGCTCGGAAGAACGGTGGAGCGGATGTGACAGAAGTACATGTAGAAAGACTAGGGACTGACATACATTAGGGCTAGATTTAGGTAGACGAACACCCAGAATCTAGATCTGCTGGCCGGACCCTCGAGCAGACCAGAAAGCAGAAATCCACGAACGGGCCATAATTCCCGTCGTCCAGCCAGCCATGCCGTAGTGGGGAGAGGAAGAAGTCCAGCGGACGAGTTCGTTGTCCAACCTCTTGATCTGGCACTAGAGCGCAACTAGGGCTGCGGTCATGTCATGACAGGTCTAGATGGAGGGTTCTGTGTAGGTTTAGTTTGACCGGTAGACCCGACTCGAGTCTAGACGGTAAACACATCGGCCATGGAAGCGGTCGATTGCCATCGGTCTAGCGCCCAATCCCCGCATTGGTACAGTTGACTACAGTTGACTACAGTTTCCTACCTCACAAGTGCTCATTCAGACGTACCTTGGTGGAGCAGAAGTCATGATTCATTCGATCCGATTCCCTCGACGACAACCCGGCTGCTTGGCGCCACCGCGCATCGAAGTGGCGGGATCCCGAATCATTCGCCTAAGAACTCACAACTTCCCAGACGATACGATGTCAAGGAAAGTTTGACTTCTGAAGTGCTGGAATCCTGAGAAAGTAGTCGTCTCGACGAATAACCACGTGTGGAATCAGAATGCGTCTCAGCAATGTTGGCTCATTGGGCCTCTTTAACCCCCGAGAGCTCCACAGTGTCTTACTGTTCTCAACATACTTGAGAGTTAGGGAAGGAGATGGAACAGGCTAACAGCCTAAAAGGCCAGCGCATTGACGTGTCTTTTCTTGTGATTTTCTTTCTTCCCCTCCGTCTCGCCTCCGTCTTCCGAGTCAGAAATAACGAGATCTGAGCTGACCTTGTGGGCTGATGGTTGGTAAGCTGATTCACATCACTAAATAGCTTTTCGTGCTACCCTGGTCGGTTGGAGATGCTAGTCTGATGGCGGTCCGTAGTTCCCTAATACTAGTCAGTAGTCACTAGTCAGTCGATTTATTGGAATGGTCCAAGAACCATTATTATGCGAGGGTCTAGTGATCTCCGTAGTCTATGACGCCTTTGTTGACCGAGATCCTGCAAAGTGTGTATACTGCATACGGTGTACTGAGTCTGTCAACAGAAGAATCCCAAGGTGACATTCTCATCAGCCCCTCTTGTTTCCTTTGTCTTTCTGTTACATTTCTTTTTGTTTTTTCTCTCTCGGTTCGACGGAACATTGGTCAACATCTAAGAATTGAATGTACGTCATATGCTGGGCCAATTGGCAATTATACCAGAACGGCCATGCCAGTAAGAAGACGGCATCGGAGAATACCGAGGAGAATTTCAGATCCCCAATTCTGCCATCAGAGGGAAAAACTAGCGATCGCCTCCCCGCTAAACACGAGAAGCTGCATCTGGAGCATGGCGTCTTGTTGTTCTAGAACGACGAGGATTTCTTGGGAAGAAAGTACCGGGGGATGGGAAAGCTCTCGGGTCCGAAACAAAGGAAAAAGGGTGAGGAAAAGAAAACAAAGAGTAAATCAGGTAAATTGATTAAATAAAACTACGCCGTAAATTCACAGAGAGAGAGAGAGACATTCAGCCGTACGACAGGTCGCCTTTGAGATCGTTGCACTTCCAACCTGGATCATGTTTCTTGCCTCCACAGGGCAGGTCACTAACTAATGCATCCGTAGGGAATTTCATTTTTTCGTTCCTTCCCAGAAGTTGACGGAAACTACCGAGTACTGCGATATAAAGAGTAGTAACTCCGTAGACATCCACAGAATGGACTTCGTATAGCTGGGAATTAACCTCAGCCTCTCCCGTCGATCAGCGATCGGGTTGTCCTTCGCTTGTCAGGCTGACACTGACAGTCATCTTTGACTCCGAATCCAGTCAGAATACGCATCTTCTTGTAGTCGCCGTCCCATTTCTTTTTTTATAAAGCGTCCCAAGTGGACCACGTCCGAATGCCCCCACTTGAAGTTTCAGTGCGGTTGGCTTTTCCTAGTTTCCTGTTTCCATAACCTTTTTTTTTTCTTTTACTCATACTCTGGTCTCTGCCACTCTGGACTGGTCTGGCGCATCTTGGTTCAGATCGCCTTGGCTGCGGCGCTGTCAATTTGATTTTGAATTCTCCCATCCCCTCGTTTTTTTCTTTTCTTTCCTTTTTTTTTATTCTGCCTTTTTTTTTCTTACCCCCCTTAAGGCTTTCTTTTTTCTTATTTCCTCGCTGGGCTGCCCGAGGCTTGCGGGCTTGTTTACTTTCTTTTTCCTTCGAGGACATTATGCCCTGATCTCCTTCGTATATCCCCTCCTATTTGTATATCTCCTTCCACCATCGTTTCGACATATCGGATATCTGAACCCCTGCTTCCATATTTCAAATCGTCCTGGGGGCTTGGTTCCCACGCATCATATTACTATATTTACGGAGCATGCTCGGTTGACCCGGCACCGTATCTCTATATTTGATATCCTTTTTCCCTCTACTTGCAACGGTCGTTTCAGTGTTTTTGTTCAAGACTTCGAGAATCCATCCCAATGGCGACTACACTTCATGGAACGGCGATTATCACCGGGGCGAACGGGTCCCTCGGATCCGAGGTCGCCATCGCCATCGCCAAAGCACAGCCGTTCGTGCATCTGATGTTGCTTGCCCGGGATATCCGATCGGATAGTGTCAAGGAACTAACGGCGAAGCTCCGATTGATCGGGCCAAGGTCCGTCGAGGTGTTGAGAGTTGATCTGGCGAATTTCAATTCCGTGGTCAGCTTCTCGCAGAACACGGTCGAGAGAGTCCAGAGCAAGGAAATCCCGCCGGTGACCTTGCTGATCAATTGCGCCGCCGTTTCCTCGTACATCGCTGATCAAGCAACTCGGGATGGCCACGACCCCGTATACCAGACCAACAGTATTGCCCCCTTCCTCTTGACGGTCACCCTGCTCGAGGCTTTCCGGGCCGGCGACGGCACCCCCAATGGCGGAGCGAAGGTCATCAACATCGGATGTGCCTCCATGTCCAAGGGATCCTTGGACTACTTCGAGAAGCACGACCTCAGCGACCCGAGTCAACGGCCCGGGTCGCCCATCAGTGCGAAGGATGGAAATATTCGGTATGGAAGCAGCAAACTGCTGATGAGTGCCGCCATGTATGCGTTGCGTCGGAGTTTGGTCCTGGTGAGCCGCCCGCTTTGTTTGTATCTTTCCCTACTGTCCTAGTTTCGCGCCCGCTAACCAACGTTCGACCCGATTAGACCGGCAGCATTGCACTCAATATCTTTACCCTCGACCCCGGCGCATTGACGGGTGAGAACCACCTCACAACCGCCGCTCCTCTATCGGTTCGCATGGCCCACCAAACCCGATCTGGACTCGGTCCATTCCTGCGAGTGTTCTCGAAGAGTGCCATCAACAAGGCCACGGTACCGGCCAAGATCATCGCCAAAATCGCCTTCCAACGGGAGACTGTGGAGAACTGGGGCAGGGAGCGATACTTCATTCTGGATAGCGAATACGAAGCCGGGTCCGTAATCCCGACATTGCGAGACCCCGCGCAGATGGATGCGTTGCTCAAAAAAGTAATGCGACAAGTCGAGATCGGAATCAAGGGGATGGGATCGCCCGAGTCACGGATATCGCGGTTGACTGCGCAGTGAAGCTACTAGGCAAAAGTTATTTGGTTTTCTGGTCTGTTGGGGTTTTCTTCTTTCTGGGATAAGGTCAATCAGCATTTTCAGCATTGTTTCATGGGAGTTTTTGGTCTTGTATTGGTCTGGGAATTGCATGTGCATGGGAAATTATCTTTGTGGGATAGGATTGTTTCAGGGTCTTGTAAATAGATGACCGGCAGCATTCTTGTTCTTTTTTTGGTACCGAGTAAAATACCACCAATGATTGCAGAGCATCGTATCAGCACGCAAGAGATCGATAAAGTACGAAGTAGCAATTCCCAAGATTTCCAAGGATCGACTGCGGATGGATGACCGCAACAGACCGCAAACGGGAGGAAGGGCGAAGTTCATTTCCGGGTTCGGCGAGCGGGAGGCGGAGTCCATCGGTCGAGAATCCAACGTCTTTCCACCTGGCGCTTTGGCCGGCCACCCTGCACTAAGACTACGTCCTGCCGACGCAATCCCAGGTTACATACGATCCCGGTCGCCTGCCATTCGTTTCTCTCCCTTTTCCCTGGAGTTCACCACCGCCTCGCTCTTTGGTTATCTGTCCCTTCAGCGCACCCTGCGATCCCCTGACATCCGACTTGATCGCCATCTCCTACCACGTCCGCCTCTGAACCCGCTTTTCTCGGTGCGAAGTTCTGGAGGGAGCTAAGCCTGGGGCTGTCTCGGCGGGATCCAGGGTCTACTGCAAAGTGTCTGTGTACGGGTTTTGCTGACCAGCAGCGTATGCTGCTATCCCTGGAGCCATGAATAGGCATCACGCCTTTGCTAACGGGTACGCTGCTTACCCTCGGGGGCAGCAGGGCGGTACCTTCTCGATCTCTCCTCATCGGTAAGTGGCTCAGAATGTTGTCGCATAGCGTCCACTTGTTCCTGTACTCTCTCGGAGCGGATGGGTCGCATCGCATCTTAATTGATCGCGCTATCGTTTCCAAGAATACAAGAGGTCCCTTCCACTGACTTGTTCGTGAAACCACTCGCTAGTTTCCAACCGCGTCCCCAACCTGCCCTGCGACGACGAAGACAACTCATCCACCGATTATGTTTCCTCGGAGGTATCTCGATATTCCTCTTGGTCTTAATATTCCCGTCCTGGCGGGCTGCACTGCTGCCAGCGTTTTCCCTCGGGCTGGTCTCATCCAGCGACGACCTACACATTCAAACAACGCGATATTACGATCTATCCAAGACGCAGGGCACCGGAAGTGGCTGGGAAAATGAAGAGCGTGTTCTGATGTGCACGCCTCTCCGAGACGCCTCGTCGCATCTGCCAATGTTCTTTTCGCATCTCCGGAATCTGACGTACCCGCACAACCTCATAGACCTGGCTTTCCTGGTTTCGGACTCGAAGGACGGTACACTAGAGATGTTGTCGAGCATGCTGGACGAGCTTCAGAACGACGCCGATCCCAGAATGACCTTTGGCGAGATTTCGGTCATTCAAAAGGATTTCGGTCAGAAGGTCACGCAGGACGTAGAAAGCAGACATGGTTTTGCTGCTCAAGCGGGGCGAAGAAAGCTGATGGCCCAGGCACGGAATTGGCTTCTGAGTGCCACTCTTCGTCCGACTCACAGCTGGGTTTATTGGAGAGACGCCGATGTCCAGACGGCGCCGTCTACTATTATAGAAGATCTTATGCGACACGACAAGGATGTTATTGTGCCGAGTAAGTGGCCCGCTTTCCTGAGGAGGATTTAAACCTCGGTCTTTTATCTCCCTTATCTAATCATGGTTTATCAGATGTTTGGCGACCCTTGCCCGACTGGCTAGGCGGAGAACAACCCTACGACCTAAACTCTTGGCAGGAATCAGATACGGCCTTGGCCTTGGCCGAAACGTTGGATGAAGATGCAGTGATCGTGGAAGGGTATGCCGAGTACGCAACATGGCGGCCTCACTTGGCCTACCTACGCGATCCGTACGGCGACGGCGATATGGAAATGGAGTTAGACGGCGTCGGTGGCGTCAGTATTCTTGCGAAAGCGAGAGTATTCCGTGCCGGAGTCCATTTCCCGGCTTTCAGCTTCGAGAAGCACGCAGAAACCGAGGGTTTCGGCAAGGTAAGACTAGGGCTCTCCCGCCATTCGTGATCTTCACAAGTCACTCAATGCTAACCCCGAGTAGATGGCTAAACGTATGGGATTCTCTGTCATCGGCTTGCCGCACTACACCATCTGGCATCTGTACGAGCCCAGTGTAGACGATCTCCGACACATGGAGGAAATGGAACAAGAGCGAAAGGCCCGCGAGAAAGAAGAAAAGGAACAGGCCGAACGGAAGGAACGTCATGAGAATATGTTCGAAGACACCAGGACCCAATGGGAGATCGACAATGCGTTCGTCCGTGACTCGATCGAAGAGGAGCAGAGGGAGCAGAAAGCTTCAGAGCCTGCGTCCAGCGAGGACACGAAATCACCTGGGAACAAAGCTGCCGCAAAGGAGGCGCCCGAGCAGAAAGACCCGAAGGACTTGAAAGATCCCAAAGACCAGAAGGCGCCGGATCAACTGAAGAGCAATGACATCCAAAACTCCGAAGAGGTTCCGGCCATCAAACCGGCCAAGGGACGTGTGGATACTCTAGACGATGAATAAACCAAACCCTGAGGGGTTTAGATCTTCCCTCATCTGAGTGAAGGAACCGAAGTCGAAAAGTCGACAACGGCTAAACCACCTGATTTTGCAGAAACTTGCATCTATCCTGTGCTGGTCACAGGGTAGCTGTTGTCTTTATGAAAACAAATGTTTATTCGAGGGGGAGTGTTTGGTTGCTTACATGGGGTTTATTGGTTAATATTCTGGGTGTGGTGAAAAGGAATCATGGCTCATTTTAGGGGGGGTTTTATTTTTCTTATTCTCTGTACTGATGTATTGCTATAGATAGACAAACAGATGACTTTCATCAGCTTTCTACAGTAAATGGAATTACTATAGTAATAGAATAGAATCTAGATATCAGAGCGATAAGCAGTGGCCCGTGCGGTCCTCACGCGTAGCGCGTTCAAATTACTTTGCCTCAATCGGAACGGATAAGATAGCTTTCTCCTCCTGTCTGCTCAAACAACGCCCAAGTCAGAACCAGACATACTCGCCAATCACCCACCATGTCGACTCAAGCTGCGCGAAGCATTCTATTCACACACACGACCCCGCAACAGGGATTCAGATTGCTAGAACTACCCCCGGATCTAGCAGAGCAGCTCACATCCAAAAACCCGCCCACGTACGTTCCCAATCGCCAACGCAGTCCATTTCCCTACCCAGCAGAAAGAGAACCACTAACCATTCAATTCAACTCTCTACAGCCTCGAACTAAAATCCCCCTCCCCATCCCTCTCCTCAACAACAAACACGAACACCAACACGAACACAACCACCGAAGAAACCCGCGACTTCGTCAACCTCTGCACCGCAACAAAAACCTACCGCATCCGCCAAGTCCAATCCTCAAACTCCCTGCTCGTCGTCCGACCTAGCTCCGGCGGCGTACAACGAGGCGATATCAGTATCGTCGGCGGAGATCAAGATGAGCTGGGCCTCGTGGAGACCGTCACCTCTGTTTCGAAATGCGGGTCGACGCTGGAATTACATACCCCCGCCGAGGGGTTTTCGGCGGTGCCGTTCCTAGAGAGGATGCTGGGTGTATATGATGTTGTGAGTAGTGAGGGGGTTGGTACGGAGGGCCACGAGGGGGATGAGGAGGATATCGATCCGATTGAGAGGCAGGAGGTCCTGCAGCGGGTGTTGGCTGATGTTCCTGTGAGTTCGGGGCAGTGTGAACAAGGCTGGATTGAGATTTGTGCGTTTGTGCGGCCGCGTGGTGGGACAGAGACAGAGGGGGGTCAGGGCTGGTGTTGGCGGCCGTCGGCGAGGGTCAAGGTTGATGTGTGGAAGCGGGTGGTTGAGGGCTCGGTGCTCCAGGGGATCGATCTGGGGAAACAGTTCCTGGTCTCGGATCTGTGGAGGTCGGTTCTGGATGAGAGGGGTGAGGAGCCGTTTCCGCAGCCGTTGTTTGAGGCGGTTGTGAGGAGGGTTTGTGAATCAGGGTCTGAGCGAGATCGGTTGCTGGATGGGTCGAAGATGAAGTGTAAGTTCTGAAAAGGCAATGTTGGGGATGTCTACTGAACACTTGGAATGAACAGGGGCAAGTATCGACAAGACGACCTGCGCGCGATGGGTCGGCGAAACGTGCCTGGAGGCTATGGCGCCGACGTCTGCTGCTGCCATCGGGCGAGATGACTTCTTGAAGGCATGGAGAAACCATCTGCCTGAGTCTTGGCAGGATGAGGTCAAGCTATCGAAACTAACTGTGAGTGGGAATGTTCTTCGTTTTGGTTCAATGATATATTCGCTATAATCAAGTCTAACACGAGGGTTCTTGCAGGAAATCTCATATAAACATCCCGAGCTCACCACTATCTGCTTCGTCAACGAACAGGATCGCCAAAAGGCGAAGAAGAATGTCTCGACCGACGCCAGCGCTGCGACGGCAGCCAAAAAGACCCGGAATTGGCACGAACTGTTCAAGAACCAGAAGCGACAGAAACACTAGTTTAAATCCTAACTCGGGCCTCGGTGGCTAACGCACCATCTCTTATGTTCAACGCAATCTATGATCAGCCAAATAAGTCACCAACACCGTGAACAGAAAAGTCCCTGGTACTCCAGTGAAGGAAGCGAGTCTAACACCAAGCGAACTTCTCATTCAAGAACCACTCCACGTCTTTCTTTCCTTGCTTGGTACCATTCCATCTCAAGCAAGCAATGCTATCATTCTCCCGGTGGACCACCTTGGCAGCTGGGTCCAGGAGAGCAACTGCCTTCTCCAGCAAGGGAGTCGGGTTCCAAAACTCGATCGTGGCCATGTTCCATTCATATGCCTCGAGTTGAGCGCGTCTCAATATCGCAGCCATGGCCTTGGTGGTTGTCTCAGCCTCTGCCGGCGACGTTGGCTCATCATATACCCATCGCAGGATGTACAGCGTGTTTTCCTCGGGGGTCGCACCAAAGTTCCTGTTCCAGACACAGTATACCCCAGACTTGGTATCGCCAGCGCCCTTGATGAGAGGCATACCCTTATCTGTGTGGAGCTTTTCAGCGCAGTACTCCTCTCTAGCCCAGTGCCACTCGAAGTGGTCGAAGTCTGGAACGATTGCTACTTTAGCGCCAGGAGAGTTCTGAGAAGCGGCTCGCAGCACTTCGCGCTCGTCCGATAGAACCTTGTCATTACACACGTACCGCTGCACGTCGTGGGCAGACAAAGGTTCCGCTTTGGGCAAATCGACTCCGGCAAGAACCAGGTCATATTCAGCCTTGGAGATCGGTGGAAGATCAAAGTGCGAGGATAGAAACGGCTTCCAGCCAAATTGGGCGTAGAAAGTCTTCCCGATGTCAGAGTACAGGATGCTAAATTCTGATCGGTTCACTGCCTTGTTGTCGTGCCATTTGTCCAGCATGATGCTCAGCTCCTGGAGCATTCGCTTCGCATATCCCTTGCCTCGGAATTCCGGCCGGCAATATACGCTCCCAACGCCATGACAGGCGACGTTGTTCACTTCGCCGTCTTGCGCTAGCATTGCCGTTTTCACATACGTCTCGCACGAGCCCAGGATTGTCCGCTGTCCTTCGGGTTCATGACGGTCAACCAGGATCCAGCAGGTTAATCCATCTTTGACCAAAGGCTGTTCAAGCAGATGATCCTCTCGCCCGATGTACGTCTCAATATCGAATCGGCCTTTCCATACAGCACTGTTCAGCTTGATCGATTCGATGCGTTCCTCCGGCGAGGCTGGCACGAGAACCAACTCTGGCGAGACGCCGTTTGGCAGGACCGTGGCGTCAGGATAAGAGGCGATCATGATGGTTTATTGGTCACGAGGTACTGGGTTCCCTCGAATCGAATGTCTTGAGGTAACGCGATAGCAAGTGTCAACAGATCAAACGTCTCCCAATGCACTGGCGTGGAAAGCAAAAAGAAAAACAACCACGACCGCGAAAGACAAAGCTCAAGAAGTGAGAGGGAATAACAGATAGCAGGGGTGTATATATATTAAGACGGATCGATATTATATCAGTATGTTACATGCAGATACCAGCATTAGCGGCCATACATCACAGGACAACCGTCGGGGAAGTCGGGCGGAGAGATCAAGTATGATAAAGAAGAAGCAACAAGCTGACCGGATGCATGTTCCACAGGCGGTGTTTCTATTTGTAATTTTGGCACGCCCTGCCGATTACAAGCGATGGAAAGCGACCCAACCCTGGGACCGCCCCGGCATCTTTTGCCTTACCGTTGGTTGTACCTGCCGTTAGGGGTCTTCGTGACGTAGAGGCGGCTGCGGGGGAGACGCAAGGGGCGTCGATGACTCGATAAGAGCCTTGGTCAAGCGGAAAAGTGCCCAGCTTTAACATCTGAACATTCTTCGAGCGGTTAACAATGGAAGTAAGGCAGGTTATCCCGTCTGGCAGGCGGTGGGGTACTGCCGTTCTGTCTTTCACGTGCATCTGTCGATCCCCGCTTGGACTCTCTTCCTTTCCTGTTTACTTTCCAGTTCCATTGTCCTTCCTGGTCGCTCTGTCGCTCTTATCTACACGGATGGCAGTGTCCGTGATGCAGTTTCTCAGCTGTCGCTATTCGAATTCTTCAGATGAATCATGGTGATTTGTTGATGCTAAATTGATGAGAAAATGATCCATCTGTTTGTTCAATTGATAGATCACCCGTTCCTGATAGATGCATCTATCTGGACGAGACGTTGTACACGGCAAACAAGCCCAGCCTCAACTCTTCCCCTGGACACCTGATCCCTGAGCTAGGCTCCTTTTGGGAACTCCAGTCACCTGAGCAGGAACCTTCCTGACGTTCCGGGGTAATCTTCCGGCCGCAACGGGAAAAACGAAAAGAAACGAAAGATGATCAAGAAATGGAACGTACACTTTCTTATCTGCCCCTGAAATTGGCCCTGCTCACTATTGGATAGCTGACGCCCACAACCGGGTTGGCCTGGATGACCTTTTAAAAGCAACTGACTGGTCCTCGGATTCATGCAGGGAGCTCGACCCAAATTGGACCAACGACCATCAGGCACAGTGGTGGGGTCAAGCAGGCTGCTGGAAAGCTCTTCCTCTTCTTATCTTTCTTTTCAGAGGATATATACCTCTCCAGAAAGCACAATATTCTCTCTCAGTTGATCCTAGTTTTCTACAGTCGCTTGTTGTTGATTGTTGAGCCGTCAAGGTTTCACTTCGATCGCTCTGGTCTCATCGTGTCGTAATAATCCCGCTTCTACCATCATAATGAGCCCATGGACCTGTTCATCCGCAGCTTTCGCAACTCTCTGAACATCTAACTGCGTTTTAGTTCTCCCTCTTCTGATTTGCTTCAACTTGTCTGCTACTTTTCACTAATCATACTGAGCCTTTCTCTACCCCCCTCCCTACTGTGTCTTCCTCTTCTCATATAACCTCACTGTTCTCTGCGTTCCTTTCACCAATCTCCTCTAAGCCGACTGCAAATCGTTTTTTCGTGTTTCATAGCCCATTCACAATGTCCCAAATTCCCATCGGTAATAGAGCCCTACGGGGTGAAGAGACCAACCGCGGAACTCTTCGAGACGACTACATATTGCCGGGTGAGGATGATTTTCTACCTTGGGGGCTCGGAGGGCGAACATCTGCCATGGGCGACGACGCGGATTATTTCCATTTATCCACCGCCAGGCCCATGAAGAGAGGAAGGACCCGCGCTCCCGACACCACCGTGGATACAGCAATTCCTGTTGACAATTATCTCCCCTTAGACCCTGCCCTTCATCCCACTCTCCCCCAATTCAACGGAGGACGCGATTCGTCGGTTTCTGTGCCGAAACCCGATGACAGGTTGCTGGCGGGAATCTTGGAGATATTTCCAGATATCAGCCATAAATACGTGTTTGAATTCCTGGCAACGCGTCAAGCCTCGGCCTCGAACGACGGAGCCAACGTGGTGGACACTTCTGATCGGGTAAAGGAGGAGCTCATCGAGTATATCCTGGCGAAGAATTTCTATCCTAAACAGGACAAACCCAAAAGAAAGCTAGAACAGACAGATGATGGCGTTGAAAAGTGGAGGCAGGCTGCTGTAGGTGCTGATAATCCTTTATACTTCCATCAAGCGTAAGTCTTCCACAACTGCTGTCTTGAAACCTTGACGATCACTGACAATTCCCTAAAGCTGCGATGTTCTAGGCCAGGAGTTTCTGCGCGTTCCCGTCACTCATATTCGCCAAGTTATGTCGGAGAAGAAAGGTCTCTACACTGCTTATCTTACCATATATCTTCAAGAAATGTTTCCAGGCGACTCCAACATCCCGTATGCCAGATTGAAGAAACCGAGAACTCTTGATCAAGGAAAATACCATAACTTCCGGGGTCTGGCGGAGCTCGGAGCTGCAAAGCAACAAGCGCAAAAGAAAAAACGTAGGGAATCCCCCCACCCCGCGAAACATCTTCAACACATGCCTTTCCAGCTAACGTTTACTTTGGTGGTAGTCACAATACAACAGCGAGTGGAAGAAGAGGAGCTGGAAAGGCGGAACGAGGAAGAATCTGCTCAGGCTGGTACTCTAGTAGAGTGTCAGTGTTGTTACATTGACACCCCGTTGAACAGAACCACGCCTTGTGAAGGAGAGACTGCTCATTTCTTCTGCTTTACCTGCATACGTAAATCGGCCGAGACTCAAATTGGACTCATGAAGTGGCGCCTGCAGTGTTTCGACATTAGCGGCTGTCAAGAGAACTTTGATCGTTCGCGGTTGAAGCAAACGTTGGGACCGTCCTTGATGGAGAAGCTCGATTCTTTGCAACAAGAGGACGAGATCCAACAAGCCGGCCTGGAAGGACTCGAATGTTGTCCGTTTTGCGATTTCAAAGCCATCTGCGGCCCGGTGGCAGAAGATCGGGAATTCCACTGCCAGAACCCTTCCTGTGAGAAAGTCAGCTGTCGTCTATGCAACGACGAGAGTCATATCCCGAAAACCTGTCTAGAGGCCAAAAAGGATAAAGGCCTCCCGGAGCGTCATGCGGTTGAGGAAGCTATGAGCGAAGCCCTCATTCGAAATTGCCCCAGGTGCAAGGTCAAGATTGTCAAGGAAAACGGTTGCAACAGAATGCAATGTTCCAAGTGCGGCTGTAACATGTGCTATGTTTGCAGAAAGGACATCACACAAGAGTACTATGGCCATTTCGGGAGGGCCCCTTCATACTGCAAGACGCACGATGGTCATGAAAACCGCCATCGGGACGATGTAGAGCGGGCTCAAAGAGCGACCATTTCCGAGGTACTCTCCCGGAATCCCGACTTGACCGAGAAGGATCTCCTAATACACGAATCTACCCCGGGTAAAATCTCCAACGCTGCTCCACGACCTAGGTTTGCGGCGCCGCCGGTTAACTTACCTATCCAGCGCGCACTTCAAGAAGTTCGAGCCGCTCGCATGGGCGTAGTCCCGCAACCGTTGCGCGCCGGTGATGCACCAGAGAACTATCGTGCGCTCAACCGTTTTGGCGACTTTGGCGACCTGCCGCCTGCATATGGCGAGTACCCTGAATTTCTGTTTCCGCAGCAGCAGGTTCCTCGGCACGTTCCTCGCGCTGATGTATATGACCTCACCACAACTGGGTCAGGACGTCTACCCACGCTCCCGCCAGCCCCTCGTTTTCCTCCACTTTGAGTTAGGGTTATGTCTTGTATATCGAATACCAACAAGCAAGCACTGTTTCACTGACTAGGAATACTCTACAAGCAGCCTCACTCCCATCCAGCTAACATGTCGCTACAAATATCTGACATGCATCGTCTGTGGCCATCGATCAAACTCTTACCACGACGGAGAGAAGGTTTGCACAAGGGTTCGTGCAACCCACCTTGGAAGAGATAACTGGTCCGTCTTCAATGACTGCCATATCTTTGTCTTTGGCCGTGGCTTTCTTCCTTCCGTTTCATGTCGAATCCGTGCTTTATGTTCCTCTTTCTCAATGGTCTCTCAATCCTCGGATTTCCTGGTTTGTTTGTTTTGTTCCTTGTCAGCCCGACTTTCTGATTTGTGCCCTGTAGTACGAACCCAATGTCCATGCATGAATACTGCCCGTTCAGGGAAGGGATGAAAGTTGACGATTTTGACCTCAAAGCTCATATTTCTACTAATTTCCTTAGCTGACTGTGATTTTCATACTCTGACAATTTCCTTTTCCTTGTCGTAACTCGTCCTGTGTGTATCTTGTTATGTCGGCCAGTCGGGTTGGGGATACTGGGTAGCCTATCTACCTATCTCAGCTTTTCCATTGGTCTTTGCGATGCTGCACGAGATGTGGCTTTTATTACTTATCCATCTCGCATTGTCTAATTGGAAAGTTTTTCAAACATTATGCACGTTCCATGGTTCCTAGCCGTAGGTAGGTAGATAATTCAAATCGATGTTTGTTTCGAATATAACCTCCAAAAGTAGAGTATATAATAGTAAAAAGAAAAAGAAAAAAAAAAAAAAAAAAAAAGAAGACAAATGGCTATAGATATCACCTAGAATGGAATCAGTCCCCCATCTGGTTACACCTGACAGGAATACCATACCTATATCTAGAGCTACTACTCCGTCGAAGTCACTAGACGAGTCAATTGGAGTGTAACAGAACCGACGGGTCTGATACTAAAGAAGGAGTATTGTCGGCAAAATAGATAGTACGTTTCACATAACTTCCAAGCTCTGTTTTGCCATTCAACGGTATACCACTTTCGTCTAGGTATGCAGCTATAATCAGCAATGAGGTAGTTAGCAATACGCCATCAGCTTAACTATCCTATTCTATTCTATCACACTTTGTGCCACTCTAGACTTTTACTACCAAGATAACTAAACTAAACTATCAAAGTGAACTCAACTCCAACAGGCTGCTAGGTAGGTAGACATAAGACATTGATTTTAACAATGGACATCGCATTATTAATAACCTAGCAGGGCAAGGTATATCGACAATTGATAAGCCTATAATATTCCTTCGAATATTTTGTCTCCTATTCACCTTGTTCCTGTAAATAAAGGAAGGACCTGGATCTTGCTTTCTAGGTGTCCGGGAGACCTCCTGAATCGGACAGTCAAGAGAGCCAGAACCAGAACAAACACCAGAACCAGAACCAGAACCAGAACCAGAACCAGTTCTTGGGAAATGAGGTCGAACGCTCCTCGCCTCTCTTCTCTTCTCTGTATAGTTATTATTAGTTTAGTTGGTCTTTGTAAAGCTCCATACTCCCTAACGTCAGTAGTTTCCCTAGCCAGGAAGAGAATTTACTATCTATTTATTTCTTTAATGTGATATTCTCGAATGCCCGGGGAGGGGTGGGGCGTTTCGTTAGGGTCTGTTATATACAATCTATCTACTATCATATTATCCAGAAGATGAAACCGTTTACGGTGTATGGCCAAGTTCCGGTCTATATAGTTACATAGGTACATGCAGTACACACCTTGTGAACAAGATAAATACAGTCCCTGATCTAGATAAATAAATAGATAGATAGAAACAAATTCATTCACATCTATGTAGTAGTCCTATATAGTCCGAAGGAATACCCAGGACAAGTACCTTGAATATACGGTTCTTCAGCATCCTTCTATGCAGTCCATCTCTAGAATATGAGTCCAACACAATCATGTACACAGGGAGTAGATCGTCTGCGTTGATTCATTCACCTTGATCTTCCTTTTCCACCTTCGTTAACCGGCACGTTTCGTGACACTGCATGTCATTATCAGTCATATTCAATGGAACAGAGACCTTTCTGCATGGATGATATGGAACAGTTTTAGATATGAGATTGACAGAAAGAAACCCAACGTGACCGAGGAAATGCAAAACACAGAAGATGCAAACCAACTCGAAACAATAAAAGGAGGGGATCGTATTATCAATTACGGACAGGATTCGACAAAACCATCTCCACTATGACGAGGAGCGACAACGCTGGCGGCCTTTGGTACCTAGATGCTTGATAGTTGAATTGCTAGGATCATGTTTGAGAACTCAACAAAGGAGACGAAAAGTACAATAGGAGATGGTATGAAAAATGGAAACATTCCGTGGCAAAAATGAAAAGAAAAAATTCGGTAGAAATGATGAGTCAAAAGAAAGGTGGTAAAAGAAGCGGGGGAAAAGTTTATAGTGAAGAAAGATGGAAAAGATGAGCATCAAAGGAACGTGACGAGGAAACAGATAGAAATGGCAAGGAAAAGAAAATGGAGGGAGAAAAAAGATATAACCAAATCTATGTAATGCCATGCGAGTCCCAAAAATCGTCCGCTCCCCATTTTATATATTTGCGCCGCTCACTTCGGACGACAATTCCCAATTTCCTCATCCATCATGTATGTTCGATCATTGGTCACGCTAAAACAAGAATGAGATAAAAAAAGGGAGGAAAAAGATAATGATAGTAAAAAAAAAAAGAAAAGAAGAGAGATGTTGGAGTGAAAATAGAAGAGGACAACTTCGAACTAGACAGACAGAAACGATAAGAGGAATTTCCATAAGGGAAAAAAAAAGAACATAGAGAGTTTCGAAAAAGGCGATCAAAGAAAAACCAGATGAACCCCGATTATGCAATTCAAGGCGGATGTTCCGAGTCCGGCGGTTCATTGAATTTCTGTCGTGCCTCTTCTACCCATAGCTCTAGACGAAGTTCGCCGGCTTCTACCCGTCGTACGGGAACTGTCTTCGCGCGACCGTTCGAAACCTTGGTTGGTGGTTGTTGTGGCTGTTGTTGTTGTTGCGGCTCCCCATTCCTTAACTTCGACACGGAGTAAGGGGCGGTGCACGACCGTAGGTGAACCTTGTCGGGCTCGGCCACGATCCAGGTTTGCTCTTCCGTCGTGGTCCCGGCGGGAGGCAAAGCATCCTCCCGGACTTCAATGCAGACGGTGAAGCTGAATTCATCGTCCCGGGGAAGCGGCGTTAACCGCGCACAGGCAGAGGCCAATCTGGCCAGGCAAGCGCGAAATTGGGCTTCGAGATCGGGCGTCGGAGCAGCAGAGCCCCGTTCTGACAAGGGGACACCTGGTTTGGATGAATCTTCCTTTCTCTCTTCAAAAGTGGTATTGATCTCTCCGGCGGCAACGCGGGGGAAACCCGATAGATCAAAGGCATATCGCTCGAGGGGCTGATTTGTGCGGAGAGATGAAATGATGATACTGACTGCGGTTATTGTGCCTTTCAGAATCTCCGTCCCGACCGCGATCGAGGCGTCGTTGATGTAGTCACATACTTTCGGGTGACGGGACTGGCGAACGGGGTAGTTGTAGGCTCGGACGGGCAGGAACGTTGCTCGCGGGTAGACCGACCGGAGGAACAGAATCTGGTGTATCGAGACGGTGAGGAAATTGGTGAACGATGCAGCCAACGCCGACTGGTTGTTGGGCATCGATTTGGGTGCGGTGACCGGGGCGGAAAATGTTGTCATGGTGGTAGTAACGGGGTTGACAGTAGTGCTCTCACTGGCAATCGGCATTGCCGTCGAAGGCTCTGGTATCGTCGGTTCCAGGGGAAAGATGGTATTGACGGGATCTCGGAGAATCTGAGTGCTGTTCCACCCTGAGGCTAATCATCGCTCTGCCTTTTCAAGACGATGGGTCAACAACGGTTTTCCTTGCCACGCATGAGAAATGACAGTGGCTTCGCTCGCTCGCTCGCTCTTTGCTCTCTCGCTTTTCCAAGTAGTGATTTTTTCCCCTTGTTTTATTTATGCGGCGACAATGTAGGGAAGAGGGGAAGGACGAAAACCAAGGGAGAGTGGGGGTGAATGGAGGGGGAAATTTTTTTTTTTTCGTCGGTGCGAAAAGAGGGGAGGGAAAGACAGGGAACCCCAAAGATGAACTTTTGATGAGGATAAGAACAGAATATATCAGAATTCCAAATATGCAAGAGGGGGAGAGGAGGGGAAAGAACAGGAAAGAACAAGGCAGACAATCGAAGAAGAGTATGTAGCGACAGGATCAAGTAACAGTACAATTAGAATAAAAAGGGAGAGAAAAAAGGAAAAAAAGAAAAAAGGCAAATAAAAAAAAAAAGGGTCGCAAATGTCAAAAGTGACTGATGATAAATTTTGGGGGAAGAGGGGGGGGGGGAGGGGAGGGAGAGAGAGAGAGGGGGGGCAACACCAAAGATGAGGAGTCTCAGGTGGTGTGGAAAGCAAACGGGAGCGAATGTTTGAAAGGAAAGCGAGGGAAAGAGAGAGATGAGAGAGAGAGAGCGAGAAAGAGAGAGGGCGAGTCAAGGGAGCGCGAGCGAATGAGGGCGGGAAGGAGGGGAAGAGAGTGGATAGAAGGTAAGGAAGGGACCGGACGTACGTTGGGTGGACGAAAAAGAACACAAGCAAACCTCAAAGCATGAGTGGAATCGTCTTAGCCGCGTCTGCTTGGGATAGTAGAATGTAGATAGACGGAGATAGATAGACAGATGGTTTCAAAAGAAGAGAAACTAGGCGTAGAGACACGACGGTAGGTTTTTTTTTCCCCTTGACCCTGCCCGGATTATCTTTTTAGTTTTATTTTCCTTTTCGGAAGTTTTTGTTCCTGGAAACCTTCTTCGTCTTTCTTCTGTTCTTGATAGGAGCAGAAAAAAAAAAAGAAAAGAAATCGAAAAAAAAAAGAGAGAGAGAAAAATCCTCACGGAAATCCAATCAGAAAAAAATAATACCTTGTCGTTTTGTTGTTTTTTGCTTATTCCAAATGAATTTAATTCCCTTTCGTGAACTGGGCAGACGACAGGGAAGACCAACCCTTTGGGGGTGGGAAGGGAGAGAAGGTGGGCTGCTGCTTTGCCGCCGCGTTGGTTTTTATGGGGAGAATCGAGTCAACCAGTGAAGACCGCTCAAGTTCCCCCAAGGAACAGAAAAAAAAGAAATCACAAAATAATTCAATATAATAAATATAAAAATAAAGAGAGCGGGAAGAACGCGCAGACCAAGCAAATACTACAAGAGAGAGAGAGAGAGAGAGAGAGAGAGAGAGAGAGGAAGAAGAGAGAGTCTTCGGAGGGGAAAGGCTTGTCGGGCGACGGAGAGTCTCCAGCAGAAGAAGAAGAAGAGGGAGGAAAAGGCGCCCAAGTCACGGTTTGCCCGCCCGTCACGTGGTTGCGTCATGGGTGTGGGTGCGCTGCAGAATTCATTTCTTTTTCTTTTTCCCTTTTGTTTTTATTTCCATTTCTTTTTCTTTTCATAGGATTCCTCTGGTAACTGAGTACCTGTGTAAGGCAAAATCCTTAGCTGGAATTATCGGAGGGGCAGCCACGGATACGCTAAAATGTACTCCGGTCAGAGTGAGGATGAAATCAATAATCAATCATCTTATGAGCGAGGATGGAGGCCTGAAGGATATCGTGCTCGTGGCTGTCAATCCGTTGGTCTTCCGAGTATCCTCTACGGTGTATGAAGATATTCAGATTTTAGATATAATCAGAGTCCTCCCTATTATCAGACTTATGATCGCTTGAGTCAAGACTCAAGATGCATCTTGCTCCGTACTCCGGTCCAGCGTTAAGAGATGCCCCTACAGGACGCTTCCCTGGCTTTCTCCACCGACTTAAAGTGGGTGGTGGGATGAGGCGCTTTTAGTTCACACGGCCGATCATCTCATCGACCGAAAATGCCACAAGCGAAACCTAAGCCGACACGTAGGGAGTAGTCCTCGTCTTCTTTCTTCACGACGGAAAATAATGCGAGTCGAGATTAAAAAGGATGCGAAGGAAGAAGCAACCCCGAATTGCCAAACCGCCAACCGTCCACGATTGCATCATCTGGCTGGCTCTAACTCGTCTTTCCCGTGTTAGCCTTCAGCCTTAATTTCACTGTTGCCTCTTCCCCTGCCGGGGTTCGCGCTCTCCTTGCATATTCAATCATTATATTAATATGAGGATATTATTTATGCCCTGCTGACTCAGGCATTGCATACCTGTTAACGCTTTTATTACATATGTCGTAGAAGGCTGCGTTGTCTTCTTTCTGACCAGCTCACCGGTCGAATAACTACGTAGTAGGATCTACTACTGTCTACTCAGTAATCAATACTAATCCAATTGCCAAATAACGGTGCGATAGAGACTAGTAGATTGTACGATCCTGGATCGATCCATGCACCACAGTAAAAAATGGTACCTTGTGCTCCGCCCAACCCGACTTTCGCCTCCATTTTCCTCTCTCCGAGGCAACGTGAGTGGAAGAACTCTTACCGGAACGCCCTTCGTGTCTTCTCCCCCTCCCCACAGCCCTTGACCTCTTAGCGCCTGCGATCAACTTACAAAGACCTCCCAAGTGGTCAATTACGTATGGCCTGCAGCAGAGCAGCTCCCTCCTGCGCCGAGCAAAGTTATGCCACTGTGTTGATCGGCTCGTCAAAAAGGAAGAATGGAATCCGACCATTACGTCAGAGCAACTCCCGGAGAATCGCATCTGGGGTTGAATTGTCCTGCAACCCGCCAAAAGTACAATGCAGGCGTGAGGGTAAGCATCCCGCTACTAAGCACTTCTTCCTTTCCATGGAGTTCCTTTCCGATCGTCCTTCGGATCTCGGGTGTGTCTTTTTGCTGTCTTGGGTTTGGTGTTGCTTGGGCCCTTACTGTTGTACACTACTGTAACTAGTTAGTGTGTACACAGTACTCGAGGTCACCTGGAGAAGATGACTAATGATCAAGCTAATTGTTCCATTCTTTGTTCAAGAACGAAAATTTTGATGAAAAAAAAAATTATGGGTCTCGTGAGGGTGAAGAACCCCCAAAGTGCAGAAAAACAGTAATCTTCAGGAGCAGACCTAACCATGGTTCTCTGGGAGGGACAACCCTGGTAGTTTATGAACGCCGTGAAAAGTGGAACAAAGAGCAGAATGACCGCCTTCGTGGCCGACCGGCCAACGCAGTCCCTCACCGCCTCCCTCATTCTGCTCGCCTTCAAGTCTGCCCCTCCTTCTCGACGCGCCCAAATCGCGTGGATGTCAACCAACTAATCGACCGGCCCACCCCTCGTTCCGCTATCATTGATTTCCTCTGCTTCGGCATAGGATTTGCAAGGGGTCTTTTTATCGTTGACTCGCTTCATTGGGTACTACTGACCGGCCAATCCTCTTATTCAGCTGGTAAACAATAAGCAAAGTCTCTTCTCTCAACGTCTCCCCCACAACTTCTCCCACTATGGAGCAAGAGCTCCTATCGCTCCTTGCCGACACGCAGTCGCCGGCCGCCGATACGAGAAAGGCCGCCGAGCTTCAACTGCTGCGTCTCTACTCCAACGAGAACTTCCCTCTCTCTCTCGCCGCTATTGCTTCGCACGATTCCGTCCCCACCAACCTCCGTCAGTCCGCCCTCTCCGTCCTGCGTACCTTTATTGCCGCCGCCTGGTCCCCGAACCTGGACGAGTTCAAGGGCCGCATCCTCATCAACGATGTCAACAAGGATCAGATTCGAAGAGTCTTGCTGGACCTGGCAACCGTGACCGAGACCCCCGAGCGCAAGGTCAAGTCGTCTGCCAGTTTCGCCGTCAGCAAGATTGCCAGCGCCGATTTTCCTGAACAGTGGCCGGACCTCTTGCCGACCCTGCTTCAGATCATCAACGATGGCAACAGCACCTCGGGGGCTCTGCACGGTGCCTTGAAGGTGCTCCTGGATCTAGTCGACACCGGGTTCAACGAGGAGCAGTTCTTCAACGTCGCCAGGGACCTCGTCTCGTCGCTTTACAACGTGGCCACCAGCGAGTCGAGAAGACCGATGCTGCGCGCCTTGGCCGTCGCCGTCTTCCGGTCGTGCTTCGATACCCTGGAAATGGTCCTGGAACAACACAAGGTGGCCGTCAAGCAGTTCATGGACGAAGTGCTCGGTGGCTGGTCTCCTTTCTTTATCTCGACGCTGAAGGCCCCCTTGCCCGAAGCTCCTGTAGAGGAAGAAGAAGCGAAGGAGACCCAGGTCGCTTCCCAATGGAGGGGTGTGATCGGCTTGAAGTTGCAGGTGGTGAAAGTGAGTTCTCGATTGCTACTCTGGCTTATTCCATACAATCCCCGGTGCTAACTATCCCTCCCTCCCCTCAGACTCTGATGAAGATTCGAATGGTTTTCCCCGGTCTCCTATCCGCCCAAAGTCCTATCTACTTTTCTACAATCTGGACAGAGCTCACGAATATCCAGAAAGGATACCATGAGTTCTATATTCAGGACGAAAGACAGGGTCGTTTGGAGGACGTGGACGGGCTCCCATACACTCTCGACTTCCTCGTTCTGGAAGAGTTGGACTTGATTCAAACTCTCCTGAAAGCACCCCCGGTCAAGGCAGAGCTGCAGCAGCAATTGCAGAACGCCGGACAGGCCGTCACCACTTCTAGTTGGCTGCCGGAGATTCTCAGGTTGACCGGATCATATGCCCAGATCACGTCCGAGGAAGAAGGCCTGTGGGACATTGATGTCAACCTTTTCCTTTCGGAAGAGACTTCCGTCACCGCCAACTACACACCTCGTACCTGCAGTGGTGACTTGGTCATCAAGCTCGGCGAGTGGCTCAAGGGTACTACGGTCGAGGGTCTGCTAGTATACCTAACTGCCGTTTTTGCGGACTCTTCTTCTACGTAAGGATCATCATCCCTGTTCCTGCTTGTCTACCGAAGTGCAAGACTCGAGGAGATAATTGCGTGAAGAGAAACTAACTAGAACTCTCACAACAGGTGGAAATCCCGTGAATCGGCCCTGTACATCCTCAACCAACTGCTCCGGGACTTCAGCGAGGTCGCTCAACAGATCTCTGCGGACTTGGCAAATGGATTCAACGGCCTCATCCACTACTCCATGCAGCAAGAGCAGGAGTTTCTCAGAGCCCGCGGCTACCTTGTGGCGGGTGTCCTGACCCAGGTGGCCGGCGAGGCGTTCCAGCCGACCGCCGCGTCTTATCTTGAGGCTACCCTGAAGGCGATCTCCGAAGACCCATCGGAAGTCGTGAAGGTTTCTTGCATTCGCGCCCTGCAGGATCTGCTGCCGGCTCTGTCTTCCAACATCACTATTCCCCTCCAGAACTCCATCATCTCCGCCATTTCAGAGTTTGTCTCCTCGCACGATCTCCGCGAACCGTCCGACAGCGACGACCTCAAGGTCACTCTCGCCGAAACGCTCCGCGACACGATCATGGTCAATCCGAGCATCGTTCTGTCGTCCATCGCCATTGATGTTCTATTCAACATCGCCAGCAACGGCGCGACCAATTTCCAGCTCACCATGATCGTCATCGAGGCCTTCGAGGACCTGGTCGATGCCATTGCAGACCAGGGCCCCGAATCATTTGTTCTTCTCTGCGAGAAGGTCCTGCCTTCTTTGACTGGGGCCATTGACGTTGGAAACCTGACTCAGGAGAACGCGCTGACAAACTTTGCCGCGGATCTCTTGCGAGCTCTTGCGGAGAGAGCTCTCGAGCCCCTTCCGGCCGGATTCGTGGAGACCGTCATGCCCAAGATGAACCGATTGCTGCTGGACTCGACCGACGCGGAACTAATTCGTCCCGCGACGGAAGCCGTTCGGCACATGCTCTCGCACGACTTCAACCAATTTGTCAACTGGCGGGACCCTCAGAGCGGCAAGGAAGCCACCGAGGTTGTCTTGGTGATCATTGATCGCTTGTTGGGACCGTCCGTCGACGACAACGCTGCGACCGAGGTCGGACAGCTGGCGGCCGAACTGGTCGAGAAAGCGGGCTCCGAAAGACTTGGACCCTATCTGCCCCAGCTCCTCCGGGCCGTGGCGCAGCGATTGGCGACCGCCCAGCAAGCTCAATTCATCCAGAGTTTGATCCTCGTTTTCGCCCGACTGACGCTCATCAGTGCGCGCGAGGTGGTGGACTTCCTCGCGCAGGTCGACATTGGCGGGCAGAGCGGACTGCCGATCGTGATGAGCAAATGGCTGGAGAATTCGGTCAACTTCGCCGGGTATGACGAAATCAAGCAAAACATCATCGCCCTGGCAACGCTGTACAACCTGGAAGATCCTCGATTGGCTCAGGTCCAGGTCAAGGGCGACCTCATCATCCAGGACACCGGTCGCATCAAGACGCGGTCGCAGACGCGCAACAACCCGGATCAGTACACGGCGGTGCCGGCACCGTTGAAGATCGTCAAGGTGCTGGTCGAGGAGTTGGCGGCGGCGGCGGGCAGCAAAGAGATCGACGCGGCGACAGCGGCGGCGCTGGAGGAAGAGGACAGCGACGAAGACGACGAGTGGGAGGACCTCCCCGCCAACACGCTGGATCTGAGTCTGGGGGTGACGAAACAGGAGCTGATGGCGTTTGGCGAAGGCGGCAGCGAAGGAGTGTTTGGCGTGCGCAAGCGTGACGACGAGACGCAGGCGTTTTTGCTGGACTTCTTCCGCAACGCATCTGCCAAGACCGAATTCCAGCAACTATTTGCAGCCTTGACGCCGGCCGAGCAGGAGAAGCTGCAGAGTCTGGGCTAATTGGATTACGAGAGAGAGACAGAAAAAAAAAGAATACCAAGACGGGTGATATGACGCAGGGATAGATTAATTACGGTTGATGCATCAGAATTCTTGGACGGAATCTGACGGGGAACCGAACCATTGGGGAAGAGAATACGAAGATCGCTGTCGATGAACATATTAAGGTTATTGATGATGTGTATGTATTTGGATGGATGCTTAGACCAGTGATTTTGGCAGCCCGTATCTATGGGTCAGCGATGTGTTTGTCTGGGCCTTCTACAGCAAGTGCGTAGTTCGTATCTAGGACCTCGCTAGCCTAGGTAGTTTCCAACATGACATGTCCAGTCTACTCCGTAAATGGCACTCCGTACATGCCAACGCATCGCTCAAAAAGCCCTTGAGCAAGGGTGCGACCGAATGCCGTATTCCAGGGTAATTTCAGCGAAGAGGGGAGAGGGGATCGAACCCCATCGCTTACTCCGGTGTACTCAGAAGTAGGTTCTTCGCTCATGCAACCGAAGGAGGGGGAAGAGGGATTCGCAGTGCACTAGCCCAGATATTACCTGGACCGGGAACTGGAACTGGGAACTGGGAGACACAACCTAACCGGACTCTTAGGTAGCCTCTGTTAGACCGACTAAGTTAGGCTAGCACCGGGTGAACCAAGCGAGCCAATAACACAAGGCTATCGAGATTAATTGTTAGAATCTGTAAGCGCCACTGGGGAGGCGGTGGGTTTCGCGTCCATAGCGAAGGATGAATAAACGTACGAGTATCCTGAGGGTTGGGTTGGGTTGGGTTGGTTTGCGTCCTCAGGGAGGAGGACAGCGTCGTATCATCAAGGGGACCTGGTACAGTACATCCATGGAGAGTTTGTACTTCTACCTGTGTGTAACTTGAGGTGCATGGGTCAATACTATGTATCTTGTTATTGTAAGGACTTGTGCCTGTTGTCTCGCAAGGTGGTACCGCGTCCTGTTCGGGTCCAGCCGTGCGGGGGTTGACTGAATGGGTACCAGGAATGAATACCTAGGTAGAATTAATTCAATTAATTGATAAACAGGACAGTCACTGTGTGTTCGAGTCAATAGAAGGAAGATTATTGATGCAGGCCACATATGCAATTTTTAATACTGAGGAGTCTACGATTCCTTCTATTCAATATTATAATAATATCAAATTAATTCAAATATCGTATTGATCAGTCTGCACGGACGAGGAAAATCATCCCCGGCGGAACCAGAGCTCTGGGCGCACACCGCCGTCGACCCGACGCCCTCTCTGCCGGGACCAGAACCCCTGTCACTCGAGCCCTTGGGTTGCATCCTGACGATCTTCTATTTCACTTGACTATGCCACGGGGGGGATTTTCCTGTCCCTCCCTCTTTTTCTTCCCCCCTCTTCTGTCAATTAGTGTTTTCGCATTCTCCCTCCCTTTCTTCTTCTTCTTCTTCTTCTCCTTCCTCTCTACCTTTAATTCCCTCTTATTCTCTCTTTCGATCTTCTGTATTTCTTCGTCCGTTTTACATCATAGATCTTAGATCACACGCCTCCTTCCTGCCCTTCGCTTTGCGCAGTCTTGCGTCCGTCGTTGGGAGCATGCCACAACAACCGAATCTCTACGAACATATTGTGGTGGATGTAAGTTCTATCATCCTTCTCTACTCCACAAGTATATATATTAGTAATTTGGGTATCCTCTTGTTCCCGTCTTTTTGTACACTCCACAAGGACCCAGTTCGGATCGGTCTTCTCCAGAATTGAGAGAGAGAGAGAGAGATTGGAGGATCAGAAAGAGGGAGAAAAGGTTGTGATTGACGTTGTGTCAAATTGAAGGATGTCAGCATCATCATCATCACCATCATTCTCCCCGTGTTGGCGTTTCATCTAAATTGCAATTCCTTCATTCATTTCCCCTCCCGTTCCTCTACCTTCCCCCCTCTCCCCCATTAAAATTTATTTCCTCATATTAACCCATCCCCTCCAGACCAGCGATGAAGATTCCCTCTGCGATGCCCAATCGATCGTCGACTCCAACCTAACCCTCTCCTCCTCGGTCCGTGACTACTGCTACGAGAATGGCCGACGCTACCACGCCTACCGCTACGGCGAATACCCCATGCCGAACGACGAGGAAGAGCAAGACCGGCTAACGCTGATGCACCACCTCTTCAAGCTGCTCATCGGCGGCGACCTCTACCGCGCCCCGATCTTCCAGCACGGCGTGCCGCGCCGCATGCTCGACGTCGGCACCGGCACCGGCATCTGGGCGCTGGAGATCGCCGAACTCCTCCCGGACGTCGAGATCGTCGGCACCGACCTCAGCCCCATCCAGCCTAGCTGGGCGCCCCCGAACTGCTCCTTCCACATCGACGACGCTGAGAGCGATTGGACCTTTACGCGCGATGAGGCCTTTGACTACATTCATGCCCGTACCCTGGGCGGCGCCATTGGCGACTGGGGCAAGTTCCTGCGTCAGGCCTATGCTCATCTCAAGCCCGGCGGGTGGATCGAGATCCAGGAGTACGAGGCCTGGTTCAAGGCGGATGATGGCACGTTGCATGAGGGCCATCTGTTGACGGATTGGCAGGAGAAGTTGGATACGGCGAGTTGTCAGTTCGGGAAGAGGATGAATATCGCGCCGCATTTGCGGGGGTGGATGCGTGACGCGGGGTTTGCGAATGTGACGGATGATGTGTATAAGGTTGGTTCCTCTCCTTTGGCTCACTTCCCCTTCTGTGTCATTCTTTCTATCGGACTATCCCAATCCACATGATAATATGGTTGGACTATGCTAATCAAGTCAGTGTCCCGTCGGCTCCTGGCCCAAAAGTCCCCGGTTAAAAGAGATTGGACGAGTCGGCAAAGTGACGACCTTCGAGGCTGTCGAGCCCTACTCGCTGGCTCTGTTTACTCGTGTGCTGGGCTGGACCTTCGAAGAGGCCCAGAACTACGTGAACAAAGTGCGTGCGGAGCTGCTCAGTTCCCCGTATCATAGCTACGTCCTGTTTCACTATGTCTACGGACAGCGGCCGCTCGACGGGTAGGGATTTGACTTGAGGTGCAACGAATTCGACGAGTTCACGACGATGATGACGGTTGTATAAATGGATGGATCTGGGTGGGGAGGGTTACTGTTCGGTTTTCATCTTCTGTTTTGTTCGCATTTCTTGAATACCCTCCGGTGTTATGTCTGGTGTATATATAGCGAGGCGGTGTTCAACTTCAACGGCTTCATCCTTGGAGACAATTGATATTCATATACGGACTATGTACTACCACTGCCCTACTCTATCCCTGCAGGGAATATCCCACTCCTTCACCCGTCCCCATCGCCACCAAATTCGCCCTCATCTTCTCCGCCCTCGCCCCAATCCCAAACGCCGCATCATCCCGATGCACCCACGCCCCAACCCCATGCTGCAGCACCGCCGTCGCCCGCACCTTCTTATCCGCCTCATCCCCCCCAGAGCCCTTCAATCCCACACTCCCATGCAGGGTGAGTCTCGTCTCCTCCCCACCCTCCGCCTTCGCGCGATACACCCCGCGATGCAAGATATTACTATCATAAAACACCGCATCGCCAGGCTTCAACTCCACCACCAGTTGCCCCGGCATGTTCCCCTCATACGGCGCCGCATTGCGCTCCGCCTCCGTACGCACCCGGCGATGCGACCCGGGCACCACAATCAGGGACGCGTCCTCGCACAGCGCTAGATTGTATTGTGCATGCGACTGCTTCCCCGCGGGGCTCTTTGCATGGAGTAACCGTTCCTCTTCCTCGGGGGTCACCGTGTCGGGGATATCGTCGCGATGCCATCGGAGTTCAAAGTCCTTGGTCTCCGGCGCGACGAGCAGGTTGAATAGTTCCATCACAAGCGGTTCTTCTTCTTCTTCTTCCCTTTCCTTTCCTTCCACCTGGCCCGATGCCGATGCCAATGCCGATACTCCCAACAACTCCTCCGCAACAGCCAACACCTTCTCCGAGAAATAAAACCGCGCAAATTCCTTCCGTCCAGGCATCTCGGGATGCAGCAGGTGCTGGACACCCCAGATGCCGCCCTCCGAGGCGGGCGGCGGGGTCGTGGGCCACGGGGGAAACTGTTTCGGCACGGTGCGGAAATGAGGCCATTCGCCGGTTCGGGTCTTGTGGGTTGCGGTTGTTGCGGCGGTCCGGAAGGAGGTTATTTCGGAGGGGGTGAGGAGGGAGGAGATGACCACGAAGCCGTCGCGTTGGAGGGCGGTTAGGTAGGGGGTTTCTTTTTGGGTGGTCATTTTGGTTGGTTGGTTTGGTTTGTTCTTGGAGAGGGTGTTTAGATGGATCGATTTTGAAGGAGGAGGGAAGTGGGCGTGGGGGAAAAAAGAAGTTGAAGAGGTCACGGAGATAAGAGGTTAGCCTCGGAATTGTTCTTTTTTACTCCAGACCGTTAGGTACTGTACACTGAGCTGGTAGGGAGGGAGGGAATTTATACAGCCAAGCAGAGAAGATGTCGCATCAAGGCTTCATTTCTATTACCCAACGATGTAGCGTGGGAATACGACGTCGCTTATTGACTTTCTCTCTCGAGCCGTAACTCGTAACTACAAAGTACACAGTTGATTACCCCGCGGCAGCACCAAAGCGGGGTTCTGGAAGGTTGTGGTTACATTTGTTTACGGTGGACGGAGTACTCGGTGGGCTGATCTTGTTTAGGGAGGTCCTGCCACATTCCTTTTGGACTATTCTATACCCTTCTATGTGTGGGATGGAATATATTCATGCTACTCAGGGTCAATGTATGTCGGTCTTAGCTAGACCACGGTCTCACCTCGGTTAAGCCCGCAGCCAAGTATACGATGTTTACGAAGCACTTTCAGTTCAGACTCAGCTTAGCCTCTATAAAAGCTGGATATCCCCTGCACGACCACTACCATGCTGACTGTCTACCTCCTGGTAGGCTGGTATGACACTCAGCTCCTTTGAGCCTCGAATGCCAAGCCGATCACCAGCCAAGCTGCCTTGGACAAGTGGAGGAAGCCCTACGCGGGGAGTTCCGGAGCTGATGCAGACAATGATAATCCTCCTAATAATATACTCCGGAGTACGCCATACTCAGCACACCGCGGAAACTGAAGGAATGAATATCACGAATATCCTTCCTGTGTACGTACCGCAGTCTCCCGGTTCCACGGATGAGGCGATTCGCATGTCTCAGCCAAGACAGCCAAGACCGATGGGCTGTATAGCGACCCCCACCGCTGGATGAGGAAGAAGGCAGTGCCGATCGAGAGCTTCAGCCGTCATGGAAACGAAGAAGCGTGGTGGCGGGGCAGAGTGATCATCTTCTTACACCGTACAGAATATTCTTATGACATTGGGGTGGTGAGCCGCGTCAGATGAAGACAGTAAGAAGAGTAATATTTTTATTAGGTATGATGTAAGAATAAGAATAATGAGGATAAATAAAATAAATATAGTCCGACCATCGAATCAGGAAAGACCGCACCTGCCACTTCCCGTGCCTTCCTAATCGGGCTGCCCAAGCAACCCCTCTTCCGGTAAGTGCGTAATGCATCGACCTCTTGTTTCTGCTTAGCCTTCTTTTTTTTCTTTCCCTCTTTCCCCTTCTGACGTCCTTCTCTAGCTGCACCTTTTTAGCTTCTACCGACATTTTCTTACGTTTTACCATGGCCTCGAGACTCAGTCCGGGCTTCAGCGCCCTGCTGATTTTGGGCTTGCTCTTGCTCGTGCTCCCCTCGCACGTTGATGCTTTCGGTGCCGGCAGTATGTCTTCATCCATCATCATCCTGATTTGTCGCACTAACGCATTCAGACATCGCCTCCATCTCCGCCGTCGAGGGCAAAAACTGGCGCCATGGCGATATCGAGGATATGCTCAAGACCGTCGCCTTCATCAAGGGCCACAAGTGGACTTCCACCATGATTAAGCGCGTTTACTTTGGTAACTGGTTGCGCGATTAGTGGGTTTCCCCTCTCTGAGAGTGCGACAAGACGGAAAAAGGTGCTGACTGCAAAAAGCTCCCAGGCTATGGACGTCGGAACCCTCAAAAGTCTCCCCGCCGATACCATCCGGGTCCTCGTTTGGATCCTCTCGTTCATGACCTTCGGCTACGCGACGGCCGAATTCGAGGTCACCGCCGACAGACTCGGTGTCTACCGTCCGGAGGAACACATTGAGTATGTATTCGCAATGCCTGTCACCCAAGCTCGGATAGCTAACCCTCTGGCCCTCCATAGCAACCCCAAAGACTACGCCGATAACCAGGATGCCCGCCAATATGACAAGAGACTACGCGGCCCCGTTCGTCAGCCCGAACTCGATATCGACCCTCAGACCGGCATGAAGAACTACATTGCCAATGAACGAGGCAACTGGGATACGAGTACTGCCTACATCAAGAAGAGTTTGGCTCGCAGCATTCACTACGGCCGCACGTACACCCACAGCGGAAGCCGCAAAGGCAACGAAGAGGATCTGTGCGAAGCTCTGCGATGCCTGGGTCAGGGCCTGCACACCCTGGAGGACTTTGCGGCGCACACCAATTACGTCGAACTGGCCCTTCGTGAGATGGGTTTCCAGAACGTCTTCCCCCACACCGGTACCAGGACCCAGATGAACATCCACGGTAAACACGTCTTTCCCCTGGTGACCGGAACCTTTGGTATGGTGGATTTCTTCCACTCGGTGCTCGGAGAAGCCACGGATCACTTCACCCAGTCCGAGGTCAACGAAATGGACATCGCACTGGGAGACGCGCAGGACAACTCATCTTCCGGGTCCACCACGGCCTTGACCGCATTGCTCGGCAAGATCCCCGGCACCAAAGACCTCGTGGCCGAAGCGGAAGAGCTCAAGCGCCGTTCCGATGCCCAGGAGTCGTCCAACAGGGGCGGCGGCTCCCGTTCAGGCTACGCGGCGCGCGAGGCCGTCCGAGGCTTTAACGAACGCGATTCGGGTCGCAGTCGCGGCTTCGAAAACGACCGATATGGTTCCTCCAGAGCCAATGAAACCAGCAAGCCTTCTTCCTCCGAGGGTCCTTCCGGTGCCTTGGCTGATTTTGACCCGAGCAAAACCATCGAACAGATCTACCCGATCCTGCAGTTCAGAGACAACGTGGTCCGCAAGCTGTCGTCGATCATCGAGAAGATCCCCGGCTTGGAAACGCTGGTTGAGAAAGTCACCGAGACGCTGACGGTCTTCGTCATGTCTCTGCTGGCTCCGTTCATCCGCCCCCTCATCAACGCCGCCTCCAAGTCGCTGCAGTCTGGATCCGCCGGCGTCATCGACGCCTCCGGTAAGCATCAGTACGAGCCGTGGACCGACCCGACTTGCACGGACCCTACCCACTCGCTGTTGTCCAAGGACCACTTCTCCAACATTCTGAACGAACCTGCCGGTCAGGTTGCCTCCGCCATTCTCCGGTACGTGGCGCCTCGCGTCCTTCATGCCTGGGAGAACACCAACATCCCGGAGCACCAGGTCGTCGAGGACTGCCTGCAGGTGTTCCACCATCCGGCTCTGCGCAACATGCGCAACGACGCCCATCGTACCATGTTTGAGGCCGTCGAGTCGTGGGTCCAGTCCCGGTCAGATCGAGGCTCCAAGCTCAACGATATCCTAAGTGCCGAGGGTGTTAAGGAAGGAAAGAACAACGGTGGACAGGTTGGCCACTCCCACGGACAAGGCAGTCACGGACACAGTCACGGTTCGTCACAATCGCAGTACCAGCGGCCGCCGCAACAGCAGCAGCAGCAGCAACAGAGCTCCCCTGGAAATCCACTCGAGCAGCTGTCCAACCTTCCAATCCCAGGAATGTCCAATCTTGGCAAACTGGGTAGTGCATTCTCCAGTCTCGGACTGGGTGGCTCCGCTCGGGAGGAGGCCCCGTCCCAACAGAGCTCCTCGTCCCATTATCAGGATCAGCAGTATTCGAGCCATCAACAGTCTGGCCAGTATCAGTCGCACCAGTCCCATCAATCACACCATTCATCCCACGAATCTCATTCCCATCATCACCAGCACCAAAGCTATCAGTCTGGAGGCGACTATAGCAGCGGCTACGGTGGCCACGGCGGCCATCAGAGACAGGGTGGACATAGCTCTGACTACTATAGTCAACCAACTTCCAGCCATGGACACAGCTACGAGTCGCAGCCGTACGGCTCCAGCCAGGCATCTTATGGCGGCGGGTACTCTAACCAATGTCAGGGACAAGGATACGGGCATGATTACAGACAGTCTGGATCGACCGGGCACAGTGCTGGAGGCTATGGCAACGGGTCTGGGGGATACGGATCTGGTGGCGGATATGGATCGGGCCAGGGATCGGGTGGATATAACTCTGGGTATGGATCTGGGGGGTACGGTTCTGGAGGGTATGGATCCGGAGGATATCAGTACTGAATAATGTAGACTCTATTTAATGCGGGAGGTATGTTCCTCAATTTGATGATTTGGTTCATGATGGTTCCGTCCAGTTGGTAGATGTGGTCACTGAGAAACACTCCCTTGAACAAAATGCGGACGTTCACTGCTGTTAAGTGGATTGTGAATATAGAGCACATTTGTAACAAACTTTTCAACAAGGGAGCCTGGCTAGCTCAATCGGTAGAGCGTGTGACTCTTAATCACAAGGCTGCGGGTTCGAGCCCCGCGTTGGGCTGACTTCCTTTCTTTTTTCTTTTTGTGTTTTTCAATTTTCTACAGACTGATTTAATTGTCTCCTTCATCTTTGGGGGTTGTGGTGGTGTTTTGGTACTTTACCTCCAATGCCTCGCTATCCGTATGTTCTCCACATATGTATGGATCTAGGAAATTCATCATCGAGAAGGGAGAGAAATATATAGAAAGAGGGACAGTGCGCGCTCTCTCTCTCTCTCTCTCTCTGTATATATATATCGATATAACTTCTTTCAAATCACAACCACTACTAGACTTACACATTGTACTCTCATTGCACAGGCCATAACCTGACATACAAGATTGGGTAATAAATGATAGGTAGATAATCTGAGGCAACCACTCCCAGCCTGCCTATATAGTCAGGTACTGTAGTACTACTCCCTGTGTTATTATTTTATGTATGCATCAACTGTGTTGTTATGTGTCGATTCAACTGCCCATGGCTTTCATCCTTCTCAGCATGTTAGCTCAGGGGAAGAGCGCCGGGCTCATAACCCGGAGGACCCTAGATCGAAACTAGGACATGCTATCTTTTTTCTATCTTATAATATTTTGCCTATCTTACATTTATGTGATCTTCTCGTTCCAGATACTTTTTTAGATGTACTCGTGTCTGTCGTGTCAACTATCCATGGCTGATATATTTAACTTTTGAGATCACTTTCATCCTCCCAGCATGTTAGCTCAGGGGAAGAGCGCCGGGCTCATAACCCGGAGGACCCTAGATCGAAACTAGGACATGCTATCTTTTTCCTATCTCATAATATTTTTTTCTACTTTACTGCATTCTTTGTATGTCATGGCGGGGGCCTTTGGGCAATGAGAATGAGTTGTAGAAAGTAGGCGTAGTTATTACTGAGGTGGAGTTGTTTCTCCTATCTCTCTCCTTTTTCTCTGTTGGGAATGAGCGAAACTTGCTTGGGGTTTGGGGACTGTGGAGTCTCTTGGGTCGGCTCTTGTTTGTCTACTTAGCAGGCTGGATCTTAAATATTCCTTGCGACTGTCAATGGGCTCAAATTACAACCCAGATCATATGCGCTCACAGCTTCAGGCCTACCCCTCGATCCTAAGTTGTTCGTCTCTCATCTCTCCAAAGACCTGATAGTAAAGTCAACCCTGTATGTATAAGTTCTGCGAAGACGATAAGAGAAATGGATGAAAGATACTAAATCAGTTGATTAATTGATGTAAGAAGAATCGAGATCTTCTATAGTTCTGCTTATCTAAAAGGTGTGATATCCTAGCTATCTGTACCTGCCACAGGTTGATATAGGCATGTTTTCTCGAAATATTAACTACCCCAGCATGTTAGCTCAGGGGAAGAGCGCCGGGCTCATAACCCGGAGGCCCCTAGATCGAAACTAGGACATGCTATCCATCTTTTTTTTTCTTTTTTCTGCTCATCTTACTACTCAGAAAAGATCGAATAGTCCGATAGTGCTTGTGGTATATTTACCTACCATCTCAGCTTCTCTTTCCCTCTACCCTCTGAATCGGTCAAACGAGGCCTCTCATGATCCCACCCCCATGTGAAGCCGGGGTTAGGGAACCACAGAATGATCATAGAAGACATCAAGTCTCGCAACATATCCCCAGTTAGGAATAGGATGGTATCGCCCGTCGATCATTTTCACTGCCGATCCCCTGTTTGGTTTCCCCAACAAAACCCCGGCTCGTGGAAGCGAGACGGTTCATCCCACACTTCCCACTACTTCGTACAGTGGAACTCCCGAGCCGGCCTAGATCAGAGATGTATTCTACGGGGTAGTCGGCATGTGAAGAATGGATCTTGGTCGTGGGTTGAGGTCAACCCCGCATAGATCCAGCCTCGGAGCTGAGAGATCAGCAGGGGGCTGACTATATAGTTCCTCATGGGTTGCCAGGTAGGTATGGATGCATTCAGCAGCAGCAGCAGCAGCAGCAAGAATGACTACCAGACCCAACCCGAAAGACTCGATGAAGTCGACCTGGCGCGTCGGCAATCGAGACGAATGGAACATCAACCACTGGGCCCTTGAGATTCTCAATGCCCATCCCATCGCCCTAGACCAAGAGGTCCCGGTGCACAGCAAAGACGAGAAAGTGCCCTTCATGCCGCAATGGTCCCTGCACCGCTGGGTGCTCTTCTACTCGGCCCTCCCACTCCTCCTGCACCAGCTCTACATGTCCTACACCGGCAAGACCCTCGGCCCTTTCGCCGTCTTCAACCTTTACTTCTTCGCCTTCAACGCCACCGTGCTCTACCAGGTCCAAGTCCTGCGCCGTCTCGGCCACATCCACGGCTTCCTCGACGGCGACCAGCACGAACGAGACGGTGTCCCAGACGTAGGAGTCAGCAAGGTGGTCACCTCGCTGTACAAAACCACCGGCTCTCGCATCCTCCTCGCCATCTACCTCACCTACACCCGCACCCAGCTCCCCAGCCAACTCACCTGGACGTGGCTCCCGCTCCAAATCGGCCTGTATGGCATCATCCTCGACTTCTGGTTCTACTGGTACCACCGCGTGATGCACGACGTCAACAGTCTCTGGAAATTCCACCGCACGCACCACCTCACCAAGCATCCCAACCCGCTCCTCGCCGCCTACGCCGACCACGAACAGGAGTTCTTCGATATGGTCGGCGTCCCTCTCCTCACGTACCTCTCGTTCCGTCTCTTCGGCCTCCCGCTGGGTTTCTACGAGTGGTGGATCTGTCACCAGTACGTCGCTTTCGCGGAGGTCTTTGGCCATAGTGGCTTGCGGCTGCATTTGACGGTGCCTTCGACGCTGAGTTGGCTGCTGCAGGCTCTGGACTGTGAGATCGTCATCGAAGACCATGATTTGCATCATCGGAAGGGCTGGCGTAAAAGCTATAACTACGGGAAGCAGACGAGGCTCTGGGATCGGGTGTTTGGGACTTGTCATGAGCGGATTGAGTCGGTGGTGGGGAATGTCGATTATGAGAATCCGGCCATGATGCCGCTTTTTTGATCAGATCTGGAGGTAGGGTGTGTGATTGTGATCGATGGTTGCATTCGACAATATGTGTGTGGAATGCGTTCAACCTCTTCATTGTCACCCCAGTCAACAATTATCATATATACCACCGGCAGGACCTAAAGAGCTGAAGGAAACGCACATACATACATGAAAAGACACAACGCCAAACTTTATGACTTGAACACCTAGCAGAAGAACAAAGAATTCGAATGAAGAAAAGAATATAAAAAGCAGAAGAAGGGAACGAAGAAGCAAGCTACAAGAATTGACAACAGACATGCATCTGCCTGCCTGCCTGCCTGTCTATCTTGTTCGGCTACGGATGAATGATGATATATGCACGAACTTTGTTAGATCTTATATACCCCTTCCTATATAGTACATGACAGTCATTAAACGATGCTACAACCAAACATCAAACGATTGACCTGACCAGACTAGACAAGTCTAGACGTATTGAGTCTCGTAAGGCACCTCGCCCAATTTATTCACCAAGATCTTCTCCGTCAACTTCCACAGATTCTCCTGGAGTTCATGGTTCCGAGCTTCGCTGGACGGATCGGCGGGTTTGCGGTCAGGCACAATCTGTTTCTCAATCAACACAGAGCCCTACTAGAGGGGACTAGGAGGTGATAGTTAAAATCGAATGGAGACTCACATATTGCCCCTGCAAACCCCCCTTCACCACATCCTCCCCCGTCGCCGCAAACAGCGCAGCCCTGCACCCCTGATCGACCGGATCCGCCATGAACGGCCTCACGACCGCCACCCCCACCTTCCCCAGCGTGCCATACGCATCCTCCGCCTGCTTCTGCTGATCCGTACTCACAGCCCCGGGATGCGTGGCGTTCATCCACGGCCCGGCCTTCGGATCCGGGTTGAACCCCAACAGCCCCTTTTCCTTGCGCTCGGCCAGAGCCCGGATATACAGGACGTTTGCGAGCTTGGTGCGATTATAGAGCTTCGCCGGCCCGATATCTCTATTCAACTCATCGAGCGAAGCGAACTTCACCCCATCGCCGTCGTCGCGGTCGTTAATCGCACGATGCAAATCCGACGATTGCACCACGAGTCGCGAATCGGGAGTTTTCTGCAACAGCGGCAGCAGGATCCTCGAGACGTGGAACTGCGCGAGATGGTTCACTTGCATGTGGCTATCGATGCCGTCTTTCTCTGTCAGATGGAACATTCCGACGCCTAGACCCGCGTTACAGACGAGACCGTCAAGCCGATCCAGCTTCGAGGCGAGGTCTTTCGCGACGCGGTCGGTCTGGCGCAGGTCTTCGAGTTCGATCTGCACCGGGTGGAGGTTCGAGACGTCGCCGTATTTGCGTAGGCCGGTGGTTGCTTCGTCGATGTGGTCGGCTTTTTTGCCGAGGAGGTAGAGGGCGCGGGGGTTGTGTTGGAGGATGTGGGCGCAGATGCCGAAGCCGATTCCGGCGCTGCCGCCGGTGACTATGTAGACCTGTTTGGTTGTATAGCTGTTTCTTAGTATAGATGTTCTTGTCTGTTGTTTGGGGATGCTGGAGGGGGATTGACGGCCTACCTTTCCAGAAAGATCTGGGATGTCCTTGTTAGGGTCGAAGGTATTGTCGCTTCCGAACATGATGCGTAGTTAGTTATATTTCTCTTTGATTGAATGAATCAAATGATCGAGAATAAAACTGTAAAAAGTGAATGATCGATCTATAAATGGCCTATCAAATGCCACCGCGGCGGTTGGATCAAGGTGACGTCAAGAACCCACGAAAGGCGAAGAACGTCATGTCCGTTTGCATTGCCGAATCAGCAGTTCTGGAAATCCAGTAGACTTTATGCATAAGAGCGAAATCAAGGAAAGATCTTAGGAATTGAATGGTGGTGGCTAATCGTAAGTAGTTGGGGGTCTTAGGAAAGGAAGGCGTCCGTCTCAATGAGTGTGCCCTAAGTATGGTGGTCAAGTTAAACGATCACAGTCCCTGGCTGGTAGAGAAGAGGAGTGAGTGTTCAACTTGAATGGGGCGGATTTGGTAGAATTAGGGGATCTGGGAAGTAGAAGAGTAAGAAGGAATGGGAACCATTTAAAACTATTTTATTAGATATAGCCCTAGGCATCATATGGCCACCTGATCCAGGAAGCCGTAGATCAGAAGGGATCAGAGCCAGACATGTTAGATATGGGAACGCGAAATGAGAAAGGACGAAAGGTTGACAGTAAAGCTCATCTATTATCTATTGCATGGTCATTGTCCAGGCAGGCAGTACATAGCAGAAAATATGAAATGAGATAAACCGAGACACATCCTGGCCGTCACCTCGAATGTCTGTTCTAGAATAGATTCAACTCCACTGGTATAGGTATATACAAAACAAAAGAGAGATTACATTCAATAATCCACGAGCCCGAAACCACCAACCAGACACATTCCAACATTACAATGATATAATATCCATCCATCCCTCTAACTCCAGCAACATAGTAAATACCACATTCGAAATATCATACCAGACCATCGTAGGTCTATCAATATTAGAAAACATAAAGAAAAATAGCTACTTGAATGCCACCCTTCGCTGTATAATCGGTCAAATATCAATCAATAAGGTCATTATTTCGTGTCCTGCGTTGCAACGCAGAGGCTACAGCTTGGTGCCTTCACGTCCACTATCGCTGAGTCGACGTGTTCGAAACATACCGGCAGAAGGTCCATGGCTGGGACCTGCTGGCGTTGAAGATCCGGGCTCATTGCTGCTACCGTTGGTACGCACTCCGGCGCGCTGGCCTTGATGAATGCGAGGGTTCATGAGCCACTGGACTTGCATGCGGATACTGCCAACGGCAGCATTCGTGTGAGCCATGTCTTCCTTGAGTCGGAGACATTCGTTCATGATGGCCATGCTGGCACGAGCGTCGAGATCGGTGATGGCATGCGAGAGCTGCCCGACCTCTTCCCGGAGGGATTCGTGGAGGGACAACAAGTACGTCGTGGCGTTCGACGTGTATGCATTCGAATTGTCCAGCTGTGATTGGTCGTTGGCTTCCGGGGCTGAGGAAGCCGAAGGAGACCCTCGGCGGTCCTCGGTAGCATGATTCCGCTCCGGAATCGACCGAGTAGACTCCACCAATGTCGAGCGGATATTGGCAATTCCGTCCTCGAAGATCTCGTTGCGCTGCTGGAGATGACGGATGGTCAGCTCCATGGAGTCAAGTCGTGCGTTCTGAGCTTCAAAGTACGGGCCCATGGTGATCAAGGGACAGCTTTGCTCATGCACCACGAGCTCCGCACGCTTGACTCTGATGGGACAGCCGAATTTCGAAGCCGGGCATGAGTGAATGGCCTCGGGACAGGCGTCAACGTGCTCCCTCAACGCTTTTCGGAAAACCGTCGTCTGGCAGTCGGGGCATGTCGTTTTTAGGCTCGGACAAAGTTCTTTCACATGTTCCTGAGGCGACAGACCATCGTCAGTAATCAAATAGCATGAAAGTGATAGACCATGTGTAGAACACACCTCGTAATCCTGCTCCATAATCTCCTCCTCGCAACGCAGACACTTGTGAAGTTCATGCATGCATCGACGGTCGGGATGCAAGTCTTTCTTCCGAGACTTCTTGTCGCAGAGCGTACCCGGGCAGTCCATCAACCTGTAACCGCAGTATTTGTCCACATGGGACTGGACATGGCCCCGAGGAATGATTTCCTTGCACCCCTCCTCCGCAAACGGACACTTGACGCGGATGTCGTCGCACATATTGATCAACAGTCGGGGAACGTTCAGGTACACGCCTTTGGTCGGTGTTCGGCAACTGGGACAGGTGAACTCGTCGCGACCAGCCGCAAAACTGGTGATCGCGCTGTTGAGACATTTCTGGCAGAAGACATGATCGCACTGTAAGCGCACCGGGCGGATAAAGGGACAGTGACAGATCGGGCACATCAGATGGTCGTCGTAGCTGGAGACATGGTCGAGGGAGCGCAGATCGACGACGTTGTCGCGGTCGGAATTCGACTCCATGGCGAGGAGCTCTTCGAGATTCATAGTAGGACAAAGATCAAGTCGAGATGACCCTGGAAAGGAGGCGGATTATAAGATAATATCGCGCCACTTAATCCTCACACGGCTTAGTAGCGGCGCAGGAAAGGGGGGAGGGTTCGAGCGAGGATCGACGAGTTGCCGAAGGGATGAGATGATGAAACAATAGTGCTGCAAGACCCCCATGAGGGTTACACGGTGGCTGAAGGGCGTCAGGAATGGGAGTCTTGGGAGGGGAGGACGAAAAAAGACCGACGGGACGATGCGATGAGGGGAAGAGAGGAAACTAAAGAAAGATTGCGGGGAGGAAACTGGAAAGGGCGGGAGGCGGCAGCTGATCTCCGGCCGAGAGGAGGCGAGGCTGACACCGGCCAGTCCATTCATTCCATTCCCTTATTCATTCCATCCTCGCCTGCCTTTCCATCCATCACCTCCACTCCCCTGTCCCTGTCGCTTCTGCTCCGTTCGGGTACCTCTTTCTTCTGCCTCTCTCGCCCAACGGGATTTCTCGACCTTGACTATCGACCAGACTCGCCGGCTTCTCCGGGTACCTCGTCCAAGACCGTCTCCGCATTCAGTCAACCTCATCCTCATCCTCAACCTCAACCTCATCGCATCGCCATTCACAACCCTTCAGATCATCCTCAAAATGCCGAATCCGTCTCAGCTCTTTCTCCTTGCAGATCACATCAAATTATCCCTCCTAGAGCGACAGCGTGCCATTTCGCTAGACCTAGAACCCAACAGCCAGGACGGCGAGATCTCCCGTTCCTTAGAATCCCTACGCGACGGCATCGAAGCCGTCGAGGCGGAATGTTCTAGACTCGAGAATGCCAACGACGAGGAAGCCCCCGCCCTGCGCGACCAGCTGGGCCACCTACACACGCAGCTCCGCGACCTCTCGACCCAGTTCCACGGCCATGATAACTCCGCCGATCCGCTGAGCGAACAACAACCGCAATTCACCACCGTCCAGAATTCCTCGCCGGACTTGAAACAGCCCATTCCACAGCACCCGCCGTCGAAGTCGGTACGGTTCATGGACTCGGCCGCTGAAGAGGAGGATCTGAATCGACGCCATCTGTTCCAGCCGTATCGCGACTCGCCGTCCCCATCGGGCGTGGACCAGTCGGATATGTCCAATCAGCAGATCTATGATCATCATAACGATGTGATGCGCGAGCAAGACGAGCAGTTGGATCGCCTGGGAGAGTCCATTGGACGGCAACATCAACTCAGCATTCAGATTGGGGATGAGCTGGAAGGCCATGTGGCTCTACTGGATGATATGGATGGACATGTCGAGAGGCATCAGGGCCGGTTGAATGGCGCCAGACGACGGCTCGACAAGATCCGGAGAAGTGCCGGCGACAATTGGAGTATGATGACCATCATCGGATTGATCATCGTCCTGGTCATCCTGATCGTCCTGTTGAAATGATACAGGGAAGAGTGGTGTATAGATCACATTTTTTTTGTTTCTTGTTATGCCAGGGACTTCCGGGATTTGCAAATATAGGTCTAGGAGAGGCGTATGCGGCGTTTGTTTCATGTTTCACATTCCAGCTTTCGAGGCCCCAACCCCTTTTCTGTTTGTCCTTGTTATTATATTTGTACATGGTTTATATCTCGTTGACTAGGAGTTATCGTACGGAGCTCGGACCTTTTAATTATTATGCAATTCACTCGCATCTCGATATGAATTCGGGTAACTTCTTGCTTGGCCTTGACTAACCCCAAGCACATACATATACATACGCCCATACAATCATGACAACCAGTCGCAGGACTGCGAACGAGAACAAGGAAGAGAGAACGACCATCAAGAATACAAAACGAAGATTAAATTAAAACGGAGCCAAAAAAAATTACAAAAGAAATCCGCGCCATAAGAAACAAAACCCCAACTCTTTCCACCGTGTCTGTCTATTTATTGACCTTTCTTACTAGCATCCTGCTCATTAGGCAGATGCTTCGTCTTGTTCTGCAAATCCTTCAAATCCACATGTTCGTCGAGATCGCCGCGATCGGCTTTGACCTGTTGTATGAGAGGTTTGGTATTAGCATTCATCCCTTCATCCTTCGTTCGTTGGTTTGTTCATGCAAGCAAGCAAGCATCCATCAACTCAACCCACCACCAACCTATGAAACGAGGAAGGGAGGGGGAAAACCCACCGAAGCTTCACTGTTACTCGCCAATTCCTGTTTCCAGTGGGCCTTTCCCTCCTTGGTGCTTCTCAGTTGCTCTTCTTTCGAGGATTCGTAGACTTTGTGCAGTTCTTCGCGGTCTATATAGTATTAATGGTTAGTTTGGGGTTTGGGGGGTTGTTCGTTGGTGATCGTGTATGTATATATATATAATTTTTTTTCATGATATATAGAGGATAGAGAAGGGAGGAAGGGAGGGAAGAACGAACTGTGATCCGACTCCTTGAGGCCCTGACGGACCGAGGAAGTGTGGAAGGGAGAAGAGACAGAGGCGCTGCTGGCGGAGATAGGTCGGAGGGCCAGACGAGGGGTGATTGTTGAGCGGACGGAGGCGAGGAATGACATGTTTGATTGATTGGGTTGGATTGGTGTTGGTTTTGTGTGTATATCTTTGAAGGTCTGGATGTAAGAAAGATTGATTGTTAATGAACTGAGATGATTCGTATAAGTGTCAAGAGAGAAAAGAGAGCGAGAGGGCGAGAGAAAGAAGAAAGCTTGGATAGACAGAGGCGGCCGGTTTAGATCGAATGGATGACGTATGAGAAGCTCCCGGCTTCGGGGAATTTATAGGTACAGTACAACTTCAGCGTCCTTGGAAGAGGCACTTACAATATTTCGTAGACAATTCACAACGACAAGAGAATCTTCAAAAGAACAGAATACAATTATCTGAAGCACACAAAGGAAAAAGCTGTTCTTAAAGCCATCGCCCGCATCCATTTCTCCTCGGTAAAACCATCCTGGCTGGTGTCACCGATGACGTCATGGACAGTCGAACAATCCATCGCCTTCCTTCTTGGCTGCACTTATGACCGTTGATGATGTTCTATTCTAATTTCCACTCCGTAACGTGCATTGCTATTCTGCTGCCTGAGTGGAGAATGTCGCTATGGGGAACTCTCCTATGGGGCTGGGGGGGTGTTCGTAAGCTAGGTAGTCAGGGCGACCATCGCGGGAGGTCTGTTGTTTGGGGCCTGTCTGTTATGTCTATCGGTGACATCACAATGTGTCTTCGCATCTTCAAAGTGGCTCCTGGAGTTGTAAGGGAGGACCAGAGAAGATGAGATCCGACGTGGCGAAATTTAATTTCAAAGCCTCAACGTGATATACAGGCATGGGAGGTTATGCTTACCAACTGAAGTGTATCCTCGCAAATCGACTGGCAAGTAGAGACTGCCATGGATGGCCAAACATAATGAGCTCACTCAGTCTACGATATCAGAAATAAGAAAGACTTGGAGTGGTATCAACAATCACGTTGTGTCCAAAGCTAATCTCACAACTATTTATAGGGAATCTTCCCGCATAGTGCAATAGCAACAAGCATATAGACAAAGGAAAAAGAAGATATGGTAAATGACCGAGTGCCCAAGAGGAGAGAACAGAAAACAAAAGATCATACAAGCATCATACTCTCCGGGAGTGCCCAGAAGTGAAAAATCCAAATAACACAAACAACACCCGAACGAATCAACGTGGGAAACCGCAAAATGGTCTATTGTCTCGCGATGAGCGAGAGACCCTGTCAAAAACTCCAGCCACATCCAGTCCATGGATTTTTTTTTAGTTTCAACAGCCGTTGTGCAGTAGCAACAGACAGAGGAAAGAAAAAAAGAATCACCCGAATCCCCAACCCATATACACGAATAGAAAGGAAAAGAGAAATGAGCTGTAAAAGACACACGTGTCAAAGAAGTCAAGCAGACCAAACAAACATCCCGAACAGTCCAACAGTGCCCAATCAATGCAGACGTATATCGTTTCCACCTTTCTAGATCCCTGAAAAGCGTATAATAGAAAATACCCATCCCACCCAGAAAAGATTAAACAAGTCACAAAAACAAACCAACAAACCGAGGATATATGGCAAACGGCTAAGCACTTCTTGCCTAGTCGCCAAAATACATCAAAAGAACAAGCAACTCCGGTCCATGAATGCGCGCCCAAGTGGCAATCCGCCGCACTTTCTATACATCATCGCGGCCAGTAACGTCAAGGCCAGAGAATAATTTTGTTTTTGCCCCTAACCGAATGATGAAAAACAAGGTATCGATGGGAGAAGTAAAGAGGAAGAGGAAGTGTGAATGCAAAACTCGATCGCAGGCGCCGTCGCTCGCAGAAAGTCGAAAGCATCAGTCTAGAGAAAAGTGCTGAAGGTCGTCATCGGAGAAAGGTGTATATACAGAGAAAACCACCGGGTGATCTCGTGACTTCACGAATGTCGGAAGCCAAACGGAAGATTTTTGAAACACCCGGCATTAATCATAACGGATGCGATGGCCGTGTCGAACAGAAGACAAGCGCAAAAAAAGCAAAGAATTAAAGCCGGCGGTTAGGGAGCCCGATGATGCAGAAGCTGGACGAATTGAAAAACATTGTCATGGACTTGCGCCCATGAGCCAGAGAGGGTGGCGACTGGCAGGTGAAGATGCTCCTCACCATCGACGCTGAGCGTGCTGCATCGAGGCCGGCGAGATGGACGTGGGCGGGCTGGTCAGGGTCATCCCGGTCTGAGGGTTGACAATAGGGATGACCTTGCGAGTACGGGCCGCCGACGGCTGCTGGTAGTTCACGTGATTGAGGTTGCCGGACACCCCCGAATGAACGTAAGAGTTGCTGGAAGCAGGGGAGAGGGAGATGGAGGGCGTGACCTGCTGAACGGGCTGGATTTGATGCTGAAGGGGAGACGTGTCGGGAGACCCGCTAGAGAGAGAAGACCGATCGGAAGAAGCGGAGTGGATTGAGTGCAGCTAGATCGAGGTCAAGACGTTAATACAACGCTCTACCAATCATCCATCTCCCACTCAAGACTTGGTTTGGAGTCTGATAGGGGTTGAGGAAAGACTAAGGGGATCCCGGATGGTCCGAGCTAGGGGAGGGGAGCAATCAGCAAACATACATCGTCTTCCGTCAAGAGCCCAGGGCAGAACTCCAGGTCGTCGTCCAGGTCAAATGACCGTCCAGCCTCGAATCGAGCACGGAAAGCAGAGACGGCAGGGGCTTCAGCAAGTTCTCTCATGCTCTTGACACCTCGGAACTGGCGCTGAGCGTTTTGCGCGGCCATCTTAGGTCCTCTGCGAGAGCGACCGCCGTGGTGGTTGTTCGAGGCCATGTGTGCGGTGGCGCCGTGGTGAGGGTGCTGCTGCTGCTGTTGACCGTAGAAGAATGTCGACATGGTGAAGGTATGGTGGCAAGTAATAACGAAGGAGACAAGGTCGTTATATCGTTGGCGAACTCCGGGTTATATAAAGGTGGATACAAAAACAAAGGACCAGCTTGCTGGAATCCTAAGCAGAGGGAGAAAGACTTGAAAGAAAAAACAGTATGGTAAAGTGACAAGGGGTCGGGGAGGAATGTAGGTAAGAAGACTTGAGCGGGAGCAGAAGAGAGAAATCCAAATAACAACACAGAGGAAAGATTATGGAGGCAAGATTGATTATTGGGAGGGAGGAAAGAAAAACGAACAGGAAAAATAATAAGGAAAAAAAAGGCAGTAAAAGCGAGAGGGTCGGTTCGAATTTGCGTTTAGTGGTTGTGGGATGGGGAATCTTCGATGGAAAAGGCGGGACAAGAAGTTGAAAAAGAAAGACCGCCGGAGTGGACGGAGGCGAGAGAGAGCAAGAGGGGCTGCAGGCTGTTCTTCTGCTGGGGCTGAGCCAGTGCAAAGTCGGTGGATCCTTTTACCATACCTGACGGTCGTACACCGGCACTCGCAGGGACATTCCTGAAGGGACGACAATCCACGTACGGGTAACGTTGGTAATGACCCGGTCCCGACTCCCTCCTGCGCTAAGCTGGTCACGCACCAGTTTTAGGGCAGCAGGACGATCCAACCAGAACCCCGTCCACGCCCGCAGAGTGGCAAGGTGGGTCCCTTGATGTGGGTCTGTAACAGCCACCGTCCCCTCCGCCAATGGGCTTGTCCCAGAACGGCTCGAGGCGGTTAGCAGACGGACTAAAGTGACGTCGTAAGATTTAGTCTAGTCTATTTCGAGCGATGGTCCTACACCAACTTCGATAATCTAAAATCTGGGCACCCCCGATTAGTGCAAGACTGCAAGGTGGCGGTCGACCAGACCCAGCGGACGGGCGTTAAACACTAATCAGTCCAGTTGAGTGTTCAGCGTTAAGGCTGTCGAGCCTGTAACACTTTACCACTCTGGGTCCCCGTCCCTGCCGTCTTTTCCTTTCCTGCCCTGTGGTATGATACCTAATAATGGAGCAGCGATGAGATGGTCGTGCTTGTTGTATGATGAGTTGACTACCGGAGGATCGGGGCTTAGGGAGGGGGGAAGTGGATCTGCAGTGTTATGTTGAAGATCGTGGCAAACATGAAGACAGGCAGTACTGTACGGAGTAGGTGGTGCTACAGTACTACAGCCTACAGGTCTACAGTAGAGTACTTAGACCTGGACAAACGTGAGATGATGACGAGGATATTCCCATCCTCCAGATGAGTCCTCCGGAGGTGGTAATCCTGCGTAGGAAGGGGGAACGAAGGTGGCTCTCCATTTCCGAAGACAGGCATGCGCTGGCAGGTTAGGTACCCCCCGAATACCCTACCTAAACCACACTACGACAGGTGCAGGAAATGATGTGCAAGAATAATTTACAGAAAAGAGGGTGGCTGGCCCCACTCCGGGGGAGGCATTATTGGCCACGATGTGTCTCGGTACCTTTCCCTTGAACCGTGCCACCTGGTAAAAAGGAGTTATAATAATAATAATAATCATGATACCGGGCAAACCCTGCCACAGTCAGAGTTTAGGATGGATCCGTGGCCCTGTGCGGTCTTCGCGGCTTCGACAGTTTTCCAAACCGAAACCTAAATAGATTATGTAAAAGTACGTTTACACTTTCAGACATCTGGAGACTCGTTCCCATGGGTGAAGCCAGTGCCCAATTTAGAGGACGGAGATGGAAAGATGGTGATGTGCCGTGTCAGATTTGCACTATGCGCCAATGGTCAACAATAGAGCCCCAACTCGGATCCATTACCAACCCCTTTTACCTCCTGTTCTCCTGGACGAGAGGAAAGGAGGCCAGCAGTGTGAACGGTTGAAGACTGTAACTACCTACAGTGTACTCCGTACTCGAGGGTCGGTTACCAAGAATAGACAGACGATCCGCTGTCACGATAATCGCCGATGCGTCCTGCGAGAAGGGACCACATCCTCCTGCCACTTGTACTGTACGGAATAGACTACTGTAGTAGCCTTCGACAGGCGACTCATGAAACCCGGGAAGACTCAGAAGTCAGAAGGTTTGATGTTACGGAGTACGAGGCCACGGACCAGGAGGGCGGCATGCAGGTCAACCTGCAGCTAACAGATTCTCCTTGGTCCTCAGACATTCCATGCGGGACCCTATCGTTGGATTCATTGGAACAATGGAATCGCTCTTCCACCTTGGGTCTCAATCCTGATGGCCCCCCCCCCCCCCCCCCCCCCCGGATCCAAATTTCTTGTCGGAAGACTGAATCATGGAACCCCTCGTCTCACCGCTCTTTAAGACCCTCGATTAAGGTTGAGATTCTATCATTTCGTTGTCGCTCGACGGAGTACTGTCGATTCATGACGAATCAACTGTAGTCGTCGTCTAATTGTTCTCACTGGTGGACCCGTGGGGAATACATCGAGTCATCGGCACGGATCAGTGTACGATGTGTCGATGATCTATCAAAGAAAGTGCCCAAACCGGGGGAATTCTCTTTCTCTCAAACACAACCTACTCCTTGCGTGGTATCTCATAACGGGGGGTGGGTCGAACCTGGACAATCTTTCGCCCATGAACGAGAGTGTTTGGGCTAGTCTGGAAACGAAAAACAAGACAAAGAGAGGGCGTGAGAACCGGAAGTTCGTTAACTGGGTATGCAGATGTCAGCATCCAGGTGGTTGGTGCTTGCTGGTAAGGGTTGCAATGCGGGTGCAGGGATAAAAGTGTCGGCTGGTGGTTGGAGCTACTCCGACGCCGAATGAGAACTCAAGCCAGGGAATAGATGCTGATTGCATGGGCGCTTAACGATTGGAGGCCTTACGAAGTCCTGTCCAGGAGTTAGTCTCGAGCTCTCGAGTCTGACGCAAGTACTCTCTACCTAACTACTACGGAGTACTCCGTACAAGCTAACGATAGGTACTTCTACCTAGTGTCTGACCGTATCGACCGACCGGGGTCAAATCCTCAGATATGACCGAATACCAATCAGCATTTACCCGGAGATGCGCCAGGAATTCGAGATCCCCATGCAGGACTCTTCTGTAGGCACCGTCATCTGGGGAGCGCCTACATACAGTAGGACAAGGTACATAGAGACTGAGTACATACATCCACCCTAGTCCGACATGGTCTTCAGGACAGAGTCCCACGAGCCAGTTTTATTGGGTGCGTCCTCGACCCGTGGCCGTCAACATGGGCGCTTGCTGAGACTCCGGCCGATCGATCAAGTGTTTCACATCCCTTGCGTGGTGGCATGTAGCATTCATGTCTCCTAGATAGGCATCCCGTGCCGGCCAGCCTATTGGATCTTAAACACTGAACGATTCTTTGCCCAGATCTTGATTCCGGGCATGCAATCCAGACCAGCAAGAATCTTGAGAATCAAACCAGCCTTGGCTATTCTTAGACGGATTCTCTGGTTGGTGGTCGATTCACTTATTTTGTCGCGCATACCGGACGTACTGTACTCCGTACTCACTCGGCTTGAGGCACTTCTGATTCAATAATGCTGATTTAGTGATATATCGCATGTTTTTTTTTTTTTTTTTTAGAAGCATTATCAACGGATGATTCTGAAAAGTTAACTGAACTGATTGAACTTCATAACAGCCTAAGTGCACGATATCGTCTTGAAACTACTAGACTTTTTGAGTTTAAATGATTAGAACACCGGGTTCATGAACCTATTTGAGTATAGGCTAGGAATTCTACTATGTATAGAAACCCAATGCAATTCCAGTTACTCCGTGAATATATATTCAGTATTGATATACTGGCTGTAGTATATGCGTATATGCATGGACCCATGCAATGATAATGACATCTCAATGACCAATGAATTGTTGGTCGGAACCCGGATACTGGAAATGCTGAGGTTGAACCGAAGACTCCAAATGGTCCGTAGAACAATGTTTCCAAATCTGTTCAAACCTACTTGTCAAGATTCCTGCTCTTGATCATCCGGCCTAGGAGTTCCTTGCAGTGCTTTTCACTGTACTGCTCCCAGACCTCATACAGCGACACTAGCTCCTGGGTACACTCAATGACGGCTCGGACGTCAACTTCGCTCTCGGCCAGCCAAGCGATGATTTTCTGAATCCGAGCGGGTGGGCCGCTGCCGTTCCTATCCCCCAGTGCCGCTAGAATATTCATGCCCCCGTCTCGCATGGCCGAGGCTATGGGAGCCGCAGATCCATGGAAGTTGGTTTGACTCGGCTTGAAAACGATGGCGACGATAATAGCCATGACTGCAATGACATGGGGCGGATAAAGTAGTGGTAAGTCCGTCAGGTAATGATCGTTGATCACTGACCACGCGAGAGCAACCTCGTCGGACGTAAGAGCTAGTTCGGGCTGTAGCTCCGATAACGTTCGGTACGGGTGATGAACAATAAGCTGAGAGTTCATCTCGGAGATCAAGGCAAATTCACACTCGCCCAACTTCGAGACATCGGGAGCGATAAACTCTGCGCGGGTGTGTTAGCGGCTATGAACACCATGTCTTCCCGCACGAAGGTCATATATATATGAAGATGTCTCACCCGGCCAGAAGTTACGCGCTTCGGCGACGACAAAGCGAATGTGTTGAGGGCATTCCTCCATTTTGCAGGCGAGATAAAATGCGGTCGTTACGACCAGATAAGGGTTGGTGTGTCTGATTTCATTTTTGGTGTAGAACCTCTTGATGTACACTTGAGCCGTTGCGAGTGCCTGCTGTCGAGTCGACATCCTCTTTCCAAGTTTAATCAGTTCTGCCGGATTTTCAGCTCTCAGTCGCTGCGAGAATCATCACGCCACATCTCATCTTCTCTTACGTTGGCTAAAATAGATATTGAGCAACCTTTGATCCGGCAAAGGAAACTGGGAATGCGCGATCTTGTCTCGTTCCTTGAACCCTTCGCCGATCTCCATCAACCTTTCGCGCGTGAATAGCCAGTGTCGACGCTGAGTCGACGCCCAATAATTGGCAGCCATGGCCCGTTCAGCCCCGAAAGGGAGGGGAGACGGGAGTAGTAGTATATACTAGACCTAGACTGACGGAGATGTCGGAGCTTTGAGGAATTCCAGCATTAGATCCCGATCGACCGCACAGTCATGGCGTAGTTGAGGGGGATGCTTGTATATGTCAAGGTCTAGCGATGTAGGCTACTTGGCCAGCATGGATGATAGAATAGTAACGGAGTAGTACGGAGTAGAGAGAGCAGCGCAGGTGAGCCATCCTAAACAGGCCTAGTAGGGTTGGGCCCCCGTGGCAGTCCCGTGACTATCGGGTCCCGTGACGAGTCTAGTCCCGTGCAAGCCCGGGCCGACGCTCAGTTTTCTTCCGGCGGAATGTCGTAAGGCAAAGCAAATCATTGCGGCTGGATTTCTCATGGCTTCCGCGCTCTGTTTGCCATGTCCGCGGAACTACTGCGACACCCTCCTCACCCTCTAAACCACAACTAGTCTTGCTGCCCCCCCGCGGATTCGATGCCCAGCTGGTTCTTATACTCCCTCTTTCACGGCCGCGACAGGCTCCTTATCTCCGATCCTCAAACCCCGTGACGGAAAAAAAAACCCCTCCCCTGGGAAATATCATGTCGGGTGGCCGGTAATGGCTCAACTATCGAATATGGCACCCGACGAGTCGAAAGATGAACGTGACTTGCGAGTCGCGAAACTTTGGGAACGACTGGGGGTCCCTAGAGACGGTCGCTTGGATTTCAATGGGTTGAAGAAGGGGCTGAAGAAGATCGACCACCGTGAGCATGACCTGCAAAAGTTGTTCCCGTGCGTTGCTTGCCGCGCAGCCGACTGACCCGATGACTCTCCGTCTTGATAGCCCTCAAAAATGCGGACAGTATGCTACGGAATGTCATGAAAACCGTCGATACCAATGGCGATGGGTATATCGATTACTCAGGTAAGATCACGAGTCGGGACCATGGACGTGACTTGTTCCTCTCCTAGAGTAACTGGCAACACTGCCGGTTAGTTTTACAAGCCTAATGAGTCCCAGAATTCCGGGCCTTCGTCGACCATACTGAACATGGGTTATGGCACCTTTTCCAGAGTATTGATCGCAATCGCAACGGCGAAATTGACAAAAACGAATTGAAGTCCGCCTTTGCGAACGCGGACGTGACCGTGTCCAACGCCAAACTAGATGAATTCTTCGCAGACGTCGATACGAATAAAGATGGTGTCATTTCGTACGCTGAGTGGAGGTATGTACGCCGTCGATCATTGCCTCTCCGTTCGCTCGATATTGGCCTTTCTTTGCGCCCCCTCATTCCTGTTCTTTCCCCTCTCCTGACGTCTATACGTCATTTGAGGTTCTGGCTGACTCGGGCTAATGACTCGTGGTTGATAGGGACTTCCTCCTTTTATTACCTGCCTACTCGTCCTCGAACCTGCACGCTGTTCTTTCATACTACACGGCCACGGGCAATCTAAACCCGGAAGGAGATGTCCACATCAATGATCTACAGGGTTTAGGTACAGACCACACGTTTCCTAGCCGTTATATTTTGGCCATAAAGAACCTTTTGTACTATATTTTCCCAGTGCACGCCTTGGCAACTCTCATCCCATCGGCTTATGCGGAAGTCGGCGGGGTGTCTACTCCCGGCCCTGCGTTTGACCATGCTTCTGGCCCCTTAGACGGCGACTTCGAATTGGAGTGGCTGCCTATACCCAGGACTGTCGCCATGTGGATGTCCTTCCGATATTATGAGCGAAAGTTGACAGAAAACACTCCTCAATTAGGTTATTTTCTTGCAGGCGGGATTGCTGGCGCCGTATCACGAACAGCAACCGCGCCCTTGGACCGATTAAAAGTCTATCTCATTGCACAAACCGGTGTGCAAACGGCTGCTGTTCGTGCGGCCAAGGATGGTGCGCCGCTGAAGGCGGCGGGAACCGCGTCAAAAACGCTCACCGACGCGGTCAAGGAGTTGTGGCGCGCAGGAGGTATTCGGAGTCTCTTCGCAGGTTGGTTTCGCTCCGGTCAATGCGAGAAAGGGGACTTGACTAATAATGGTAGGAAATGGATTGAACGTGTTGAAAGTCATGCCCGAGTCGGCCATCAAGTTCGGCGCTTATGAAGTCAGTTTTTCTCCTCAGGTTAATTGACCGGTCTACAACATGCTAATGCGATGAGCTTAGTCTGCCAAACGCGCCTTTGCCCGCCTTGAAGGCCACGGTGATACCAAACGTCTTGCGCCGACGTCGCAGTTCCTATCCGGAGGGTGCGGTGGAATGGTTGCCCAGTATGTCATGCTGAGGATCCAAATCAACTCCGAATACAAGCTAACCGGAGGTAGATGCTTTGTTTACCCACTTGATACTCTGAAGTTGTGAGTACATTTATCCATGCAGTTTCGTTCTTGGACATCGGAAGCTCATATTATCGCAGTCGAATGCAGTGCGAGACGGTCGAAGGCGGCCTCAAAGGCAATCAACTTATTGCAGCCACAGCGCGCAAAGTCGTGAATAAACATGGCCCATTCGGCTTTTTCCGTGGCCTGCCGCTCGGACTTTTTGGCATGTTTCCATATGCTGCGATCGACTTGACTACGTTCGAATACCTGAAACGCGGCTTACTTGCGCGCAAAGCTCGCATGCACCACTGCCATGAAGACGACGTCCCTTTGAATAATTTTACTACCGGAGCTATTGGTGCGCTTAGTGGAGGATTGAGTGCTTCTGTCGTCTATCCGCTCAACGTTCTCCGGACTCGAATGCAGGCTCAAGGCACCATTCTCCATCCTCAAACTTACAACAGCATTAGCGAAGTTGCCCGCAAGACGATTCAAGCCGAGGGCTTCCGTGGATTCTACAAAGGACTGACGCCGAACCTTCTCAAGGTTGCGCCCGCGGTTTCCATCAGCTACGTTGTATACGAGAACGCCAAACGAATGCTTGGTTTGCGATAAAGCCGCGACTCGGTCCCGTTGCTGGTGGCTACCTGCAACTACCGCCGTGCTCTGGGACCATCCCTATTCAAAGCACGCTCATTTTCACTTCACCTTGATTTCATCAAATTCTAGAAATTTTCGCCAAGATACCCTCGAAGCCATCTAGTCCGATTTGGTCTCGTTCTTACCCTTTGGGTGGACAGTAATGGATCTCTCGCATGTGCTTGATACGGCATCGTCGCTCTATCTTCTTTCACATCACCTCCAATCTTTCCAAACGGATCTACTAATGGCTTTTTGTTTTGAGCTCATTTTGCGTTTTCTGGCATTGAGACCGGCGGTCTTCTCGAACGGCCATTCCATATTGGAAAGGGGCGTCCCGCCGACTTTGTTAGCATGGCAGGCGTCGTGCGTTGCAGCATACTCTGGAGTTCACTTTCCTGCTCGTCATCCATCTCATTTGTTCACCGGATTCCCCCCCGACCTGTCGAACCAGCCGTTTTCACCTGGTTCGAATGTACTTAAAACAGATTTCTTTTTGCTTCACGGCATCTATTACACTATAATGTGGGTGGAGAGAACATATACCTTGAAAATAGTTGATATGCATTTTCACATACTATTCTAGACTAGACTATACTATACTATTGGTTAATTATATAAATATGCAGTTGTTATCAACTACCTCTTTTGAAAATGCAAATAAAATCATCAATACCAGCAAAGCCAACGACCTCAAACATAACCCAAACCCCTTCTTTTCATGTCATTGGAATAGATTGTTTGCTCACTTCTTCACCGCAGCCACAGCCCTCACCTCCTCATCCTGCGGCAAGATATCCGGCACCGGTCCGACAGGAGTGATTCCAAACGGGTTAATTTGCTTATGACTCTTCGTATAATGTTTCTTGATATGTTCGAACTCCGTGGTATCCCGGAACGCTGGCACCTGCCAATACAAGTGTCTCAACCAGCGATGCAGCGCCGGATACCCGGATCGGATGTCCCGTACATTGCACTTGAAATGCTGCACGTAGACGGGGTCGAAACGCACGATCGTCGTGAATAGCCGGATATCGATCTCTGTGATCGATGACCCGAAGTAGAACGGGCCCTGCGACTGGGTGGCGGCCAGATGCGCCTCGACCTTGTCCAGAGAGGAGAAGAGCGTTGTGACGGCTTTCTCGTAGGCTTCTTGCGTGGTTGCGAAGCCGGACTTGTACACTCCGTTGTTGATGTCGTTGTAGGTCCAGTCGTTTGTGGCGTCGATCTCGGCGGCGAGTGCGCTGGGGTAGAGGTCGACGGATTGGTATTGCTGGGGGAGGAGGGAGTCGAATTCGGTGTAGAACATGCGGATAATTTCCGCGCTCTGGTGGTTAATCATGTTAGGTATGTGGTTGGTTGTAGATGACGCCAATTTTCAAGGTAGACATACCTCGTTGCTCACGATGCGCTGGGTCTTCTTATCGAAGAGCACAGGGACCGTGAATCGTCCCGTGTACTCGGGGTCATTGGAGAAGTAGAGTTCGCGCAGATGAGTATACTGCGGATGCAATGGATCCGGGACCGCGTTCTCGCCAGGCAGGTTCTCCTCGGGGGTTGCGAAGCGCCAACCTGTTCAGAACGCATCAGTCTTTGTCCCTTTTAATAACCAGACAGTTAAGACAGAAAAAAAGGGAAATCGAACCTTTCTCAGCAAGATGCCAATGCACCGAGGTGAACGAAATAATATCCTCCAGGCCCTTGAGCTTTCGGGTGATCAGAGTCCGGTGCGCTGTGTGTTTGATCATGTTAGTCCTCTGCTCCCCTAGGTCTCCTAAAGAGCAACAGTAACAAGAGATTAGACAACACCCACCCCAAGGACAGGCATACGAGACATAGAGGTGGTAGCGATCCTTCTCCGGGGGAAATTCCGCGCCGGGCTTGCTGGAGATCCAGTTCCGGAAGACGGACTGCTGACGCTTGAATTCACCGGACTTGTCGTTGGGATTGACCCAGTCGGTGATCTTGTGAGTGTTTCCAGTCTAGATTTGGTTCGCTGGCAGTTAGTCTTTGAGTAATTGGCAATAGGTAGGGCATGTATGGTAGCTTACAGCCATCGTGCGTGGAGCGATTGATTGTGCGGAGATGCTGGATGGGAACCCCGCGGTAGTGTTGAGCGGCAGGATGTGGCGGGAGGATAGCTGGAGACGACGGAGGGCAGAAAACATGAGAGGTGAGGGGCAGAGAGAGAGAGATTGAGGGAACGGCGTCGATACGAGGAGTATAAATAGTGTCTAGAGAAGGTCTGGACGGGGCTGGCGGCGTCGCGGAGAGGAAGACGAAGCCCAATCAGGGTGCGGGGATCGATGACGTGTGCTGACAAAGCGACGCTTGGTCATTCTTACGGGATTCTTATGAGACACTTAGTGATGGATGGTCCTTTACCAATGGCTTTCTAAGTCTTGAATAATCTGGCACTAAGATAATAGAGGCACGTTCACTCTAAGCAGCGCTCCACATGCTTTTCACCTTCTCGTCTACTTCCTCAGTTTCACCATCACATATGGAATCTCGACATCCTCCTCCGTCTGATCTTCGGCGGTCACCTCGAAAATGATATTTCGCTGGTGCTCGGGCACGGGCTTTTTGCTGACATGCTCCACCAGTTTGCTCATTCTGTGCAAGAGGATGTTAGTCGATCAACAGAGAATAGAGGGGGGTGGATAACGTACGGCAGCGGAAGGCGGTCCTTCACCTTCGATGGGGGATAGAAGCTGGCGTAAAGCAAACTCACTCCGGAGCTCACCATGCTAATCTCCAATCCAAGATCGGAGAAGTACTGAAGGAAGTCCTTGAGGGGAATGTCATCCACCTCAAAGCGATCCCAAAGCTGATCGATGGTCTTTTCACCATCCTTGCCCATGTACTTGCCCTTGGGACTGGCGATAGGCTCACTGAAGCCGACGAACGGCAATGCAAGGTTGACAAAGCCGTTCTTGTATTTCTCGATATCATCCTGGCCATCAACGATCTTGTACAGCTCCAGGGCGACCAGTCCAGTAACCAACGCAGTAGTGGTGGCGATGGCAGGAATGATCTTGCCCGCAATGAACTTGGTCTTGTGGCGGTCGGCCTGAGGAATTTCATAGTTGTCGGCACGAAGGTTGCTGGCCGCAGTGATGAAGTCAATGTGATGGTTGGTATCATCGTCCTTCTCGAACTCCACCGGGGTCAGACGGAAGCCGGCAAGCGAGTTCGGCGAGGGCAGAGAATCGACAAGGCGCTGGATCTCTGTATTATCATCGAAAGAGGATCCCGAAGCCTGGGCGTTCGGGTCGGGATCGTTTTCGTTGGCCTGGATCTTCACGCCGGACTTCGGAGTAAACTCGGGGATGATGATGTTGTCAATGACCTTGCGGTAGTACTCCTTGTCGGCGCCGGGGTTCTTGATCCCGTAGTTGAAGGCATGCAGGTTGGCTCCGGCGATCACAAATCCGAGGTGGGTAGGGTTTGTGGCGTCAAACTTCAGTGGCGTAGGAGCACGCTTGGGCCCAGACCAGAAGGGCTGACCGGACGAGGTCTTCGAGTCCTTAGGGAAGTTGTAGAGCAGCTGTTGGATTGCGTTGTTGTACTGGGCCTCAAACTGGTTACGGGCCCAAACAATGCAATCATCAAAGGTCAATGGCTTGTCAGCCACCAAGAACTCGTGCAGCGACTCCAGAGTCTGCTTCTCGTTGCCGGCTTGTTTGAGGGTTTGTTCAATGTAGTTCGGCTGGGACAGGTACATGTTGACAGACTCGGGGGGTCCGACAAAATAGGTCTGGAAGAGGTCCCGGGCCCAAGCAATAGTATGCTCAATCCGGTTGGGGAAACTCTTCAGCGTGCACATGGGGAACGTCTTCTCCGGGGGATCCTGCGAGCTTGAGTAGGATTCCGTGATGTGCGGCAGGACCACCTGAGTGTTGCCCTTGGTACCGAGAGTTCCGCTCTCAAGGAGAGGCTTTCGGAAGAAGACACAGCGGCGATCAACGTAGGTTCTCGCGTCGACATTGTCCAGGGCGTTGGTGACTCCGTCTAGCTTCTCCCAGAAGTCTTCATTGAAGATATGCTCGGTATCGGGTCCCACTCGGTCCCGCAAAGTGACAATCTTGCCCTTCAATTCAGGGTTCATGGCCTCGACCGCAGCGGAAGCGCACTCACTCTTCAGTTTGCCCACGTCTTTCGAGCGGAACAGGAATTGTCGGTTGAGGTTGCTCTTCTCGATCTGGTCCATATCGGTCACATAAATCTTACCCTTGGGACCGGTACCAAGACCGATCATGGCCCAGTTTTTCAAGGTCTCACATCCAATAGCTCCAGCTCCAACGAGGAACTGGGTAACATTGGAGATCTTCTCCTGGTACTCCTTACCAAAGACGGCAATTTGGCCGTCATAGCGGGTTCCCAGAGGTTTGCAGCTCTCCTCAGATCTAGTGACTGAGGTGGGAAGGGACTCCAGAGAGTCCACGTATAGCCATTGCTGCACGGGGCTGAATTTTCCAGAAACAGCCTTCAAGACTTCCTGCGCCGCAATACCACCAAAGAAAGCTGCCAAGGGGTTCAAGTCACCGCGAGCTTGGTAGCTGAGCTCCTTGATAATTTTCTCGTCCAACTCGACCTTTTCTTCTTGAGTCGACGCCAGATCCTTGGTGAGCTTCAGAACCTCTTCGGCATCGCTCTCGTTGTGAGGACGAGGAAGCTGGCCATCGTGAGCCTCCGCGAACCTATGAAGTGCCTGAACACCAATGTGCAGCTGCTGCGGACGATCGAACTTGGCAAAGTCCGAGATGACAAACTCGGGCTTCTTAAGTTGCTCCTCGAGCGATTGGAAGTCCACAAACTTCGGCATCTTGACCTGAGTATACAGACCACCTTCCTTATACGTTCCGAGTCCGGAGACGTCACCGATAGAGAACGTGTAAGGTCCCTTAACGGTAATCTTCCGAGGGGCAGAGTTGTTCAGAGCCTCCATACCCTTGACTTCGGTGAATGTCACGAAATCGCCGTCTTCCAGGCCGTGGCGGGTCTCATCCAGGGCGGAAACCAGGCCAGTCTCATCGATGCTGGCCACGATACCGCCGACGGCCTCTTCGCCCGTGGCGTCTCCGATGGTGAAGTTCTTGCCGAAATCGTTGAAAAGGTAGCCGAATAGACCGAATGTGTCCGCAATAGTCAGGTAGATGCCGTTCTTGTGGCAGAAGTCTGCAATAGCGAGTTGTTCTTTCAAAGGCGTGAGGGTAAGCACCACTGCCTGGTAGCGCTTCAGCTGCTCAAGATCGTTCACAAGACTATCACCCTCGTGGACCGTGACCGGGACGTATGAATTCAGTTCCGCGACCCTCGGAGCCGTCACTTCGGCACGGGGTTTGCCGACATCTTGGGGTTGGAGGAAGAACTGGGAGGACAGGTCCGAAATGGCAACGGGGGCAGGATCGAACAACGTGAGAGATTTGACACCGGCGAGGGCAATGTTCTTAGCTGAGAGATATAGTCAATACAAAATTTCCGCGGAGACACAGCAGCTTGGGTACCTACCGATTTCAACACCCAGACCCTTCAAGCCCACGACAAGAACATTGGATGATCCCATACGCTTCATAGCCTCATGACCAAGCACGTACCTTCGTTCGAGAAAGGTTGGAGATTAGTATAGCTCCTAAGCTTGAGATATACTAAAGGGTGACCTACAGCTGTCGGCTGTACAAGGACTCATCGATTTCCCCCTGCTTGATCATTTCCACAGTTTCCTGGGGGTTATCCACCTGCATTGTGGAGTCCTACAGCATGTCAGAGCCCCGGTGGTTACACAAAGATCATCGACGTAGCAGATTTATCAACATACCGTCATGATCTTCTTCTCCGGTCGAATGGGTGCTTTGTCCGCGGACGCTCTCCGCTTTCCCGGCTTCTCAGCGTCACGAACAGGGATTTCGGAAGGAATCGTGAAGATTGGTGCAACGAAAGCCTTGCTTCCAAGCAAGACTTTCCGACAGTGGGATGATGATGTCTACAACTGCCAGTGCAGACTGACTTTAGAGAGGGGTAGAGGCGGTCAAGTACCGGACGAGGCGAGGGGAGAGGGAAGGATGCAGAGGAGTTCTCTGACGTTTAGATGTGTATGTGATAGAAAAGATCGGATTCACAGGGTCTGGAGATGCTAGAGACAGATGAAGAGGAGGTGGCAGAGAAGGAACGAGAACCAGCCAACTGAATAATCGACCAGTCGGCGACGTAAGAGGGACAAGCTGTCGCGGCTGACTCAGCAGCCGAGGCCCGTGATTGGCCACAGCCCCGCGGGATGGCCTCAGGCTGTCTGCCCACCGCCCGTGACTGCGCGTGACTGGGACCTCCGAGGAACTCCGTCATGGCTGCTTCTTTCCGGCAGCCATGAAAGTGATGACGGACCATGCCATTCATAGCTCATTCTTCTGCTATGGGCAAAGGCAGCTAACCCCTCAACTAGCGGAAGTTATAAGAACAGCGAGAAGGTGAAGGTCCCCCTGCCTCTCCCCTCTGCCTGCAGGTACCGAACTCTACACGCGACGCGCGCTGCACCCGGAATTCTACATGGAAGCAACAAATCAACAGTCGGTCGATTTATATGTGTCGGTACGAGATACTGGGTCGCGGGCTATTATATTGGCAGCGTAAGAAATCCAAAAAAGACATAGAGCTTTCTTCTAGGTCAGTCTTGCGAACTGGTGCCGCAATTGTCCACTTTGGTTATCATTGCGCCTTGCCTGACTTCCTCCGCAGAGAGCTCCCAACAGAATGCTCCACGAGGTCCTCCTCTCCCTATCCGGCCAACCGTCGCCATTATTCAACCTCTCCACCGAAGAAAACCTCGTCGCTGAAGATACTTTTTCCCTCCTGTCTCCTCCGGAGAAAGCCCTCCTCACCCCCCTTGCCCGTCTAAGTCGACTACATGCCAGTCTGCGCACTCACACGGCTCGAATCTCCTCCTCCCATGACTCCGTGATATGTCGAGCCGTATCGACGGCAATCAGCACGCAACACCTTGGCGCGTTCCAGAAGAAGATCATTGAGGTCGAAAGAGCAATCCTATTGGAAGACAGTGGATATGTTGGCGGGTATGGAATTGTGCCATTGTCAACTATTGTTGGAGAGTTTTCGCCCTGGACGCGACGACTGGAATGGCTGTGGGAGGTAGCGAGGTTTATTCTGCCCGAGGGGAGGCACGATAGCTGTACTGGTGCATCTTTGATCGACTTCCTTCGGGCAGAAGCGCAGACTGGATACGCGGATATTGAAGAAATGGCATTGCACCTGGTCGGTGCAGCCGAGACGGCTTGGATGAGGCAATTGTCGACATGGCTGTTGTATGGGAATTTCCCAGTATTGGGAAAAAGCGATTTCTTTATACAAGACGAAAGTGCAAATTCTGGCAATCACTCCGCAACTACGTCCAATTTTATTCTACATACAAAGCTGCTACCAAAGTTTGTTTCGCAACAGACGGCGTCGTCCATCTTGTTCATTGGGAAAACTTTGAATCTCATTAAAGCAAAGCGAAGTACTTCGACAGGGGGCTTTTCAAGTGGACTCTCGACGGCACCGGTCACTCTTCATGGTGATCACATCGAGTATCTTGCCGCCCTCAAATCTCCTATATCCACTTCAAAGCTATCCATGGCGATAAAATCGATCCGCTTATCGTTGGCGCAGAGCACAGTTTCCAAGCTCCTCCCTCTTCCGAAGATTCTCGAAGTTCTATCTGTTCTCCACGACTTTTTGCTGTTAAGGCGTGGTGAATTTGCGACTGCTTTGGTATCGCATGCTGATCGCCGGCTACAAGAAAGACGTCGAAAACCAGAGGCCCTAGGCCCCAGAGACAAACCCGCCGGGGTTCTCCGAGGCCTCGCCGTTAAAGAGGGCGACGTTACGGCCGCGTTGGCACAAACCTGGGCCGAACTTTACTCATTACAGAATGAGGAGGACCCTCAGGACGACGAGCTTGATCTTGCTAGGGACCTTCTGAGACTGTCAGTTAATGACTCAAAGGAAAGCCAGCAGTCAGTCGAAGATGGGGTGGACCTTGGGCAGGTTAGCGACATTTCTAATATTGTTTTCGAGGATCTTCTTTTCCCAACACCGACATCACTTTCGGTACAAGTACGCCCACCTCTCGATTTATTCCTCTCCTCTTTCGACATCTTCACTTACTCTAAAATCCATTCTTACCTGTTGGGTATCCGGCGCGCTCAAATACATCTCGGTGACTTATGGAAGCGTACGTCTTTGCGCAGGAGCTATCCATCACCATGGGGCCCACCTCGAAGCAGTACTGTTTTCGGACAAAACAAGCTTAAGATGGGGCGGCAAAGGGACAACGCACGACTTCATCAAATGAGGCCAATTTGGGCAACGAGCAGTGCCTCGCTTTTCGTGGTGTCTGAGATAGGGAGTTTTTTCCAGGGTGAAGTTATCAACGGCTCCTGGCAACACTTTCGAGACTGGATTGAGGGGCGACCAACTTCCGTAGGCTCGTCAGTTGGTTCCCGACCGCAAACTGCAGCGTCGTCGAAGACCCAGGAATCCGGCTTCGAAGGATTTGGTCAAACTGCGACCCAGCGACATGACCCCGAAACATTGACCATTGCACATCGTGGGTATCTACTCTCTATCGTGCAATCTCTATTCTTGACGGATGTGCCTTTCACCAAGGCTTTACGGTCCTTTCTTACAAGCGTCGATCATTTCATCGCCCTAGTGGTACGCCTCGAAGGCATTCAACGAAACATGGATCTTGAAACGGATGAAGGCGTCGTGGATGCACTGGTAGACTATGCCGGAGAAGAAAGAGAAGTTTGGCAATCGTTGAGTGCTGCGCGCCATCAGGTGGAGGTGGGAATTAAGAACGTCGTGGCCCGGCTAAGGGATATTGACGACAATCGATCAGGAGAGGGACGAAAGATGTTCAATGCAGCTAGACCACACACTGGACTCTTGTCAGCTCCCCCGCAGAGCGGCACCAGCGCAGAATCGGCCATCGATCATTATGTGCCACGGAAGGCGGCTGGAGTTGACCGACTGCTGATGAAACTGGACTTCGGGAATGCCAATGGAAGCGTCGACGGGGTAAACATGAAAGCGCAGTGACGAATGTAATGGTCTCTAGAAGAGTAGTTATCAGATATCAAGTGTCAGGGCAAATCAGCTAGTCCCGATCCGGCTAGTCCAAGCAAACAAGCAAACATCCACTTTGATTTTCATCTAAAAAGAATCTCGAGAATCGCTCTTCTTCTGCCCAAGGAGTACGCGCGTTCGGACTGCGTGCCTGAACTAAGTACCAATCCCTCAATCCTGAGGAGAGTCTTCCGCTATTCTGCGCGTATGTCCTGGCTAGAGTTTCTTGCTTCTCCGGAAGCATCATTGGAGCATTCCACGGTCGCGAAAACCACTTTTATTCTATTCTATGGATAAGACACGTCTTCCCCTGGGCTGATGATTTTTCATCCACAACTTTTCCATCAATGTGGAAGTAGGCATTGCTTTGCATAGCCTATCTCACGCACCAAAATGGCCACGACTGAACCAATCAGTCATCGTGATGACGAGTAAAACGGTTGGGGATCCAGGGACATCTCATCAACATTCAACAGTCAAACTTTCTGCTGTCTATCGGCATATGGGCTTACTCGGTCTCCGGGCCGCAGCACTCATGCAGGAATATCGACAGATTTCTCGCCGGAGATTAAACAAAAAGCAAAGAAGATAAAACTCTGAAGACGCACATGATTCAGGGTCCAGTCTTGTCACGGTTGCCTATTTGGGTAACCCGAGGGGATCTCCACCCGAAAGGATAGTTTCATTTGCCTGCGGATCTCGTCCAGTTCTGCTCTCTGCTCTGGTTTGTCGGACTTGCATTCCTTCGAATATTTATTTTTACTTTGACTTTCTATGCTTCTTTTTTTATCTTTCGATCCGGATGCCGTTTTCTCCCTGGGACCCGACATTGCGGCCATCAATGGAATTAGGGCTGATTATTCCGCTGCCGTCCGCTGCTTTGGCCGAAGATGATATTGAGCGCAAGGGGGGCCAAGAGGGAGAGGGAACCCCAGATCCGCGGAGACGGGGATGAAGGGAAAAGGAATTGATTGGCTTGGCGGATCTTGAGGCATATTCCCTGACCCATATGGCATGCTACGAGCCTATCTGCCTATCCTCCTATCGGCTCGCCCATGGAATTCGCGGGATGTCATTTTTCGGATGCCAGGCTGCGCTGGCAAAGTGGCAACCGGCAAAAGTACGGTCCTTTTTGTGGGGAAAGGGGTCAATTCCCAAGAGACAGCTGTAAGGAAGGCCGATCCTCCCTTCCCCTCCCCGAACACACGGTCTCGAAGGGATTGGAAAATAAGAAAAGGTAAAAGGATCACCAGACGGGAAAAATCATCACTTGGTTCTCATCCAAGCCACCGACATTCACGATATACGCTATTGCTTAGGGGACGTCTCATGCCCTCCACCGTTGCTATAATAAACATCGGACGCGGGGAAACGGCTTACAGCATGGAGCAGAGAGAAAATCTAGAAGGATGAGTGACCTCCCGAAGATTGGGTCCCGGCTGCAAGGATAAACCAAGATCAGCCTGTCGAGAACGCGAATCGAACCAGCACCTTCCTGCAGGATTGTTCCACTGGAGCGTTCCATCCTGCGAGGGCGGATTACACCACCACTCACGATGCCGAGACGGTCATTGGAGGGAAGGGCATTCACCAGCGCTTCCGAAGCATACTAGCCAGTGCCAGAAGCTCCTCCCTCCCATATGCATTGCCCTAGCGGAGTGGAACAGAATCTCAATTCAATCACATTCCTCAAAACGAAGAGAAAAGAGGAGCTCAATTCGATTCAGATAACTGAATCAAATGAAGCGCGGATGATATTCCGGCCAGGCCGGCGCCTTTCTTTGTTCTTTGTTTTTTTCTTTTTTCCTTTTCTCCCTTCCACCCCTTTGACCGCTACTATCGTCGGGGACACGTTCCGCCAAATCTGAATCTGACCCAGCTTCTCGGCCCTCCATACTCGGGAATGCCGTTTCGGTGGGGCATTCCACGAATGAATGATCGTCATCCCTCGATCAAATGATCAAGGTCGCTTACCGTTCTCAGCGGTCCTACTACCGCGAAAGGTCACGATGGCTTCATGGACCCAATTCTCCCTACCATTGCAGTACGCTTCGTATCCAATGCTCGTCCATGGCTGTCTTTCCCCCTCCCTCGGTGGCAAGCTTTTTATGGGGCATAGCTTGATGCATGGGCTAGCCCCATGCCCCCATGTACCGTAGATGCTCCCGGGCGATGAATTGGTCTGGGTCGTTGAAATCACCGCCAAAGCAAGCAGTTCTGGATCCCGATGGCGGACCCATCGAGGTAATCACGCGGTCATTCTGTTTTTTCCTTGCTATGCTTGTTTCGGCTCCTTCGTGCAACGGAAGTTGATTTTCGCTTTCGGCCGGCTACTTTTACTTTGCCCTGGTCTGGCTCCTCCCAGATCTATAAACCCCAGCTCCTCCGAAGGAGAGACAGAGCAATCGTCTTCTGCTCAATTCGTATCGCGGTCCCATTTCTCATTGCGTGTCTAGAAAAACTTGCTTGCTACTTTCTTTTTGCCGTCTGGACCCTACGACTGCCTATCTCTTAATACTTAATTTTTTTTTTGGGATATCTTCTTTTCCTCTTCTTCACAACAATGCCTTCCACCATGTCCCGATCGCTGCTCCAAACGGCACGATCATTCCAGCCCTCTTCTAGACCCCTCCCTCTCTCACGGGTAGCGTTCTCTAGTACACATAGCGCCAACCACATCCAGACCCGGATGTCCTCGATACCGCAGGGAGGCAACAATGGTCCCCGGTTCAAGGAGTTTGACTTGGCAGACCGCGTCTACGCCATCACTGGTGGTGGCCGAGGACTTGGACTGGCCATGGGAGAGGCTCTGATGGAAGCGGGCGCTAAAGGTATGTGTGCCTATCCGTCGTCGATTTCCTCTGAACTCGAAAGCTTACCAGATCTTGAATCCAGTACACTGTCTGGACCGTCTGGACAACCCTCACCCCGACTTTCTGAAAGCGAAAGAGCACGCCGAGAAGGAGTACGGTGGCAGCATTGAATATCACCAGATTGATGTTCGTAACGACGCAGAGGTCAACGAGGCCTTTGCCGAGATTGCCGGCCAGAACAAGCGGTTGGATGGCCTGATCGCCGCCGCCGGAATCAACCACCTTCAGAGTGCCCTTGAACACTCCCAGGTTGCTATGAACGAAGTCATGCAAATCAACTACAACGGGGTTTTCAACTCCGCCACCGCCGCTGCGCGACAAATGTTCAACTACCAGCAGAAGGGATCCATCCTCCTGATCGCGAGCATGAGCGGACTGATTGCCAACAAGGGCATGACCTCGCCCGTCTACAACTCCTCCAAGGCCGCCGTGATCCAGCTGTCTCGCAGCTTGGCCATGGAATGGGGCCGCCACGGTATTCGGGTCAACAACCTTTGCCCCGGTCACATCATCACGCCCATGGTCGAGCAAGTGTTCCAGCAGAACCCCGCCGCCCGGGCCGTCTGGGAAGCCGAGAACATGCTCGGTCGTCTGGCCTATCCCGAGGAGTTCCGCGGTGCTGCCCTCTTCAGTATGAGTGACGCCAGCAGCTTCATGACCGGAAGCACCATGGTCATCGATGGAGGTCACACCGCGTGGTAAATATGCCGAACAAAAGACTCAAGATCCATGTTACGCAACCCTCGAAGGGAGTAACTTGAAAAGACAGACCAAACAAACGACTGGATTTACGGATAGACAAAGGGAACTGGGATAACGCCAAAAGAGAAGAAAATCAAACCTGAATTTTGTATAGCCCGCGCACGGAAGTTGGAGGATACCCGAAGAACATTTGCATAGTCGACAAGGCTGGGAAAAAAAAGGAGAGAACATTAGTCGCCTTCTCGATGTATCATACGTACACCTTTCGCACCTCCTTCATTTTCTTATTTTTTCTCATTTCTCGAATTCTTTTTGTTGATTGATGCCCCTGGGTTTGCTTTTGAGTTTTGATTCTGGATATCTTTTGTTACTTCCCTTCTGCATGATGAATCGGTTAGTTGAAGCGCATCAATATCAATTCTTAATGGGTGAGACTAGACTGGACCTAGTCTCTGGATTTATTTATTTCATTCGTTCGGCATAACCTTGATGTCTATTTCTTACCGTTTTTCATGTTCATTCTGGTTTCAACCATAGAACTTATAATAATACTAACCGCTATGACCTTGATATCCAATCAATGATCCCCAAATAACGTAGCAAATCCAAAAAGGAGAACCTGAGGTAAGATCTATACAATATACGTAAATCGCTCCTCCACATTATACCTCAAAGTAACGCCCCTTCGACTCGCACGATCCCCCATCAACACCTCACTCTCCTCCGCCGCAGCACCAGCAGATGCAAAAGCAGCGTGTCCACCGCCCTGCATTTCAAACGTATCCTCCTCCCCTTTCCGCTGCACCCTGCGATTCGCCCTCTGCAGCAACACGCGCAACAACAACGCCAAGCCCGCCACCACCATCATGAAAAACGAACAGGTGGCCATGCCACGCACGTACCACGGGCGATCACTCGCGGGATACAGCCGTGTGCCGAGCAGGGGCCCGCACTGGCCAATGACATTGAGGACGGCGATGCTGGCGCCCTTGCCTTCCTTGGCGACGCGGTTGTCCATGGTCCAGGTCATGATCAGCGTGATGGCGGAGAAGAAGCCCGCCGTGGCCGGGTAGACGCAGAGGTAGCGGATGAGGACGTGCGCGGGCGTCGGGAGGTGTGTGTGGAAGTGGCCCGTCAGGGCGATGATTAGGTATGCGGTTGACGAGATCACGGCGTGCAGGATTAGGTAGGTGCTGCGGGAGCGGTTGCGGTCGGAGATGTAGGCGGTTATGAGAACGACTATGAAGGCGAGGAGGTAGGGTGGTGCGGAGAGGGCTTGTGAGGTGAGGGAGGAATAGCCCATGCTGGATTTTTGTAAGGTGGGTTGGTTAGCTGGTATGGAGCCTCGTGAATGGATAGCTAGGATGGGTATGAGGTTGTGGAGGTACACACTCTTCTATAATTGTAGGAAGGAATACAGGCATTGAACTGAATGCTACATTGCAGCTGAAGAACATGAACTATACGTCAAACGAAGATTAGTTAGCATGAATTTTTTTCGATATTAAGGGGATTTCGATGAAAAACACTTACAGCTGCAATATAAGACTTTGGATCGGCTAGGGTCTTTCCCACTTCCCTCCAATCGAATTTATTTTGATGCGATCCAGAAAAGTCCGTTTTATTCTCGCCCATTCGCAATTTAGCCACGGTTCTCTGGCGCGGATTCAAGAACCTGGCACTCCCAGGGGAATCGGGGATCAGCAACCAGGCGAAAACAGCCACAACAACGCTAGGAAACCCCTCGACCAGAAACAAGGTGCGCCAGGGAGCGATCGGGCCATTGCTGCTCAGCTTGACGATCACCCATGCTAGACTACTCGCGAACGACGAGGCCAAGGGAGCTGCAGAAATGAAGAGTCCGTTTCGAAAGGCCAGCTCTTCGCGTTTGTAGAAGAGTGATAGATAGAATGGCACACCGGGCCCAAATGCCGCTTCGGTGATTCCAAGTAGAGCTCTCAGAAAGACGAGGACACCAAACGAAGTAGCCAAAGACTGAAAGGTCGCCACGAGGCCCCAACCACATACGCAGAGTGCGATGTAGATGTGTGGTGGGACAACGCGGTACATAAGCGTCATCCATTCGAACAGAATGTAGGTGATGTAAAACGCAGTGAGAAGCCACTCATATTGAGAAGAAGTTAGCTTCAAATCTTCCATAAGTCCTGCAATCTTTGCATTTCCGATATCTGAAGCTAAAGTTAGCTACTCCACACTCACAGATACGCAAGGGGCAACGAGGGGGAAGTGCTGCTGAGACTAGAGCTTGTCGGTAACGTACTAGATCGATCTAGGAACGAAAGCATGTAAAGCAGCGCTAAGAACGGGATAAGCTTGCGATCAAATTTCTTCACAACCTCCCTCTCCTCGGCCATCGAGTATTTAGGGAGGCTGGACTGCTCAGAGTCGCGCGGCGCATCACCATAAGACTCGTAGCCCGGGTCGCTACCAGCATCGGAAAAAAAGTCCTCATCAAGATCGAGGTCTGTCTGGAGCTTCAACGAGCCAGGTGGTGGACGACGCCCACTGGATGGGACATGTTCTTCTTCCGATCCATCAGACACCGGCGTATATTGAGCGCTGGACGATCCGTTGCTGGAAGTGGAAAAAGCGGCCTCGGTCGGCTGCGGCCGCAAAAAGGCCATCTTCGAATAAAGGGGGTGTTAATATTTTCTAGATGTCCATGTCTAATAAGGATTAGAGATGGTAAAAGCACAGAGCCAGCATCTGAGAGGCACCGCTAGAAGTGTTGACGAACGAGAACAATACACCGATAACTAGTAAAGCATGCACCTCCATCGCCAGTCACGTGCATCAATGCACGTGGCATGCGTCAGGGGGCGTGATTTGCCAAGCATCACGCGGGTATTTGTTAAGTGCAAAAAGTTCAGTGCAATCATTCCATATTACAATACATTGAGAATGGAGTCACTTCAGGAAAACAACTGTTCCATGTACCCTAGCCACAGCCTATCCCCGACCCGACCCGACCCAAATTCAAGCGTCCTGGGCACTAATACGGACACTACTAAGACCGATATTCCGAAGGACGATATGAATCAACCGTAACTCGACGGTATCGCTTGTGTGTGGGTCTGCCCTGGTTGTCGTCAAAGTGGCGCTTTCGACCTCCACAGAGCTCAGCTGCCTTATCTCTGGCAAGGGCGAAGTTCCTCTGCAAATCCCCAACAGCGACGTGGTCCATCATCGCGTTCTGGCGGAGGTACAGAAGGGCATTCTCAGCTGTATCCCGAAGGAACCGAATGGCGGTCATGGAAGCGAAGCCATCAGTTTGTAGTTCTTCAAAGTAGTCACGCCTGGCTTTGTAAAACGCCTCCACTATTTTCTCAGCCTGGTCACGAACCCCCTGACTGTCGGACGCGTGGGAGGCGTAGCTTCGCCGTGGGATGTAGTGGTCGATACGATGCTCGTTGGGATCGATGTTTTCGGTGGCACGCACGCCACGGTCGCTCAATTCCTGCTGGGGCTGTTGGTTGCGAGGGAGACGGGTTTCTGGTATAGACTCAGTCTCTGATACGCGCGCGCTTTCATTAGGGGGGTGTCGGCCTAATGGCGGTTAATAGGTCTCACGAACCTCTATTCACAATAGACTGCAACTCAACATGCTGGGAGAGGATATCTTTGCTCTGCGATTCAGGGAAAATCGGAACGACCCCGAGAAATTCGGTCATGTAGAGTTCAAGAGCTCCGAGTTCTCGAGGATCTTCTCCGTACCGGGTGAGGACCAGTAACGCTCTGTCATAGATGGTGATCTGGTCATTCTCGGGGGCTTGAGAGCGACATCTGATCAGCGCGACCTGGCGACGGATGGCCTGGATGATGAGAGCCGACTCGTCTCTGTCTCTGAGAATGTGCTTGAGGGCCGGGCTAGGTTCAGAGACCTGGGTGTACTTGCGCACGAGCTCATCTACTCTACTCTCAAAATGCTTCTTGGAATGATGGCAGATGCGATTGGAGGACATGGCTGTGATGGAGCGTCCTCACTTTCAAAGTGAGGACGTGGCTGGAGGGTAGAGAGTGTGAAAAAGAGGAGGGGGAGAGTTAAAGTGAGTGAAGAAGCGACGGAAATGAATGATGACAACTTCCAGAACAAGTAAAAATTGGTGTTGATGCGCTCCCAATAAAGACCAAGGAGAAGACAAACAAGACCTACAAGCGCAAGAAGATCGGGTTAAGGTTAACAATAACAGAGACTCCCGGCATGGTAACGACCACGCCGGTAATCCTTAGAAAACATCCAGACGCCGGTGGTCCCAGAATGATTTACCAATTTTTGGTGGTATTCATCACTTCGTACACGCAGCGAGAAAAAAGATCTCTTGTCATAGAGAAGAATAGTGGCTCCAAGCATCATGTATAGTAAATTAATCATCATTGTCCGGGATTAACAATTTCTATAAAGCTCCCATAAGCTACAATAACAATAACCAAGCCAGACCGAGACCAAGCTGGCGCAAACCTGCATCCAAAAGCCCAAATTCCCTATGTTCGCCGTGACATTAAATCATAAACCTTGATGAGCAATCACATTCTGAGTGGGCTGTGAAAATCAATTTCTCTGCCCCCAGAGTTTGTTGATCTCGTCAACAAGTACTGACACCTCACTTCCCTCCCCATCCCCGGCGCAGTCCTTCCAAACACCGCCGTCTCGGACACACCAGGTCGAGTCATCCAGCCGCAGAGTACAGCTTGTCTTGACCCCCAGGTCAGCGCTATAAAGAGCACTGTCTCGCAGCAACGCAAGGCCACTCAGACCATCGTTTCCCGGGTCATCTTCTTGCTGACTAGCACACTGATTCAAGGCATCAAAATCAATGCCATGCTCCAGGGCGCAATGTTGCACAAGCTCCCGGTTTGGAATGTCTTCATATGAGCTGATAAGGCAATTGGCGAAGCCAAGAGAGCGAATGGTCGGCATGCGAGCATCGCCGCCCTCGGGGAACGGCAGTTCCTGGGCACAGAGAATGAGTATATTACCGATACATTCACTAGGACCATGTTTGCATTCGATGTCGGAAGTCTTGTGGGAGACTCTAAGCTGGGTGTTAACTCCGTCGCATAGTTCCAAGAAGAAGATGGAAAAAAAGAAAATAAGGTTGAGGATTTTCCCTTACGTTGCAATGAAGGACAAGTCGAAGTCCACCTTGTCGCTGATTTGCTCCATGGCTGGCACAACCAACTCTTGTAGGCAGTACTGAGCATCCGGGCATTTGCTCATGATGTGGGCCTCCAGAGGAACCTTGGAGGGTTCCTCGTCGGCGAGGTCCATCAAGGGCAGCTCCGCGCCCTCCGTGGTAGTTGAGAAACCATAGAAGATACGCCTTGTCAAGCCATGGCAGCTGAACAAGCGGAAGCCGGAAGCCGTCGAGGTCAAGGACCACCCTAGAACGAGCAAGGGTATGAAACTCAGGCCAATGATGGCGAGGGCGGCGACGAAGCGACGGCGTCGGGCGCACTTCGGGCTCGAGGCAGGAGGAACGGGAATCTCAACATCATCGTCATGACAGGAGCGGGTCTCGTCCCGAAATAGAAAAGGTTGTTTTTCCATGGATACCGGGAGCTGGGCGGATCGGATGGGAGGGGTGGAAATCATCAAGACTCAAGAAGTCTCAAAGTCAAGGGAAGGAAGGAAGATGTGGGGGAGGGAAAGTTGGGCGCTGATTGCGACTGCGGAGATGCCGAGTCCTGCGGAGTTGGCCTGAGGTTACACTCACACCTTCTGCCTGCGCCGGCCGCGTCGGGCCATCCTCGAGATCATCAACATTCGCGCGTCTTTGTTCGCTGCGTTTATATTATTACCCTGTCTTATGATTTATGCTACATGCAGACTAATACTGATCTTACTATGAACCGGGCCACCTGATCTTCTGACCCGGAATTGCGTGCTCCTTCAACCCGTGCTTATCTCGCTCATCTTCCGTTCAGGTTACATCGCTTGCGTCCATACCCACAACCAGGTACGCGATGAGGAATAGTCAGGAAACTTCGAAATCCAACGGAACATAAAGAATTTTCACCGCTGTCTCGAGAAATTGCGTCGCCGTGATATTCCATCGTCTGTATGACGGATGAGAATATCTACCGTTCAACACTTTTCTTTGCAACGCAACTACAAATTGGCTTCCTCGCTCAAGCATACCTCTTGCGACCCAACCGAGATTGCTTGACTCCATATACCACCTTCAACGGACTATGACATCGCTAGACTAGGGTCATGCACCTTGCGGAACGATCTACCCTTGTCTTGATTCCCACAAGCGTATGCAAGTCAGGCTACGAAGGTTGTGGCGGCGTAAACCTGCCTATGAAAGATCATAGCTTGCGTCTCGCCCCTCAATGCCTACTATCACACTGCATATACTACCATCCATGACCACACAAGTCTCGACCGTGCTGCATAACTCGCCAAGGACCGGCTAAGATGTTCATCAGCAAGAGAATTTGCTCAAACATCGGGATATCGTTTGAAGGGATTGTCCTCGGTGCTGTCGCTCCAGAAGCCCACTGGACAAATCTGCGGGACCATCCATACAAGCAAGTATAAAATGTTGCCAAATAGCCCGGAAGACTGTGGACACAATCACCACACGTCGAGTGTGGACCATTTGCCTTTTTGTCACACTGACAGCCTGGTAAGTCTAGACGAGCCGAATCTTTGCAATTAATAGAGATGTGGTGGAGCCTGACTACCAAGGCACAAAAAACCGTTGGAGTCCATCTTGGATCAGCCCAGACTCAATCCTACGAGATGCGCTCCACCGGTGTGTCATTATTGGTGATCTATGGAAAAGATCAACGTTTGACTAGTGGATAACTCACCGCTGTTCATCGTCGCGTCCTAGATTCAGCCTATTTCGGTCGACGTCCGATCCATGGCTGGTTAATGGGGCCTTGTCTCAGTTGCAATGCAACAATGCTAAAGGACCTACCACTGACTGCTGCTTTTGATCTTACCATACCAGATGGGTTGCGGGACACTGGACAGAAATGCATGTTGTACAGTAGGTATAAAGAAAGGTATGTATTCGTACTTCCAACGGCTGTAGCAAGTCTAACATCTACTCCTCCGACGTAGGCTTTCGGAAAGTAACATTGGGCTACTTGAATGTCACAGAAAAGTAATCACAAGTTCCACGCCGTACAGGCATCTATAATCAATGGTTCGCATGTGAGGTATCGATGTGCCCGAGTCCCGCTATACTTCCGCACAAAGGCCACACTGTTGATCGAGTCACTGCTCAGGATGTCTCACTCATTCCGACCTAGAAGGCTCCATTTTGTGCGGCTTTGATTGCTGGGAAAATATCGAAGCGCTCATCAATCTTACAGGTAACATTGCTCAACGTCCTCAAGCCCTCCCCGGTCTTAGCATGTAGGCCACACGGGTGAATGCTCGCCGGAAACCGGGTTGCGGGACGGACTGGAGTTCTCGAAAGATGACGCTTGCCGGGGGGGCTGGATGTTACTCTGGTTTTGGAATCCAGAGAGAGACCTTTTCATTTTCATTTCTTTAGGCTTGACTCATTTGTTCCTATCTTTGATAGGCCTCATTGGGAAGAAAGAGGAAGGAGGCCGGTACCGGACGTTTCACGCCAGTCGGCGGGGGGAGAAGGCCATGGCGCCAGTCGATCCAAGCGGGTTCCTTCCTCTAGACAGCCTAGAGGATAGAGAGAAAGAGAGGCAGTGGAGGCTTGGAAACCGCCGGCATTTGACTTGATGCTAGTCGACCAGGACCAAGTAGTCCGTGCATCACTGATTGATTAATGTTGACGACTAAAGCTGTCGGCTGAAACTGCCCCACCGTCTCCCACATGGCGTCTTTGCTTGGATCGAGTCATTATTGTGTGGATTTATTATTATTATTAGGTATTTCATTTGTCTTTTTATTTCTGTTTATTTTCCCTGGACTTTTGGGGCTTTGTGTCTGGGCTAGCGAGTTCGTGTTTGGGGGCATGGGCGTCCGGAATTGAATCAGTCAACTCCGAGTCGTTACAACGCCGACCCGCTTTATACGGATGCTTGGATAATGAACAAAGATATACGGAGGATGTCCGTGTGTCAGATGTGTCCGTATGAGTGGTGGTAGTTGGGGTCGCATTCGATTATTGTTCGAGGGGAGGGCGAGAGGAAAGGAAGATGGACGTAGATTAGGGAGTAGGGAGTAGTAGGAAGTAAAGTAGGACAATAATACGTAGCGAGTGGACCAACAAGAGAGCCTGGAGCAACTGCCTGTCAAGCGATAGTTAAGTTAGCATCATCGGCATCATGGACAGATCGAGGAGTGGAGGACATGCGACCAAACATCTAACAGCGTCACATCGCCGATGGTCGCATCTCCAGCGGCTCTGTCGGACTAAAGATTCTTTTCTTCTTCTCCTTCTTCTCCCTCCTGACTCGTCATCGATCCCAGTCTTTGCTCTTCTTTCCCCTTCTTTCATTCACTCATTCCCCTTTTTGATCTCATCTCTTCCGGTGGGGACGGTTTCAAGCACCGTTCGTATTCTGAGATTCTCCGGTTATCGTTATCCTATTCACCCAACTACAACTCTAGTTAATACATCTTCATCTCTCCCTCTTTCTCCCTCTTTCTTCCATCATCGCCCCGAAACCAACAACTTATTATTCTGTGTCCCCCACCCGCTGGCCCTTCTGCTACTCTACGAAGCTCCATTCCTGGTGCGGACCAGCGCGTTGTGAGAGGTAAACGATTACTTCCCATCAGTTCTGGCCCCCCTACTTTCTAGGTACGCTAGGGCTCCCTGCATTGATCGTCGCCGTCGTGTCCATCTTCTTGCCCCCCCGCAGGATTTCTCTCCCCCATAATTCCACTGCAGACACGCGTCATTGCCGTTTGACATTGTTGTTGAAACCCCCCAACCCTTTTGTTTTCTAGGTTGTGCGTCCTGATTCTATTTATCTGATTTGATCTGGTCTTTCTTTTTTTTGGATTTCTTCTTTCCCCCTTTTTCACTGCAACCTCATTGCTGACATTCTGATGGATTTTGTTTAATTATAGTTCGACAGATTATTACAAGTGGTTTGACCCCCGCCGGACCGTTTTTCTCGAATCGCAACTAGCTGGAATTCCGGAGCTCCTTACGATCCCTCGTGACTCCCTTCAGCATTGCGCGATCCCTCCAAATCGTCTACACCTTATCCGTCAAGCTTTAGCCTCCATTCCTGTTGGACCCATTATTCCGTCGGACTTGAAAACATTCCTGAGACTCTGGGTTGAGGACCAAAAATAAAAATAACAGCCTTTTTCTTCTTTTTTTTTTTGTGGTTCTCCCACCCTACGACATTGTTTCACGACTTCACTACATCAGTGGCTACTACACGGAGATCGCTAGTTGCACAGACCGGCCTTACCGTCTCTCGTGTGTATGCCTCTAGTCGTTCTTGCTTCTGTCGGTTAAACAAACCCCTATTTATCTTCACCGATCATTCGATATGACACCCATTACTCCGGTCGGTGCGGAGCTAAACAAGGACGAGGATCATGATCATTTTCACGAGGATCCAATTGATGTGGAGGAAGACGAGGAGGAAGATGATCTAGACCCGGTGCAAAAGGAACACTTGGAACGGCACCGAGTACTTGACGACTTTTTGTCGCCATTGGCTCTCGACGAAGCGGTTCTGTATAAACTTGCGCGTCGGTTTTCCGGCGTATATCGCAGGCTTGCGCTTGAATCTGAAGAACAGTTTTTACCTACGCCGGTGACCAACCTACCTACGGGGTTGGAGACGGGCCGCTACTTGGCGATCGATGTTGGTGGGAGTAACTTGCGCGTCGCATTCATCGAGCTGCTAGGAGAATCTGCCGATTCGGACATTCGCTCCGCAGACGCTTCGGAGAGATCACGGGATACAATCCGAAAAGCGCAGCGACAGCGCGTGAAACGAACCTTGGAGAAAGCGTGGCCCATCCAGGAGCATCTCAAGATGGATAAGGCGGAGGACTTGTTCTCTTGGATTGGCGACTGCATTGCGGAAGTGGTGGCTGAAAGTCTGACCTCGGATGCGACGAAAGGTACGATTCCGGCAGAATTGGAGATGGGAATTACTTTCAGTTTCCCGATAATGTAAGTTTCTCTCGGCTGTTTTACATGGACTGTTTTCGCGGCTGACACGCCACAGGCAAGAGTCTCTGGCGGAGGCCACCCTGATGCCTATGGGGAAAGGATTTGCTATTACCTCGGACCTCAATCTTCGGAATATCCTGCTCAATGGCTACGAGAAACACACGAAGCGTCCGGGTGATGATGATGAGCCTTCCACCAAGCGCCGAAAGCTTTATTCGCTACCAAAGCTCAAGATTACCGCTATCACTAATGACGCCGTTGCTACTTTGACTTCCCTGGCCTATGCGGTGAAATCACTCCCGAATAGCCGTGTCGCAATGGGCATCATTGTAGGAACCGGGTGCAATGCTACGATTCCGATGAAACTCGGGTCGCTGCATGATTCCAAGGCGAAGCATGTGAAGCTGAGGAATTCTGCGGCGGAAGAAACGGTGGTCAATACGGAATGGACTCTTTCGGGGGCCCTACCTCCCTTGAAGGAACTCGGTATCATCACCAAATGGGACGTTGAGCTTGACAGGGCGTGCGCACGTCCCGGGTTTCAGCCCTTCGAATACATGACTGGAGGTCGATATATCGGCGAACTGGTCCGACTCATCCTTTTTGACTACCTCACCACAGTGTATGGTGTGGCGCAGAAGGATCTACCTGCGAACGTCATCAAAGAGTATGCGCTTACGACTTCGTATATCTCTGACAAGGTTGCCCGTGCCCGCACAGATCAGGCACTGGCTGATGAACTGGGGCGTTCTTTGTCGCCGCCTGAAGGTGGTGACTGGCAATGGGATACCATGACAGCCGGGGCCTTTCGCAAGATTGCGCGAACGGTGCAGAGACGATCTGCCGGTCTCATTGCAGCGGCGGTCGTAGGGTTACTGGCTTGTGCGCGAGAAATCGAGCTCAAAGTGGATAGCAATCAGAATTCGCCGCTGAACTCTAATGTTGCTTCGCCAGTACATAATGGCAGCTCTCATGAATCCACGCAGCCTACGTTGGGAGTTCCGGGCACGAGCAAATCTCGAGGGCCGATCGTTCCTGTCCTCTCACCTTCACCCACGCCGGCTGACTGGCAGTCTGGCCCCGAGGAGCTGGTAGTTGCCTATACCGGTGGAATCATCCAACATTATCCTAATTTCAAGGAGATGTGTCAGCAGTTCATCGATCGTCTGATCATGCGGACCGGCCCGCAGAAGAGCGGAAAATCGGTCTTCTTACGTGAGGCTTCGGATGGTGGGATCATCGGGGCTGGAGTCCTCGCGGGCATGGTTGGAAACAACCCATCCCTCTGAAAGAGCCGGCTCCGTCGTCGGTTGCTTGAAAGTGACATGAAATAATGATTTTGATGTGTGGGATATTCGTTTGTCTTCTTAGCGCTGTGGACCATTGGAGTTGGCAACTTTTCCTTTGGGATAATAGAAGGGCAGCTTTTTTTTTTTTGATCGAGGGCGTTTTAGAGTGGCTCTCTGTTTTTTCTTGTTCTTCTTCCCTCCCTGTCATGTTACAAATTTTTGCTCATTTCGTGGTAAAACTGGGGCTGTAATTTGGATTCAGAAATTGGCCAGATTCATTATCTATCTATTTGTAATAACCAAATCTTCAACGCAGCTGACTATGCACGGTCTCATTTCAATCAACATCTAATGCTCTTATTGAAAGCAGAACCCCAACTTGATCGATCTGCTGGCGAACGAACCGGAGCGACTTGCGGGGCTCAGTACTATCGGGAACTGCCATCGGAAGGGCTCATGGTGGGCTGGGTTACCATCTCTCTGGCCCTGGCTTCCGTCTGCTGATCTGTTTCCGTATTCTGAATTTGCAACAAGATGTTGCGGCGTTGGTTGTCTATCCCCTGATCAAGGGCTTCAAATATAGCGGAACATGTTGTTACGGACACTTCGTTTCATGGTGTTGGGTTGACCATCCTCGTATTCAATTCCGGAAGCTCCACCGCCACCAGACATCTGCTCAAGCCGCTCGCGAAGTTCGTCGTCCGCCTGGCTGATGGACTTTGCTTTTTCTGACTTTGTCTGTTTGTTGCTTTCTGGTGTTGATTTGCTCTTCTTCTCTTCTTTTGTTGGGCATTGTTTGTGCTCAGACGATGTGTTGTCTGGAGGGTTTGTTAGCGCAGGGAAGCAAGCGCATGTCTGGGAATATATTCACATGCAGACCTCTGTTGGCATCGGATAAGTTCTGCGATGTATGTGATAAAAAGCGAGCTCTAGCCACCATGTGAAGATAGTGGGATTGAAGAGCCACTGGAGACTTGATTGTTCTGGCGAATGGCATTGTGTACCTTGAGAAAGATGAAAAAACGGTAGCCATGATGTGAGATGGTTGAACATGCAGCTATACTTGACGCTGCTGTCGCTGATTTGACGTAATGCCGCGGTGATGGTCACATGATATACTGCCAAATCACGTGCTTCTCACTCCCCGCTTCCGCGCATCGATTGGCTCCGACCAACGCTCCAACATCCATCATCTCGCCGACAATTCCACCTGTCCGTCATCCGTCACCATGAGTGCTCAGGCTTATTACGAGTTGTATCGCGGGAGCAGGTATTGCAGCATCTATTGAAGGCCCATCCCATGTTCTGCCACTGACCTGAACCTTTCGCAGTCTCGGTCTCTCCCTTACCGATACGCTCGATGACCTGATTAACGAGGGCCGCATCGAACCTCAGCTGGCGATGAAAATCCTCTCTACGTTCGACCGCATCATCACCGAAGTCCTTGCCGAGAAAGTGCGCGCAAGGCTTACATTCAAGGTACACTTCTGACTCATGGCAAGGATGGGTTTCACCTTCCTGTCGCAAGGATCACTTGACATCTGTTGCTGGGGCGATGAGCGCTAACTGATAAATTCCTGTTCTTTCCAGGGCCATCTTGATACCTACCGATTCTGCGACGAAGTGTGGACTTTCCTCATTAAAGATGTCAACTTTAAACTGGACAACCAGACAACGGTGTCGGCGGACAAGGTCAAGATCGTGAGCTGTAATAGCAAGCGACCCGGAGAGGTTTAGAAAAGGCAGTCGTTGACATCCTTTCATGGCGTTTTCTACTTTCTCTTTCTTCTGATTACCATCTGACCATTTACATGGACTGATGGTGTCCATGAGGTTTCAGCATACGTTTCACACTGGGCTTTGGTTGCGTTAATATTGGGAATTTCGTCGGCGTTGAGGGCTTGCGTTCGGCATTTGTTGTATTATAAATCTGCGACCGGAATAGCCTGATTGGCCACCGATACCTACGAGAATATGAGGTTTACTTAGACGTTTAGTACTGTGCCTACAAATCTGTCTGTCTCTTTCCAATCATCTCAAATGACTCAGGGATTCGTCATTCATGCCCCATCATTAGACAGCGTTGAGTAGCTCATTCGGGCCCTGAAAGGCTGAAACTAAGGCAACTAACTCCATGCGGAGGCGGGGCGGAATCTCTCCCGCGTCTCCGTCGCGCCAACTTTCGCGTCACCCTCTCCATCAATCTATTCCCTTTCCGTGGGAAGAGTGTCGATATTGGACTTATACGAATGACGGCAGCTCCCTAATATATACAGAGTCATCGCCATGCCTCGAACTCTGCCGTGGCTTACCGGGTCCGGCGGAGGGGCGAAAGACGCCACGCCGCGACGACGACCGGTGAAACGAGAGCGAGACATCAAGAAAGATGAGGACAACGAGACGACCCCCAAAGCAAAGCTAAAGCTGAGTTCCTCTGAGGTCGGCAAGCGTGACTTCTTTAGATCTTGTAAGTGAAGGCTCCTTGTTCCCGGGCTGCGCGATGACATCTCTGGGCTCATTTACCGGTCACCCTTCAATAGCTCCCACCCCGCCATCGTCTCCCATCCATCGTTGTCCATCAGAAGAGTAACGACATCCTCTCTTCCCCAAATTCGATCGATTTGTCATGCCCCGGGGCTAATGTGGCGTCGGGTGAGACAGATTCCTAATCGAAGGCCTCGACAATGATGACATCTACATGATGGTTGAAGATGAATTCTATGCCGTCGCGCAAACCTTCACCCAGCACCTCCACTACGCCGAATACGTCCGACGGAAGAAGGAGGCAAAATTGCAGAATGCAGCCGCTATCCAAGACCTCGCCCGGCCCACGGACGGAGTGACACCAATGAGCGAAGAGACGAAGAGACAACGTGAGGCCGACGCGCTCTCCACGCGGCAAAAAGATGGGTTGGGGCAGATTCAGAACGTGCGACCGGCGGTGGACTCCGACGAGAGCGATGATGTCGAAGAGGATGTCGCTCTGGATGACACGTTCGCGGGGACGTCGTTGCATGATCTGTTGATGAGCCCGCGGAAGGCGAGATCGTTGGTGGGCATGCAGGGGGTCAAGTCATCGACCCGCGCGGCGGCTGGGTTTTCACAATCTTCAGATACTCGGCGGGATGCTACAGAGAGGAATGATAGCAGGGATGGGAATCATGACGTGGAAGAGACCGCATCGGAAGACGACGACGATCTCGACGCCCAGGCTCGAACACCTACCCTGACGGCACCACATCGGAGGACTCAGGTAATCGGTTCGGATTCGTATCTGTCAAATCAAAGGAGCAGTTCGCTGTCCTCTCGCACCGACCAAAATCGTGCAGCGAAAGAGGTGCGTCCTGTGGAGACGAAGTCTAAATACAAGGCACAACCGGCGCTTCAATCCAGAAAGAGGAGGCTTTTCGACGATTTTGATGAGCTTCCAGAGCTACATACATCATACACACAGACAAAAGGCGGATCTACATCGTCTATAAATAAAACCCAACAGAAAACCCAAAACGATAACAATCTGGAGTCGAAAAAGAAATCGCGTCTCAACGAAGTCCCGACATTCTTGCTTTGACCGTGCGACGGCGTTCCGCCGTCTTGCGATGCGGAAACTTGCAACATTTTCCAGCGCTTCATCCCATCCCTGCGTTGGTCGCGTATACCTGACGGTAATCCTAGGTGGTGCTCAGAGGCTCCTTTCTTCCCATCGGATGGCCAAAGTGCCTATTCTTCTTGCTCGGGAAGTGGGCGATGGGTTTTGACGCTCAGTCGTCGGACGTGGTTCTTGATTTTGTCCCGGGTGGACGGCTGACGCTCCACCGATGTGATGACTGCCTCCTTCTCGTTTGCCGAGCCATTGCTATGTAAGGTCAGCGCGCTGCGGGCGAACAAAATGTCAGAAACAACAGAACAGTATCATCGTGGAGATTCTAGGGGTGCACTCACTCATCATCGGAGAAAAACGCCGGCAGCTCCTCCTTGCGGAAGTTGGTTGGGGGTCCCTGTGATTCGCCATTAGCACTGAGATGCATTGACGGTGATCGTTCAATTGGCTCACAATTTCCAAAACCTTGTGCTGGTTCGAGTCGCGCTGAAACGGGGACTTGACCAGTCGAACGATCTGCCGGAAACATTCCATGATGAAGGGAATGGGAGAATCGAGAGGTGATTATAAATATCGTAAGAGTAAGATTCAGTGATTCGAATGGAAGCAGCGAGGGTTGAAATGAGTGGCAGGTCGGTCAGTATCTACAGCCAGGACCGATGCAAGCGATGTGCAAAACAAATCAACAAGTGGATGGTATCCCCAATCAATCAATCAGTCGTATAATAGGGAGCGAACGCTTTTTATGGCAAAAGGAGGTCTATTTGAAGAAAAAAGAAGAAAAAGGACAAAGGATACCCAAACGAGAGACTATCGAAAGACGAGAGTGAAGCAACCAAAACGCAAACAGAATGAAAGAAAGGCTGGCAGATGTTCTATGACATTGAGACGCTGGCGACAAGTAAGAAAAGAAAGGAATAGGAAAGGGCTATGCAGGACCGAGACGAGGCAGCGGTCATATATATTCAGAAAATCCCCCAAAAGATCCTCGACAGACGCGACGCCCTGCAAGCCTACGGATTAACGGTTTCGCCCGTGCAATGCAGGCTTAACCTGATCGGCTAATTCAGTGGCACGAAGGTCACCGTGACAGCCTTAAGCTACCTAGCAATCTTTGCTTTGCGCGCTATGTGACACATTCTCTCTCGCTGTTTCTCTGGCTCTTGAATGGCCCCCCTTTGGGTCGGAATTTCCCAGGGTAACTTGGGCTGACGACCAGATTGGCCAAGCCAACGTCTCCAAGAGTTATTATCCCTGCCCCCTTGATTCCACATTCGCCATGCATTCGACGAGCAATTGTTTGAGTCCGGGCTAAGCATAGCGTCGGACGCCTCATGCCTTGTTGACCTCATAGGCGCTTCCCCCGAGGCCCCGACCCTGGACAGTCGTGTTACTGTACGCCCTTATGAAACCGGCAAACAAGGCAATCGAGCGTACGAAAAGTCGCAAAAAAAGTCGCCGAGGCGTTCCCGATCTGGCATCTGCATTGCATATTGGATGGGCATACTCGACTATGTGATGTCGGTATGCATTGGCAGCATCCCTGGGCGACGTGTAAGATTCTCCCTTCCCGATGCAGCTGTCTCGCTTTTTCTTAATTTATGGTGGATTGCCAGGGAAGCGCCTCCTGATGGGCTTGTTTGCCTGCCAGGGCCCAGAATGTCTCGGGCGGCGGCAGTGCATTCTCGGTTGTTTTTGAAGGGCACGTCATCTTTATTTTTTCTTTTTCTTAATGAACAGTATGGAGCACTGAGTATGGACTATGGAGGATCTCCCTCAGCCCACATTCATCAGGGGAGAAAAAGAGGAGGTGGAAATTAAATCTGGTAGCAGAAACAAAGGCAAAAGGAACTATCCGAGACAAAGCTAGAGACAATAACTTCTTAATTCGAGTCGAGAATACCTAATGATCGCATCCTATCCTGCTATACAGATAATTATAGTCAACCCCGACGTACTCACCAAATAGCCGCCCAAGTACCAAAAAATAATGCCACCATCTATCATTATTGGAAGATCATTTATAGTATGGAACCCCGTCGTCGTCGCTAACTACGTGGATCACTGGATCATCTAAAAAAATTTAATTTCCCCCAACTCGCGCTGATCCAGGGGGAGGATCTAAGTATGGAACTGAGCGGTTCGCCCTTGCATCGGGAGAAATGCCGTTTCGTTTGTTTCGCATTCTTGTTCTTCTCCTAAAATAAAATATTTTCTTTTTCTGGCCCCGTCGTATTCTTGTCCCTTTCGGACCCGCTTCCTCCCGTTGTCGCCCATGTCTTTATTTACATTCTATGAGTCTACATGGTTGAATGCAGCTGTCCCTGTCGTACCTACATAATGACTTTTCTATAGATAGGTAGGCAGACGGGAAGGCAGACCTGTCTATGTTAGTTAGTATGGAGTACATGAAGCTGCATTTCCGTCTCTCTAATTTTTTTTTTCTCCTCGAACTCTTCTATACTAAGTTATACACTCAATAGAGAACGATCGAAAACAACCCAACAATAAACTTAATAAATCCACGTCAAAAGAAGGGATGGATGGTTCATTTCCCCCTTTTAGCGTGCCCACTTTCCCTTAGGGTTTAACTATTACTTTATTTGGGTTTTTGATTTTGTTGCTTGGTGTCTTGTTTCCGGAGTACTTCTATTCAGATTAAACATTATCATTTGGTTTAACTAGGCACCAAAATGACTGTCTCTGTGTCTACATACGTGTTCTTCTGTCCTGCAGAGTAACAATACTACTTAACTTCAACAAGATACAGGGTTTACGTACACCTGACTACTGAATCCTTGATCATGTTCACAGACCTAATTCTCGTCTCCCTGGTTCATGTTTTGGCGTATACTTTGGCTTGCTCTCCCCTCCTCCCTTCTTAGACGACCTAGACCGAGTTTAAAGTTGGGTTGTTAGCGTTCAGGAATGATGAGAACCTTCCAAGGAAATCGATGACTGACTGACTGACTGACTGACTGACTGACATGGACGCATTCGTCTTTCTACATACCTAGCCCATCCAGGTGGAGGTCTAGACTCTTGTACCGTTGTACATTTTTGTTGTCCTTCCTGCCTGCCTGCCTGTCTGCCTGTCTGTCTATCTAGCTGCCAGACCGTTCTAATGCTTGGAAAAAGTGGGACTGCCTGACTGTCAACTCACGACACGACCCTCCAGTGTACCACTACCCATACTGAGGTATGTATAGTAACTACAGTAAGGCTAAGGTCTTCGTGGCTAGTTAATTGGTCCGACCGTGGGATTCTAGATCTTCGTTCTTACACAGCGTAGTTACGGCAACCCTGTCCCACGTCTTCCAGACAGGTTGGTTGTGTTTAAGGGATGTGGATAGAATGGGGCCGATGGATGTTCGAGACCTTGTGTACAGTTCCCCCCCAGCCCCAGTTGATGCGTTGTTCGTCAATCGTTGGTTTAGGTATGGGGGCTGGTCCACACGCACACTCTCTCTGTCCCCCCTCTTACACTCTCGTCTCTATCTGTTTATGTTGGGTGGATTAGTTTAGTCCTTTCTGGTTTGTTCGTTGACTGGATCTTCTGATGTTTTCTTCTTTTTTTGGGTTCTTGTTCGTTAGTCCTATGCTCCACGAAAGCTAAAATCGTGACGATGAAATAAGTGGTATTCGTTATGTCTATTTATCCTTCATGCAATTTCCCCAATATCATCACATTCATTTCGGGTACTCCTTCACGTGGTAGCTCTTCAATTTGACGAATTGCTCGAAACCGAATCGGCTGAGCGTCACGCCCCGACCGGAGTTCTTCCATCCCGTCCATGCGAGGTCCTAGTCATTCCAATGCGTTAGCGAGCAATTTTCAAGATAACATGAAGCAGATCAAAAGACAAGAGAGGAAATACTCACCGGAGCTGGGTAATCTGATCGGTTGATAAACACCGTTCCGGCCTCGATATCCTCGATGAGTTCCTCCGCCCTGGCAACATCCTTGGTCCACACGCTGGCCGTCAATCCGAACTCGCTGTCGTTCATCAGTTTCACGGCCTCCTCGTCGCCGCTGACCTTCATCACGGGAATCACCGGCCCGAAGGTCTCCTCCGTCATGACGACCATGTCGTGGGTCACGCCCGTCAGCAGCGTCGGCTTGACGTAGTTGCCGGCCGGCGGGGGGTTCTCGAACGTGGCGTTGGCCGGGGTCTCGTCGCGAGCGCCCTTCTGGATAGCGTCGGCGACGTGGGCGGCGACGGTCTCCTTGGCGCGCTTGGAGATGACCGGCCCGATCTGCGTCTGCTTGTCGAGGGGATCGCCCACGCGGTAGTTGCTCAGCACCTTCTTGACCTCCGCGATGAAGGTGTCGTAGATGTTCTGGTGCACGTAGACCCGCTCGATCGCGCAGCAGCTCTGTCCGCTGTTGAAGATCGCCCCGTCGACCACTTCCTCCGCTGCCCAGGCGGTGTCTACGTCGTCGCGGACGTACGCGGGGTCCTTGCCGCCGAGCTCGAGGGCGACGTTGACGACGCGGTCCGAGGCGGCCTTCTGGACCGCCAGGCCGCCGGCCACGGAGCCCGTGAAGCAGATGTGGTTCACGAGCGGGGATCGAACGATGGTCTCGAGTGTGGTGGGCGAGCCGCAGTGGAAGTACTGGATGACGTTCTTGGGGAGACCGGCCTCGGCGAAGGCGTTGGCGAACTGTTCGACAATGGTGGGAGTTTGGGGCGACGGCTTCAGGATCACGGCATTGCCGGCCAGGATTGCGGGGATCAGGCTGTTCACGGAGATCAAGTAGGGGTACTAATATCAGTCCGCGACATCTGTGTCAGTGATTCCCGCATACTTCAAGAAAATGTACAACACATAACCAAAGTGACATACGTTCCAAGCGAAGATGATCAATGCAACACCAACGGGCTTCCGCTTGATAAAGCGTCTGAATCCCTTCTCTTCCTCCCCGGGCACGACGCCCTCTTTCCCAAGAACCGAGCTGCTGATCTTCGTCAAGTACCGGCTGCGCCTGATAGCCGTCATGACTTCCACGCCGGTGTAGGCGATGGGCCGGCCCATCTGGTTCGTGACTTCAAGAGCCAGCTCATCTTTCTTCTTCTCGAGGATGTCCAATGCGCGGGTGACAATTTCCTGACGCTGCTCCAGCGTAGTCGACTGAGAGAATGATCGGAACGCCTCCTGGGCGAGCTGTGGGATCTGCTGTAGTTCGTCGGCAGTGACGCCCGTCCGAGCGAGGACGGGCTCGTTGGTGGAAGGGGAGATGGTGGTGATTGTTTCAACGGACATGATGTAGCTTCCAGTAATTGATCGGAAGGAGATGAATAGCAACTAAGTTCAGGGGAGGGAGGAAGAGAGTGGCAAGAGAGGGAGTTGGGGCGATGAGGGGCACGGTTGCGTCACGTTATCCGCGGAGCTCCCCCGCTGCAGGACCCACTTCGTTATCAATTCAAGAAGTATCCCAGGATCCCTTGTCTATATATAAGAGCAACAATAAAAACGCAAATGGAGTCAATAGAAATAAAAAATCCAAACATACAACAGCCGGGATTCGCTGGTGGTCACCCACCCAACTACTAACCGGCCGGCGTGTGGCTTAAGTACGGCTGAGCGGACGGGAAGCCCTGTTCTCCACACCCTGTGGTCGTATGTACTCGAGATAGAGAAAGAGTGATGGTCATAGTTCGACTGCTAGTAAGTATCAAGTATCAATAACAATTGGATTCGCTGTGGCTAGGTATAGTATCCCATGGCTTTCAGTTGGAAACACGCTATCATCCCACTGATCACTTCCTACAAATCACGCACAAGACGCGCTCCTGCCCACGGGTAGAGGTAGTTGTGCTGATACCAATTGACACTGCAGCAAGACATTAGCGCAACCTTTCATTGGGATTCCCACGATACTTACACTGTGGTTCGTCCGGCAATGCGAGGATGAGTGGCCCAAGAGCCCCCGAGCACGACGTGGTGCTTGCCGTCAAAGAAATCCGCTATTAAGTACAGTTAATACTCGACCGTCGAGAACAGCTCCAAAGGTATATCCCAGGCATCACCTACCAGTATATCCGGGATAGATGTCCATAGCCTTGAATCCATCGTGCGGGGCTAGTGCTGTACTGCACCATTCCCACACGCCTCCCAGTTGACCCTGACCGGCAAGTCGATTGCCGTTCTGGATCACTGGGGTTGGGTGCCAGTGTTTGAACCCGACGTTGCAGTCGTAGAGGTTCACGAACACTGGCAAGGAGCCTCGGGAAGGCGGCCGCACAGGCTGGTGATCCGGAGTACGAGGCCGAGTCCGGTTGACCTCTTTCTTGCCCGGTCCATCTCCGTTGACATATTCGGGCTCACTTATGTGGGTGTTAGCTTCAGCAGTACGCAGCACGTAGGGGTGAAAGGGGAGAATCCTTACGCATCGCCATTGGGTACCCAGTTGTCAGATGCTCTTAGTTTCTCAGAATGAGCATAGATACTTTTGACCTCTTCAAACGTGGGGATTCGGCATCTCGCCCACTCTGCGTATTCAGCCAACTCGTCGTAGGATGCCATGACCGGCCAGTCTTGAGCAAACTCAAGCGGGACCAGCCCAAAGACCGTTCTCACGGCGAAATTGGACATGGAATCCTTTGTGGCTTCCGGGCTGTCCTGATTGACCCCAGAGATCGAGAAGTCTTCGTTGGAATGGATCAGAACCCACGACGCTGGGCCTTGGCGCATATGCTTCTTCTGTAGGAACTTGGCATATTCGCCATTGGTAACAGGTCGAGCCTGTGCTTCAAATGGCGGAACAGTCACGATTCGTTCGGGTTTCTCGTTGTCCCATCCAAACGTAGCCGAGGGCACCGACGTGGGGCCTGCGTCTTCAAGGCCGATAGACAGCGTTTTCTCGGGAATAGTAAACCACTCATTGGGCTTCGCGTGTTTCCTCGCATCGCGGAATAATCTTTCGAAATCTGGTCTTTCAACACCGGTCGGTGGAAGCGTCTTGTCGCTTTGGAGTAGCATGTAGAGGAAAGTCTCCAGGTGCATCGCTTCATGCTCGAACCCGATCCAGAGCGCTTCGGCTAGAGTCCGGTTGCTGTCGAGGTCATCCCTCTGGAGAATTGATTCGACCCTGTTGCGCACCCTTACTTGATAGTCGAGTATGTCATTAAGGGCTGGCCATTCGTCCGGGATTTCACTATGTGAGTGGCACTTGTCGGGGTCGTCCACATCTGGGTCTATCCCACGCTCGAAGATAAGTTGGTAGGACTTGGGTTCGGTCGCATTTCCCCCTAGAGCTCGCGTCAAATGGATATCTGTTCACACTCGTTAACATTATAATTTGAGTATTGTATTGACATCCCAACTAACCCGAAAATGTAGGAATGTGACCCAGATAAAAGATAAGTGCATTGCGCAGTTTGATCGGTTTAGAAAGAAGCTCCTCACGGGGGACCATTGACTTCGTGGCAATATCCCATGCAGTCCAAAGTGACTGAAAATCTTGAAGAGTAGGAACTGGACGGGCCGCATACTGCGAAGGGGAAGTAGGGAAGCTGAGAGTAGAAGACGACAGATAATGAAGGTCTATCCGCAGTGGCAAGTCAGCACGAGTTTTGAGCCCAGTTTTCGAATGTTCATATGTGAGGAAATTGTGTGAAGGTGGGAAAGATCCGAGTGCACGTAGATATGAGTGCAAGGGGTTGTAACTCACGGTAGTCATCAGAGCTATTGCCAAACTCGGCGCCATGGATCAGGTTCGCGTCTCTCCAGAGCTGCTCCCGCTCTTCAGGACCATACTTGAAGGCCTCTTCAAAAATGAGCTTCTCGCCCTTGGGAACGAGAATTCCGTCGATAGTCACATCCTTCTTAGGCGAATAGAACGCCTCGTGGTGCCCCTCGACGGCATTGTAGCCAGTCACTATCTCCCATTCGTCCAGCTTAAAAGCCTCATGTCCCAAAACCCGGTTAGCATGGATTAAACCATTTTCGTAAAACTGCTGCGTGATGCCCTGGGAATCATTGTAGGCTTTGAAAACTTTGACCGGATTCTTACAGCCGTCCAGACCGATCAACATCGCATCCGACGGGCCCAGAATCTTTGCAAATTGCGAGAGGAATTGCGCAGCTTCCGGGCGGTTGAAGTTGCCCATGGACGAACCCATAGATAAGATGGTCGTGGGACGCTTCCTGTTCTCCGGCCTGTTCAGCCAGGTAACGGCATCATCATACGTCCCGTGGAGGCCATGGAAGCCCACGTGGGTGTAGTCTTCAACGGACACCTCGGAAAATGTGCGTTGCAGTTCAGAGAGGGACAGATCTAAAGCGTAGTAGTCTACGTGTTTCCCCTGGCGCTCAAACTCGCGGAGAAGAATCTCAATCTTTCGAAGGTTTCTAGAAGGGCGGTTAGGATCGGAGCGAAACAGATGGTTAGCGTCACTACGGTGTTAAGCATACCCACTCCCCAGCTCCAGCAGCTGTCCATTGTTCGGGATCCGCTCGACGATGCTCTTGGCATGGGCTTCCAACACCTCGATTTCCGCGTTTGTCGGATAATACTCGTCCAGATAGGTGATTTCCTCGAAGAGATTGAGACCCTTGGAGTCGTAGAGGAGCATTGTCGGCATGGACCGTCTGGAACCCACGGTGGGGTCGAGGCCCTTGTGGATATCATTGACTAGGGAGAAACCCACGTCATTCTGACGGATATCGACGATGTCGACCGTCTGGGTAGGGAAGGTCAAAGGAGACATGGTGGCAGGCCAGGGCCGGTTATACTCCGAAAATTCAATCTAGGGATTCTGAGATTGGAAATGGTACAAGACCGAGTTTAAATTCTTCCGTCTTCGTTCAAGGAACAGCCCTGGATTTATCGGACAACAAAATAAACTAAAAAAGCCAAAGGGCTGTTTTGGGCAGATCAAAGAGGGGTAAAAGAGGAGTGCATAGAATTCCTGCAGATGGTATGGCACCGAGGGATTAAATTCAGGGCAGGAAGTGCACGGAAATCGATAAAGAAATAACGGAAAATGCAACTCGAAGGCAGGGGAGGGGAGGGGAGAGAGGAGAGAGGAGGAGGGGGAAGCCGGCGTTTCTTTTATATGGAAGTCGGCGGGCGATATGAGGACCAGACAAGTCCAGAACCAGCGCCGGGTTGTTTTTGTCTTTGTCTATTTTGTCCGCCTAGAGTCAGAGAATCCGAGGTCGTTCCTGAATCACCCATGTCATCTTGATGTGCAAACACCCCACCCCGTGCAGTTCCCGGCCTGGAGGCTGAGGAGCATCATCCGGGATATGGGAATTATCAATCAGATTGGCGGATCAGCTCAAGCGCATTCCACCCCTTGCTAGTCAGGCCACATCGGTGCTAGGGAAAGCCATCCCAAGGGGCTGACGCGCATTTCTGGGAAGTCTGATAGAGGTCATTCTTTACCGCGACGGTCCAACCACGAGAGAATCTTCGGCCACGGCGGGTGGAGAAAATTCCCGGTCATGACGTCGTGTTTGTTTGGTTTGTTTTGGTTTGCCTCGATTGTCTTGTTTGGTGGGGTTGCCTTGTTTGTCTGCCCCACGCCCTGGCTGACTCAGCCGTCGATCCTCTTCGGCCGGAATACAATGCCGTTTCCTTTCAGACGGGTCCTCCCGTACTACCATCTACAAGTAAAACAATGCACGCACAAAGCTCAAAGAGTCAACCAGCTTGATACAAAGACCCCCCGGATTCAACTATATACCCCCGGTGATCCCCGGCGTTTGCACCATGGCTAAAAGCTTCAAAGAAAGGTTCCTCTACTATATAAAACCAAATCGTTCCTGCTTGGACCGGGACGTCGCCTTATCCCATAATAGAATGCATACACTATACTGATCTCTCACCAAATTACCTCTTCATAACCCAACTTGATTTCCTATTCAAGTTGCTAATCAGAATCAAGACGAGTGAGCCATGGCCTCAAATAGCCACCGCCAAGGCTCTGCACGCAGGTTGCCACTATCGACAAACAAGGTGCTGACGTTGCCCTCAGTCGAAGGACATCCCACGGCTGTTCCTACACGTCTTCAGCGACTTTTTCCAGAATCCAACAGGGAATCCGCCGAACCAGAATCTCTCCCGCCGGAGATATTCTCTGCCCCGATCTCAGGCGTGGGTGGCAACTCTCCCACCACGCCTCCAATCGAGGCATATATGGATGGCGCGCTGAATTACCCTGCTACGAGCACCTCCAAACCCATCCCCCCTTCCGATTCTACCCCCATCCCCCCAGGGCAAAATGCACTGCCAGACGACACGGATGAACTCGTGCAACAACTCCTCAATGGCATGGAAGCACAGAATCGCATGCACGACGAGCTCGCCCGACTCGACCGCCAACTCGACCAGCAAGCGCTCGCGCACTCCTTCCTACGAGCGACCAAAAACCTCGACCAGAAACAACCCTACAAGGCCCGCGAGTGGGTGAAGCACGCCGAAGAGATCACCGAACGACTTCGCGACACGGAAAACCAGGCCCGCTGTCTGTACTGGCTCGGCCGCATCGACTGGTACGAAGGCCATGAAACAGACGCCTACTTCCACTTCTCTGAGGCAGCCAAGAATTTGGCCCGCGGTTGTGACGAGATGCGCCGCATCCCGACGTACCTGGAGTGGCTGCGTCCCGGAGGCGAGAAGAACAAGCGGCGCAACACATTGGCGCGGCACGGATTCCATCCTCCGCACGAGACTCAGTCCACGCGTGTGAGCCGCAAGAAAGTCCCGGCCTCGTCCGCCGTGCCTCACAGCATGGAGTACAACCGGTACTCGCGCCCGGGGTTAAAGCGCAAGCGCGAGCACATGGAGCCGGACGTGGCCATCGCGCTGGACTTGCCTCGCAAGACCGGCAACCAGAACCGGCGCGAGCCGCGCAGCAGAACCGTCATGACGTTCGAGTCGGATCGCCACGTCCATCCCGGCGACAAGGTGGACGGGGACCCTCCTCGACTGCATCATCTGGCCTATGACTTCAGTTGGAAGCAACCCCAGCAGCTGCCGCATCACCCGCCGTCCAAGGATGTGTTCGATTTCTGCAGGTACCCCAAGGGCAGGACGAGTCGATTCCGGTCGCACAAGATCTTCACGAAGCAGCCGTGGGAGGACAAAGTGCCGAAGAGGACGACGAGGATAACCAGAACCGACGGTAAGACAGATCTGACAATGGGCATGCTGACCGAGGAACTGAACCCCACTCAGTACCAGGCCTTGCGATATGGGCGTCGAACGCGACGTTCGTAGTTCTCGTTCTGGTCATTTTGGTCAAGACGGAGGATCCTGACTTTTTTGACGTCTCCTTTTCGTTCCCCGAATTTCTGGCTCTGTCTTGGCTTTTTCGTTCGTTGGCTCGTTTTGGTAGTCTATCGCGTTGGCTTATATTCAGTAGGTTGAACAAAGACCGTCCCGTCAGTTGGTTATCTCATACGATTCTTAGCCATCCAGCTTTGGTTAATCCTCAAACAAATAGTGTAAAAGCAATAACGTATTACCTTAATCTTTAATATATAGTTCCCGAAAACCCCATGGCGAACCATAAATGATGCAAGTGTCGCTGTTCCCATTCTCAAGTAGCAAGCAGCAAGTGGTCTTCGTAATCGCGTCTTCATAATTACTCCCCCCTCTAGTAATCGCAAACAACTCAAAGCCTAATATCTCCAACCGACAATCCCCACACCCAACTGGCAACACCCATGCCGCCCACGCTCATGATCGCAGCCATGAGCAAATTCACGGCATTGTTATCTAGGATATCCCATCCGCTTTCGACACGGCGACTCTCCTGTCGCGAGTCGACAGAGTTAGCATCCTCAGCCGCTGATTTCCGGTGCCGCGTGGTCTCTGTTTCTGTGGCAGTGGACACGGAGCTGGAGGCAGAAGTTCCAGCCACTCCGCTGGGCGTGATAAGAACCTATGTAGTTACCGATCAGACATGTCTCCCCGGTGAGCCTGTACAGGGCAGCACAAAACATTCCGAACGACAGCGATGTCGGACAGATAGTAAACATACCTTCTTCCCACCCGTCCCTTCAACTACCTTCCCGGTTCTCTTATCAACAACACTAGCCTGCAACATCCCGCCCAGAAAACTATCCAACACGCTACCAAGCGTACCCCACGCCGTGAAACCTAGAATCCACTGCGCCCTCGAGATCAGATCCAATCCCGAGGCGTCACCCGACGAGCAGAAAGGAAGTAACCATGCGGATGTAGCCGCGACGGTGAACGCTCCTAACGCACCGGCCAGGAGACCCGTTCCTGTCACGCCGCCATTGGTACCCGGGGGAACGACACGGAGAGTTGGAGAGGTGATGAGGCGCGGTTTCGATTTGGAGAGGATTCCGAGTTCGGAGGAGAAGGTGTCGGCGGCTACGGCGGCGTAGTTACTATTCGTGATGGACCAGAGTGGTTAGCTGGTGTGTAGTGTTTACGGTCTTTTGTTCTTTGTGGAAGAGGGAGAGGAGGAGAAGAGCGCCACCTACGCTACGATTCCGACAACCAGTAGATCCGCCGCATGGCCACCATTCGAAAAGCAGCCGGTATCGAGGCCGGATACAGCGAGCGCGCGAGTATGTAGGAGGGCGAGCACAGAAGCCACGATGGAATTGGCAAGAACCTGGACATGAGTGCGTTGGCCCTCGCCGCCATCCGAGCCGGAGGCAGAGAGCGTGAGACGAGCTTTGACGTCATGTTTTACCTTGCCGGAAGGTCAGTTCTCAGTATCATCGGTGTCTATAGACCAGGATATGGTCTGAGACGAACTCAAACAGTGAACACACCTTCGTCACCTTCGTCCCTCCCAGATAGAATACGCCCAGCAAGGCGAACGGAACTGACCAGGGATGAACGGCGTGGGCGCTGGCGGTTAGGCCCGCGGCGACAAGGCCGAGCGGGGTCAGTGATTTCCGGGACCAGGCACGATAGACGAGTGCCAAGATGGCCGGGATAGCAATGATGGGCTTCATCGTCAACGGGTTGGGTTCCGCTGCTCGAGTGGAAGACCCCGGGGAGATGATGACAAGCAGTCAACAAACACAAGACGAGGCTGGACGCAGCTGACCTTCGGCACGGGGCTCCAAGAAACTGCCTGGCAGAATCGATTCGGGACTAGCGGTGATGGCCTGACCGCCAACGCCGGGTTGACTGCCAAAACTCGATCGCGGAAAGATAGGGGATGCACCTCCACCTCTTTATTTTCGACCCTCACTGCCGCAAGCAATGCGATATTCTGAAAATGACTACAGGGCTCGATTCTGCATTACTTTGTTCGCCACTCTCTCAAATATTATACAATACTTCAGGGTTTTGATTCTGGGAGAAGCCTACAGACGTAGGCGTCCATACAAATTTTGTTATTTGCAGACAGAACCACACCCAAATTGTCATGTGAAATCTGTGGTTTTTTAGAGTTTGGGTCACCTGATCCACCATGCACTAACGGCATAAGATTCTGCATAAAGTATTTATGCAACACTGGGTATGAGCGCCAGGATCCGGAGAGAGAAAATGTGATTTATGGAAGGGTTGGACTCTGTATGTACAAAGCAAACAAATGCAATCCTAACACTCATACAAGTTTACTATCCGTGCATACAGCAATGAGATGAAATCCTCATAGATGGAACATACTCTGTTCCTCATTCGCTTCACAGAACCTCCACAACCCCGAAGCCACGGCTGCGTCTCGAACTGAACCAAGCTCGTCATCGCGCACGGCACGATTGATTTCCGCATACCGCACCTCCTCTACGCCAGAACCCCCTGTCCGTCTCTTCTTCTTACCGACATGCGCGTCGGGGTGGTACTGCTCCATGATATGCACATAGGTATCCTTGGAGACATTCCCCGCCAACCAACGCATGATCTCTCGGCCCTCATCCTCTTTGCCCGGCATGACCAGATGCCGCAGCAAGACCCCCTTCTTGGCAATCCCATCTGACGTAAAACAGAGGTCGCCGACCTGCTTATACATCGCCCGGATGCTCTCCATTGCGGTCTCGGTGTAGTCGTCCGCTTTCAGCAGCCGCTTCGACGTGCTGCTCTTCCACACTTTGAAATCCGGAAGGTAGATATCGACCAAACCATCGAGGAGTTCCAGCGACTCGAGCGAGTCAAACGATGACGTGTTGTAGACGATGGGGACCTTGAGGCCCATGTCGCGCGCAGCCAGGATCGAGAGCACCACCTGCGGGACTACATGTTCCGGCGTGACTAGGTTGATGTTATGCACGTTGCCCACCATCTGAAGCTTCATGTACCAATCTGCGAGTTCTTCCGGGGTCAGGTCGAATCCTTTTCGTTGATGAGCAATATCCTACACGCCAGGAACAATATCATATCCATTAGCTGATCAGACTCCATATAGAATAAGGTTACTTCTCAAGGGGCCTTGCAAATGGGGGCCTCTCCCTACATGATTCTGACAAAAGACGCAACGCAAATTACACCCAGAGAAGAACACCGACCCGCTGCCGTGAAACCCCTGAATGCAGGGCTCCTCGCCGCGATGCGGTGCGATCACATTAACCTTGGCCGTTTCAGCGCCGATCAAACAGACGCCCGTCTCTTCGTATCGGTTCACACCGCAGCGTCGTGGACAGAGGTTGCATTCCCGAAGGTGCGCATACGCATGAGAGCGCTTCTTGGCTGCGTCTACTGAGGAAAGAAGCTGGTATCGAGGGATGTAGTCGTCTAGTAGAAAGGCGGGGGGGATTCCTAGGAACCGTTTTGGGATGAGGGGAGACACTGATGGGCGTAGACGGGCATGCTGGGAGGGGAAGAGGCGGAAAGAGCGGGTTATGCTGGTCATGTTTTGCGAGAGCTTTGGGAAGGACGCTTAACCCATTGCGATGAACAGACCGAAGTAGAGCTGATGGTAGAATGAAGGTGATGAAAAGACCGAGGCAACGAAGGACAAGAGGCTTATCGGCGATAAGGACGCTTATATCAGCGGTGGCGTCATCGCTTCGAAATCCGGGGTAGATTTGGTGATTTACTAATTCAGTCCACGTCAAGGGTCAATAGTTCTGCATGAATGAGACTGGTGTGTGTACTCCCATAAGAGGAAAGGATAGAAAAGGAGAATATTATTTCAATATGGGATCCTGAATTGCCTGAGAATTTCATGTAGTATAGAACAATTCAATCAGTCATAGTCCACAGATATCGTCAAAGCCTGAGATCAACACAGAAAGAGACTATAAGCCTCATGTGAATGCGTCGTATGTACTACAAGGGCAAGCTGCCTAGAGATATGTCACGGTATAGATACTAGCCTCAGCGCCGTTCATCACTCCCTTCATTGCCATCCTGAAGCTCCGCTAAACCAATCGGACAACAGGCCGAAGACAATATAGATAAGAAATTCAGAGGCAAGATAAGAAAGGATCCATCCGGTTTTGACCGATAAAATTCCAGATAACCAAAGCGGGATATATATATGAAGAAGAATAGAAGAAGGAGATAAAGGCACCGTAGATCCTGCTACTCCCATTTTCTTTTTGGCTTTGTAAACTCCCAAACCTCGAGGTCTCCAGAGCTTACCCCAATTCAAATTAGTATTTGTCATGAGTTTGCGTCACATCGTCAGAGCTGCCATATATACACTGCGAGATGATAGATATAGATATTTTCACACGACGCCCTAGCCTCACAAGGCAAGACCGCTGCCATCCCCTGTCCAGCGGTAGAGGGCCAACACCTCCCGTCTGCGTTGTTGCTGTTCGCCAAAGTCCTCGGGCATGCGCCCGCGAACCTGCGCGAGAGCTGACCGCATGACTTTCCGGAATGTTCTCTGAAGATTGACAGTTAGTACAAAGATTCACCGGTTTAGGAATGGTGGGACAAACACAAACTTACCTGATATTCAGTGTTTAGTGTCACAACGCAAGCTTCGTGCGCACGAACAATCGTCTCACAGGCGCGGACAACGCTGGGGCTCGCGTCCCCTTGCAGCTTGTCCGCAGCGAGGAGCAACAAGAAGCTACCTTGAAGGAGGTAGATGCCAAAAAAGAAGGGCATAAAGCTTAGATCGGGGTCGTATTCGAGGATGTCTGCTGCCGCCTCGGCGGCACCGACCGCGTGGCTCATCGCCGAGATGAACGACTCAGACGATATCCAGAGGTCGTGGTCCTCGAGCAAATTGATCGGATCCCATTTGCCCGCTAGCAGGATATGGAGAACGTGCATTATATGGGTTCCGTATGCGACTACCATCTTTGTGTGCACGATGGATTCGTTCACGCGCGATCCGACCGTGCTGCTCGACCGGCCTGAAGGACTCACGTGGTCCAGATGCGACCCTTCAACAACAGCTTCGTTTTCTGCTGCGCCGAGGGTCAAGCTACTGGTGTAGCGGGCCTCGAACTCTTTGAGGCTCTGTCCATACGTATCTAGCTGGCGGGTAATCTCCAACACTTGGTTGTCCCACTCAGGGCTCGTCCGAAAAGCAAGGCCAAACCGGGGATGATCTCTCGCTTGCTTCAAGTCGACGATTTCCCCGAGAATGGTCATCAGGGGCAAGAAATACCCGAACACGCTGTGGCCGGTGCATTCTATAGGTGGGCCTACCTGGCGATAACTGGCTGCAGCAAAATCGCTCGCCTGCCATAAGTCGTCGTTCATCGGCTGCAAAAGCCCCTCACATTCTTTATCCAGCAACGTCAGAGGCCGGTTATAGCACAGCGCGAGGTGGCGATCCGTCGCATAAAGCAACCACCAAAGCCGCCGGCGTTCCTCCCTTTCCTCCTCGGTGACATTCAAAGCTGCACTTCCCGAGCCATTGCCCACGGAAGTAATGAGAGGGGGGAGGTTGTTTCGTTTGGATAGATCGCCCTCCGTTTCGCCCTCGCGCTCCCCATCCGGTCGCGATTGGGCGGCATTTGGCGGCAGCTCACGTCCCAGCTTCAATTCCCGAGCGAGAGACCACGCCGCAGTCCACCAACGCATGCTAGCTGCCTTGTATTCACTGGCAGAGACCACGGTCGCCAAGTGGACATACGTCGCGACGTCATCTACAGCCCCCGTGGCGCTGCTTTGCGCGCCCAATTGGTCCATGGAGACGCCGAATCCTCCGAGAGCCACACCGTTGATTACCATGTTGGCAGCGTAGTTCGGTGAGGTTTCCCCAGGGGCGGGACCATGGATCAATGGGCGAAGCAACCCAATGGTAAGTTCTAGGAGCTTTTGACACACCCTCCCTCGAGCTGACGGTGGGGAGGTCAGGAAGGCCGCGTCGCTCGTCTGGGCCGCAACCCAGAGCATACTTGCCAAAAGACCAGGGCTGCACACCCTTGGTTTCGTCGGATGGAGAAAAGATTGTTTTCGGAAGATGTATGCTATCACGTACGGAGATTGCGGGGTCAGGTGAGACGGCGAAAAGCTGGTGAAGTAGACGTCGAGAAGGTCGCAGGCCAAAGACTGGGGAATAATGGACGCGATATGAGGCAAGACTGGTTGCAAAACCGGGTATCGCAAAGTGCTGCCAAACGGCGGCATACTGAAGGAATGGAAGTTCGCGGGAGATGGCGAAGGGAGTGGTAGCCAGCCCGGTGACTGCGCAGGAGGCGACAGACCTAAAAACGGGGCCGACGGATTCTCCGCAGAGCTACCCAGTCGAAATTGATTGATTGAGGCATTATTTGAATCTTGCGGGTTCATGAGAGAGTATGCGCCATCGTTGTAACCGGAACCCAGCCCCTGGGAAGGCATGACAGACGATGGCGAACGAGGATTGGCGCCAGAATGGTGCAATATCTGCAGCGAGCGAAGATCGGGAACGGACAACGGCGGCCGATTCGACTCATTCAGGGCATTGAAGTGGTTCAGCTGCAGCGAATCGATGGAGGCCCCCAAGGGCGCTTGAGAATGGGACGACCCCTGCGACGGATTCTGCATCCCCACTATACCTGGGACCTCCGACGCATGCTGCAGCTGCGCCTGCGTGGACGTTGTAAGATTGCGGGCGGCATCGAAAGTCGGGTCGTATCTTCCGTTGACGTCTTGCGATGGTCGACCATCCGGGGGAGAGTGGCCTTTGGCCAAAGAAGCACCATCCTGACCGACATGGTGGCTTGCCAAAGATGCCGTACCACCACCGACGGTAGCAGCAGCGGCAGCAAGGTCCTTTTTAGAAGCCTTCCCACGTTTCTTCCGTTCGCGAGCATATTCACAAGTCAACCCAAATTCTATTCCACCAGTGTCAGCGCTAAAACAAGGGACGGTGCGACACGAGACAGATGGGGTGGGAAAGGGGTAGACAAAACACTACCAATGCAATGAGCGCACGGGTTCTGCCCGTCGCATTTGGTCCGCAGCTGGTTACATTGGTCGCACGCGCGACTGATCCTCCTTCGAACGGGAGCCGAGGCCGAGTTCTTCCGAATCGCAGAGCGCGCGTCTGCTAGCGGATCCCGGTGTGACAGACTCCTAAATCCCGAGAAGGTATTACTATTGTGGGCGGGATTATTGTGGTTTAGATTAGCATTGTTATTGGGCTCGCTGTTGTCCCCGTCGCCGTAGAGCGGCTGGTCGTCGGACTTGGAAATCGAACCCCTCAGGGGGTGCCCATCATTGCTGGCGCCACCCGACTCTCGCGACAGCTGCAGCTGCTCCAGCGCGTACTGGGAACCTTCTGCGAGCGTATCCAGCCCGACCGTCTGGGATTGTGTCATGCCAGACGACGGAGCACCTGAAGAGAAATGAGAGAAGGAACTAGCGAACTGGTGAAGAGAAGTCGTCGACATCCTCACAGAGGAAAGCGAGATGATCGATTCACCCAGGCATAGAGGATGCGGGAGATGACCATGAGCGATGTGGGGGGGAGAGAGGAACAAGGAAAATACGGGGAATAGTGGAAGGGCCGTAAGGCCCCAGATTCGAAAGAAGAGGAGGGGGATTCGTCCGGAGTAGAAGAGACGAACGAGATAGATCAAAGAGAGAGCGAGACAGAGATAGAGAGGGAGACGGAGCGGAATGACAGGAGAGCAAATCACGAGAACGGCGAATACGACGAGAGAGGAGAGAAAGGAAAGAGGAAGAGGAATCGGTCAGATGTGATCCATGGCCGACTAGCAGCGTCGGGTTCGGGAGACAAATGGAGTCGTGGAGAAGAATTAGGCGAGTCACAGCAATGGCACCGTTGGGGGAAAGACACGAGGCCCCCAGATCCTGGCAGGCCGGGGAAAGGAGACTAAAACAGCTAATTAGACTAGTCAGGCGATGCAGCATTGCAGTATTATTTAGGGGACTTGGTAGGGCGGTCCTTTAGTCGGCTTTAGCCTGGCCTAGTGGGTGCGCGAGAAATTAAAAATATGACCAAACACGAAAACCAGAAATGAGGGACCAGAGGGGAATCAGGCCACCTCGAGCCTAGAATCCTCCACGTTTGATAAAATGAAGGTGAATATGGGGGAGATGGAGACGACGGTGAGTATCCACGAAAAGTTCAACGGAGAGAGGGAGAGAGAGAGAGAGAAAGAGAGAGAAAGAGAGAGAGAAGGCGGGGAAAGTCAGTGACCTGCCGGTTCGGGAACAGTCAAATTCGGGGCTTCATCCGAGAAGTCGAGACGATCTCTTGCATCTTCCTCTACTTTCACTCGGTTTACTGGGCCAGTATCGTGTAGCATCGGGATATTATCCATCCTTTGCCAGGGACTCATGCACTTCTCGGTACTACAAGTACATACATACGGTGTGCATAAACAACGGCAATTGCGCCCGAAACCCGGGAACTGATATGGCTGGCATATGCACCCCGTCCCCTTCGACCCCAGCCTCATGCCCGTTCCTACTTTAGTATCAGGTCAGAAGCCGGATGGATGGAAGGGCTGGAATTCCAGCTCGCCCTTCTCATCTCCCCGACTCCTGCAGATCGGCTGCTGCTGTTCAGCCCGATTTTGCCTAAATTACCCCGGACTCTCTCCACCTCCAATCACAGCCTCGGTCACATATAGCCTAGTAAGGTAGGTAGATGGTGGAATTTTGAAGTAGTAGTCACATTATTATTTACATTGTCCCATCGCTATATACCTGGTTCTTAATTATATACATCCCTCGTTTTTCTTTCTTTTAGTGTGTGTGCTTCTTTTCCTCGTTTCGCTTTTCGATGGAATCCCAACCAACAAGCATCGTAATGTACAGCTTTCCCAAATAACCCCTTTGCGTCCGTTGTGCCGCTTCGTGGCACTGGAGGAAGTGGGAGATTAAGGAAAGAGAAAAGTAGAAATGCAAAAAAAAGAAACAATAATAAAATACAAAGACAATCATCAAAAGCTGGGGGGTATGCGGGGAGATGATTAACAGACGGGGTAGAGAGATTGCCGCCAATATACAAGACAGATTCACAATAAAAAAGCACGGTCCAACTCGGATAAATGCCTCGGAAGATCTTTCCCCTTAGTCATTTTAGTCTTGAAGAAACCGGTGCGTGAAACACAGCCAACGCCAACCCAATGCGTTCATAAGCCCGATCGGATGATTCACCCGTTAAGAAAAGAAGTACTTGCTGTCGCGAATCCGCGTCAGGTCCCAGGTTCCTCGCTTGGGAACCTCGCGGAACCGCAGAGGAAGCCAAAGCCAAGTAGTAGGGATAGCCTGCTTCCTGGTCCTCTTCTTCGGCAGTCCGTCCTCTTCCTCCGCGTCGCCTTCCGCCGCGTCGCCTTCCTCGGCATCGCCGGCATGCTCAGCGTCCCCGTTCTGCGGGCCAACAAAGCTATCATTGAAGCCGGCTGTCAGACTCTGGATCACTGGATCGGACATGTCTCTATCGAATCTTGCGGATTTCCGCTCGGCCGTCTCCAAGTCTTCCGGCACGTGTCCCACGACGGTTTCGCCGAGCGAGCTGGCGATGGTCAGATCATCGTCGGTACCCCCTTCTTGCTCGAAGATACTGGCTGGCGTGATCATCGCGCGGCCCTGGGCCTGGAGTTCAGGGTCATCGGATTTCAGAAGCTTCTGTCTCTTGGTCTCTTCCAACAACTCCTTAGTCCTGGCGGATAACGGATTGATGGCTCCTCGGTGCCTCCGAATAGCTCTTCCGATGTTGCTGTTCGTTTTGACCTTGGCAAGGAACATGTTCTGCCCGTATCGGACTTCAAACTCCGCGGCAAGTCTCTTCACCACGTCGTCGGAATGCATACGAACGAAGGCCTCGCGGAGAATCTCGTTCATGTGGTCGACGTCACAAGCATGGGTCCAGAAGGAATCGTGGACTGCTGAGAATGTGAGTCCGGATCGGTGGCATGCGGTAGCAGACATGATCATATGAGTGGCGTCAAGGGAGTGAATGAAGTTTGGGGGGAACGCTTGAAGTTGCTTGCGCTTCGAGACAGTCGACCCGGAGTGCATATCGACAATGCTCAAGTCCTGCAGAGAGGTTTTAATACGTCGGGCTTTGCGGACGCGATACGGCTGAACGACAGGTAGCCCCAAGGGGGTCGTCCAAATCACGGTAGACCGGAATTTCTTGGTTGGATCGGAATCGCTCTTCTGCTTGTCCTTCTTCTTCCTCATATCCGTGGGCTCGGGTTCCTGAGGCATCAACGCATCCTTCGCAATTTCGTCGATTTGCTCGGGAGACAGAGACAGGGTAATGCGACTAGCACAGTCTCCCAGCCAGTACTGAATCTCGTGCGCTCCATTGAACATGGTTCCCAGAGCCTCGAAGATCTTGCGAGCAATATACAAAGATCCAAACTTCAATTCCTCCTGAGAAAGTTCGGGGTAGTGGTCTGCAAGTTGCCTGCGCACTTGTTTCACAGCTCCAATAAACGTGACACCGTAAACGTTGGTCATGACGGTCTGTTTCACAATCTTTCTGGTGATACGTCCATCGAGAAGCTTCGCTGGGGCAACGCCCTGGGCGGCATCAAGCGCCACGGCTTTCTTGACGAACTCGGCGACTCCAGTATACACGTCGGAAGGACGGTCGGAGGGCTCCAAGTTAACCTGCTGTGCCCCGATCTTATCGCCACCCAGTGCTGCGTAATGCTGCAATCCGTTGCAAGAACCATCTTGATGAATCGGTAGGCGCGACAGATACTTGGTGGGGTCCGAAAGCTGGAGCGCATTTCTCAACTCACAGCAAGCTGCTAAACATTGCCAAGGGTCCTCCGCTTTAAGCCACCAGCGCTGGCCGTGCAAGCCCTTGTTGGCGGAATCCAAGATCTCAGCCAGGTGATCATTGGCGTATTGCTCCCGCTCCGAAAGACTAGCTTTATCAAACCCAGCCAAATTTGCGATTTGGACTTTCAACCATCTCAATCCACCGGCGCCAAGGGGCTTGGCCTCACTGAATAGAAGTAGACCTCTCGCATTATCCGCGCCCATTTGGTTGAGATAAGGCGGCAACGGGTAAGCACGACCTCGGAAATCGATGTTGTGAGGGAGATAGAAGGTCTCGTTTCGGTAAGCTCGGGCAACTTCCAACTGAAAGTTTTGAAAACAACGGTTCGAATGCATTCCAGATCGTCGGTTCTCAATATTCTGCATGGCAGCTTCCCATTGTTTAACCGCTTGGTATCCCTCATCGGGATGTGGTTTCGGGGGGTGAGGCAAGTCGGGATGCAGGGGAGCAAGGTTGGCAACTGCTTCGCCCGAGTTCCAAGCCTCGAGCATAACATCGAACACGTCGACGTTGACTGTCCACCCTGTATTTCCAAGGATATCCAAGCCTGTGCGCAACTGTTCAAGCCCATTCTTTTGCAGGGCGGCACGCACATAAGCCGGCTGCAATGATTCACCAGGCGTCGAACGCACTATGACATTCGGGTACATGAAGTAACCGCCTTCTTTATAGCCGGTCCAGGGTTTAGGTTTGCAAAGCATAGGCAGGTGGCGACCCATAACATCGGCAGGGGGTTCTTGGGTAACGAGCTTGACGACCTCGGGGTTGAGATGGATGTACCCCAAACGCCGTCCCCAGCTGATTTCGTAGGAGTGTTGGAATGCAGGCTGCATGATAGTCTCCTTCTTCTTGGTGACTGCATCTTCAGCCACCACGGGAACTTTCGCAATATCAAAAAGAAGACCCATCAGAGCAGCGCCAACTCTAGCTCTCACCCTCGGCGGCCAGACCGCGGTTGAGTTGTCTTTCTGTAGGCTATGAACGAGACCGTGCCACCGTGACCGACCATCCTTCGCCTTCCGCTTCGAGAAGATTTCCTTCAAAGTTTTCACGCGCCGAGAGTCCTCGCTAGATGCCTTGCGGAGTGCTTCTTCGGCCCACAACTCATCCTGTATCTCCTTTCCGATCGATGTAACAACCAAGGACGTTTTGAGACCGTTTTTCATGCCTGCGTAGCTAAATTGGGTTATCACAGTAAGAACAGTAAGAGCTGCGAGCCTCTCGGGATCGAGGCTCCGGAGGTAGGCCTGATACTCGGACCGGTGCCTTTCTTCCAACGTCCGTGCATGCGCAGTATCCGTGTCAGCCATTTTGAGCTCCTCTTTGATCTTCGTAACAAGCCCAGCGTGCCACTGGCTTAGAACGGGGCTAAGTCGCTTGTTACCGCTTGCGAGGTCGAGGCCTGACTTTTGCATTTGCTCGAACTCTTGGCGCCAGCGGTTCATCGACACTTTGATGTTATCAGTCTCAAGCTGCTTCTGCCGCAGCTGTGCATGCAGCTCCTGGTTCTCCTCCGCTGTATACATGGTGTTTTCCGGAAGAGCAATTCCTGAATCTGAGAGCAAAGAAAGGGATTCCTTCAGAGAGGAGAGACCAAGACCTCTCTGTTCGACAGGTCTGACCTCCGGCGTAGCATTCGGAACAAGAGGTATCGACTCATCCTGCACAGCATCCGACTGCATACTATCAATTGCAACGCGCTGGAGATCCGAGGAACATATCTATAAAAATAGGGGGAAGGATTAGCATTCCATATGTTATAACTTGAATGTTGGCGGGGACCAACCTCCGAAAGTTCACCCAGTTCCAATTCCGAGAGAATGGGAACAGCAAGTACTTCTTCCTCCAAGCCCACCTTCTTCGCAAGATCCCAGTATCGGCGCACCGTCCTATCCCGCTTTCCGCCGTGCAGCATACGCAAAGCCATCCGCAACATCACCGCGTAAGTAGTTGCATCTGGCACAACGCCACCGGCAGCCATATCCACTTCAAACCATCTCTGCAAAGGTAAGAGCAGGTTTTGCTGCCGCGTCACGATCATATGCGATACCATCGCCTCTAGATAGCGATTGTGTAGAGCTCGATTCTGAGACGAATCGGCCGGATAGAACTCGCCGAGTCGGCTGATCAGAATAGCAGCGCGCTCGAACTGGCCAACCTTCAAAGAGACGTCCAGGTTTGCCAGCATCTCGTCTTCCTGACCACCCATGCCCTGGACCATTTTAAGCACTCGTGGCTGTGTCTGCAGGGTGTCATTGATGATAATTAGAGACGAAGGGTCGAATTCTGTGGCGAAGGGAGGGAATAGAGAAGCCATCTGATCATATTGTGGCTCAGGGAACGACCCCTGTTCCAGGGCCGAGAGATCTGCGGCGGTGGCGAGATTCCGATTTGACTGCAAAGACGAGAGGCGAGACCGCTCCTGAGGTATCGTAGGGGCACTTGTAAGAGGGTTGGGTCGGCTTGAATTAGTATGAAGCCGCAATGCCGTCAAGGAAGGCGACATCCGACAGTTGTTCAAACGCCGGAGGTGAGGAATGCCATTTTTCTGGCGGGCGATTCGAGACAACATGGTTCGAGAACAACGCTGAAGGAACTGCGATGAATTATTATGCAATAAACCGGGGGGCGACGGTCGCGGAGGTATGTATTAAAAAAGAGATAAAGGGCAAAATTTTTGCAGTATGCAGGCCAAAAACAGGACGAGAACTAGACCATTAAAATATGCGAATTGGGATTAAGACAGATTTTAGAAAATAAAAAGATGAAAGGCGTAGAAATGCCAGCGAGAGAGAGAAAATGATAGTCCACGCTGACGAGCCGGCCGGCAGCCCTCGCTCTGGCCGTTGTAGGATGACAAGGGAAAGAAGCAGAAGGCAGCGTCGAGGAGCGCGATGAAATTGTCGAGGACGGAGAAATCGGGGAGAAGAGAAAAATACGGCGTGACCGACAAGGCGATAAGGCACGCCGGGCACGTGATGTTCCGCGTCGGTTTTTCTGCCGTCGTTGATTGGCTGACCGCCCCTTCTCGAACGGTCGGTCGGTTTCTTCGCCTGAATTGTCAGGCTTCTTTTTCTTTTTTTCAACAAGTCTAACTTCATACTTCATACTATAACAACCTGTATAGTGCGCAACATATTGTAGGTATATAGCGAGCATCTTCTATATCCGTACCTACAGTACAAGTTATGCATTTCTTACGTGGCAATATGCACAACCGATCCCTTCTACTCCGCATATATTAAAGTACATACTTCTGACACATCTGCAAGCCATTTGGCATCATACGTAATTCATGCTTGATTTTCATTCGGTAGTAGGTTTTGCCAAAACCTACTGGCAATTATCCCTCCGGATTACCCTCAGTAGGCGACGCCTGTTCACGCTGTTTCTTTCGGTTCTGCTTCATCGCCCACCCAGTCATCTCCGGTCGTGCCGGGTCGATTCGCGGAGCACTCATCTTATCCAAATAATCCTCGCTGTTAATTGCCGATTCGAGTTGCGGCAGGCTCTCCGGATCTTGATGCATCATGAAGCTCTCATAGACGTGCCACGATTCCTCGGTCTATACGAAACAAACGCGCGTTAGTATAACGTCTCGTCTCCTGATTCATGCCCATGGATAGATAAATCAGTGTCAGCGGAGCAATCTCACCTCGGCATCGACCCAGTCGTAAGAGTTCCATTTCTCATCCTGCATTTTCTTCAGAAGGTTCAGATTGCCAGCAACCATGGCTCCCTCGCTATCTTCGGCCGCCTTGATTTTCACATCGATGGCGCGGGCTTCACTTTCGGCCGGGCGATCCTCTTCGCCGTCCTTTCGACCTTTTCCGCCCCTTCCCTTGGTCGGGACTTCGTCCAGAGCATCGAGATGGTGCAGTTGAGGATGTAATTGAACCACGGCAGAGACAGGAGAGAGGTGTAGATTCTCTGTCCAAATCGTTAGCACTAAGCACGGAACACCCTCCCATAGCAAAACAGGAAGTCATAAGAGATAAAGAAGGATAACTCACTCCCCCTAAACGCAGCCAACATATAAACCGGATCCCCAGTCTCAGGACTCCGAACCCTCCCACCCAGCGTCTGCATCCTCAACAAAGAAGCCGTCTCCCCGGTGCCACCCATCTCCACGTCCGCGTTCGCCTCCATCTTCACCTTCCCGCCCGCACTCCCAGTACTAAACCCGCCCGCCATACCAAACGCGCCGCCCTCGCGCGCACTGCGGCTTTTCTTCAACGCATCGCCGTACCGCAGACCCTTGCTGACATCGTAGTTCACGCGCGTGTTAATGGGGACGTCCACTTCCACGAGACCGGTCTTCTGCTTCATGCGAAACGAAGCGGGTTTCTGGCCGTGGCGGTCATCGTAGGCGTCGTCGGTCGGTCGGTCGAGGTATTGGAGGACGTAGCGGGAGATTTCGGAGTCGGTGAGGAAGACGTCGTAGGATGCGATGACGGGGTCGGAGTCGGAGGAATCCATGTGTGCGGTTTTGGGAGGGTGAGAGAATAGAGAGAAAATTTATTAGATGTTTGGCTATAAGAGAGGTGCCATTGAGGGAGTGGGTTCCTTTTGGAAGCAAATTGTCAGTTTAGACTGACAGTGTGGATGCGATCCAAGCAAGTTGGGGACTTTTTTTTCCCTGGACTTTTTTTTATCGGCGAAGCTGGCGCAGTAACGTTTGATAAGCGGGGGCAGAATCTGCCTATCAGTTCACACCGCTTGCCGTTTACGGTTTCCATAAGGTTAAGAGTGTATCTATCGCATCAAATGTATGGTTAAATCGGATTCAATTACTTGGGAGAGAAAGATTTACATGGCGTATGTCGAAGTACACAATATCAACAACTCAGTCACTGTAAGGAATCAAGTCCAGATTACAACACAGCATGTAAAATGCAAGCATATTTTGGGCACGCGCGGTATATACAGACAAAATGCGGGCATCAGGGTCATGATAAATAGGACACCAAATATGTCCACGAGAAGAAAAACACTCAATCTAAAGCAAAGCAATGCGAAGAGGCATAAAACATAGATGGTCATAGCATCAGTTGGCATGTCCAACATTAAAACCAGAATTATTTTTTCTTTTCGACTCTACTCCTCGTCTTCATCATCTTCGGCAACCTGTAGGAACATTGGTTAGATATGCGGTGGAAAATCGTTGAGGGCATCATGAACTTACTCCTTCGTGGAAGTTCTGTCCGTCAGTCGTCGCCTTGATCACGCCGGCGCGGATACACCAGTCTCCGAATCGCTCGGGCTCTTCTCCGTCGGTGTTGCGCTCACGGGAGTATCTCCGGAGAAGATCCTTCATGATATCCAGAATCTCATCCTCCTTGATGGAAGATCGGTAGAGCTTGTTCAGACGCTGTCCGTGGTAGCCACCACCCAGGTACATGTTGTACGCGCCATATGCCTTACCGACAAAGGCGGCTTCGGCAAGCCAGGGTCGGGCACAACCGTTGGGACAACCGGTCATACGCATGACAATGCTGTCCGAGGCCAGGCCCACCTCCTCGAGAGTAGACTCCAACTTGGAGATGAGGACGGGCAGGTAACGCTCGGACTCGGCCATTGCGAGACCGCAGGTAGGGAAAGCGACACAGGCAGAAGACGAGAGACGCATGCCGCTGAAAGCGGTGTTGTCGAGCTTGTACTTGGCCATCAGCTCCTTAATTTGAGGAAGATCCTCATCCTTGACATTGGAAATGATCAGGTGCTGGTTTCCGGTGAGACGGAACTCGCCCTTGTCAAGAGACGCCAACTCACGCAGACCGGTACGCATCTTGAACTCCGCAGTGTCCTCGATACGACCGTTCTCGATGAAGAACGTGAAGTGGTTGAGACCCTTCTCGTCCTTCTGCCAGCCGAAAGTGTCGACGTTCGAGGCAAACTTGAACGGACGAGGCTCGGCAAACCTCAGACCGTCGGGAAGGATGGCCTCAACCTTCTCCTTGAAGCCCTCGACAGTCAGGTCATCGATGGTGTACTTTAGACGAGCGTGCTTGCGGTTCTTGCGATCACCGTGATCACGCTGGACAAGCATGATCTTCTCACAGAAGATGTGAGCCTTGTCAGCGGGAACATAACCAAACATGCGGCCAGTCTGGGGGTAGGTCTTCTTGTTGTTGTGGGTAGCACCCATACCACCACCAGCAAGAACGTTAAATCCTTCCAGGTGTCCATCGGAGCCCTTGATGGCAATCAAACCGATATCGTGAGCGTAAACATCGGTATCGTTGTGAGGAGGAATGGCAATCGTGATCTTGAATTTACGGGGTAGGTATGTGGGTCCGTAGAGCGGTTCGTGGTCAACAATGGCATCTCCGGCAACCTGAACCTTCTTGTCGTTGTCGTCCTTCAACCAGATCTCGTGATAGGCGGTCGTGGACGGGAGGAGGTGATCGCTGATCTTCTGCGCAACAGCGTGCGCTTCGCGGTGGTAGGCAGAGAGCTCCGGGAGCGAGCTGCACATGACGTTTCGGTTCACATCACCACAGGCAGCAATGGTAGTCATCAGCGACTTGTTGATAGCACGCATGGCGGCACGCAGGTTGCGCTTAATGACACCGTGGAACTGGAAGGTCTGTCTCGTCGTAAGCTTCATGGTCTCGTTACCACACGAGCTGCTGATGGCATCCATCTGCAGCCACTGAGAGGGAGTGGCGACACCGCCCGGAAGTCGGCAACGGATCATGAAGCTGTAGGCTGGCTCAAGACCCTGGGCCTTGCGCTCATCACGGACATCCCGATCGTCTTGCATGTACGTGCCGTGGAATTTAGTCAGCTGCTGGTCACTAGCGGAAATGGCACCGGTAGTCTCATCCAACAAGCCCTCGGCGATGGTGCCACGCAGGAAGTTGGACTGAATCTTGATGTCTTCGTTGGTCAACGGGGCGGGCTCTTCGGGCAGACCCTCAACCTTGTCCACGCCCAAAGCTTGCCAGAGACGGGGCTCCCACTCCGAGTAGCCAGTCTGGTAGGCGTCGGGGTCCTGGTCGTCACCAAGACCAATGTCGGTGAGCTTACGGCCTCCAAGGAAGGCGACGCGAGCATCGAGATCCTTGGCGGGCTTGTTGTAGTAGATCTTGTCCTCCTTGCGGGGCCAGTAGTGCCTATCGCCAAGACCGAACACGGAGTAGTTGATGGCAGACAGGTCCAGATCGCCAGAGTTCTTCACCACTTCCCACAAGCTGCGACCGTTCTGGGGGAACTCTCCCTGGCCTGCGGTACTGCTGATGAAAACCACGTTTTCCTCGGTGGGCAGATCTTCGACCGGGTATTCATCCATAGCCATGACCATGGTCTTCAAACCACGAGCACGGCCACGGTTGCCCAGCCGCTTGGCCAGGTTCTGGGCGTTTCCATTATCCGACGCGAAAAGAATGGTCAACGGGGCTCCGAAGAGGCCTTCAAGGAGCTTCTCATAGGAGTCCTTAGCCTTGCGCTTCTGCAGGGCACGGACTTCGGTTCCGTAGGACTCAGAAAGAACAGAGGAGAATTTAGGCTGGCGGTTCATGAGCTGGGTCAATTGGTTGTCCCGGCGAAGGAACTCCTCGAGCTCGCGCTTGATACGCTCCGAGTCAAGTTCGAACTTGGGCTCGCCCTGCTCTTCGTTGGCAGGGTTCCAGCGGTAAAGAGGCCAATAGCCGAGGTCAACGGCCTTCTTGGTCTCCTGGAGAACGGTGAGAGCGGAGTCATTCTCCTGGTTGTAAGGCAGGTAGGCAAGAATGACGGAAGGTCCATCAAACTTCTCGGCCTCAGCCATGGCTTGAAGCACCTGGGTGTAGGAACCATAGACGGCAACAGAGGCAACGTAAGCATTGCCAAAGTTCATGGCGTAAAGCCCGATGTCCTTCTTTCGGCGCGCGGCATCAGCCGCAGCACGCTCCGAGTACGGTTGCGAGTCAATGACAAGCATGTTCACGTTAGCACCGGAGGCCAGAACATGGTGGACACCGGAGTTGCCAAGGTCATAAGCCCAAGCGTCCGATCCAACCAGCCAGTGGGTTTCATCGTAGAAGAGTTTCTTCGATTCGAGCAGCTGTCTCGACAGTTGAGATCCGTCGTTTGAGAGGCGAGCAATGACATCGGCAGCCAGCTTGTTGGCCTTGGCGGGGTCACTGGCAGCCAGGGCCCACTTCGAAAGCCAGGTCTTAGGGCCCTCGGTAGCGAAGGTGCTGGACTTGGATGCCTCCTCGACCTCCCGGGCGAAACGCTGGCGACGCTCCTTCCTGGCGATCAGAGAACCAAATCCATACTCGGGGCTCGCGGCAATGGTGTTGGAAACGCCGGCGTTTTTCGAGTCCAGCTGGTTGGCGATGTGCAGGCGCTCTCCGAACAGCTGGTCCAAGATCTTCAGGTAGGCATTTTCAATGTGGGGTTGCTCCAGGGGGGTCTCGATGGTGGGGACCTTAGAGCTTCCGACCTCGAGGTTCTGGACAGGAGAGGGGGTCTCGAGGTTTTGAACGATGCCGCGAAGGGCCTGGACTGAGGTAGAAGGCTCAATGTATCCAAGACGGTAACCCACGATCTGAGGGCTGCGTCCGCCAGCAGTAGCCGGGGTCAAGCTCGACAGGAGATCCATAAACGAAGGACCCCATTTCGTGGTTTTACGGACCTGCTCCAAGACGGCAATCTTCTCGACGGAGCTGGGGATGGAGTTGGCGATCTGGCCTCCAACCCAGGGTCGGTAAAGGCGGGCAGTGATCAGGCCGACGTTTGCAAGTTCGGGGGCAACGTCCTGCTTGGCCAGAACGTCCACGAACACCCCCGTCGAGCCGAAGACGAAGATGGCCGCCTTGGCATCGGCAGGGCCAGTGTATTCGATAGCATGGTAGTTACGTCCCACGGTCGCCGAAAGCACGTTCCAAATCTGGGTCGTCCATTCGAAGATATCGGCCGCGCTAACCGGACGCACAGACGAATTGTCGACGGTGGTGGCAGCAGAGCTCGTGGCACGGCTGTCCGTGCTGCTGTCCCTCCTCGAAGATCCAACGGAAGAGTTGTCAACACTGACGCTCGAGGGAGTCTGAGATGGCTGGGCCGGGGCGGAAGCAGCCTCGGTCTGCTGCTCCTGGGAGGTGCTCTCCGTCACCTCCTCAGAGACAGTAGCAACGCGACCCGAGTCAGCGTACAAGGTCTGAACACCAAGGCCATCGGTATGAGTAGCGATATTTCCACCCAGGTGCAGCAGCGTCTTCACGACATCCACGTTTTCTTGGGGGATGGCCTCATCACGGGCCGAGTTCGCAGGGTCAAAGAAATGAATGACACCCTTTCCGGACTTGCGAGCCAGGGCATGCGCGGTGATAGCGATATCCTGCGCTTCCTGGATGGTCTCCGAGTGCAAGAAGGTGAAACCACATTGCCGTATCGAGCTGATCACCGAGTAATCTGGGAACGGGTAGGGCTCCAAGGCGACATGGATGACGACGGGGTGGTTCGCCAGGCGGTAGAGATGAGGGATGGAGGAGAGAAGGGTAGACGAGCTCGTAACGACGGAAACCGTTCTGCCTCCCTGTAGAGGGTGGAAGGCTGAAAGAAGAGGATCTTCGTTATATCGAACGGTCACCACCTATGGCAATTGTCAGCGACCATCCATTGAGCCCGTACCCCACAGTTCTTCAAACAACTTACATCCGTCACATGCTGCGACAACAGACTCTGGGCCTTGGTCGCATTGAGAACCTTGAGAGACTTGCTAAACAGCGAGTCTGCTCTCAGAGAGGGCTGGACGGAGAGAACGACGTCGCTGGCCAGGTAGGCAATTCTCGCCACTGAGCAAACCGATGAATCATCAGTACATGTGCAACAATACAGTGCAGAATGAAGAAGGCCCAAGTATAACGTGAAAATAATAGAAGAAGGCGATAAGTTAAGGAAATCAGCGTTCAGTGCAACATACCAGCTTCTCCAGCAGTGGGAACGGTCGCCATAATGACAATTGCCGACAGCGCTACTCACAGCGCCGGAAGGTGGGATGTAACTTCTACTACAATTGACGTAGAGAACTGGATATCACCGCCGACGGTGACTCCCCACCCGATTCAAATTCAGCGGAGGATGAGTATGGAGATGTGGGAAAGAAGAGAAGAAGATCACAGATCACGAAGCAGAAGACATGGGAATTTTAGCTTAGAACGAATTTCCCGTCTCCCTTTTTTTTTTCTCTCTGGTGCGATCACAGTCTACCAGAGAAGCGGCGGTTTAGTTCTCCATTGAACTTTCAGGTGAATCTCCGCCATCGGGGATGGATCAGCAGTCTTCTCATTGGTCTGCGATCACGACATCGATGCAAACCTAGGCGGGCAGGGTGTGCAAACATGCCTCTTTCGGTAAGGCGTGCTCATCCCGTGACTGGCAGTCGAGCACGTCAGCGCTCGGCTTTTGCTCGGTTTGCTGCGTTTGCCCGGTTTGATTGCCGCTTTCGTGATTGGGTCTCTCCGGCTTTTGTCTTCCCTCCGGAACCACGTGCTCCCGTAGCCTGACTCGGGCGAGAACGACAGCGGTCTCGGCAGGGGAAGTAATGAAACTGGTGTTCACCAAAACAATGGTGCAAAAGCAAATTAGGTGCAGATTAAGATGGATCCCTAATGACGCCGTATCAAAACAACCATCCCATATCAATCACTACCAATGTACATGCTCCAATGCTAGACTTAAGGCTTGGGGAGGGGCACCTATTATGATCCCAAGCATGGTGGTGCAGGCACCTAGGTGTACTTCTTCCCCCGTATGCAAACGGCGAGCCACGAACAGTCTACTATGCAATAAGCAACGGAAGGGAAGGGTGTCAAACAAGAAAACGCCGCCAATTCAGCCCCTCCTTTCCAACGGTCTGATTCGTAACCAGGGTATGTAGATCATCTCGCCATATATAATAACAGGAACGAAGGGAAATAATAACGGCTGTGTGTATCACGCAATGGAGAGGCAATGGGCCGTGACGCCTCTCCCTTTTCTCCCGGACGGGGCCGGTTGAAAAGAAGCATGTGACCATTCACTTCTTACAAGTTACAAGCCAGTGCATGGCGACCCTCATGTTCGTGGCAACAAGGTGGACTGGAGGGCCCTGTCATGCAGGGCCCAAAATTCAGCCAGAGCATGAGTAGGGGGCCTATACTAGGTGGATCCGAGCGGCCTTGATCACCGGGTTTCGGTCCAGTCTTGCATCTTGACGTTCATTCCAGGCGCGGCTTGTTCGTAGATCGGTTGCTGCAAGGCGGCGGCCTGAACGGCGGATTGGGAGGGCTGCGGGGGACCGGTACCAGAGCGACGTCTTCTCTCGCGCTCCAGAGGTCCGGGGAGCTCGGTGTTCTCGAGGCGGGTGCGGAACCGACGCCCGATGTTGTTCACCCAGCTAGTTCCCTCCTCATCTTCACCCAACCAGTAGTTCCGGCCCACGCTAATCATGGCACGACCAAGCTTGCCCTGCCAGCCCTGACCCTCGGGGCTGAACGGCGAGAACGGTTCCCGGTCGATGTCAGCTACGCTAGCCACACTTGCGTTAGACGTGTTGCGGCTGTGGGTGGGCAGTTGCGTGTGGCGAGGCACGGCGATGTAGATGCGCAGAGCCTGACGGGCGAAGGCGAGCATCACGAACACGAAGTAGGCACGGACGACCCAAAGCGTGCAGATGAAGACGATACTCTGGAAGCTTTCTGGTTGAGTCACGGCGTTGCTCAAACCTTCGGAGCTCCTGGCGTAGTGGCTGGCATCGGTGGAGTCGGTGTATGAATCGTCGTACTTGGGGCTGGTGAAGCCGGCAGTTTGAGCGATCGTCTCGCTACCGGGTCCCGACACGGTGCCGTTCTCGTAGTGCTGGGAAACGACCAGGAACCACGTCACGCCGAAAGCTGCAGTGTAGGCAGCGTTGATGAGGCTGTCGAACACATAGAGCCAGGCGAGGGCGAGGCATTGTAAGGGGGATTGTTTCCGGATGTGAGGGAAAAGTATCGTCGCAAGTCCGAGGGCGATTAGGGAGTAGATGTACATGGACAGTTGAACAGGAGAGAGGTGGTAGCCGGTCAGCAGGGCCAGAAGACCATAGAGGCCGCTGATTTTGTTGAGAAGTAGCGATAGAGTGATCAGAGCAGCGCCGGTGCGCAGGCTCATCACATAGAGGAATGTCTGTAGCGCGACCCAGGCGTTGTCGTTAGCGCCCACGAGCGACCGGACGGAACGGGCAAGGGTGATGATAAGGGCCCAGAATTTTTCTTCTTCAGGACTCAGGACGTCGACATACCTCTGGCCGCGGGATGCGGAGGAAACGGGTTGATAACCCCATCTTTGCAATGTTGATATCGCCGACGGAGGGGAGTTTATCGGTGATAATGGCACGAGAGCAGAAATAGGAAAAGGAATGGAAGGCGATGTCAGAAGGGGTGAGAAAGAAGGGAAGAAGAGGCTGGCGCTTGAGGGGGGCGACCATGGGCCAATCGTAGCCGCAAAGGGGCGCCATTTTCCGGTCGATCCGCCTGCCGATCGCTGCCCTTTCATGACGTGGGAATCATTTCATCGTTTTCAAGGGAGCCTGGTACGAAGTACGAATACGGGGACCAGGGGACATAGTCTCTACTGAATTATCTATATTAAATATTGATCATTCATAAGGGTGGTCCCTGGTCTAGTAACGTGGTGGATACTGGAAATTACGGTCAAAATCCGTTTGAGTAGATTTACATATCCTTGCCATGGCTGCCCGGTGGCTAGAGCCGTGGGTTTGGTTGACGTGTGATACGTCGCATGATACTCGGGAGGGAAGTATGAAATGGTTTCGATTTATTTGATTTGTGTTCTGTTGGCTTGGTTCTCTTTCCACTACGAGCATTGACCACGCATGGATGGGGCATCTGGTTAGATCTGGCGCCAAATATATACTGCGAGTGGACAATACGAAGACGGCGTATTCCGCAGCTACCGTAAATTCAGATACTCAATGAACAAGGCGTATCTATCCTGACTGCAAGTGCCAACTTGAATTGAGGTCTCAACCAATCCCAAGGGGTTGATTGACACTCCTTAAAGGTGAAATGCATAGTTAATAATGATAGGTAGTGTCTCTACCAGGACTTAAAAACAGAATTAGCCTTATCAAACCAAAAGTATAGCCAAAATTCAACAAATGGGGTGATAGCTCAGTTGGGAGAGCGCACGACTGAAGATCCACTCAGTCAGTCAGGTCATCTGGCAATCGTGAGGTCACCGGTTCAATCCCGGTTCATCCCATTATCTGTTTCTTTTTGTTTTTCTTTTCATTGTGGTGTATACTTCAATTGGTTACGTTTGTTGTTTTCCCTCTCTCCATCTGCTATCCCTTTTTTAATTGTTTGCTATCTCGACCATTCAATCAACAGAATCACATAGATCTCCCCTCTTTAAACCCTCCACGATATCTAATCCCGGCTGACCTCGCACTATCTGTCAGGGACGGGGCTGTATCAACCTTTCATTGCGGCGGACTCTGAACAGGAGTGGAATTGCAACCAATCATTCGCTGCCCGGAGCACATTACAACCGTATGTCCCAGGCGTGCCTTTATCATTTGAGAGCGGTAAAGCCGCCCTCTATATCAGAATATCAATAGAGACCCGGCCATTCCTACCTAGATTAGACCGTACATATTCGAGAGGATCGTAGTCAACATCCCACGGCCTGATAAACCTGTCCTCAATGGTCATCGAGGGAGAGCAAATGGACGCTGGAAGATGCGGCAAACAGACAACACTTGATATCCCTCAAAATTAAAAGAAAATATGGCATTTGAACCAGGAGCAAAACAAAAGAGAAAGGACGGTGAAAGAGAGAACATCTCGAATAAAGTTTGCTCTAAACACGCTATCACCTGAAAAAGTAAAGGAAGGAAAATGTACATCTTAAAAATGGCAGCGCATTATGAACAGTCTCAAGCCTCATCATTGAGATTCGGTGAGCAAAATGGCGAAAAGGGTGGGTGGTAGGTAAGACCAGGTAAAATACAACCGCTAGCAGGCACATCCGTCATTGTTCGTGGTCTCTTTGGGACTGATATTAACGTCAATCACTAAGGAAAAGGGGTTAGCTTCTAGATATGATGGTCGAGGATTGCGAAGACACGAACTGTTGTTCTCTCCCTTGTTCGCCTCGCCCTCCATTCCTGGTAGAGCCTGGGCTATCCTTCGGAAAAGCTGCTTGACGTTGTGGCCGACCTTGGCACTGGTTTCGATGAACATCAGGCCGTTCTTCTTCGCCTCCTCTTCACCCTGTGCCGTCGTAACTTCTCGCTTATCGTTCAGATCGGTCTTGTTGCCCACCAGCACGATGATCACATCGTTTCCACGCTCTCCCCGTACGTCGTCGATCCATTTCCGGGTGTTCTGGAAGGATTTGGCATTCGAAATATCATAAACGACGACCGCCACGCTCGAATCACGAATGTAGGAAGGAATAAGAGATCGGAATCGCTCCTGACCAGCAGTGTCCCATAGTTGCAATCGAACCGTTCGATCCTCCAGGTACATCGTCTAAAGAATGTCCGGGTTAGATACAATGGCTCCGCGAAAGGGCGCATAGTATGACGTGAAAGCCGTCGCCCGTGGTTGAGGCCTACCTTCGAGAGGAAGTCGATTCCGATAGTTGCTTGATATGTGTTGTCGAACGAGTCGTACATGAACCGCGTGATTAGAGACGTTTTCCCGACTGTATTCCCATTGTTAGATATCTCGAATCCTGTGGTTCACGGCCGAGAATGAGGTGAACCGCTGGGTGGACATGTGTTCATACCGCTCTGCTCGCCCAAGAACACCAACCTACAGCCCAATTAGTGACTAATGTAAATCATCGTTGGCACCAACACTCAGAACATACTTGAACTTCTTCAACGGGTTCGAATACGACCCGACTCCGGTGGCTGCCATGGCGACTGAGGACTTGGTGGTGGTGAATTAAGAGGATCAGGGGTAGTAGTAGTACTAAGTAGTAGCACGAGGCGGAGGCAATATATGGATTAGCGGGCGGTGCGAGGATGGACCGAGAAGGGCGCTAAGGATACAATGGGGTCGAAAGAGGGATATGGAGGAGGGACGAGGCGTAGAATGCGACCAGATCAGGCGCACGAGGGATTCCAGAGGGCGACTTGGGAGTGAGCTCGACCCATGGGTCCGTCTGGGGAAACAGTATGAACTGACAAGCAACTCCGCCGCCGCCTGCGCGGATTAACTCCGGCCCGACCGGCGAGTCGTGTCCCAAGTCAAGCAGAGACGGTGATGCTGATCCGCCCAGGAGCTTGCTTCATCGGCCTTTCTTTCCCTCACGTTTGACTCGTCCTCAAGCCTCCCGAGGCTCCGTCTGTTGGATTACTCTACCCTTCAGCTTGCAGGTTCTATTCTAGGTTGGAGGTCATCATGGGTCTCCTCTATCCTGCCAGCACTGCTACCGTGTCACTCCTGGTGATAGGAGGATGTGAGTGATCTCATCATCGATGCTGCTGCGAACACTCTGCTAACTATTGCTTGCTGCTAGACATGCTCTTCCATGGCGATGGCGAACAATTCAATGTACGACCGGCGTCTTCTCGCACCTTTACCCCTTGTCCGCTGCTGTCGGACCCTCGTTAACACGATCTTAGGTCGGCCAATTTCTCGAATCCGTGTCCCCGTACGCCTGGGCGAACCTTGGTATTGCGATGTGTATCGGTCTATCGGTTGTAGGAGCTGCATGGTATATACTCGTCACCACCAATTCCGTCAAATTCCTCGCGCGGTCACTTACACTAGGATCTATAGGGGTATCTTCCTGACGGGCTCTTCGATTGTCGGTGGTGGTGTCAAGGCGCCTAGAATTCGGACGAAGAACCTGATTTCGATTATCTTCTGCGAAGTCGTTGCCATCTACGGAGTCATCATGGCTATTGTGTTCTCTTCGAAGCTTAACCTTGTGGACAACGAGGAGCTTATGTCGGGCGGTAGCTACTACACCGGCTATGGGCTCTTCTGGGGCGGTCTCACGGTGGGCGCATGCAACCTGATCTGCGGCGTTTCTGTCGGCATGAACGGAAGTGGTGCGGCCCTGGCCGATGCTGCTGACGCTACCCTGTTCGTTCCGTCCCTCCTGCCCATCGAGACGTAAGATGCTAATTGCTTTCATTACAGCTTTGTCAAGATCCTCGTCATTGAGATCTTCAGTTCTGTCCTCGGTCTCTTCGGCCTTATCGTCGGGCTCCTGATAGCAGGAAAGGCGACCGATTTCGGAGCCTAGAGTGGGGGGCGCAAGATGTCTTCTTTGAGAGAAGACTAGACGAACCGGGGTGGAAACCATTTGTATGACTTGGATTTTTCTTAAGCTTCACTTTCTTCTGATGTTCTCTTATATACCGCATTGAGGCGTATGGATTCGACTTGAACTGTAGAGTCTTGGGTATGCGTGAATAGCGTCAATCTTCCCGCGAAATTGCTATGATGTTTGAAGAAGTGGTGTACAGTAACAGGCGTCGAGGTTAATGGACGTACTAAATATTTCAATGCAATTCCACGATATTTCTATCTTATCAGTGCACAGAGATGGGGAGTTGTAGATAAGGCAATGTTCGGAAAGGCCGCCTGCACATGGCGGACATATAAATAGTAGATGACCTCCCCGCACCACAACCCGCAGCCCCTCACTCTATCACTTCCATCCACCATGGCAGACACCCGTCTCAAACCAGCGATTCTCGTCGTGTCAGACACAGCCTCTCAGGACCCATCCACCGATAGAGTGGCTGAGACACTTACGAGTTTATTTTCGTCCGAGGGATCGAGCAGTTGGGAGGAACCGGTTATCAAGGTCGTACCCGATAATGTGCTGGAGATCCAACGAGCCATCTGTAACTGGACAGATGGACCAGATTGGTTCAATCTTGTTCTAGTTAGTGGTGGCACGGGATTTGCAGTGAAGGATAACACCCCTGAGGTTCGTTCGAATGGGCCCTCCATAGAGTCATTCCGGCGCAGCTAATCAAGGGAGCAGGCTGTATCACCTCTCATCCATCGCCATGCATCCGGTCTTGTGTAAGTGTCAAGACCCGGGAACTTTGATGAAAGATAGGGATTTAAAGACCACTAACTGAAGTTCCAAAGACACGGCATGATAGCCGCTTCCTTGAAGATAACACCATGTAGGACCCGAATCTGCCTCGCATGACTCAGAACCATGAATTGACTGACTGTTTTGCATAGTCGCCATGATGTCTCGACCAGTTGCGGGTGTGAGGGACAAGTCATTGGTTATCACCTTGCCGGGGTCTCCTAAAGGCGCCAAGGAGAATCTTGAGGCAGTCATCAAGCTCCTTCCCCACGCATGTACCCAAGCAGCCGGTGCCAATTCCCGAGCTATCCATGCAGGGGGTGTCAAAAAGCTAGAAGCCGACGCTGGCGTTTCATCCGGAAACAAACAGCCAGAAGCACAGACAGGGCACTCCCATTGCCATCACCACCACCATAACCACGGCCACTCCCATGGTCATGGACATATTGTCCCGAAAGCACACACTTCGCCGTCGGAACGACCAAACTCCAATGATCCCAATGCGGGGCCAAATCGGCGATATCGCTCGTCTCCATATCCGATGCTTTCTGTTGACGAAGCGCTGCAGTTAATCACGAAGCATACCCCCGATCCGGTCGTTGTTGAAGCCCCAGTGACTACGGCTTTGGTTGGGTCTGTTATTGCAGAAGATGTGTATGCTGGCGAGGCGGTTCCAGCCTACCGAGCCAGTATCGTTGATGGATACGCCGTGATTGCACCGGAGTCGTCGGATCTTGGCCCTAGTACGAAGGGTATCTTCCCCGTGGCATCGATCACTCACGCCAACTCTGGGGGTGCTCTGGCACCGCTTGAGCCGGGGAATATTGCGAGAATCACAACAGGAGCGCCTCTTCCGCCAAATGCGAACGCCGTCGTGATGGTTGAGGACACCGTGTTGGCGTCCTCAACCCCCGACGGTCAAGAGGAGGCAACCGTGGAGATTTTGACTGGTGACATTAAACCAAAGGAGAACGTACGCGAGCCAGGCAGCGACGTCGCGTTGGGTTCAAAGATCCTTCGAAAGGGAGACGTGATCACCTCCGTCGGAGGTGAAATAGGGCTTCTAGCAGCCACTGGCACGAGAACGGTCAAGGTATATAAAAAGCCCTGTGTCGGAGTTCTGAGTACAGGAGACGAACTGGTAGAGCATGACGACCCAAGCAAACTCTACGGGGGCCAGATTCGGGACTCTAACCGGCCGTCCCTTTTGTCTTGTCTTGCATCCTGGGGGTTCCCAACGGTCGACCTGGGCATTGCCCGCGACACACCGGTTGGCGAACTCGAGCACAGCCTCCGAGACGCTCTCCGAGGAGTTGGAAAAGCAAACACCGGTGTCGACGTGATCATCACCACCGGCGGCGTATCAATGGGAGAGCTCGATCTACTGAAACCCACCATTGAGCGTTCTCTCGGCGGCACCATCCATTTCGGTCGAGTATCCATGAAACCCGGCAAACCGACCACTTTCGCAACGGTCCCATTCAAAGCCTCCTCACCAACATCGACAGTATCAGCACAGCAAGAGCGTGAGACAAAACTCATTTTCTCGCTCCCAGGCAACCCCGCCTCGGCGCTTGTCACTCTGAACCTGTTCGTTCTCCCCTCGCTCCACAAGCTGATGGGAATGGGTCAAAGAGAAGTTTCGGCGGGTGTGCTGCCTACATTCGGACTGCCTCTCGTCTCTGTCACCCTTTCCCATCCGTTCCCGCGCGACGCCAAACGCACCGAGTATCACCGTGCCATTGTGACGGCGTCTCGCTCCGACGGACGACTCTATGCAACTAGCACGGGCCTGGAAGGCGTCGGCCAGCGGAGCTCGAGGGTAGGCAGCCTTGCGAGCGCGAACTCGCTTTTAGTACTGCAGCCGGGAAGCGGCAAGGCTGAACAGGGTGCTTTGGTGGAAGCTTTGATGCTGGGTGCTGTTGTTGCTGAGAAATAAAACCATCACATGGATAGGGCATTCATTGGATATTGTATTGCCAACATCCTACGTTCCTATATTGAATCTTTCATATACAAAACCGGAGATTATAATCTGAACAAATCAAAAGCCTCATATCTATCAAAGCTGTGACCAATTCCAATAAATGAAAAACATATAGCACGCGGAGGAGCAACCTTCTAACAAAAGAAAAGCCCCCAAGACTCAACAGAAGAGAAAGGGTATCGTGCAACAACACCGAGCATAAATTCATGAAATTATCCCGCTACCAAAAAGCGTAAGTCATCATCGACATAGAAGAAGAAAAAAGACAAGACAACACAATGGTACCTTATCCTGTTTGTCCTAATCTCCTAAACAGCTCAAATCCTGTATTCCAACAAAATCACCCTTTATGATACTTCCATCCCTTCTTCTTCTCAGCCCGTAGCGCAGGCAGCGTGGAATCCCTGCCCTGCTTCCGGGCAATTTCAATAACAAGGAAGCGGACAAAGTCAGTTAGCGTCCAGTAGCTGCTATGCGCGCTCAGCATGTTGAGGTACTGGATGTTCAGCGGCCCACTGCCGCCGGAGAGGAAGTAGTCGATCTGGCCGTTGTCATTGAGCAAGAGCATGCGTTTCTCTGCGATTTCTTCGCGAGTAAAGTCGTGTGTCTCTAGCTCCACGTTGGAAGGGAGTTTGGCGACGGCGGCTGGACGGGAGGGAGTGGCTGCAGAGGACATGAAGGAAGGAGGTGAGCTCCAGCGGAAGACGCTGCCGAAGGATTGCCAGAATGAAGCGGAGGAGCTGGGGATGGAGGCGGTTCGTAAGGAATTGGCTAGGTCGGTGTCGACGGCAGCGTTAACACGGTATGCAATTGCTGCTTAAAATTAGTAAAGGGCAGACTGTGCAATTTTTAGGGTATACTCACGGTCTGTAGTATGCATGATGTTGTAGAGGTTGTCTACAGCTAGACACCCGTATGTCTCGGCCTCCCCGGCGACTCCTCGGAGGCGGTCTTCTCCTTCACAGCCAGGTTTATCCCTGCCGCGCCGAGGTAAAAGATTCGCTATAGGACATGGGAGTTAATACAGAATTGCTCATTGATAGGACGCTTGTGATGCATACCTTTGTTGAGAAGAAGGAAGAATCCCGCCGGACTCCCACAGATGAAGAGATTCGTCGTATCGAACTCAAAGATGTCTCCATGAAGAGGAGTCTTGGGGAAATCAAAGTCAGGTATAGTGGTTGGCTGGTGGCTGAGGATATCTAGTGCCATCGCACTTCCGAGGGAATGTGCCAGCAAATGCACCCGGCCATTCTGTTGAAACCCGGGATTGTTCTTACACCAGAGTCGATAGATACGGTTGGCTTCTTTCACGACAGCTTGGACCATTTTCGGCTTGTGATGAGACAAATAATAAGGAATATCAAGCATGACATCACTGATGAGTGATCTGACGGCGGGTATCGTGTCTGGCGTGATATCCTTCATCGTGAAGTGATTGGCGGTAGGGTCGCCAGCTGCCTGCGACTCGAGATTGGCATCATCCAAAGACAACGTAGAGCGCCAGTTAACAGGGAGAACCATGATCCCGCCATGACCTTGCCGCACATGTGGCCAGACCGGTTCGCTGTTTAGCTCCATGTTGACATTCCTACGGAATGCATTGATAGCATGTGTGAAGTGGAAGCTTTCCATGCGCTCTGAAAGCTTTTGCCCAATCCCATGTACGACAAGTATCAGGTCGGTAGGTGAAGGCCGTGACTCCTCCATTGCGCAAGCATAGCAGATTTGCCTGCCGCCGCTCGCCCTGGTCATAGTGCGCGATTGAGTGCTTCGGAGATAATTTCTGACATCAACCGGATTGGGCTTAGACGGATGTAGCTGTTCCCAGAGTCGCCTACTGAAACCTCGAATTACAGGGATCCCTATCTGTCGCCCTTTGCGAATCGAACTAAGTGGTCTTCTTCCTCTAGCCACTGAGGGTAGCAGGCTGGGCCGAAGAATCTGTGCATCCTTTCCGTCAACGTAGATGACGCTCGAGTGAATGAAAGGTTTGACGGCTTCAGAATGGACAGCCGTTCCACCGGCAGCTCGATTCTCATCAAATTTCGTGTCATCGAATTTGTCATTTTCCTGTGCTTCGGATGTTGCAGGACGAGAAGTTGACGTGCTCTGAGCATGAGCTGTGGTAGACGCGGGTTGAGATTTTAGATCTTCCTTGGACCACAGCCTGTGTACAATCTTCATCTCTGCATCCGCGCCATTCTCTACGCAACTGTTGAGCTCGTCTTGCCAGGTTTCAGTCCATGGCTTCAAATACACGTAACCGTCTTCGAGTTTATTGGCCAGGTCTGTTTCTACCGGTAGCATAGTGTTCTTGTAGAACCACGTTGCGCGAAGAACGCTGGATATGTCATGTAGAGGACTCCAGTATATCGGTTTCATCTAATCAAAAGTGAGTGTCTCGGAGTCTAGAATCGAGGCCAATTGTCGTGTGAATGTAGGTGATGTGTACCTTCAGATTGGGCAGCTCCACCAAGTGAAGACGGGATACACCGACGGGGATCCTCGTCTGAGCTGCTTCGTTCTCCGTTGATTCTTCATTCTCCTCTAGAATATCCGGTGACTCGTCTGGATGAGCGCTAATTCTGAGCCCAGATGGTTTCGGAGCTACGTGACTAGAAACATTGGCTGGGGCTTCAGTTTGAGGCGCCGGGTTGCCATCCTTCGATGCGATAGAATCCACCGAGCGCCCTAATAGGCTTTGTGGTCGGGTCGAGGGTGCTCTCGCAAATGGAGAACCGCTTATGCTTCCGTCGCGCGAAGAGCATCCGCGTAAACTCCCGCTTTCTATCCCCTCGATAGCCGTATCCTCACTTTGCGGTGACTCGTTGGTCCTGCGTCTGGTAGCTCTGAGGCTATTATTTGGAGACAGATCTCGTTTCCGATAGCTAACCGGACTGGACGTATTGGCAGCTTTCACGGCATTGTCAAACGTAGAGCGAGGGCGTACTCGTTCCCCCAGGTCTTTGTTGTCTGCTTCTACACTGCCGGACTCAAGGCTGGTTCGTGCTCCGAAGTTTTGTGGTGCTCGTTCCTCGAGGGAGAAATCGGGAAGACTTGCATGACTCCTCTCACTACCAGCCAGGCTTGTATCACCACCAAGGGTTCCTGTCGGCTTTCTGCGGTCTCTTGGAAGGGACTTGTGTCCGGGTACGGTGACCCCTTTCTTTGACCAGACCGCAGAACCCTCCAGTGATCTTTTCCCTGAAGATACCTTCTGCTTCTCGGCTCGCAGTAAGGATAGCCATGTCTCTTCCAGCACGATATTATCTTTGACCGAAAAGGGTTGGGGTGGAGCTCTTTCGTTTCCGGAATCTTGACCGCCTGAAGGAGGCGGCAGGGCAGTTAAGGGATCATCGATTGGCAACGAGGACGTGTAAAAGAACTGCGGGCGAACTTTTGGCGCGCTGTCGGAAGAGTGCCAAGTTGATAGATCGGGCTCGTCTTCGGCCAGAAGGCATGATGGACCGTAGGTGTGGATGGGACCTGTCATGGTGATAGCTCGTCGGGGGACGATCCACGCGGAGTGGAAATCTAAATCTTCCTACTGTGGAAATATAGGAAAAGGATGAGCGATTCAACGAAAGACCGTCATTGTTAGGTCAAGAAATGGTTAGTTGCTATTGCAGCACTAAAATCTCCCTCAAGCCTAGTTACTGGAGCTGTGTCAGCAAGGGGGGAGCAGGTCTCAAGTAAGGAGCTTAGGGAGCCCAAGGATCGAAGATCGAAAAAGATAAGACATAGTAGAAACTCAGGGCCTTCACCGTCAAGCATCTCTGGGTCGACCGACCGGCGTTTAGCTCCGCAAGAAGGACAGAGAGAACTCAAAGAACAAGGCAATGGTTTGGCGGTCTCCAGCCCAGCCCTTTCTCGTGATTCCGCCTATGACGTCGGCCCACGTGCACCCGCCGGAACAAAAACAAATCATTTGCAGCAACAAACATATCTTTCATTGGCGTTTTCTCAACGCGCCTATTGCTTAACGAGACATTCAAGCTTCCACAAAAATACAAACCAGTCACTGGATCCCTCGCTTGAATCTCGAAGGGAAAGGAAAATAAGAGATGAGGCGAGAGGAAAAAAGAAATTAGACCAGAGCTAACTACAAAACAGACAACGATTAGAAAATAGGAATACATGGCTGGCCCACTAGGTAGCACCGGCGCCTAAACAGCCTGTCCCCGACACCCTTGAGTGGATCCGTTTTTGGGCCTAGACGATTTGCTGTTGCCCTTCTCGTCAGAGTACCGTTCCTCCAGATGTTTCTTCATCATGGCCAAGGCTTTCATTTGAAGGTCCTGGAAGGCAAGGAAGGTCACGGTCGGCACTCCTAGCATCTCAAGGAGCTTGTGAATATCGTGCATGTGCTTGCGGATAGCACTGTCAGGAGCACAGAATGTGCGCACACTCATCTCTTGCACGATTGCCTTCCAATTACGGAGATTCGAATGCAGGAGAATTGGATTGGTCGAACTCTCGCCGTTGAACTGTAAAGTGCGGATATTCGATAGGATCAGTCGACGCTGAGTGGCCTGGTCGAATTGAAACTCAACAACCTGAGGCCTATTCTTTGATCCCCAGAAGCTCTTCACTTTCCTGATCGATTCTTCGGAGACCCGCCCACTGCTGTATTGCTGGACTAGGAAATCGTTTGCAGTGACACAGATCATGACTTCTAGCTCGGAATACATCTTGGCTTGCATTGGAGGATTCAGCGAGATGGGAACAGTCGTTGTGGGAAACATTCTCAAGGGACGCTGAGCATGAATGAATGGAATAGGATAGACCTTCACCATATCCTCGGCCTACACCAGTGTTAGACTGAGTCCATACAATCAAAAGTTGGAACAGGCTCGGAGCAAACTTACAAACTCTTCGACTTGGTGTTTGATCTTCTTCCCCAGGTTGATGAATGTCTTTGACATATGCTTCTCGTTCGACTGGTGATTTGATTCTGGAGCGCTCCCAAGCCAGCCATTCTCGCCGAAGAGCTTTTTATGCGAGGCGAATTTTGCCTTAAACGGATTATCGACAAGATCGAGACACGATAATTCCGACTGGCTCGAATTGGGGTTGCTTTTCACCGGCTTCATGGGCTGCTTGGAATGCTCCTCATACTCCACGATTGCAACCTGAGCCACTGCGGACTTTTCGTGCGCGGTGTAGATCGTCTTGTGTTCATTTCCGCCATGGACCACCATACAAGGCTCCTCCGGCGCAAGGAACCGATCCGCTCCTTGGTTATGGTGCATTGGAGCAAATGGTGACACTTCTAGAGGGGCAACGACCATGTCAAGCTCAGAATGGATTGACTGGAACGAAGAGCTGCTCGGGGAGGTGGTCGAGGAAGTGCTCGAGGATAGCGAAGAGAACGTTTCATCCGATGGAAACTCCCAGAAAGATTTGTATTCGTCGTAGAAGGGATTGAGCTTGGCGATGTCTTCGTAGTCTAAGTGGCTACAACAGCAACAGTTAGTATAGGAATCGCTGCTTGCAGGTATATTGACTTACTCCATGCTTAGCATGATTGGGATGTCGCAGCCCTCGCGATTCATATTAGACACGAAAAAGTTAAACAGTTTCAGCGATCTTGTAGATGAGTTTTGGAGTACTCAGAAGCTGAAGAGATAATCAGGTGTATCTGGAAGTAAGGAGGAATCTGCTATGAGCGAACAGAGTAATGAAGATGGAGGTGCAGGATCAATTGCCTGAGGATATCGAGGATGTTATCTACAGAACATCTAAATGCCAGAAGTACTGATTGATCATGAATCGGTTTCGATTTTCTATTGAGAACAATACAATTGCCGTATTGTATTAACTATGGGGCTAGTCCAGTAGGCTGAACCAGTTCAACAATAGCCCATCTTCTGTGGGGGTTTGTTGGTGAATGCTGTTTGTATTGGTCAATAGAACAATAGAACAACAAAATTCACTATACAACCTGAAATTTCTTTTAGCAATGAATTCTAGCTAAACTTGCTGATCGCTATTATAGTGGATCTATTAAAGGAACAAGACCATTCAAATTTCAAAGCAATGGCCATTCTTGTGAGGCCGGTTGGCAACCAAACTCTACAACACAGTGGTATTGTATGGTCTGAATAGAGTCCTCCTCACATCGGAATAAACCAGGACCATATTTCATTCCAGTATTGCCTCAATATGAGTGCGAACATACCTACTATTGCTTTGTAGTTGTCACCCCCAAGCTACAATGTGCTGGAATTAACAAGCAGTATACGGCATCTAGGTGTACCTGGGTTTTTGTTGGAGAATACTACTGGGTAATAACATTTGAATCAAATCATGGGCCTGGTCTGTGAGCCTAATTTATCGTAGGGTCTACTGCAGCTGGTTTGTAGTGAAAAAAAGAGCGAAGCGAAACAGGCGAAGGCTATACTGGAACAGTGAATGTTATGAATCATAACATTACTATGGAGTTCTCCCTGAGATGCCAAGACTTTTGCATACTCAGTGGTACTTCCCCCGTAAGATGGCCCAAGCCGGTTCGGCATGCCGTAAATCTACAGGCCAGTGAGTTACCTGCGGGATACTGCACAGGAACGGGATACAAAGTAGGAACCGAAGCTTCTCCCGGACCATGTAGATCTTCAAAGATGACGATAGACTACAGGACGGATCGTCCTATCCCCAGGGATTGGAGTACGGGAGATGCACAAGGTGTATACACTATGCAAGAATAATAGAAGACCTCAGGTCGACTCCGTAAGAGCCGATCTCGATTGCCCGCGGAATGGACCTTACCAGGAAGGCAGATTTAGCGGGCTCGCTAATGGGCTCGAGTCAGAAGGGAGTAGGAATCCGCCTGTGGAGTCCGGAATGTCCGGTGGCAGTCGGTCAGCCTGAAACAGTCTGGTGTAGCCTCAGGCAGTCAACAGCAGCCTGAGGCCACCAACGCGGACTGGCTGCTGACTCGCTGAGTAGGCCAAAATCCCGGGCGATTCTGCCGACCGCAAGAGCATCACGTGGGGCCCTCCACTTGCCGAGATTCTTTCCGCTGCCACTCCAGACGTTCGGAAAGCAGACCGGCATTCGCTCCCCGCAGGGTCGCTAGTGCTGGTTCTGCCAGCTTCTCCAGTTGCGGGTTTGCGCCTGCCCTGCCGATGCTCCCCCAGTCAGCTTCCTCTCTGTTTCTGCTTACGAACAGCCTCCCCCCACGATCCAGCCGAATATGAATGCCGTTGTGGTTCTCCGTGGGACGCCTCGCTGCTGGTTCTCCGACCCGCTGCCCCCAGCTGGCTTCAATCATAATTTATATATGAGTCCCTGCATCCCTTCATGCGTCTGACTTTTCTTCTCTCTCGCATCACTCCAATGATCGCTTTCCCTTGATTACCTTCCTCTGGAATTGTTTTCCCTCCCTTAGATAGATGCGGTAATCATACTCCCCGGTCTATATCCAATCCTGTCCAATCCTATCCACCAACCAATTGTTCACTGTCGATCATCACCCCGCAAACGACTAGTACCTTATCCTCATCGCTTGTTGATCGCATACAATCGTCAGTATGGGCCATCCCCAGGAACACTACGACATTGTCATCGTGGGCGCAGGCCCTGTCGGCATTTTGTTGTCGCTTTGCATGTCCCGATGGGGCTACAAAGTAAAGCATATTGACAACCGACCTGTGCCTACTGCCACTGGGCGTGCCGACGGAATTCAGCCCCGCTCCACTGAGATCCTCCGAAACCTGGGACTCAAGCGCCAGATCATGGCTTACGAGCCCGCCAAGGTCTATGATGTCGCTTTCTGGGATCCTCTCGCCGACGGAAAAGGTATCCACCGCACTGGTAGCTGGCCTAGTTGCCCGCGCTTCATCGACACCCGCTACCCGTTCACCACCCTGGTACACCAGGGTAAGATCGAGCGTGTTTTCCTGGATGAGATCAAGAAGGCTGGTACGACCGTGGAGCGTCCGTGGACCATCCATGGATTCAAGAACGATGGCCTGGATAAGACGTACCCCGTCGAGGTCCAGCTGAAGTCTATTGACACCAATGTCATCGAGACTGTTCGCACGAAGTACCTCTTCAGCGGTGAGGGCGCTCGGAGTTTCGTCCGGCAACAGCTTGGTATCAACATCCGACACAAGGATCCCATCTCCTATGTGTGGGGTGTTATGGATGGTGTTGTGAGGACGAATTTCCCCGATATCGAGGTGAGTGGATAATTGAACTCTTTTGACTTCCTCCTGGAATTCAATCAAGCTAACCGGCTATTTCCCCATATTATAGACGAAGTGTACTATCCACTCGGATGCCGGCTCGATCATGGTCATCCCCCGTGAAGACAACATGGTTCGCTTGTATGTCCAAATCGCGTCCTCCACCGATCCCGATTTCAACCCGAGAAAGACTGCGACCGCCGAAGAGGTCCAGAACACCGCGAAGAAGATCCTCCAGCCTTACACGCTGGAATGGGATCGCGTGGAATGGTACTCTGTCTACCCCATTGGACAGGGTATCTCCGAGAAATACACTCTGGACGAGCGTATTTTCATGGGCGGTGATGCTTGCCACACGCACAGCGTACGTTAACAGACCTCATCCTCTAATCTTAAGTCGATGGAGAAAGTGCTAACTTCAATTTAGCCCAAAGCTGGTCAGGGAATGAACACTGCTTTCCATGATGCCCTCAACATGGCCTGGAAGCTGCACGCCGTTGAATCTGGGCTTGCCGACCGCTCCATTTTGAGCACGTACGAAAGCGAGCGCAAGGATGTTGCGGAAACCCTGCTCGACTTTGATGCCAGATATGCTGCCCTGTTCTCTAAGCGCCGCCCATCTGCCGGCGAGGTTGGATCTGCTAGCCACACCGCCGCCGCTGCCGGCGCAGAGGAGGACCCATTCGTCAAGACTTTCAAGTCTTCGTGCGAGTTCACCAGTGGTTATGGAGTTGCCTACAAGCCCAATGTTTTCAACTGGGATGAAAGCCACCCTGCCCAGTCGCCTCTGTTCAATATCCCCGGTGTGAAGCTGACTCCCGGCCGCGCTTTTACGCCTTCGACCGTCACCCGGCTTGCGGATTCCAACTCGGTGCATTTGGAACAGGAGATCCCTGCTAACGGTGCCTTCCGAATCTTCATCTTCGCCGGAAAGCAGGCCAACACCAAGAAGGCCATTGCGGATTTGGGTGCCAACTTGGAGAAGGAGCGCTCGTTCCTCTCCATGCACCGTAGACCCGACATTGCGGATGTTTCGTGCTTCGAGCGTCACCAGCCCCACTCGAAACTCTTCACCATCTGTCTGGTCTATGCTGCGGAGAAGAACCAGATCGATATGGAGGCAGTGCCCCAGATTCTTCGGGATTACCACCACCATATCTATGCCGACAACATTCCCGACGTGAGAGTTCCCACTGCCAAGTTTGCTGCCCACGAGAAGCTTGGGTTCGATCCCGAGCAGGGAGGTGTTGTTGTCACTCGTCCTGACAGCCACGTCGCCTGTCTGGTGAAGCTGGCCGAAGGCAGCGGCACTGCGGACGCTCTCAATGCTTATTTCAATGCATTCTCGACGAAGTCTCTGGGCCAGGACCAGCAGCAGAGCCGTCTATAAGCAAGAAGCATTTGTTATGTCTCTGTATCCTAGTATCTGACATGATAGACTGATGTATATACCTGTCTCGGAGTTTCTTTTTGTGGTTTGATTCGTTCAGTTTGAGCGACTGTGGAACAGCATGTTTGGCGTTTATATATTTACTTGCAATCAAGTTAGACTTCTTATATGACCTTGGAAGCGATGAGTATTGTAGGGTTTGTTCGTAGAGTTGTCTTTGTGTGGTTTGAAAGGTCTCCGCCGCCGTTGTGCGAGCCGATGACCAACGACATCATCGCGCAAATAATCCCACCCCGCACCCCAAGTGAAGACTTTCTTCTGCAGACAATTCACGGTTTACTTCGCACCACCGTCCAGACCATCAAAATGCTCTCCTTAATCCTCACCGCGGAACTCAACGGGTAAGATCATTGACTTCAACCATGAAAATTTTGATACATTTTATTATTTGTGTCTTTCGCATTTGCGTTGCTTCCCCGCACCTGACCGTGTCGCGTTGCTTGGCTTACTTATATCAATCGTCTGTTCATATAGAGTCACCGAGCTTCGTCCTACCGATACTGAGGACAATCCTTACTACTATACCTTCAAGGTTCAATGCAATGCTTGTCGCGAGACTCACCCGAACTGGGTCAGCTTCACCCGCTTTGTAAGTCTGTCTTGTTATATTTCATCTCGCTCCCAGATTATAAGAATTTTCAATGGGAATTTGCTAATTTGATGTCACAGGAGCAACATGAGATCCCCGGAAGCCGTGGGGAGGCCAACTTTGTGTGGAAATGCAAACTTTGCCAGGTGGGTTTGAAATCCAAGCTAAGGAACATGGCCTATTGCTCCTTGCTCTGGCTTTAACGACGAAAGCTGCTTTCGGTTCTTGTTCGATCATAGCCCTTATCCTTCTTCTATTCTATATTAACGCTATGGAAGCTGGAGAGTGGTGGAACAGAGCGCAAGACAGATCAGCCCATGGAGAAGCTAACCCATCTACAACAGAAAACTCATTCGGCTTCGATCATGACCGCGCCAAACGCTTACGAGCCTCAGGACAAGCGCAAAGGCCAGAAGGTCATTGACCTCGACTGCCGTGGCCTGGAATTCACCGAATTCAAACCCGATGTTAGTAGTGCTCTCACTCGTCTTCGCTAAGTTAGATATCTCCTTGACTGACCGAGATAATACAGGGCGAATGGGAAGCCAAAGGTATCGACTCTTCCATGCCTTTCACAGCCATTGACCTCTCCGAGGGCGAGTGGTATGATTACGATGAAAAGGCAGGAGACGAGGTCGCCGTCAAGGAAATCAGCTGGGAAATTGGAAGAGCTTGAAGAGATTATATGCCAAAGCATTAGTCTACGAGCACGGTATCGCCGGTGTCTGCATCTATATCTGCATTTGACCAGAAGAGTCATCTAGCTTGTTTTATTAACGAATTTCTTCCTTGATTGTGTATCTCCTCTTGCTCAGCCGTGGCTTCTAGTTCATGTATGCAATAGCAGAGCAGATGCGATCATGTTTTGTGGACCAGTTCCACGAGATCAAAAAACTCAAATCATGAACCATTTCATATTATTTCTTGTGTAGACGTCCTAAATGAGAATAAACACGCGATGGAAGTTGGACAACTCGAGGAAGATTTCCCTGCGCGCAATAAAGGCGGTGTAGCACAGACCCCCATGATTGGCGGGAAACTGCCAGGCGCATCACATTTTCGCGGCCGGAGAAGTTGAACGTCCCGTCGAGCTGGCGACCGCGAGCAACCCTCAATCAATCCAACGCACCACCAACAAAACTCACCTTTCCCCGGAGGAGGATCTCTTTCTACCTACTTGGTCACTTTATATCTGTGCTTGGAGTGCAGTCTGTGACCAGAAAAAGTCGCGTTACCGGCAGCTGTTGAATCAGATCAGCTCGAGCATTTGCACCATGAGTGTTCGTGTTCCTTATCCATTCCATCTTATTCATACCAATGAGCAAATGCTTTTGAATGCCATGAGAGTATTTTCTGACTTGCTTGCACTAGTTCCAACCCGTCAACCCTCGGCCCTTCCTGCAGGCTCGGTACGTCTCCCCGTCTTGACGAAACCCGTCGATCGCGCTCGCCAGTCCTTTCCACCCTCTTCTTTCTGAAACCCGATCGCGTGGGCATAATGCTGGGAATCTAAACGCTAACTTCTCGGCTGATAGGGTCGGCACCGAGCTCGTCATCCGTCTCAAATGGGGTCAAACCGAGTACAAGGGCAAGTTGGAGAGCATCGATTCGTACATGAACGTGCTGCTGCGAGACACGGAGGAATTCATTGATGGAAAGAACACGGGTACTCTAGGCCTGGTGCTGATCAGGTGTGTTCCAACTTTTTCTTATCCGTCGATCGCGCAATACTTGTTCATAGCATCCAGCACTGCTTGTGTCGGGTGCTGCGTTCTGCCGGGAACCTGTTACCAATAGTACACCCGCTAACATTTGGCTGCGTACACAGATGCAACAACATCCTTTGGATGGGATCGGCAGACAGCGTCGAGATGACGGATCTAGGGTTGCGGTAGAGACGATCGAGCGGACGAACACCGATTGAAGGTCGGGCGGAGATACATATACCAGCTAATTACTCACGGGGACGATATATGTATGCGAGGAAGGATAGGAGAAAGGTACCGAAAAGGAGCTTCATGAACAGTTTTATCGCCAGCTCCATCCTGTTTCCTTGTTTCTGGGACGAGGCGTTTTCGAAGATGGCTTCTGGATATTGGTTACGGGGAGAAAATGACAGCGCGGATTATGCCGATCATGATGAAAAGGCCTTGACTGGAGGACCGAGAAACCGCGTCTTTCTCCTGGTCTTCTATTCTAAAACCACCCCTGGCACTGGATAAGGACATGGGAGGGTGTGCCGTTTATCCAGCTGCATGTGGCATGGACGTGTTTCAATGTTCTTGTTAGCTATTCAGCCACTTAAAAACCAATAGATAGAGTGGAAAGCTGTTTTGATATCCCCCACAATTGCGGCCATGCACTGTTGTTTTGCATATCTCGGAATCAATAACCACTGCGACTGTAGGCTACTCCCTGTCGTGATCCCGTGAACTGACCCCACTTTGACAGACTCCCATCGAATTTCAACATTCACCTCGACAACTCCGCATGGATCACAGTTGATTGTATCATTCTTCACACCCTATATTATCCCGACCAATAGAAGATAGATGCTACCGAGTCAAGATGAGCGGTCACGGTGAACAAGCCAAGAGCGATCGTTCCTCCGAGGATACATACTACAACCTCGGGTCATACCATCGACCCGTGAGCACTACAAACCACAAGGCTCAAACTTGGTTTGACCGCGGACTGATCTGGACATATGCATTCAACCATGAAGAGGCAGTAAATTGTTTCAAACAGGCTATCGCGCATGACCCAAAATGTGCTATGGCATATTGGGGCCTGGCGTACGCGTTGGGCCCAAACTACAATAAGCCTTGGCAGTTCTTTGATCAGCAGGAACTAGAGATGACTGTCCAACGTACTCATCGAGCAGTTGCCGACGCTGGAGTAGCTGCTGCCACGGCGACTCCCGTGGAGGCGGCGCTCGTTGGCGCCCTCCAGCATCGATATCCGCAAGTGCATCCGACGGCAGACTGCTCGTCATGGAACCAAGGCTATGCCAATGCCATGACCTCGGTTTATCAGCTGTTTCCCGATGACTTGGACGTTGCAACGCTGTATGCTGATGCATTGATGAACCTTACGCCATGGGAGCTGTGGGATTTGAAGACTGGACAGCCGGCCGCCAACGCCCGCACCAATGAGATCAAGACGGTTCTGGATCGAGCATTGGCACAAGACGGAGCTCTCCGCCATCCGGGCCTTCTACACATGTACATCCATTTGATGGAGATGTCGGGTACTCCCGAGACGGCGCTCACTGCCGCAGACTACCTGCGTGGATTGGTACCTGATGCCGGTCATCTCAACCACATGCCCACCCACTTGGACATCCTGTGTGGTGACTATCGACGGGCCATCGCGTCCAACTCCGAAGCAATTCGGGCAGATGAACGGTTCCTGGCAAGGGCAGGGCCTGTGAATTTCTACACCCTGTACAGATCACACAACTACCATTTTCGCATCTATGCCGCCATGTTTGCCGGCCAGTCTAGGGTCGCACTGGAAACGGCGACAGAGTTGGAATCGTCAATTCCCGAAGAACTTCTTCGTGTCGAATCCCCGCCGATGGCCGACTGGCTCGAGGGTTTCTTAGCAATGAAGGTGCATGTGTTGATCCGGTTCGGAAGGTGGCAAGACATTCTTGACCTTCAACTCCCTCATGACGCGGACCTTTATTGCGTGACGACGGCGATGATATACTATGCCAAAGGCGTCGCACTGGCAGCGACAGGGAAAGTGGACGAGGCAGATACGATACGGAGCATCTTCCGACAGGCGAAGAACCGGGTAGGAGAGAGTCGGATGCTGTTCAACAATCGTTGCGTGGATATACTAGCCGTTGCGGATGCCATGTTAGACGGGGAGCTGGAGTACCGTCGCGGGAACTTTGATGCCGCTTATGAGCATCTGCGAAGGTCCATTGCCTTGGACGATGGACTGCCCTATGACGAGCCTTGGGGGTGGATGCAGCCGACGCGACATGCGTATGGCGCTCTACTCCTGGAGCAGGGACATGTGGAACAAGCCGCCGCGGTATATGGAGCTGACCTAGGCATGGACGATACTCTTCCGCGCCCATTGCAACACCCGAACAATGTATGGGCGTTGCATGGCTACCATGAGTGTTTGAGGAAGCTTGGGCGAACCGCCGAAGCACGCATTGTGAAACAACAGTTAAAACTGGCGGCTGCGACGGCTGATATTCCGATTCAATCGTCATGTTTTTGTCGCCGGAGCATTGACACAGCGTAGACTGGTATATATGGATTGTTCTTTCTTTCTTTCAATTCATCTTTGAACAATGAGCAACAAATGCGCGCATGGTCTGATATTCATCGTAGTTTTTGAGTTCTGTCGTTGACGTGCATAAAAGAATGTACATATGACGTGCATGCTAGCATGCAAACATAACGCAAGGAATGAACCACCTGCAGTCGAGTTTGCAGCTCGATTCATTTGTCTTGCTTCGCTCGACCTGGTATCACGTGTAGCGCAACCAGGCGTCTGTCGTGAGAAACAACCGTACCGGCCAAACATCCCATTCCTCCAACCTGCCACCAACGCCGTCAACTCGCACTCCGAGAAAATACCGCCTCACCGTTTTAGATCGGTGCCTAGGGGCCGGGAAATCAAACCTAGAATCGGATGGCGTGAAAAAAAGAGTCTACTATACTAGGTGTGTTTCGATGCGTGGAAACTCAGCCACTACTTTTAAGGCTTGAGATAGTTTTGCTGATTTGGGAAAGAGTTCCAATCCTTCAGTGCTCGCCCTGACGGGATTTCGTCACTCTCATAAACCTAGATCTGCTCATTATCGGGATCAGAACAACTGTACTTACAATTGCAAGTGAAGTGTTTCTCTGTCACATGGAGGATGAATGCAAACTCCCCCACAGATTATGGAGCCATTGATTTATCGTTCCCGCGGTTTAATGTATCAATAAGCAGACACAAGTTCACAACACTTGAACCCCTCTCAAAGTCCACTTCTTTGACGGACGGAGTCGCCGTGAGAAAGATGAGTTGTGATCATTTGCAGAGGGCCGACACGAGCTCCACCGCGATGGCAAAAATGCATCCACTTCTTCACCCGAAGAAGAAGGCCTGCCGACCGCAGGGTCCACCGGGCTGCAAACTTTGGCTGCAGCGTCAACTTTAGGGGGCGACGATGCATTTTTCACAATAATTGATGAAACGACACAGACGACCGAGGAGGGAAATTGGATGTCTAGGCAGTGTGGTCGGGTCGATCAATTCTTGACTTCAAGGCTTTCTCGCGATGCTTTCCCGAGAGGCACGGAGGGTCTTGCGTGTTGATCTACTGCATGCCAGCACGCTGTCCGCCATCGTTATATGATGTCATCGTCAATTTCTACCTTGCGGATTTCTCAGCGGATAATAATCTGCATGCGCTACGAGTAGATAACACATTGGCGATAGCCGTTCAGGAGCTGGGACAATGGTTCCAAAGCTGCTGAACGCTGGCCGCCTTGGTCCGGACCCTGGCAGATTGGCAGAAAGAGATTGTGTTCGTCTTGACGGCATTGAATGATACTGATGATCTGACGTGAATTGACTGGATTGATTGGACAATTCCACGGCTACTCGATTCGGCATAAACCACGGCCTGAATTTGCTCCCACGGCTCTCCTCCGAGTTCGCCGCCGGGCTGGTCAGAATATCCTAAAACAAAACCCCCACGGCGAGCGTCGAGACAATGAATCGATCTCAATCCCGTCCACCCTTCGTTTTCGAAGTGCATATGGTGGAGACGGGGAGGCAGCTAAAGGCTGCGTTATGAGAGATGATAATCCCAACGAAGTAAGATCAAGATCGTCGGTTGTCCGCACAGGAAGATTCTATCAGACTGAGAAGTACCGCCGTACTAGAGCTTTGGCTCCCCCAATGACGGCCGCTCTTGTGGCAACGCGCTCGGGTAAATTAGGTTCCTTGTCACCTCTTGTAGACTTGTGTCCTTGAGGGCGGAATGCAGTCGAGCAGATCCGCTGCAGGTCATTTCATCGAAGAGGATTGGCTACGGAAGCGGGCCGCCGGTCTTTGTTCTGCAGCAGATAGCGATCCTTCGTTCAACGTGCGGATCGCCGATGGCATTGAGTTCGGCACGGGTGACGGAATGCTCCCAATTGTCCCCTATTTCCCATGGCAGGCAGTTAGAGAACAACCACGGAATGAAGCAGGTCAAGCGATCTCCAATTAAGAATCTCAAGCCTTCCGCCGAGTCCGCCCACATGGTGGCTCGAAGTGTTCCAATGGCCCGCTTTTTTTCTTTACTTTCTTCGAATGATCGGCCCCGATGATGGAGTGGCTTATTTGTTTAGGGCTGTGGAGGAGGGCTGGAAATGGAAGAATCCGAAGAATTTTCTGTGCCGGTCATTAAAGTTATCGGTTTGGGTGGTCATATTAAAGAATGAGGCCCACCTCCCTTCGAAGGGTACACTTTTCCTTCCTCGCTGGAACATTTTAGGAACTTCTCAATCGCATTGTCTCCCAACCACTAAAGGCAGATGGTCTTGTGGTCACGTCATGTCTCCCCTACTTCCCAATGATATCATTCTCCTGGTTGGGGAGTTCTTGGAAGACCACGAAGACCGCTATAATCTTGTCTTTGTTTGCCGTCGCTTTCACGACCTTCTCTTACGCCTAGTATATCGAAAGGCCACTTTGAAGAATGCCTCGCAGACTCGCTCTTTCCTGAATGCTCTCTTGCGTCGTCCTGAGCTGGCTCGGGCGGTGCGAAGCCTGCATTTCGATGACTGGAAGCAAACATCTTCTACCTCTTCTATATCCTCATCGCAGCACATTTACTGGACGCCATTCAAGAACTGGGCTCGGTCGATCAGCCAGTCAGAGGAGGAGTATGTACAATGGGAGCAGGACTTGCTTGACGACGTGGAGGAGGCTTGGATTGCTCTTGCTCTGCCACTGGCGAGCAACCTACGACAACTCCGATTGGTGTACCCACAAAAGAGCGTGTATCTGGACCGCACGCTGCAAAGGGCTTTGAAGGGGGAGAAGCCCTTCGACGACCAGTCCGCCTTCCGTGTTTTACAGGAGGTGTCTCTCGGCCACATGGAGAATGAGGCAGACACTCCGGGTAGCTTCGCACCCTCCCAGCTCTTCCCTTTCTTCCAGTTACCGTCGATGCGAGCGTTATCGGCGTATTCAGTAGTCGAGTCCAGCTCCTCGTCCGACGACGAGGCCGGACAGACGACGGAGACACCTCAGGTCGGGTTCTCAAGAATCTCTGAGATCACGCTCCACTCAAGCAATGGTTCTAAGGGCATGGAAGGACTGATCGCATCCTGTCCGTCGCTTCGGTCGTTTAAATATCAGCACTCCGATTCCCATCTGCTCTCTGAGGGCTACCGGCCCTCGGAATTTGCCCGGTCGCTGGCGGCCAGTAAAGGCAGTCTCGAGACATTGTGGCTGGATAGCTTCGGAACCCATCTGCCCTTCACCATCGCCGGAGCCAATGAGACACATGACGAATGGTTCGGGACGTTGGCGGATTTTACGGCGTTGAAAGACATCCGCATCCGTCTCCCTAACCTTCTGGACGTCCGCTACCAGCTCGAGCCCTCGACCGCGTTACCCGACGTTCTCCCGCCGTCGGTGCAAACGTTGTCCGTGGAAGGATGCAAGGAGATGTCGTTGAGAATGCTGATTGGGCAGCTGAAATTGGTGCTCGGTCAGCGCGAGAAGCGGTTTGTCGGTCTGCGTCGCTTGGACATCGAAGGGCTCTTCCATGACGAAGAAGACGAGGATGCTTCGGGATACGATGCCGACGCGGCTAACACCGGGGCCGAGAAGGTCATCAAGCCTCGGATCTATGAGATGACCGAAGCGTTACACATCTCATGCGCTGAGGCTGGCATCGAGCTGCACCTGCGCGACCGAGACTGCCCTTCGACGATGACCTAACATGATTATGAGATACGAACTTTCTTTTGGAGGGATGGCATAGACTTTTGTCTTCTTTATATGGTTTTTTGTTTGTTTGTTGAGTTGCATAATACCCTCATAGACACGATAGACAGGGGAACTGAAAAGTTCTAACTTCTGCGTGATGATTTGTTCATTATATGGTTGTATTGACTTTTTGATAGACAGTTGGCATGGCCGATTCTTACAGACTTTTTATCTATGCATGCATTTGATCAGCGTTGCTACACTTCATCTCTACTACGTGTACTCCATGTGCGAGAGGCAAGGGGTCAAGCCGATGGCCAACTACCGTGCACTATAATTTACTATAGACCAACCATGGTCAGGCCGAGAGGATAGACTAGCGGTCCCAGCCGACCAAAAATGCTGGAGAAAGGAAGCGCTCGAGGCTTCCTGGACTCACGCGATCTCGCTTTCTCCGCATTTCACGTCGTATTTCATCGGGCCGCTGACGTCGTTGGTTTCTTGTCATCTGGCATCTCCTCGGAGTGTATCTAATTAATCTTATTCTCCCCTTTCCGGATTTATTGTCCACATCCAAATTCCTCTCAACTTTCATTCTCTCCTTCGTTTCAGTCCTCCCTCATTTATTTATCGCTGTTTCCTGTCTGTCCTCTTATCGGTCAACCCCAACAGCTAACACAATGCGGTCCATCCACGGGGTGGACGATCGCGACCGTGAGGAGAAACACGAAAAGTATGAACACGCAGAGAATTTGCCCGCCTACGAAGACCCTTTTGGCAATGAGGAATTTGCAGAGGTTCAATATCGCACCTTGCGATGGTGGTGAGTCCGGTCATGTCTCTACTATCCTGCACACTGGATCACATTCTATCTGGTGTCAATACTGACCTGAACTCTTTCTCTCTCCAAGGCAATGCGCTATGAGTAGGCCCCCTCCCGATATCACGCAACACAAAGTAGAAATACAAGAACACCGGCCCTAATATCAGGTCTCTGATCTTCTATCGATAGTCATGATTGCCGAGACGATCTCCCTGGGAATCTTATCGCTGCCGTCAGCCGTGGCGGCGCTCGGCCTGGCACCGTGAGTGGTTACCCACGCCTATCCCAAGACTTTTGGCGTCTTGGGGCTTCACTGTGGCTGATTTAAGCCTTTCGCTCTTCCCGTCCCTGGTCCTCACCCCGCCAGGTCGTGACACCTTGTGTTATGTGTCAATGTTGATGTTTCCCGATTGACAGAGCTGTCATCCTCATCGTCGGCCTCGGCATCGTCGCCACCTATACCGGCTACGTGATCGGGCAGTTCAAGCTGCGCTATCCTCATGTCCATAGCATGGCGGACGCCGGCGAGGTCATGCTCGGTCGCTTCGGGCGCGAGCTGCTCGGCACCGCACAGCTGCTCTTCCTGGTATTTATCATGGGCAGCCATATCTTGACATTCATTGTCATGATGAACACCGTCACCGACCACGGCACCTGCTCGATCGTCTTTGGGGTCGTAGGCCTGGTCTTGTCGTTTGTGTTGACGTTGCCGAGGACGTTGAAGAAGGTGTCGTGGATGTCGATATCGTGTGCGTATAACTAAATCTGCTTCTTCTTACGCTAGCTTTTGTTTTACTCGGGGACCTGGAGCTGATATTCCAGGACGACCAGCGTTCATCAGTATCATTGCTGCGGTGTTGGTCACCATGATCGCCATCGGCATCCAACGCCCTGGCGATGGTCAAGTCGATACCACCGTGAAAACGAACCTATATGAGGGCTTCCTCGCCGTGACGAACATTGTTTTTGCTTATGGTAGGCTAGTTTACCGTCCCTCCCTCCCCGAGATTCCCAGACTGGCTACCTCGGCAATAGGCAATTTCGATGATTAACTCGAATCTAGCCGGCCATGTGGCATTCTTCGGCTTCATTTCTGAGATGAAGACCCCCACGGACTACCCGAAGACGCTGTATATGCTCCAAATCACCGACACAAGCATGTACGTCGTCACCGCTGTGGTAATCTATTATTACGGCGGAAAGGACGTCAAATCGCCGGCTCTGGGATCGACGAGCCCTTTAATCGCGAAGATTGCCTATGGCATTGCCATTCCGACCGTATGTTCAGGACAGACTCTGCATTCTACTGCTATATCAATTCAGACACAGACCAGTACGGTCAAGCTAACCCACTATAGATCGTGATCGCAGGTGTGATCAACGGACACGTCGCGTGCAAGTACATCTACGTACGCCTCTTCCGCGGAACAGATCGCATGCATAAACGCAACTTCCTCTCCCTAGGGACATGGGTACTGATCGGGCTGGTGCTTTGGACGGTGGCATGGATCATCGCCGAGGCGATTCCCGTGTTCAATAACCTCCTGAGTTTGATTGTAAGGGATACACTCTCTATAGCCATCACTCACGGCATGCTAATACTAGGATCCGATAGACGGCTCTCTTCGCAAGTTGGTTCACATGTGAGATCTCCATCCCTTTTCCTCTTTCGTGAGATGCAAAATCTAATACCGGACTAGACGGAATGAGCGGCATCTTCTGGTTATTCATGAACTGGGGACGATACACTTCATCGAAGCGGAAGATCTTCCTGACTATTATCAATGCTATTGTCGTCGGAATTGGGGGTTGTTTGGTAAGGCTACCCTTCGAATTATCTTCGTTGTGGCTGCTTATCCAGAAGGGATGCTGATTTGATCTAGTGTGGATTGGGCTTATATGTCTCGGGCAAGGCTCTCCATGATAACCCTAGCAGTGCAAGTTTTTCGTGTGCCAACAACGCATGATGAGGTGTGGAGATACTCGAGGTACGGGGTTTATAGTAAGTGTTTTATGTGTTTAGATGGAACGTTTGCATTGTCACCATGTAAAGGTGTTTTTTTACTACTTTGATTCCCGAATATATCAGCCATTACATCAGATCTGCCATAAGAAACAAACGTCTTACTTAGTTGCCTACTCAGCAGTCTAGTAAGTGCGTGAGACAGATGATTCACCAAAACTGTTAGTTCGGGTTTCGCCGGATGGGAGCTAACCAGTTTCCCCTGCACCGGCAACGCATGATGATGTAGAACAGGAGATACCCGGGAAACAACAGGCTTTAGTAAGTAATTTATAACTATGAGGCTATAGAAAGGAAATACATTGCCTTAATTCCGCAGTTAACCGGTCCCTGTTCGTCGGCAACCTCATGATATCAACATGACGTCTTCCCCGCACGGCGAAGATTTGGTCGGGAAATAAATCCACCAACGCCTGCACGTGGGGTTCGGGCAGTTAATTGTCAAAGCTTTTGTAAATAGACTAATAGAGAGAGAGGTCATGTTAGAAGAGAAAGGCACGCAGACCGACCTCCCCACGATCGGCGACTCTCGCAGTTCTGCGGATTCGGCATCTGATTTGGAGAAGCAGCGTCTGTATCAGCAGGAAAGGAACAATCACGATGACGATCCTAATATTGTTCAATGGGATGGACCCGATGATCCTGTAAGATTGATCAATTTCAATTTATGCTGCGGCGAGGACTTTAGTGATCGGCATGCTCACACGCCTGACAGGAACACCCACGGAACTTTCGAATATTCCGCAAATGGATCATCACACTCACCTTAGGCTTTATGACGTTTTGCGTCACTTTCGCCTCGTCGGTGTTCAGCACGGCGGCTGTCGTGACGGCCGAGAAATTCGGGGTATCCGAGGAGGTCATGATACTGGGCACGAGTCTGTTCGTGCTGGGCTTCAGTTTCGGCCCGCTGATGTTTGGACCGTTGTCGGAGCTATACGGACGGAAGAAGCCATTGTTTGTGGGGTTTTTCATCTTCGCCATATTTCAGATCCCGGTGGCCGTGGCGCAGAATTTACAGACGATCTTTGTCTGTCGGTTCTTTGGGGGTTTGTTCGCCAGTGCGCCATTAGCTATTGTATGTGTGCAAGATCCGGAACGCAAGTGACGCCGTAACTAACGAGCGATGCAGGTCGGAGGAGCCCTGGCCGACCTTTTTGGTCCCGTTGACCGTGGCATCGCCGTCGCCATATTTGCTGCTAGCACGTTCATCGGGCCTGTTGCTGGTCCCATCGTGGGCGGGTTCATCACCATGTCTTATCTTGGCTGGCGGTGGACTGAGTATATCACGGCTATAATGGCATTCTTCTTCGGCACGATCGGCTTGCTAATCGTGCCCGAGACCTTTGAGCCCGTTCTTCTCCGGCGACGGGCGCAGGTGTTGCGACGGAAGACGGGCAACTGGGCTCTGCATGCTCGCTCGGAGGAAACTATTGTCATGGACCCGAAGCATATCGCGCACAATTATCTCCTGCGACCGGTGCAGATGCTAATCCTTGAGCCTATCCTGTCCCTGATCACCTTGTATATGGGCTTTATCTATGGATTCTTGTACTTGTGCTTCGAGGCATATCCGGTGGCCTTCCAACAGGACCGGGGATGGAACGAGGGGGTGGGTGCACTGCCATTTATTGCCATCACTTGCGGCGTGCTCGTAGGTTGCGGCTTCATAATCATGTTCACGAAGCTGCGGTTTCAGCGTGTGATGGAACGCACTGGAGCAATTGTCCCTGAAGAACGACTCATTCCCATGATGGTGGGTGGCGTATTATTGCCTGCAGGCATGTTTTGGTTTGGGTGGACGTCCAGTCCGAATATCACTTGGGTGCCACAGGTAATCTCAGGGGGATTCTTGGGAGCAGGGGTTCTGTTGATCTTCTTGCAGGTATGTGGCCATCTCAGCACATGTATAGCATGGCACTGTTCTTCCCACTAACTCCACCAGGGCTTGAATTATATCATTGACTGTTATGCCACCAACTCCAACTCTGCGATCGCCGCTAATTCATTCTTCCGGTCTGCGTTGGGGGCTGGATTCCCCCTGTTTGCCAATCCCATGGTAGGTTCTCTGTCTTCGGTCTACCGGGAGGCGAGCTGACGATAGCCAGTTCCACAACCTTGGAGTCAATTGGGCAATGACGTTGCTGGGATGCTTGACAGCGATCTTGTTTCCGGTTCCGATATTATTTTATGTCTATGGTAAGAAGATTCGGACGTGGAGTCGATATAGCCCGACTAGTTGACGTGGGTTATCTGGCTGGGATAAGTAGGACGTGTGTGGTCTGTAGACAATTAGATCAGCTAATTGATTTGGGCTTGAGTCTTATCACTGGTATCTTGACTGACACATCAGGATTATCAAGCCGGCTGATCCACAGTAGGTACCGATCAGCCCCGTAAACGAAGGGCGTTCATCCTGAGAAGCGAGGAACAGAACTGCGAGGAGGGTAACCTTCACTCGCTCTCTTCACCATGTGAGCTTGACTTGTCCTCCGGAGTAACGGTTACAGAGAGTCACAGAGAATCCCAGCCTGTCGTCGACGTGCGTTCCCTCTCCTTTCATGAGTTCGTGAAGATCCATCTTGGCTGGCCCGAGGTCCATCGGCCGGGTCCGATGGGAGTAGCCCGTCCAGTGGAGAAATCCACCTTCCGGCCATCTAAGCTGCTCAAATGCAAGCGGGGGCTTCTAAGCGACCCCATCCCCAGCCAAGCATCTGGTAGTCCAGACGACTAGAGTCTCTCTGGTGCTTCAGCCAAATTCTGGGGAAGTGGCGATCCACGGGTGCCGCCGATGGCCGGGCACGAAGCCCGTGCAACATACGGCACTTTCTGTATCTCACTGCGTGTGTAGGAGATGGGATCAACGGTCCTTTAATGGAACATCGATTGTATATCTAGCGGGAAATCGCCGCCCATTCTGATCGTATGATCTATCATCATTTTGTCTATAATCGAGCGTGTATGATCTAACCATGCAGCCTTATTTCGGCCTGCGCGGCGCTCTGCTGAACCGCGCTATCATCTGGCTGGTCGTTTGTCCAGCATTTCTCTGCTATGGCTATAACCAAGGCGTCACTGGCGGTCTCTTGACGCTCAAATCGTTCTCGGAGACGTTCCCCGAGATGAACACATTGACCACGACGGGAGAGCAGCAGCGTTATAACTCTACCATTCAGGGTAACCCTCCTCTGATATCCCTGAGCCTGGTGAAAGTAGCTCTCTTGCTGACATGTCAGGCACTGTGGTTGCCCTGTACACTGTGGGAGGGATCTTCGGATCCCTCTCCTGCATCTACCTGGGCGACCTGCTGGGACGACGTCGCGTCATATTCCTGACCTCCGCCGTGTCCATCATCGGCGCCATCCTGATGGCCACCTCGTTCGGTTTGCCCCAGTTCATCGTTGCCCGCCTGGTGCTGGGCGTGGGGACCGGCGGATACGTGGCCACGGTGCCAGTGTGGCAGGCCGAGATCTCGCAGGCGAAGAAGCGCGGTGCCCATGTCGTGACGGACGGCATCTTCATCGGTGCCGGCATCACCTTTTCCTTGTGGATCGACTTTGGATTCTACTTTGTCACCGGAAACTCCGTGTCGTGGCGGTTCCCGCTGGCGTTCCAAATCGTGCTGTCCTTGCTAGTCATGGCTTTCATCGTCGTCTTCCCCGAATCACCACGATGGCTGGTCAAGCGTGGACGACAGAGTGAAGCCCGGGAAATCCTGGCAGCGCTGGCGGATTTGCCGTCTGATGATGAGGCTATTAACATGGCTTTGGCTGACATCGAACGGTCGCTGGCTCTGTCGGGTACAGGGTCCTGGTTAGACATGCTGAGCATGGGAGAACAGCGACTCTTCCACCGTACTATGCTGGCAGCAAGTGGTCAGATGTTCCAGCAGATGTGCGGTATCAACCTGATCACTTTTTACGCAACGACCATCTTCGAGCAGTATCTGGGCCTGAGCCCCCTGCAGTCTCGCATTCTGGCGGCATCCATGTGCCTGACGCAACCGCTAGGCGGGTTCCTGGCCTTTTTCACCATCGATCGCCTAGGTCGGCGCCCGTTGATGCTCTGGAGTGCCGCGGGAATGTCGGCGTCGATGGCCGTCCTGGCAGGCACGACGTCGCTGACCGATAACACGGGCGCGCTGGTCACTGCCGTCGTGTTCCTGTTTGTCTTTGAGTTCATTTTCACCGTCGGCTACTCCGGTCTCACCTTCCTCTATGCCACGGAAGTCGCTCCGTTGCAGCTCCGCGCGGCCATCAGCGCCGTGTCCACGGCGGCAGTTTGGACGTTCAACTTCCTGCTGGCGGAGGTGACCCCCGTCGGCTTCAACACCATCGAGTACCGCTATTACATCATCTTCGCCGTGTTGAATGCGGTGATCGTGCCCGTCGTGTACTTCTTTTTCCCGGAGACCAACGGTCGGTCGCTCGAAGAGATCGACGAGATCTTCCTGCGCTCCAAGTCGGTGCTGGATCCACCACGCCTGGCGCGGACGCTACCACGGATGCACCTGGCCGAGGACGTGGATGTGGAAAGGACGGAATCTGGCGAGAGTGGTGGCAAGATGAAGATGTGAGGATAGGAAGGGAGGAACGGACTACGAAGGAAGGACCGAAATGGCAGGGGGAAAGGAAGACTCTGTACCTAGGGTTCATGACCGCAACGAAATGCAATGATGAAGCAGCGATGGATTCACCGTCACTCGCAGCGAGTGTCGGATGGACGGGCCGGACCTGGTTAAATCCAAATGATCGTCATGAAGACTCCCTTGCTGGATTTTAGTTTAATGAATGACTCCGTGTCAGTTTTGGCAGTGTAGATCTATCTGAAACGCCGTCTGAAACCGGCTCCATCGGGCGGTTGGTTATAAAGCCAAGTCCTTTGACACTCGTTGAAGAGTAGGCGACAGAAAGCAGTGCTTTTTTTTTCTCTTCTCATTCTATTCTTCAAATTTTTCTTGTCGAGTTCAATTTCAAAATGAAGTCCATTCTCTTTTACATTCCCTTGGCTCAGGCCGGTACTGTCGTCTGGAACGGCTTCTTCAACGAGTCCTTCACCGTCGACCACTTCGATAAATGTGAGTTCTTTTCTCTTGGGTTACCACTATAGCGCTGCAGAGAAGAGCTCATCATCTCAGGGTCATGGTCCAACCAAATTGAGCCCTTCCAGTGGTACATTCATGGTTCCGAGGAGACCTCCCACTACCTGGAGCTGTCCTCCGACTTCAAGAACCCAGCCGACAAAGCAGAGGCTAAGGGAATCCGCATCACAATTGTAAGTGCCTCAGCAGCTCTAGAATTGATCGGGTCCAAGCAATTACTCACAAAAATAGGACGACACTGCGTCATGGAACGGCCAGACCATGATGCGATCGGAGCTCATCCCTCAGACCAAGGCCGACCTAGGCTCCGGCCAGCTCTTCTACCACTTTTCGCTGCAGACGAAGGAGAAGAACGCGCCCGTGGCTGGACTCGAACATCAGATTGCGTTCTTCGAGGTATGTCATTCATCGTTCTATCTATATATCCACGGACTGTACTAACCACAGGCCCTCTAGAGCCACTTCACCGAACTGAAATACGGCGGCGACGAAGAGACCCTCCGTTGGATGGCCGACGGCAAATCCCACTGGTCGACCGATCTCGAGCCCGGCACCTGGTACAACTTTGCCTACGAGATCGACTTTGATGCGCAAACCGTCGGACTCTGGGCGTCGAACGGATCGGAGGCCTTGACGCAGGTCGTCAAGCCCGTGAGTGCGTCGGCTCAGACGAACTCGCAGGACTGGCATGTCGGCGAACTGCGACTGGATAACGGCGAGAAGGGCGGCGCTGAGGACTGGTTCTGGTCGGGCATCTACATTGAGAAGGGGGAGATTACCAAGGCGATTGCTGGACCTTGAAGAGAGAAGACTTAAGGTTTGTTGGAAGTGATAGAAAGAACTAGAATTTGAAAAGATATTCATTCATATATCATAACGTCCCGCATTATATATAGAAAAGCTATTTTTACATGCTTCGTAAGATCCATCAGTTTACCGCACGCAGTATCCACCGTCAATGCGCATGTCGTTGCCAGTCATGTACGTGCTGGCATCGGAGGCCAGGTAGACGTAGGCGCCCTTGAGCTCCTTAGCGTCACCGTTACGGCCGAGAGGAATCATGGAGAGCCAGAGGTTCTGGGTGTCTTTGTCGACGAAGTCAGACAGACCGGTGTCGATGTAACCGGGGGAGATGGAGTTGACACGAGCGAAGTCACGCCATTCGTTGGCCAGCGAGCGAGCGAAGTGGATGCAGCCAGCCTTAGCGACGTTGTAGGAGGTCTGTTCCTGAGGGAAGTTGGCGATGTGGCCGGACATGGAAGAGGTGACGATGAAGCTGCCAGTGCCGCGCTCCTTGAAGTGAGGGCCGACGGCCTTCGCGCAGTGGAAGGTACCGGTCAAGTCGGTCTGGATGACCTCCTCCCAGTCCTTGACGGAGCCGTCGAGGATGCCGCTGCTGGCGGTACGGCCGGCGTTGGCGATGAAGGCGTCGATCTGACCAAAGTCGGCGAGGACGTTCTTGACGAAGGACTCGACGCTGTTCCAGTCGCCGACGTCGCACTTGTAGGCCTTGGCCTTGACGCCGTAGGTCTTGGTGAGCTCGTCGACGTTCTTCTGGGCGCCCTCGGCACGGGAAGCGTAGGTGATGGCGACGTTGGCACCGAACTCGGCACAGCCCCGGGCGGCTTCAATACCCATTCCGCGGGGTCCGGAGGCACCGGTGACGACGACGACCTTGCCCTTCATGCTGAGCAAGTCGTGGAGGGAGTTGGCGGCGGGGACGTTGACGGGCATGTTGATTGTTTGTGAGGAGATATGTTCTGTAGGAGATAAAGAGATGGAGGTAGAGGTTCTCAGAGGATTGTAGAGAGGACTAATAGATAGATTGATTGATGAAGAAGAAAGAGAAGGTGAGGTGGTGAGGAGGTATAAATAGGAAGTGGTGATCTCACCAGGTGGGACGGACCGGGATGGTATGACATCATCGGGAGGCACAACTTACTACTAGTCTCAGCAGTGAAATCACCGACTGGGTCCGCCGACAAACCGGGCATCTCAAGTCCAGCCCACTTCGGACCGGCTTGGTCTACCAGGCGGCACACCGGGACTCAACGGTCAAGAACAAAGAAACTAACTAGAATTGTCGACATCATGGCCCGCAGCAACCCGCATCATGCACGTTTCTCCGGTTCCATGACGACACGAGAACCGGCCTGTCCGTGGTTCTCGGCGCTCTATGCTAAGACAACGCCCCAGCCAATTTTAATAAAACCATTCTGCTGCAAGTCGCTGCAGATCATGGCTCTCGAGCGACGTGTCTGGGACTAGTGAACAAGGAACAAGTCGAAGCTGTGCAAGATAGAACAATTTTCGTGTGTCATGTCAACCTCGGACCCGCAGCGTACCCTGCGAAGGGCCAGCACGCATACTAATGATTTTGACGATTCCTTTTTGGGCCGGTATGAATTTTCTCTGCTGCAGAAGTAGCTTCACGCGAAGGATCAGACCGGACAAAGGCTAATATTACATCGTACGATGCGCAGTGTGAGATCTTTCGTCCACCGGGATAGCCACGTCGGCGTGGTCGGCCACCATGCACTTCGAGATAAGGAAGATCTCGAAATTCATACCTGGGATGGGAAGGATGACCCGGATAATCCGTACGTGTGGTCCAGGGAACGAAATTGAAGTTCGAACTGAAAAGCGAACAGCGACTAATGGCTATTGGTCCTGTATAGGTTCAATTGGAGCAATTCGTACAAATGGACGTTAACCATCACCATCTGCATCATGTGAGCCGTCCTCAATTTGAGATACTATACATCTGGCTTCAACTGACATTCAATGCCTCCAGATCGGTGCTGACCGGTCTCCCGGCCGGTTCCTACGGTGCCGGGAATAACTACATGGAAGAAAAGTTCCATGTGCAAAATACGCCGTTCCCAAACTTGGCCTGGGCCACGACTTCCTGGAACATGGGAGCCGCCTTTTGGCCGCTCATTTTCGTACCCTTGACCGAGTCGTCGGGTCGTATGCCAGGATATTTTGTCGCATATGGACTGTTGATCATATCGCTATTCCCGTCCGCCTTTGCGCAAAACTTCGCGACGCTGGTGGTGACCCGGTTCTTCGGCGGCGGTGCTTCGTCTGTGTCGATTAACATCGTCGGTGGTAGTATCAGTGACGTCTGGCGTGGTGACAAGGCACGCAGTATCCCAATGTCACTATTCGGCTTGACTAGTGTCATTGGAATTGCTCTGGGACCGTTCATCGGCTCTGCCATTCAGGCTATTCATAAGAATGACCCATGGCGATGGTGAGCTTCTATTCCATAAGTCCAATCTGCAATCCTGTACTAACGAATTTCACTCCATCAAAGGATATTCTACATCCAAATCATCTACAACGCCGGCTTACTCCCCATCTTCTGGTTCATCCTCTACGAAACCCGCGCCGACGTGATTCTCTCACGCCGCGCCAAAAAGATCCGCAAAGAGACCGGGCGCCCGGTCTACGCGGAGGCCGAAATCAGCCAAACGAGCGTGTGGAAGCTACTACAGGTGTCATTCGAGCGGCCCACACGCATGCTACTAACCGAGCCCGTCGTAGCATTCTTCACCCTCTGGATCAGTTTCGCCTGGGGCATCCTCTTCCTATTCTTCAGCAGCGTCGTCCAAACCTTCAGCACAAACTACGGCATGAACACCCTCCAGACAGGACTCATCCAGCTCGCCATCTCAGTCGGCGCGCTCATCGGCACCATCATCAACCCCCTTCAAGACATGATCTACCTGCGGTCTGCGCGCCGCAACAAAGAAGTCCCCGGCCGCCCAATACCCGAAGCGCGCCTGTACACGTCCATCCCGGGGAGCTTGCTCTTCGCCGGCGGGCTGTTCTGGTACGGGTGGTCGAGTTTCCCGCACGTGCATTGGATCGTGCCGACGTGCGGCATCGCCGCCACGGGTCTGGGCATCTACTCGATCTACATGGCCGTCATTAACTACCTGACGGACGCGTACGAGAAGTACGCGGCGTCTGCGCTGTCGGCGGCGTCGTTGGGTCGGAATTCCTTCGGAGCGTTTCTACCACTGGCGTCGTATCAGCTTTTTGATCGGCTGGGATACGGATGGGCCGGCTCGTTGCTGGGGTTCATCGGTGTGGCGCTGTCGGTGGTGCCGTTGGTGCTGGTGTGGAAGGGGCCGGAGATTCGACGACGCAGTCCGTTCATGCGCGAGTCGACTTTCGGAGGGGATGAAGATGAGGCAGAGGCAGAGAAGGAGGAAGAGGCTGCGGTGGGAGGGAATGGAGCGGAGCGGAGAGAGTGAAATATCTGGTCTTAAGGATTGGGGACATGGCGTTGTCGGATTGGGTATGTATGGGTTGGTTATCTGGATATATGGGCAAAAAGGGCGTCAGGGTTCGGTAACAGCATCTACAGTGATAGAACTTACAGAAAAGAAACCAATTAAACGTATACATAGAGCATTCGATTCTTTTGAGATGCAATATGACATCGATGTATGTACATCCCAGATTGAATCAGATAATTTACTACCCAGACCCAGGACGGTTAGATCGAAATAATACATCTATTAAATAACTACAATATATTCATGACATTGTTGAAAAAAACACAAAATAGAAAAAAGGAATCAATCCGATTCCTCTCCCTCCGCTTTATCTACCTCCGAACCGTCCTCGTCGACAATGACCACCATCCACACACCCACTTCTCCGTTATTCGCAAGCAACGGCGTACAATGTACCCATCGATCCCGACCCTCGGTATTGTATCGATTCACCCACTTAATGCGCGCCGTTACACTGCGACCGCTCATCATCGCATGCAGCAATTCGTCGCGAATGTCCGCTGATCCGCCGATACGCGAGAGAAACGACGATTGAAGCATCCCGGGGATCTGCAGGGATGGGGAGGTGAACAGGACACGAAGCGAGGGATACGGTCGGACGAGAAGATACTGGAGGTTGGTGAGTGCTAGTCAACGTATACTATAACCACCGCGAACAAGGGGAAACAAGGTCGTGGTGTGCAGTGACCCTGTGGATAGGTCTCGGACATACATTCTCATAAACGCCTGTCAGCGATGTCCTGAAAAAGGAAGATTTGAATTCCCGACTCCGAATGGCCTCGAGCTCCTGGTTCTCCCACGACGTGTCTGCGCGGGATTGCATGCGTTGACTCCGGAGACTGAGACGGGGATCTAGGACGGGCTGGAAGAGGTCGCCGCCGTGGTCCTGCACCAGGCCGAGCTCCCGGGGACTGAATAACTCGGAGAGCTCGTGAAACTCGGACTTGGGTGGCTTTGCTTGCTGCTGTTGTTGGTCGTCTTCATCTTTTTGTTGCGGTTGGTCGGGCTGTTCTGGTTGGTCTGGTAGTAGCAGAGATGACACTTCGCCCTCATTTTCGCTTCGCTGCTTATGTTCAATTTGCGTGCGTAGCGTCTGCAGTGAATCCATACGGGCGCCTTCCATCGCCAGCCCCGAAACGTCGATTTGCGCACCGATGAAATATCGGACGTTGCCTTGGCCGTCGCAGAGTGGCGCGCATTGCAGAAGGTTCATAAACGGAGACCCGTCTCGTCGACTGGAAGAGTGGAGGAGATCATCAGAATCCGTACAGTTGACAGCGACAGCGACAGCAAGAGGCGAATCGCGGGCGAAGAACATGAACCTACTAGTTGAGAAAAAGCTCTGAGTGATGCCGGGCCGACTTGATGCCCTCTCGAATGCGTCGCACGCTATGGGGGTTTGTCTTGGGCCCTTGCAGGAATCGACAATTTCGGCCAAGCACGTAGTCCATGCCATACTGCGTTGTGCGGTGGAATTCTACGCCCGTGTTAGCGACCACGGACAGCACCGAGACATGGCCATCGTACCCTCGGATGCGAAGATGATCGGGTTATCTGGTCGCGACGGATCCGTTAGACAGAAGACTTCCGCCAGCGCATCTGACGTGCCCTGGAACTTCTCCGGGAGAGTTCCTCGGACCCGTTCTTCGACAATCTGGCTGGTGATGGAGATGCATCGCGACGTGATGAATGCCGGGAGCTCCTCCGCGGTCAGCGCCAGGAGCGCCTCCTGTACGCGTCGCTCGAGTGCCGGGTTACCGGTGAGTCCGACCGGCTGCAGGTGATGATTACGATCGACGGGCTGGATGGAAGGTGGTGGCACGTCGACAGATAGACGCACGAGAGAGTTGGCGTACTCAATCGCCTTGAGGGCCTTGCAGGCGTTCAAATAGTAGGTTAGTGTGGACAAAGATCGCGGTCGCTCGTCGAGCAGGAACTCGCGAAACTGCGCCAGATATCGCGAGTCATTGAGGATGGTGCGCATATGGTCGATGGAAAACATTACGTCGGCCATGCGCTCCAGAGAGTGCAGCGGGGCATCGCCGCCGCCATACGGGGCGATGAGATCGTACGAGAGCCCGTCTTCGCGCACGGGGTTAAATTCGGCGGAGCCATCGTATGGGTTCGTTTCTTGCAACAGCGGCAACTCGTTGACGAAGAAGTTGCGCCGTAGGGTCTTCACGGAGGCAGTGGGCGACGCGCATCCTGATTGTCGCGGTGGATGGGGAAAGCCCTCGATGAGTTCGTTGCTTCTGTCGCGAAAGTCATCGAGAGCGACCGTGGAAGCGTAAGAGTACAAGGACTCTGCATCGGAGCTGACATCCATCGTGAGTGCTGCGAGAACAGAGACGATGAAAGGGGAGAGCTACCAGGGACAAGAACTCACAGTGCCTTTGTGTTTTGTTGAAGAGTCTAGAACTATATACTCCTGCATTGTTCGTCTGACACCTCGAACGATCGCCTGTCATTGAGATGGACGGCGCACCAAACAGACAGGCAACGGCGATTGATCGATCATCTGGACCCAGTAGTCGACTCATTCCACAGGATCGGAGCGATGAAAATAGCGATGATGCAATGGTGCAGGCAGGCAGACAATAGTGCAGTGGATCTTGGTTGTATTCGGACGGGCGAACGCATCTATCAATCTACGATCTATCCGTTCTATCTATCCATCCCGGGGTCATGTCGGTCGTAGCCACATATACACATCCCATTCCATATTTCGTTCACGTCGTCGCGTTCACCTCCCACGCGCCAACAGGCCCTCGGCCTCCTCGGTGGGTTCGCCTCCCTCGGATTTATGTTCCATCTCCAGTCGCTCCGCCATGGCGACTCCCTCGCGTCGTCCCTTGTCCGCGTTCACCATCCACACCAGCGGGATTGGCAGGACAATCAGCACGGCAATGAAGAAAAATCCCGTTCGCACTTGGCCTGTTGCATCGATGAGCAGTCCCACAATGGCCGGTCCAATAAACGAACTCCCCTTGTCAGTCGCGGCGTAAAGCGCATAGAACGCGGCTTCGCTGCCAGGGGGGATCAGCAGTCCGTAGAAGGATCGGCAGTACGATGACAGGCCGCCCGAGACGATTCCATGAATGATTCCCAACGGAAAGATTTCCCATGGTTGCTGCAGCCCGATCACGCCCCATTTCTTAAAAGCCGGAATGAACCCGAGCATGCCGTACAGTGGGATCAACTCGAACAGACCAATGCAAATCATGATCGTATGGTTCGATTTGAGTCCGAAGCGGCGCGACACGACCGGCCACAGGAATGCTCCCGCCATACCAGAAAGTGTCACGGTGATCGACAACAACCCGATCAGCGTAGTGCTCATCTTCAGCTCCGTGCGCGCGAACAAAATGGCCGTACCCGACACAGTGGCCATAGCGTCTGACAACAGGAACCATGCGACCAGGAAGACCATCACCTCCCGAAGCTTTACCGCGATTTTGATGGTTCCCCACAACGACTTCCACGCAAAGCCGACCAGGCCCAGCCAAGCGCGCCACCGGCTACCATGCCCGCCGGCAGTGGACGAGTGCAATGGGGGCCCGGGGCGGTTGCGCAGCCACCGACGCGTCACCCAAGTGAAGGCAAACCACCAGATACCCACCAGCAGAAGCACAAATCGCAGAGGAAGCGTCCCTGAGATTTTCGGGATGGACGTTTTCGACAGCGTGAAGAGGATAGTGATGCTTAGAATCTGTACGAGAACTGCGGCACAATAACCCAGTCCGACACCTTTGGATGAGATACGAGTTGATAATTGCAGTTCTGGTGACGTTGATTTCGAGTCGTTCCCCCCTCCCGGACCAGCAGGGCCGCGAGAGCCCAAGTTGTACTCGGCCTCGGCAAACGAATCTCGGCGCGGAGAAAAGCCCGCATCGGACTCAAAATCATGCATCTCTTCGGATTGCTTGGGTGATTCTTGAATGGACGGATCGTTGGCCACCAGAACGGGCAAAAAGGAGTTGAGGACGACAAATGATGAGCCAAGGCATGTAACACCGATGACCACCAACAACGCGCCGAGAACAAAAACTGGTGGTGCGATTAGGACAAACAACATGCTGGTCATCGATCCAATGAATCCGAACGCCAGTAGAAGTGTTTTACGGTTGTTCTCTACATGATGGAGAAAGGAGGTCGTCAACGGTCAGCCCGTAAGGGTCGGGGGTTCTAAAGCGATTATAGGTCATACCATAGTCCGCGAGAGCGCTGAATGACACCAAAGTCAATGCTTGGACAAGCACAGCCAGCGAAAATGTGTACATGGCGAAACTAGCGGTGTTGATCTCCAGACCCAATAGTCCTACAACACACTGCTCATTGGCTGTCCCATCGCGTCGAAACATCGCCGGGGCGGTTCCATTTCCAGGAGCTGCCGAAGGAGAGTCCGGACCGGTACAGGGGAGGTGGCTGGTTTGAAGGGTTCCGCGTTCGCGTGCCAATTGTTCGAGGGTGAGAGGTAGGAAAGAACCTGTATCGTGCAATCTTGATGAGTACACTTCCAGTCTTGCGGTGCGGGAAAGAAAGATGGGGAGAAAAGAAAAAGAAAAAGAAAAAGTAAGCCATACCTACACCACAAACGGCGAATACTTCTGCCGCAATACCGTAGGCATACCAGCCCAAAATCTCTCGACGGCTCGTCGGAGTGGTGTCTTCACCAGGATACCGCGGAGGGCGTTGTCGGACATCCTCGGCTGGGGAGTCCGGTGTGGATGAAGCATATGCCATGAGACTATAGGTAAGGGCAAGAGGATAGAAGAGAGCGGGATATTTTTGGACGGAATTCAAGCGACTTCACAGCGAGAACATGGCAGGGGTTGACGGAATGCAGAAAGAAGGGAAGGAAACGAGGAGAGACCGAAAATCCCGAACATCGCAGTGATTGTTCGGTCAATGCCTCAGGTCACCAAAAACTGACTCAGCGAGCGGAAGTCGCGGAACGGTTGGCCCCGCTGATTGGCTCCCCGCGATCTATACAGGCACGGACCAGCTGGGCAGCCTGGCGGTCACCGTGACATCATCGGCCATAGCGCCCACCATGTGGGTCGAGGTACCGGTACCTCTGGCCTCAGGCTTCGTTCGTGACCGAATGCGGACCCCTGGCAGCCTCAGGCTTTATAAAACATTCAAGGGTCCCCCTTCCGTTTGCATCTTCCCTCGAGTCCCCTCGTCACTCCCTTTGCATCCACGACCAGGAGGCCCCGCTCTGCCTCGTCAGGGCCGTTTCCAATGGGTAGGACGGTATCATCGGCGTTTGAGCCAAATGGGACATCGACAATTTAACTCACTTCATGCGACTAAACTTCTTCACAAGTACTTCTTCATTAACGCCGACTGCAATTATTTGCCCTGAAGTACATTCTGACGTTGCCTTGAAGCCAACACACTACCAGATATCTAATCAATACGAGATAACAACCCCCCCGGTCATCTCTTTTGTTTTGCAGAACTAACTCGGCTCCCTAAGAGCATTAGTGATTGTCCCACTTGCTGGAATATGAACCAACTACTTACCTACTGGGACCCGAAGCCTATTTGTTCCATAAAAACAACAAATCGGCGAATGGTCGTCTCCACAGAAGACTCACAACATTGCAGCGGGCCTGTTCGATGTGACTGTGTATTGTCCTTTGACAGGGATTGCAGAATTTCGCGGAGAGCCTCTAAAAGACCCACAAGTCTCATTAAATTTCGACTGAGGAGCATCCGCACAAGGACCCCCGATTCTTCTTCGTCCATCTCCGTCTCGCCCAGCTGAACTTTGCTGCGGATACAGATGAACTGCGGCAAAGGTTGTTCAAATGCCAGCGCACCGGGGTCAAACAGAGTGTTTTGGCGCGAAATCCCATATGCCAGACAGATAGCCTCGAAGAGACATAGACACTGCTCCGCAAGCGCTGGAATGGTAACAAAGGATGACTGGGGGTTGTTTCTGCATTCCTTGCACTGAAGGATGGTCTGTCCTTGGCTATAGACACGATGAACTAAGTCAAGAATGGTCCCAAGCTCCACAACGGTGTGGACATCACGAAGCTCGGTCAGGATCTGTACAGCGTTCATGGAACATTGACACTTTCCTTCGGTCTCCATCAGTGCGAGAGAAGCATGAACAGAGCCTGTGAGTGCGTGTCTCTGTTAACGGAGCAGAGATCGGTACATGCCTTGTCAAATCCCATGATACATTTTCCTATTACTTATCTCAGAGTGCTAGCGCCAGGTACCTCTCGAGCTAGCCATCACGCAGACAAGTCCTGCTTTGGGACCAAGTAAGCTCGACCTGAAGGGTGCAACATCTACAATGTCTCATTTGATTCCTCCTGATCCCAGCCCAATAGAAACCAGGCCTCGGACGGTTGGTGACGGATTGTCATGGAACGCCGCCTCACATTACCCTCGTCCCCGGCGCAGAAAACACGACCTGTTGGTCCGTCCTTTATGGGGCCAATGCCTCGTGTAACACTGAAAATCATCGCAAGGTTACACGGCTGTCGATTGTTACGAACGATGTCTGTGTCTAGATGACCTACATCTGCCAAGGCAGGAGGGGCGGGGAAACCGTCACATTGAACGTAAGAATTGACTTGTGTGGCCCTCCTTTGTCATTTCCTGAATCCTCGTGCATTTCATTGGCGGTGACAGAGCCTATCGGCAGCGAATAGTGTGAGAGAACTAACAGCCTATGTTTTACAACACCGGGCGACAGGAAATATCTGCACCTCAGAGGTATATTCGAATTAACATCAAAGCATGCACTTTTCATTGTTTGGCCTCGCCATTACCCAGTGAGCATCTTCATTCTCATCATGACCAACCGCAATTTCCGATCCGTCTCCATGATCATGATTAGCTTGCCTTGTGATGCTGAGACGGCCAGCATCTCCTGGGTGCAGAAGTGGATGCGACGAACAGTGCCCAATAAACCAGACAGTCTCGCATGCAACACCTGATGAACAAAGGAGACTTTCTCATCGGATGGAACACAAAATCCACCCACCAGCAAAGGACAGGCTTCAACTTGCAGATTGAAATGATTCCCAACTTCTTTTTGTCGTCCGCCGTTGGAAACTCGAGAGTACTCGGGCCAGCCATCATTTGGCTGCTCGTGGAACATCCCTTCTACCAACCCGTTCTCAACCGATGTGATTCTTTCGAGCGTTCCCACCAGGCTGTCGATGCTCACGACAACGACCATAAGAAGATTTACCATTGTCTTAGAGCAGATACCGCACTGGAGAACAGTCTCCGCCAATTGCTGCAATACCCGCTGGCAGCTAAGAATCGAGTCGATGGTAATGGTCGACTCCGTGCGATAGACTAGCAAATTCACCTGCATAAGCTCTCGAACCGCTTGCTCATGACACTGACACTGGAATTGACGAGACCCGTCGGCGCTTAGTATAAGGGGTTTGACTCTGTGGTCGTTGGGCGGAAGCTTATACTCGAGCATACGTCTCTCAGGCTTGCCCTGTGCCGGAGGTTCCAGAGTTTCGCTTTCGACGGATGTCCTATTCGGTAAAGATTCGATTGAGGAGGAGAGGGTTTGTGCCCATGGCTGGTATTCGTTCACAGGATGCTCCATAAATGCTGAGGGCTGGAGCCGGGGCATAGCCTGAACGAAGTCCGGTCCCTCACCATTCGGTACAAGGACATTGCCGGTAGAATAGCAGTCCATCAAAAGTGACTGACTTCGCAATTGTGGAGAAGAGCCTGCATCGCCCATTGTGTTATTTAGGTCGTGAATGTCCATTTGAGAAGCAGGGAAGACATCCTCTGGCTTTGTCTGGCTGACACAAATAGTCTGAAGAAGATTGCTGTCGGAATCCATATCCGAGGGTTGTGTAGGGACAAAATCTTGCAGCCAACTATCGGAAGATAAATCGATGATTTCCGAGGCTGCATTTGAGTTGACTATTAGTCACGTCAATTGAGATACTGTGAGAGCAGAACAAACCTGGAAAGGGTGATGCCCTATTTGAATTCAAGAATGACGAGGCTTGTAAGCCTGCATCCTCGAAGGACATGTCCTCAATCATGCTATCATCGAAAGGATTTCTGTCCAACACCATCTTCTCTATTGTGCCCTGGAAATATCGCTCTCCTTGGTCTCTTTCTAATATTGCACCCTCTTTTGCCTTGCCTTTCTTGGGACTACGAATCCTTCGACTCGCCTGATGGCTAGGGAACATCGACGACTCTTGGCTCAGAAACTGACTGTCGTGCAAAGAATCTCTCTTTTTCGCCGGCCTCCCCAGTCGCCGGGACATACTGTATATGCATTCGATCTTATGCTTCTGGCATCGTCGACAAGATGGCTTTTCGTGACTGCATCGGATCTTGGCTTGCTGACAGGCGTTGCATGTCGATCGAACTTTGACGCTCTTAGGCAAGGCATTCCCAGAAGTCCTTGGAAGTCGGTCTCGATTCATGGTGCGAGAACTCGTGACAGTACAACGATATACCAGGAAACCAATCATGCACCAAGTGAAAATAGAGATAAACAGGGGGTCATATTTTTTCTTTCACCTGACTGCAACAAGTCAACGGTGAACAGAGGCCTTTTTGAACCCACGGGCCAACACCATTTCTCTACCAGCGTAGCTGAGGCGTGCCCGGAAGTCATCACACCTGCAACGGTGTAGCAATAACACTGCATGGTTCTTAGACTCTGACGGTTACATAGAACACCTTCCATACCTAGTCCCCGTGTGGCGCCCCCCCCCACCTGCAGTCAGCTGTAGGGCGTTACGCAAAAAATCATATAGAACCAGAAACACAGGGAGTGCAATGCGGCTATCGCTAGCACGGTGACACCCTCGCGGCGCTGATCCGTAGGACGGCGACCGAGATTGCACGAACAGCTATTTCCTCCCTTTGCCATGTTGACCAATCTTTAGGAGGCCCCAGCTTTGGCTACGGGGAAGCTGATCCCGGTTCTCATATTGTCTGCAGAACTTCACCGTCTACCGGAACACTAGACCTCCCCAGTCTCCTGATTCTGAGGCTGTATGATTTCAAATTCGCTGGTCCAACCCGTGAACCACTTCATCCGGGGTTTGTCTCACATCATCCCTTTCCCATCCTCCTGGATACTCTCACATGCGGTGGCGTTTTGTTGGACTGACCTCTGCCACGACCCAGACCAACCACGTATTTTGTGGTACGTTCGGTGTACACCATATTGAAGCTTATTAGAAATGGTATCCGTTGCTGAGGGAATTATCGCGTTGTCCCCGAGCTGTGAATGCCGCTGGTAATGACATACGGGTGATAGGATAAACCGTACCACTCATTTGTGGCTGGGAAACAGCTCTCTTGAGCGATCAAGACTCCAGAAATTCGAGCAAAGAGGTGACATTTCAACCTGCTACATACTGAATAATACAGCTAACACTTGTCTGGTTTTCGCAAGAGGCCTAGTCAATCCTTATGTCGGGCCGAAAGACAAATTTAAAGAAAACAGTTTTGCGATACATATCTGAGAAGATCAAGAGACAAATGGTCATTCATATTCAACATCTCGCTAATTCCGTGATAGTCATTCAGCATCAATAATATTCTCCCACCAACGTGTCACCCTTTTACTCCGGCATGTGGGTGAATGGCTTGGCCAAATGTTCCTGGCAGAAGGGTAATTTGCTCACTGTCCAGATTTCCGTGTCCTTCAATCGACTGTTAGCGCCAGGATTCATAGTGAATGCACCCGTTGATAATCCGTGGGGCAGTGTCTTTACATACCGGCTTGAGGTTCTTCTTGATCTCCGAGTCCAGCGTGCCTGCCTTGAGGGCAATGATCTCGGGAGCGGCATCGGGATCATGAGCAATGGGGGAGCCACATTCGGAGCAGAAAATGCGGTGGACGTCAAAGCCCGAAGATCCCTTGCTGGAGTACTTCTTGATGGGACCGTTGATGGTGAGCTTGTCCTTGGGCACGACCGCGACCAGAGCTGCAACAGGTTAGTAGGGCAAGCCAATTTGTAAGAGGCGATGCATGGAAGAAAGCCAAGGGCAAGATACGCACAATAGGTCGAGCCACTCTGGCGCTGACAGTCGTCACAGTGGTCGTAGGCAGTGATCGCCGGCTGATCGACGTCCGCCGTGTAAGTGACGGCTTTGCAGAGGCAGTGGCCGGAGAGAGGCATGATGATTGGTATTGGAGGCGAAAAGAATCCCAGTTGATAACTCACAAGGTGCTCAGGATTTGGGGACCCTTGAGGCTGCACGAAACGATATATTTATTTCCTTCCATGCCCCGCGCTCTGGCCAGCGCTTCGGATTGCAGAATTTGTCATGGCTGCAGTGTTTGCGTCACGGCGAAACTCTGATTTCACCGGATTCCAAATCCTCGGGCATGGATCCACCCGCCACTTATCCAGTATTTGGAATCTCGTTTACTGATTCCTCCTACGCCCAGGATGACGTGAGCACAGTGGATATACCTTCTCTGTTGCACTTGCATGCTCCGGCAGCCTACAGGATCAGCTTCTCAGCCCTTTCCGATCGGCGATATATTCGGGAGGAAGTCCGAAGCGACTTCGATCTGGCATTTAGCAATTCCAAATGATTCTTTTCGGCTCCAGTGGGCTCGACTTTGGCAGTGATCTCTATCGGAGTACTTTCTCGCGCTTCAGTCTCTTTCCCCGCCTTCACGGTCGCAAAAACCGCATTGGCTCGGTCAACGAGCCCGTCCATTGACCATGTCCGCAGTATTAATTGGTCGGAGGTCAATGCTTTGACATCGTTGGCTGTGCGAATGATGCGTGAAATAGTCAAGGCCGGCAACGAGGAGCTGAAGCATACATCATAGATCATCAGCTGTCGAGAATAGAGATACAACAAACCCCTCCAAACCCCTCCTTCTCAGCATCTAGCGAGATGTTCTCCAATCCCGCCACTTTGTCGGTCTCCAGGTACCCACCAGACTAACTAAAGATGCATCTAACTCAATTAAGCTCCGTCAGAGACCCAGACCCCAAGCACAAGGAACCCCTCCACTTGGCACTTGAAGAATTACCGAACAACACCGGTCGGTCGGTAGTCCAAGGATGGGTCAGGTCAGGGCAGGTCATCTCGGAAGTAACAGAATTTCCCCTTTATGTCCTACACACTGTGGTGGACCGTGAGCATTCGCGTTTTTTGGTGATAGTGATGGTGATCCGATCGGATAGAGTGGATTGGATAATCTGAGTCACATATTTTCATGATCTCGGGAGATTGCAGTGGTTCTATGGTGGGACTGTGGACTGTGCTTCCGGGTGTAACTTGTTCATTCTTGATTGATTTGAGTTCTTATCTTTCAGCTTGGATTTTGCATGGAGTGTCGGGGTCCAGAGGCTCGGGGTCCATTTATCGAGTTTAACAGAGCTGAGCAGAAACACGTGAATCCACCAGCCATGCTGTGATCATAGCTTTTGCAGGATAAACTATCCGGATAAGAATGTATGTTGCAATTATCGGAGCCAGGATTTCATAGCCTGGATGTGTGTCGGCTCTCTTGTCAGAACCCTTCTATCAGCTAAGAAATTGGCAGTGAAAGGTGACCTTGGTGGTCAAGTTCCCTGGTTTAGTTCTACTCCAGGCAGAAGTACAAAACACACAGATGCACCGTTGGTTGAGACAACCACACCAGTAAAGAAAGAGTTCTATTGAAAGGATGATTGACAAGGAGGTGTATGAGTAACGAACCTCAGAGTTAGGGACGATTCCATTAGTACTATGCCTGAGTAAATACGCACTGCAATCCCACAGCAAGTTGAAGCTAACAACAGATAAGACAAAAAGCTAATAGATCTACAATCAGATAGAACTAAATATTATTGGCTAGTGGTTCAGTAGATACAAAGGGTCCTCGATCTACTGATTTTCAACTGAATACTCACTTAATAGCTCCAAGAACTAAGCAGTGATGTTGATTACGAGTTTCCATGCCGACACACGATACCCTTACAGGCTGTAGCGGTCCTTCAGGTTGCGCCACCAGTCACGGGCCATCCATGCGTCGAACTCGGTGATCTCCGTGGCGCTTCCAGCCAGCATGATGAAGCTGTCCTGGCCGGTGGGGGTCCAGTCATAGAAATCTAGGAATGAGTTAGGAAATCATTCAATTGTATGAGAGGGAAATAAAGAGAGAAGTTGGAGTAAGAGAGGAGGTGAGGAGGAAAACATACCGTCCAAGGCAAAGGTGTGGCCGATCTCGTGCAGGTAGATGTGCTGGTTCTCCTGGTCCAAGCTCTCAACAAAGTATTGCTGGCCAACACGCTGGCCCCAGTCACCACCGGCACCACCCTCGAAGTCATCGCTGAGCCACAGGCTCTGGTCTATGAAGCTGTCAATCGGTGCGGCCTAATAGAATAGATGGGGCAAACAGCCACTTACCGTAGTGACGGTCAGCACCGGCCTCGCAGGCACTGTAGTCACCATCCTGGTGGAAGAATCGTCCACACTTAGGGTCACACTCGGGGATTCCGTCGGCGTCGGTGGTGGTGTAGACCTCGATGCCGGAGGTGTCGCCTTCCAGAAGAGACTTGTCCTTGACGGCATAGCCAACGACGTTGACATCCACGGTTTCGTAGGGGAAACCATCAAAGCCGGCGAGCTTCTCGATCCACTTGTTGAAGCCCTTGCGAACGGCGGCTTCGATGCCTTCCCGCTGGCTGGCGGTGACCGACTTGGTCGAGTCCCAGCGCACGCAGTAGTTGATCTTGCCCTTGCCGTCGATCACTTGGTCGAAGCCGTAGTTCTTGAAGCCGAGCGGGTCGCTGTAGGTGTCCATCTCGTGGTCCCAGACCTAGACATTCAATGTTAGTCTTGAATGGGCCTTGAGATGATAGGGCAGACGACGACTTCTTACCTCCTTCAGAGGGGTCACCAGGTCCGAAGGGGGGTTCCAGGAAGAGGCATTGGCACGCTTAACACCAGCAAGGGACTGGTCGTGCGTGGGGAGGGCCGAACCCAGGCTGGCCAGCAGCTGGACGGCAGTGAGAGAAAGAGTGGCCTTCATGTTGATCTTGGAAGAAAATTATACGAAATGTAAGAGAAAGGAACGAAAGTATATTAGATGAAAGAATGAAGGAGCTAGTCAATAGCTGAGAAAATGAAGGAAGATGGGATGGAGATCTCGAGCTCTGCCGTAGGGCTCTGAAGACATTGGCCCTTATATAGCATGATTGTGGAAAGAAGTTCTCAACCCATATAGACTGCCAAGCGAATTAGTCGCCAGGGACAGGGAATGGAATTCCACTCCGTGATAAGTCTGATACAACGAGATTCTGGGCGTTGTGGGCAGCAGGGCCTCGACGGTCAGAAGGGCAACCGTTCGAACCCATGGATGCGATTCTCCACCAACCGGTCTACTCGCAACTGCCGTATGAGGGCATCATGAATGGGGAAATTCTCCGACTCCTTGAAGGAGGAAGTGGGGGGCCAAGCTATTGTGCTGGTCTTGTTATGACTCCGACTCACTCTCTAACCTGCCAAGACGTCAATCCCTATATTAAAAACAGTCCGTCTCCGCCATTTCGCGGTGCCATGTCCGTTTCGAGAAAAGGGCAAACCCAGGAGCTCACACGAAAAGGCACTGCATTCAAGATCATGCTATCAGACAGATTGGCATGGACTTATTGGGAGCTGTGAGCACCAAATCTCAGCGTTGATTGGTTTCATGGGCAGGCCAAATGCCGTACTCGTAGTTTTAGCTCGAGCAGGTTCTCCTATATATAGAAGGGATTGTCAGGACCTTCGTAGAATCTAGTGCTAGACCTGGGGTAGTTACTCCGTAGGTCTCTTGCGATTCCCATCAGGGCTGGCACATTGGCGTAGGGGGGTTGCACTCGTGGGCGTGTAAGCAATCAAGTTAAGCAACGGAGTTAAAAGGAATAATGCCGGCAGAGCTGCCTCAGGCGACCAAAAAGGTAGGCCGGTACCGGTGCCACCAGCCAATCAGACCTTAATTGCCTCGGAGCCAGTTGCCAACTACGGGTGCACATGCTGACCTAATACTCTGCATAATCATCGTCCATAATTGTTATGCCGTCCAACATCCTTCCCGCTTTCGCTCAACAAGTCTCTCTAATCCCTCAATAGTCGAAGGGTAATGAGATCGCCCATGATGTCCACTGAGATTGACAAACATGGATCATAATTCAGAAAGGTGTGTTGGTTCTAAGAGCGTAATGTCTGTTTTCAAGGCACGGCTAACTCCTGTCCAAGGACGCCCAAACGAGGCAAAAAGGCATGCACACAGTGTAGGCAGCAAAAGGTGGTTGCTTGGAACCAACCCAACGCCATGCTACATACCCTTGTCCTGACACCGGCGTAGGCAAAATGCGATGCCTATCTTCATTCGGATCGACCCTGCAGTAGATGCCTTAGAATGAAAACAGAATGTGTCATCTCCGATCCCTTTCGGAGAGAGCACAAGCGTCAGTAGGTTCACTGGTTCAATTCATATCACCGAACTTGGAGCTGATGGAATGTAAGACGACTTTCCGAATTAGAAAATGAGACCGATCAGCTGCGCCAAAAGCTGAGGTCTTCTCAAAGCGCTCAACCTCAGTCGCCACCCATCGCAATGTTGACGGCCGCGGCTGAAATGAAGGCCCATGGCGCAGGTAATAGGGCTGGAACACACCTTACTCCCCAGTCACAATCACCGGCTCCTGCTTATGCGCCGCCAATGCCTCCCCATCCTCCAGCGCTCGTGGGACCGTCTCTGTCTGCAGCAGAAATGGCACCGAGAGAACGGATCCAAGGTGTTACGCAGCCACGGAGTTTGAACAATGTCCACGTTTCTGGGACTGAGATTGATGAGCTATTTCATCTGTATGCTCGAAAAACCATCGAAGGGGGACCTGGTGCACAAGGAACTAACAGTCGTTGAAGGTTCTTTGCTGAATATGCGCCCTTTTTACCCATATTGGATCCTCAAATGGCACCTGACTTCTATTACGCGCAGTGCCCTTTTCTGTTCTGGGCCGTAATAGGCGTTGCGTCTCGGACGTATTCACAGAACCCCACGCTTCTATCAGCTCTTGGACAGAGTGTTACGGAAATGGCCATGGTATCAATTGCCTCAACGTCCCCACAGTGGCACATTATTCAAGGCATCCTGATTATTCTCACGTGGCCTTTTCCCAAGGGAAACACCAGACCAGACACAACCTTCGTATTGGGAGGAATGTTGCTGCATATGGCTATGCAAAATGGGCTTCACATTCCAATGTCCAGTCATGAGTTCGCAAAAATCAAGATCCCAACTCCATCCGAGGCCGATCTGGCCCGGCGTTCGGAGCTGTGGGCGCATTGTGTTATCTCATATCAGCAGTATGTTATCTCTTTTTGCCACGACATTTCTCCAACTTACCGGACGTAGATCATGCAACAAGAAAGGACTGCCGCCTCGCTCACTGAATGATCTGGAGCCGGATACAGGCCAGCGTCAAATTCTATTCCGAAAGATCTCACGGTCCTTGGCTTTGTATGTCAAAGCTCATGATCTCATTACACGATGCAGCACGGCCATGACAGAATTTGGGATTCGAGTCATGTCACGGGAACAGGAAAGGGGCTTAGATGTTCTCTTACGATCGTTTGAGGGTCAGGTCAGCAGTCTGGAGGTGGAGACTGATACAGGTGATAGCTCAATCTCAATTGGAATTGGATCGAACTAACTGTTGGCAGACGAGGAACGTTTTTACACTACTATCTGTCGTCTCAACATTCAGGTTTACAATTTCTTCAAGGCTCACGACCCCGTATCTAGAGACTGCCTTTCTCGAATAATGACCACGTCTTGTGCCATAGTGGATTACTTGCAGAGCCTAGGCCAGAAATTGTCAAGTCTAGGAACCGTGCCCACTCAAATGCTCTTTGGTTTGATGCTGGCTTCAACTTCCCTCCTGCGCATACTCAAGGGCCCTGCAATGGATGGCTTGGATATTGAGAAAGCAAAAACGTCCTTCTTTGCGGCAATCCAGTTATCACGGCAGATGTCAGTGGATCAGCATGATACCGCAGCAATGCTAGCCACGATTATGAACCAACTTTGGAATAGCACGAGGGCATTCCGTAGATCTGATAATGGCGAGTATACCGCTCTTCGGATCCGCAGCCGGCTCGCCGCAAGCATTGTCATCGACGTGGTCTGGTGGTGGCGGGAGGAATTCGACCCTCAGTGCCGCCAAACAGCCTCTTTGCAGGGAACGACATCTGATGGTATGTTCGCCGCAGGATACCGAAATCAAGGTTAAACGCTTAACAAAGTATATAGGAGCTACTTACAGTCGTGACAACCTTGGGACCCTTGCCAGTGCGCCGAATGGACTCATGGACAAACAAGGCCCTGTACATTTCGACGACCAGTTCATTGCCGATTTTGAATGGGCATTGGGAGATGACGGAATGTTTTCGTCAACAGAGCCATTTGATCTGGCATGGCAATCGTCTGGGGCCGCTTAACCGGTTGGCTGTTGCTGACGTTGGCGACACCGAAGACTTCTTATACTGGTGTTATGGTTCTTTGAACCAGAATAGACTCGACTGCCTCAAATGGCACTATATCAGCTTAGGTTACAGTTTTATAAACACGCGACAAAAGATAGCGTCTGCGGAAAATACAAGGACGCCACATGAGGCATCCCAACGGCTTCCTTGGACCCTGCCAGATGGATTAGTCATTCGGGGTTAGCCATTCGGGATCAGCTAATCGCTATTGAATTCGGACTTTGTACCACTGAATATTTTTGGTCTGGACATCTTTAGCACTGCTGTCAGATATTGTTGTGCCTTGCCTGCCTTTCGCGGCACGGGCATTACAATGGAAAACTGGACACCGTTCATTGGCCTGTCGGTCATTCTTAATGTCCCTGCCAGCCTTTGAAACATTACTGAATAGGGAAGAAAGGAAGGGGGAAGTAAAACTAGAAAACAGACTCTACTCATGGTAAGTGTTGTATACGCAATAGTCAGGAAGTGAAGCCGTTAGCAAGTCAATAACAGCAATGTATGAACAATTAAATAGAAACAAATTATACTGATCTATCCTCTAACAAACTGACAATATGAAGGTAGATCGAGTCGATAACTACTGCTCAACCTATGGCAAGATCGCATCGAGCTATATGCTATCACTGTGTCCCTTTAAAGAAGCAAACAAAAGATACCTAAAACATGGAGATCGCTTTCAACTTCCTTCAGTCCTCTCTGCTCCAATCTAATTCACTTCTTGGCAGCACAATATGTCAGTTCATGTCCATCATCCGTTGAAACTGCACAATTGTCCGATTCGCACTGCGAATCCTCCTCACACCAGAGCCCATTCGGAGCCTTGTCAAACTTCATAGAATCGAGCAGGCATATCCCGTTCTGACAGTGCAGACCCTTGCCACAGTCATCCAATCTGTCATCATTCCTTGTATCCTCATCATTTGCTTCAGTCTTGGATGTGCATAGTTCTCCGATATGAAGGTCGCGTTTCTTACGGCACTCGCGGATGCCACCTCTCAATTCGCCCGCCCTCTTCAATATGGCTTTGTTATCCAGCTTACAGCTCAGCTCTTTGTTTAAAAAGAAAGACTCGATCCCACAGGCCTCAACTCTCTCCTTCAGATCAAGGTAGCTGATTAAACTGTACCCGCAGGTTTCCTTCGCCGGGCAATCAGAAGTAGCCACACACGGGCCCCCAGAAGCACCGAATTCGTATGGGATGCAAGCACCTTTCACACAAGTACTGTCCTGGCATTGAGAGGATTGGGTGCATGATTGGCCTGGTTGTCGCCATTTCACGCATTTGTCTCGTTCGTCGCAGTAGAGAGTTGCAGCGCAATGGACTCCTCGGACGCATGACTCTCCTTCCGTGGGACGGCGCTGGCATTTACGACCTATGCATTCAAGACCCGGGCCGCAATGCCCTGCATATGTCCCATCATCATTTGTGCCACATTCTGCAGCCAAAGACAGGTTGGCTGCAAGAAGGGGGAGAAGAACAGAGAGAGTGACGGGAAGGAGTCTCATGGTGGGAGGGACTGGGATGGATCACAAAGAATGAAGATAAGATGGCTGAATATAGAATAGATGGGAGATGTCTGCCAGGAGAGATAAAGATGGAGTGAACGATATATACATTCCCTTTAGATGAAACCGCCATATTTATACGTTTACAGCCAGGATGTGGCTTAAGGGCAAAAACCAGCAGAAAGACCGAAAGAGCTGATCCCAGCCGCAGGGTCACGAGAGACAAGACCCCCTGAACTATGTAATTAGTTTATCAATAACTAGCTGGGGCGTGCCTGTTTCGGCCTTGTAGAAATTGGTTCAAGGATCCAGTCTCCCTTCGAACCAATCGAAATGAAAGGGACTATAACTCCGAGATTATTCAGTACGGACTATATCACATCTTCAACAGGCAAGATAGATCAGCATCGTGTTTCATCGCTTTTTCTTCGATTCATCTCCTTTTAAATTAGGGTTGTGTACCTGATGCAAGGAGTGTGTTCAATACCACAACCCACTATCTAGAGTTATACTTTGTGGCGCACTGATCGGCAGTGACGGGTCCTGTATACTTAGACCCTTACGAAAGTTTGGGCTGCTGACCTAGTTCAATAGCCCTGGCTGTACCAGTGACCGAAAGAAATGAGAGTGTCCAAAGCGATGTTCATCTCACCAGAGTATGTAATACTCTCAGAAGTATTACATCCAACAAGTTTCGCCTCGCTTGAAGCCCAGCACTCATGCCGATTGAAGCTAATCTGATTAGGGGATTCAAGCTATATCCTTAATTTTGAAAGAGGGCCATAGACTTCCTTCTGAAATACCCTTTGAATTACTCCATATAGCTCAACTGATCGTGGGTAAAGAAATGAAGGAAATCCAATACACTCTCAGCCCTCCATCCATCCAGAACCTTCCGAGGTACTAGTCAGACTGGAGCTTGCTAGCCTGAATGGCCTAGAAAGCAGCATTGACCATTCCAGGCGCATCCTCAATGATCATAACATGCCCCGTTGGCAGTATATGGCGTTCCGGCACATTACCATTAGCCGCTATAACCCGCACTAACTCGCCCAGCGTCCTCAAAACTCCAATGTCCGATTGTCGACATCACCAAATTTCTTATTGCCATTTGTCTGTTCTAAATTGCTTCAATTCAATCGGAGACGAGCTTTGTGCTATCTATACCCCTATCTCTACTTGTTTGCTCTCCTTTCCCGCGACCGAGATTCTCGATACGCGGTTTGATAGGGCCTGCAAGTCACAGACTTGAACGGTTTGTACGTAGCCCGGCGTGTAGGAAAGAAAAGGATCTATTGGTATGATTGTCTGTCATAATAATGATATCATTCCTTTGCTAAATATGTAAACCCGGACACTTAGGGGAAAATGTCAAAAGGAAAGATATATACCAGTACAGCCTTGAGTTGTTGTACTATACTGTGAAAATAAGATATTCACTCTCTTTATTATTACCGTGGCCGAAATTGGATTCTTTCTTAATATGAATCAAGGACACCTTCTACATCTTGTGTTTTGTAGCAACTGTACTGACAGAACAAGGTAAGTACATGACTTCAGAGAAGCAGGACAAAGAGAGTCATGGACTACTGGAGCAATTAGGATCTAATCTTGCTAGCTATGACGACAAGATGTCCTTAATGTCCCGCGGGGTATGCGCGCAGTTACATTCCCAGTAAATCATTTCCCTATCGCCCTTGTTCTGGCTTACAGTGTAGTATCCATGGAAGTATTTTCCGCGGATAATCAGTTTAACCACGGACTATAAGAATGCTATTATGCTTTCGGCGATTTTCTATACTTCCGGAAATGTACTCCGTACTTTGACAATCGGGTGGTAAGAAGCGGATGGGTTCCAAAGTATGATCCGCTGGGAGAAACCTTGTCCAGAATTCACGAACTCCAACAACTTTTTTGTCTAGGTGATTTTGACTGTTGGTTCCGGCTTTCCGGCGTTCCAATGATCAAGAACCATTCAAGGATGGAGTCAATTCCTTATGGATTGTCAGCCAGCTACTAGAAACGGAATCTTATATTAGGCAGTCCGTTCTACCCAGTGAGCAAAGCAATGCAGTCCTTACTACATGATTACCGCGTTCGTCAAAGACTCTGTCGCTTAGACTTTCTAAAGCCCTATATTCACCATTACTCAAAGCAGCCGTAATTATCCGTGGCAACTTGCCTGCGATATCTTGACGTATGTATAATGTAACCGTCTCTGGGTGTATACGAACAAGCCTCAAGAGTCTGACTAGAACGACACTTATTGGATAACCGTGCTAGATCTTCAGAAGCTGTCTCTATAGTTTCTCCACAAGGGAAGAGTGTGGACAATCTTAAACTTTCTAACCAAATGATTAAGACTAAGTCATGTTGTCATGCAATCGAAACAAAGTATATAGTCTGACGCTTCACTCGTCTCTAGAATGACCGTGGACCATGAGTCGTAAAATTGTGCATCAACAATCGATCATTGAGTAAAAAGACCTACTGCGAAAATGCCTGAAGATTACAATAACTTGCTTCAAAAGGTCGTCGAGGCGGTTAAAGGTATCGACGCCCTTCCTGTTTCAGACTACACCAACAGGGTGCATTACAAGTGCTGCTTTGCCCAACGTGCGGCCGAGTTTAGGGACAATAAAACACTCAATTATGGCACTCCCTGGCCCGATGATGATCCACGGCCCTCAGGGCCGCATCTGAACGACCAGAGTGTTTCTTTCCCTCTCTGCCGTTTGATTGACGGTACTATTCCGAGGGCTCTGGAAAAGACCCAGTTCGCGAATCGAGTCAATAAGGTGGGTAAATCAACTAGACCTCCCTCGCCAGCCCCTGCCAAGAGCCTACCGCTTATCAGGTATGTTAGGAAAACGCGAACAAAGTCTTGAATGACCAGATTGTCCGGGTGGCGACTCTCTGCTACTGTGAACATGTCACCCGCAAACTGGCCGCAGCCAAGGTCGAGGCTCTCAACAAGCTGCGATCGTATAGCGGCTTTGGGGCGTTCATGAAAGACCGACTGAAGAAGAAGCCCTTTATACAAGGCGTCATCCGGGATGACGCTCGTAATGGCAGCCATATATACAGCATGACCCTGCTTTTTATTGCCGACTTCCTTGACCGGGGTGATTTAGGCATCCCTGCCTTGGACGATGGATTTGTGTTTGCGCCTAGTCTGGATATTCTGGGGATCTGGTCGAAGACATTGTGGGAACTTGATGGAAAAGAGCGCATGGATCAGACCGTCAAATTCTGTGGTCGACTGGCAACTGCTGTGTATTCGCCCGGCTTGGGGGATACGCGTCAGCCTCGTGAGACCTACACTGTTACCACGAAGCTGTACGAGAAGCTTCTTTCAGGAAAGTCAGTGAAGGATCCCTACGTCAAGGATGCACAAGAAAGCCTCAAGAAGCTTGTTGAAGATGATGCAAATGCGTGGAAGTCGTCTTACTTGCTGCTGTGGAACTCATGGAATTTCACAGCGTATCCACGTTGGCGTGATACTATCCAGAAAGAATTGTCTATAAACAATGGCCGTGCCGTGGGCTATTGGATTACCGACGGTATGCTGTCGCGTATGACCTTTTGATGTGATGGAATACTGACAGTTGTTAGGCGTTAGCTACGAAGACCAAAACAGTGTTCCTGATCATCTGCGAGTTTTGCGCAAGGAAACCGCAAATGGCTCTCATATCGTGGCTGGAACTCAGATTGCCCTTGTTGATAGACAATCTGTTCCAGTTGAGGAACTGGTCCCAGGGGATCAGGTGCTGTCTCTTGCTTCTGAAGACGGTCCGAACCAGTCAGCGCAGGTATCAGACAGCATGTTTCCTCAGCAGGCCACCGTGCCTTTAGTGGGATTCAGTGAGTATCTATATATCTGGTAAGCGAAACACTTAGCTGATTTCATTGCAGATAATGGAGACCCTTTTGCACCGACTTGGCAGGTCTTCCATACCACAACTGGGCTACGCGCGGTCGACCCTGAAGCAGCCATGCATCAGAATCCGTGGCTCAAGGTTGGTCGTTTGTTAGCGGGACATATAGTCTACCGTTTAAAAGGGAACAATGATAAAGCCAAGAACATGTACGAAAGGTTTTCGATCAAGTCCATTGAACGGACGACACCAGTCCTAAGGACGGTATACGAACTCCGCCTCCATGATGCTGTCCGTCTGCATCACTCTAATGGCTTCCTGGTGCAAGTCAATTTCCCTGAAGTAAGGCGCCCGATTCCGGCTGATACGTCAGACTGACCGATATAGATTACCGTGGACTATGTGGCAAGTCTGCTGAAGGCCTTGCCTGCGGCAAAGCGAATGACTCTTCTTTATGCCTTGGAGGATCTTCGGCCACTATTCGAGCGATTCGGGGCTAGCTCTATCGCCGACCGCCTTCATGCAGAGATTTATGGCGGTCGGAGATATAAAAAAGGCCCTTTGAGGGGCGTTCCGAAGCCCAAGTTCCAGCGGAACGCTTCCCTGACCAACGTGACGAGATCATTCAAACTCAAGTCAACGCAGGGCACACTTTCCAAAGTGGCACTTGTGGAAGGCTTTCTGTTGTTGGATGGGGAAGTTCAGAACAGGGCCACCTTGGATGAGCAAACTAATACAGTTCGTTGGACTAGGAAAGTCACGGTGCCAGACGGTAAAACAAAGTATGAATTTGGCATGTTTCGGCTCTACTCCGCTGGACGTGGCGGCAATGGGCTCCTGTTTTATACTAATGAGCCGAACCCCAAGAAAGTCCCCAAAGATAAAGTCATCCGTTTTAGAGCCGCCTCAAACCAAAATTCCAGGGGTCTTGATGATACCGCTGGAGAAACCTCTCCAGAGGACCAAGGTGAAGCAGAAGAGGGCTCAATCATGGATGAAAAATCAGCACCACGGATAAACTTTGCCAACGACTACGCAGTGAAAGTTGATAAAACCATCTGGGAGAAAGGCACTTTGCTGGAGAAGCCACGAGATCCGGTCAATTTTGGCATCATATCTCTGGGGACAGAAACCATGGACGATGGAGTGGAGATCCCTGTGGTAGCCATTCCAGTCCTAGACCAACTTCAGCAAGAAATCAACAAGGTGTCCAAGACCAAGATCGGGAAGCTATATACGTCATACGAATGGGATTACTCGCCACCTGATGATAAAGACAAGACCGTTCATCGGACAATCGTGGAGTTCAACAATGCCGCGTTGCTGCCGTTCATCACGGACGGCGGTCCAGACTACAAAACATTTGGCCTCACCTTCAATAAGACACTTCAATCTGCATTCCGATTGCCAGTACTCTTCCACTCACTTTATGTTGAAACGAGTTGGGATGAAATGTCATTGACGGGCGCACTGTACGAGTATGATCCCCAATATCGCGGGATGAAAGGGAGTCGGTGAGTCAATGGGCCAGCACCTGTTCTACCGTGTCGAACTAAATTTGATTAGGCATCTTCTCGTCGGCGACTACGCCGACGACGATTTCAATCTCAAAGCACAGCGTGCAAAGATATCCAAGGCATTCTCCGACTTCGCGAAGCCAGGCGTCCCTATCCAAAGGGATCCTCACCTCCAACCTCCAGCAGTAACAAAAGAGCTAACAACCATGAGTGCCACGAAACTACAAGATCTTAAGGAGTTGCCCAATTATAAGGAAGCTGCTGTGAGTATCCGCATTCCTTCCTTTATATATCATACTGACATTTGGTAGGTTCACAGTGCGACACAGGATCTTGTCCAAAGAATGGTCTGGTGGCACATGGACGCAAGCCAAAGACAAACATTCACCACTGCAGATAAGCCGCCAGATGAGGATCTCCCTAGGGAGCTAAGGGAGAATCTGGATCCCAAATTAAAGGAATTCATTCGCAACAAGTACGGCCCTGCGTTTATATCGCGGTCGATCACGCAGATCCGACAACACAAGGATAAATTCACGGAAGAGGAACGAAAAAAGGTTTGGTACTGGTGGGAAGGAAGTGTAAGTTAATATCTCACACGGCTAAACCAACTTATCTGACTGGACGATCAAATTGCAGGGTCCGACATGTCTTTCGCGGTCCAAAGAATTCCAACAGCTGAACAATCTAGCTTCGATCCATGCGATGAGAAAGCTTCATTCAGATACTTTGGACAAGTATCTACCAGAAGCGCAAAAGTGGGCGGAAGCGCTATTGGATCATCTATGCAAGCCACCCGTTCTCAAGAGCATTATGGGTGATCGAATTTCAGGCGTAGGTACTCGACTCCATGTAGTTACTGATGCTAATGTCTAGAAGCTTGGAAATATTGTCAATAAGGAGTGTTGCATCTTGAACACACTAGCACCTAACAGTAACCTCCCCGACAAATGGTTCAAAAAGATGATCAGCTACGCTTCCAGTCATATGACAAATATTCCAGACATAACCGAAGAGGTTAAAGATTGGCAAAGGCAGTGGCTTTACGGAATAATGGAGGAGCTAATCTTCAGAGTTCTATCGAATGATGACTCTATCGTGAAAGCGGTCCGAGATGGTCTTGAGGAAGACCTTAAAGAGTTCGAAAAGGCAAATAACCTCAACAGTGAGCTAAACGCAAAAGATCGTGCCAGGAATATCATGGAGAAGCAGTCAGTGCTTGCTTTTGAATCAGCAAACTGGCTCTCTGCGATTGGCAAAAGCCTCGCCCTTATCCCCAAAGCCTTTAGCGGCACACGCCTTTTCCAGTGGTTCGGTAGGGCATTCGGCGAAGTGCTGAATAAAGTGGGCTCTAAAGTAGCTGGAGCGAAGTTTATGCTTGGGGTGACAGTTATATCGATGGTCAGCTCTAATCACCTTCTAACTATTCACTTTACTAACCGTGCAATAGGCTTCGTACAGCATCGGCCAGATCTACAACCTTGTAGGCGCCATTGTAGACTGGAACAATTTGAATGGCTCGCAGCGTGCAGTTGTAATCCTGGAAACCATTCGAACTGTGGTCACAGCCCTAGATCAAGTCAAGGATGCGTGGAACAGAGTCAAGACAAAGACCGGCACACCCACTCAAATAGCGCTAGACGAGTTTGTTCTCGACAGATCGCTCGGGAACGCTATAGAAAGCGACCCAAAGAGAATCTCCAATGTTGCGGACGAAGTTCATGGCCCACATGGGCTACAGGAAGGAGTTTCAAAGAAGGTGAACGGCGGTGGTCTACCAGCACATGATGAGGTGATCAAGGGAGACGGCGAGCGATGGACGGAGAAGATCAATGAACCACCAGGAGATGTGCCACCCGGGGCCAAAGACGATGCAAAACGATTTAGCATGCAGGGCAAATGGCTGCAATGTTTGAACGTTATCCTGGGTCTCGGTGTGGGCGTGGCAATGACGTTCAGGTAACTTCGACCCCTGATTTTATTGCTGATAGACACTAATATGTGTACAGTTTGGTCCATGATTGGGATAATCTAACAGACGTCGGAAAGGTCATCAACACATTGTCAGTGGTGGTGCAGTTCCTTACGGTTATTTTGGACCTCGTCGAACTTGGAGCCGCTGTCGGGCTATTTGTTCTCACTGGGACAATGGCTGTTGCAATACCTATTATCGGAGCAGTACTGGCGGTTCTGGGTATCGTCCTCACGATCATCGGATTGTTCTTCAACCTATACAAGAAAGAAACACCGCCAGACCCCGTCGGGGATTTTATCAGGGACACAGCGCGACCCCTGGTAGCCAACTGGGCCTCACCTCCGGGGCCCAAACTGAGCTATACATTGAGTCCGACTTCGGTCGCCTCCGATACGACGAGCACCGTCACAATCACCGGCAAGAACAACAACAGCAAAGAAGTCAAAATTGTCGACACGCGTATAAGCCTCCTCGGTGGTGGTGACGATCCATGTTTATTCCAGGACATGAAGTTCAACCTCGTCGCGGAGACCGCCTCTGATAGGCATAATGCTGGTAAATCCTACGTGTCTCCAGCTGGTGTGGTCAAAGCCAATCTGAGTTCGACCCAACTGGCAAAGGCCGACCCAGAGTACTGGCAATTCGAACACTGGGTGGCGGGTGCAATCGAGGCATCTGGTCATTTAAATATTGGAGCGGGCAAGTCCTTTACATCTGTCTGGACGGGATTAATTAATCGGGTAGGATTGAGCGTCGTTGAAATCATCGAGAAATTTGAGGATGGGGATAAGGCGTACTGCCTTTTGGAAACTAGGCGGGTGTGATTCCTTTTTTGCCGAAATCGTCCTGTCCTTCATGCGTGTCTTTAAGTATTGTTTGTATATATGTCACTATATGTACCTATTTTTCTACATTATCGTAAATTTCCTGTTGTAGACGTCGCCGCTTTACTGAGGGCACTCAAGGGCTTGCTTAGTGGGTAATTCACATTAGTTATATTAAGTTAATAAAATGGCCTCGGCAGAGAGTAGTATAAAAGTTAATATAGGTACAGTATATTATTCTTACGACACTTCCACCATAAGCTCGGTATGGCCTCGAAGGACTATTTGGACGTAATCCGAGGAATATTACTCCAGTCCCTGGCTTGGGCCTTGGGGAGGTTCAGTAGTGATTTCGCCTTCTGCAGCATTTTCTTGAGTTACCGTGGCCCCTGGCGGGAGGGTCAGTGGACGCGTTCGCTTCGCCGGCATCTTGCCTCGCAAAGGAGGGTGAACGGTTAGCTAGCAGGTTGGGAGTACTTACCTAGATTCAGAGCATGCCCGTTAGTATGGGATACACAGGTGCCACGGGAATCATGTTGGGCCACTCATAAGGCTATCTCGAGGTAAGCACCTACTTAGGTTCGCTTTAGTACTTCAAATCCGCAAGGCTTCGCCCACGGCGCACACACAAACAAGGGTTTATCTTGGCTGAATCACGTATCAACAAATCATATCCTGTCTTTTGGCGCCCATGTTTACATTCTTCACGAGGCTGAGACTTGGCAGCCTTATTTGTTCTCATTGCCTAAGATACAAAAGCAATCTGTGTTCATCTTTTATACTTAAAGACTCTTGGTGAAACTATTGTTTGTGCAATCGCAGATGAATGTAGAAAGTCCCGACCCTTCTGGAAGGTCCTGTGACCCCCTACCTTCTGGTCAACTACAAGATCACGCCCTACAGCGAGTCGGTAATGCGCCCTCGAGGCGCTCCTCCAGTCGTTCTAGTGAACAAAATGAAGCAATTCCACTGGAAAGCATACATGGTGCAGCGGATCCCCCCAATCCAGACGACACCGACGACGCTCAAAAGAACACGGGTACCTCTTGGACCCGAGGGGCGCGTTTTGCCCTAGGAGCGACTATCGGTGTATTGGCCGTCAATATCATCCTAATAGCCATCGCATCGGGGAGAGCCTACTCCGTTTTCCATGGACAGGGGTTCTCCCACGCGATCATGTATCGCGGCTCTTGCCAATTGGTGAAGAACTGGTCGACTGGGCTTCACTTGGTGATAAATATTCTCAGCACAATTGTTCTCGTTGCGAGTAATTACTGCATGCAGTGTTTGTGCTCGCCATCTCGAGTGGAAATTGACCGTGCCCATGCTCAAAGAGCCTGGCTCCATATTGGAACTGCAAGCCTTCGCAATCTGCGGTTCATCCCTCCAAGGAGACGATTGTCGTGGCTGATATTACTTGTCACATCTTGGCCCCTCCATATTTTGTAGGTGTTTCTCTGAGCCTGATCACATCGTCACTAGTCTCATGATTGAGCCAGCTACAACTCTACCGTCTTTTCCTCGCTTGCATTCCATGAGTCCCGGTTTATTTTAGGACCCAGCAACTTTGATCCCGACACTATATCTCTCTCGCTCGAAGGTGACTGCTTTGAGCGAACGATTGGGCAGAAGATTTCACAGTTTGCAGAGATCTTCCGCCAGGGAAAGTACGAACGTGTAGAGAAACATGAATGTTGGAAAAAAATTCATGATGCCCGACCGATGTCAGACTATGTTGGGACCCGAACAATCGGGAGCTTCGCAGAAAGCCCAGGCCCCGTCGTCTTGCTCTCGAGAGACCTGGACCATCGCAACGGCACAAAGCTGTACAATCCTGCCACCAGGGGGTTGTCGCCGTACTTTAAATCTACCGAGAACAACTGGGCCGTCCACACTCAACCGTGGGAGGTTTCTACCTACAGCTTTGTTGTACCAGCCGATGATGGTAGCGTGGAAAGCTTCAACTTTGAGAACAAGTCCGACTTATGGCTCATGACAGGTATTCATGGATATGACCGAAGGCAGCTGTATGATTACATTGATGGGTATGATCCTCTGGAGAAGCTCCCGAGCGCTCTTGACATGAGGGCTTTCCTCCATGACAAGAGCATATGGATGGACAAGACGTGGGCAGAAAGTATAGGCGTTGAACCGAGTTTCGCGTGCCCTGGGAATTTGGGGAGACCGTTGGAAGCCCCCGGCTCACCCTCTTATGAAGTGGAAGGCTGTCTTCACCAGCAGCTTCCAGGGAAGTGCGAGCTGCGTTTTATTCCTCTTTTTTGCATCATTGTCGTCATTTCCAACGTGATAAAAGTGGTGTGTATGCTCTTCGTAATGCGCGAGGAGAGGGAGGATCTTCTTTTCACAGTTGGGGACGCAATCGCTTCATTCCTCGATACGCGGGACACCACGACCAAAGGCAAATGCTTGATGCCGAAAAGAAAAGTCGACTCTCCTCCATGGCTTTGGAGAACGGAAACAACTCATGGAAAATCACCCAGTCAATTATACAGTCCACCCTCTGTGAGCGTTCCTACTTATTTACCTCGGCGAAGTAGATGGAAGAAAGCCGTGCGCGGTTACCGCTGGTTGCTTATGAAACTACTGTGAGCCAAGCCATCATCATTGTCCTCCAAATAATGCCTATTAATCGACTCACACTCTCCCAAAGCTTCATAGTATACCTTGGTGTAATGATAGCCTCCATTTTCATGAATATCCCGTCAAACCTCTCCTTCACAGCGGACGAAGCGCAACTGCTCGATGACGATTTCGACAGAAGCCCGCTATCCCTAATACTTCTCGCCAATATCCCTCAGCTGGGCTTGTCGACGATCTATTTCTTCCATAACGATATCATAACCAACATGGTGCTGGCAGCTGAATATGCGGATTACTCGCATGAGCGAAAGCCTCTCCGGGTCTCTTGGCCCCGCGGTTCCCAGCGATCTACCTACTGGTTGAGCCTGCCGTACAAATACAGCCTTCCGATGATAGTCCTCTCCGCGTTGATGCATTGGCTCCTGTCGCAGGCCATGTCGTATGTCCATGCGATCGGATACGATAAGTACGGAACAGTGCATAAGAAAATCAGCTCGGTCAGCTTCAACGGTGTCCCCTGTCTCCTGTGTGGCGTTATCGGTCTCGTCATGAGCTTTGTCACTTTGGCGTTGGGATACAGACGATTGAGAGGCCACATGCCGATTGCTGGGAATTGCAGCGCGGCTATAAGTGCCGCTTGCCATTCGCCAGAAGATGACCGCGACGCGTCACTTAAAGGGGTCATGTGGGGTGAGGTGAAGAATGTTAATATTAATCCCAGTATCCCGAGTCAAAGTCCTGGCCTGGTTGATGAGCTCCGCAGTCCTGACGGGACCTCGGACGAGACTTCAGAGAATAATCACGAGTCGATAGCCCTGACGAGTGAGTTTGTGCCGCTGCCTGCTTACGGCCATTGTTGCTTTACTTCTTATGATGCTATGGCGCCGAGTCTGGATAGGCAATACTGTTGATAAATTGTGTAGAGGTGCTAGTATAGATTCAGTATACTACCCTGACGAATACAGAGCAAGAGTCTGAGCTGTGTAGGTAATCCGGTACGTATGGGAAGAAGAGCCTTGTTGATGCACTGCTCGGTATAGGTATACTTCAGTGATTTATGTGATTTACGTTTAATCAGATATTATATTTGTATTATTCTTCTACCCATGCAGAGTTAAGCCACAGATCGTCCAATACTCCTTTGGCTGTTTTTCTTTCCTCGGGGATCCATCGTAGCATTGACCGTACAAATTGGAGAAGTCGTTGATTCTGTCCTTCAAGATTTTCTTCCGCCTCTTCCAAAGATATTGAAGGCACAGAGACATCACCCGCACCTAACCATTGCCCTAGTTAACTATATAGATGTTAGTCATCAAATGCGTTAAACAAATGCTTGTTTTCGAAGATAACCCAGATCTATAATTATAGTTTAAAAAAAAAGGTTCCTCGGCATCAAGGGGCTCAACACACCATGGCACCGACGTTCCGTATGTCAGCACTACAGCTCCACCGCATGTCAAAAGGGACCTCAGGAGCTTTATAAATATTCGGTTGAATATTTCCTGTTGGAGCTTGCCAGTATGGCTGCTCACGTGGCTGGTCACATGAGCCACATTGTGTATTTAGCTGAGCTTACTCTACCTTCCACACCTCCTGAATATAAGCATTTTCAACCGATTTGAGCCATCCCGTCAAGCAGTGCTTGTCAGATTAAGAGTCACAGCTCTTCGAAAGTGCTTCGTCTATCTACTCTAATCATATTCATCTGTTCTAAAAACCCCTAGGGGAAGCGCCTAGGGGGAGGGGCCCTGGACTTTTTGAGAAATGTGGCAAACAAAAGTAAACTCAAAGTGAAAAAAACGAACAAAAAAAAATCGTTAGTTGAAATACAATTTATTAAGATTGCTCACTTAAAGTATTTAATCTTTCATTTATTTTGTGCTCAATAATCGTCTAAAATTACTTAAGGCGTGCTCAGGTCCACTCAGTGAGCAAAAAACGGCAAAGGATGAGTATTAAAAGAGAAAAAGAAAGCCTTCGACCTGGCGAGAAAGTCAAGTACGTATGTATCTAATTGGGTTGATTATTATGCATAGAAAATACACTGCGCTTGTTTTGAGGTTTTATTTCGTACTAGAGCGGAAAGGGAGAGCTGTAGATCTAGCTAGAAAATCAAGTACTTAGAACTACTTATCCATTGACTCAATTTCTATTTAGTGTCCGTTTTAAATGCCTAGTGTATACTTAGGTTTACTCACTGAAAGAGAAGCAGCGAGAGACAAGCACTAGAATAGGAACAAGATGTTCAATCTGTGTAGAATTTCGGTATATATGTGTGCATGCAATATACACCGTATGCAAGAGAAACCAGCTTCATGCAAATCATATGACATTCCTCATCGTGAATACTCCTCCCAAGGTTATACCGATATCATTCTAGACTGGGAAACCATATCCCCAGACAATTTCCCGGACAAGGATCATATAAAACGAAAGAAAAAGAAAAAATTGGCACAAAATCATGCTGCTTCCAAAATAGACATCATGCAGGTTCAAACATCAAAAGTAAAGATAAGAGGGGAGATGGGGTGTGAGTAATATAAAAGATAAGAGACGGAAGAGAAATATAGAAAGGAAACAAACACTTTCATCTAAGCCACCACTCTCTTCTTCATGCCCACCTGCAACCCCAAGGGTTTGCGCAAGAAACCCTCACTAGTCTCCATGGGTCCGTCCTGCTGCATTTCAAACTCAAAGAGGCGGAACACGGTAGCACAAATGACCAGGAGCTCCATCTCGGCGACGTTGCGGCCGACACAGGCGCGAGGGCCCGTGCTGAAGGGGATGAAGGCTGCCTTTTGCCGCGCCGTAAGACGGGCGGGATCCCAGCGCTCCGGGACGAATTGTTCGGCGTCGGGACCCCAGATCTCGGTAGAGCGGTGGATGGTGTAGCTGGGAACGGAGACGACATCGCCCGGATAGAAGATGTGGCCGGAGATCTCGATGGGCGCGCTGCCGGGAGGAATCTCACGCGGGAGACCCATGGCGGAGGTGCTGTGGATACGCATAGTTTCCCAGATGACCCATTGGAGGCTAGATGAAAAGGATTCTGCGTTAGTTTTATCTTTGATGGAGTTAGGTCGTTGTAGGTGCAGAATGATGTGCGAAGCCAGGATTTCATTTCATGCAGGCGATTGGGCGGTCGGTGGGGGTGCAAAACTTACTAAGGAATTTCCTTCACCATGGAGTGTGTGGGAACTTCAACATCCTGGGGGATGGCCTCGTCGAGAACGCGGTGGAGCTTGTCGATCACGCCGGGAGTGCGCATGCACCAGTAGAGGATAGCGCAGGAGGTGTTGGAGGTGGTGTCGGAGCCGGCGATCAGTTGAGTCAGGGCCTCGGCGGTCAGCTCTTCGCGGCCCAGCTTGTTGCCGCTGCCGTCCTTGCCTTCCATGAGACGCGCCAGGAGATCGACACGGGTGTTGTTAGCCATGACTTCGGGGCGCAGACGTTCGTTAACCCGGGCCACGGCGATGCCAGCGAGGTTCTCGACGGCCTGCATGCCGTCCTTGAAGAAGCGGTCGGGGATGTACTTGGCAAAGGGGATGAGAGACGGGAAGCAGCCCAGCGTGGCGGAGACCTCGCCACGGCGGTTCAGCACCTCGACGGCCTGGACGTAGGATGGGGGCGAGTCGGGCGTCTTGCGCATCTCGGCGATGTCCTGGCCCTTCTCGAGCATGCCGAACGGAGCTCCGAAGGCCAGGTCGCCGATGATGTCGAAAGCCAGGTAGTTGAACCAATTGAGAGCGTCAAGGGAGGCGTAGCCGGTCTTGGGGTTGCCCTGCAGCTCGGCGAGACGGTTCCACTGCTTCACGAACAGCTCGATGTTGCCGTGGATGTACTGCTCGAACTGACCGATCGACTTCATACTGAACGTATGAGACACGGTCTTACGCTTGCGAGAATGTTCCGCACGGTCGCGAGTGTTGAACAAACCGCGACGGATGGAGACAAAGGCATCGTAGAAGTCCCTGCGAAAGGTCAATCAATGTCAACTAGCCGTCAGGGACGGGATCAACCCCAGAAAGAGGAACGCACGCCTTGAGGAAACCGTTTCCGTGTCCGTAGATGAGAGGAATGGCGGCATCGTCAGCAATGGAGATGTTTCTCGGAGCAATGCGAACCAATTTTCCATTTTTCTTGTGGGCTTCGTGCACGGAGAGAAAGCGATGGCCCTTTCGAGCCTGCAGGACCAGCCAGAGGTTGGTGAAGCCGGCCAGGCTGGGGGAAGGGATGTCACGCAGGCGCCATAGCTGTAGGTACGGGACCAGATAGTAGGCAGCTAGCAGGGCCAGCAGGAGATAAGGCCCGTAGGGGGCGACTAGATCGGAAATCATATTGCAGAAGGAACGGGGCTAAGTAAGACACAGCATGGTTAGCGAGAAGTCGAGACGCACGAGGGACAAACAAATTGAACAAATCGACCGTTTTGGGCGGATGCTCTTTGGTTCCTGAGGCAGCAACGCGTGGGGATGACAGCCGTTGCACTAACCGGATTGGGACTGGCCCGAGGATCACCGCAGGCACTCAGGCAGCGAGGCACTCAGGCAGAAGAAGATACAATTGTGGGAAAGTAAGTTGGTAACTCGAGAAAACAGAATATCGTTCATCAGTTTATTCCATCACTTTTTCTAGAAAGAACAGATGGAGAAAATTATCAAAGTCTGCTGGGCGTCCCAGGGCCATATTTAAGATGACGAGGGCTGGCCAGCATCCCCGAGGCAATCACCGGCGACGGATGTGGGAATCGGGAGTCTGGGGTTGCGCTGCTCACCTGTCGCAGCCGACTCTGCCCCCCGACCCCGCCTCACCGCTCGGTTATCTCTGAAGGATTGACTCGTTGGTTCCATGGATGGCGCGAAGTCTGCGCTTAAGATGACTTTGCCTCCTTCGTCATTGGCGAGAGGATCAGCCATCGGGGAGGAGTCGATGCCTGGGGCAGCCTTGGCGTCTCAGGCTTATCGAACATAAATCGTGTGTAGAGAGAGATATGGGGGATAGTAAAAACAAGCATAAAGGGTTATTATCTTACAACAGGTCAATAGAAACACCATGTACCTCGTGGATGAGGCCAGAAACAAAGAAGCCCAACGCGAGGATCACTCGCAGTCATGGAATGGGGTCCTTTTTCTTACCACCATGGAATGCCTTTTGGATACCCATGGAGTGCGACTTCACAAGGTTGTGAATCACTTCAGATTAAAAGTCTTACGCTCTACCGATTGAGCTAGCCGGGCTTGGATGAAATGTCAACGCATCAAATGACGTCATTTATAGGAGAGAGGGAAAGGCCACCGTTCTAATGCTGCTTCTGGTGATAACTCTTCGCTCAAAGTCTTTGCATACATGTTAAAGAGATATTCGTTCATCTTGTTGGCTGATTCTCATTCCTCGATTGAAATCCACCCGTCGTCATTCGTACAAAGCTGGGCCTTGACAATGTCCCATAAATACACGCTGTCTTGGTAAAGTTGGACTTGTTCATTGTGCCTTTGAAGATGCATTTTAGTGAATCCAAACGGACAGCTGTTTGGGAGTCCCAAATGTTTCCAGTTCTTAAAGATCCGTATCAGAGAATTTCGTAATGGAACCAGGGAGCCATTTGAGAGGAACTGACAACAAATAAAAGGCTTTTAGAATCGTCGATCTAGCTTTATTGTCTTGTAGACAGACTTGTTATATGCAAGACAGAACATCTCATAGTACTTCGATTGGGCTGCTGATGCCTGTTCCTTGATAGTCAATTCCTTTTCATCAGGATTTAACTTTTCAAAGTTTTTAGGTAACGCGGGAATTTCTGTTCCTGGATTGTAGCCTTTGGGCGGTCGAAGGAATCCAGGAAATTGTACCTGCATAAATAAAAAAACGACTTGGACTGACTGCCAATCTATCATCTTTTCAACCATGGTTGGATCATCCGAAAAAACATAAATATTTTCAAGATGCAAGTCTGTGTGCCAAAGGGTTGAGTCTGCCCCTTCTAATACGCGTGGGTCGCACGAAAGAACAGACAGGATTAGTATCATTTTCTGTAATAGGTCACAATACTCGTCGACAGACTGGCTATCATGAAAACGACTGAGATGGCGCTGCACTTCCTCCCTATCGCTTGCAATTAAGGCTAGCTCTTTATGCGGTTTAGAAAGTGCAAAGTCCAATACCGAGGTCCCTGAACGAAGTTAGCAAAAATAATATGGAGTAAAGCAATCCCACAAAACTGACAAGGCCCAGCATCAAACTTGGACGCATCAGTAGAAGTGATCGTGTGATGTATAGCTCGACTGCACGAAGGGCCGATGCAGTATATGCCGTTGGGATCCAAAATGGATGGAAGGGTGTAATGATGATATCCAGGTGGCAGAGATTCCCGCAGAAAGAGGCTTCCGTATGCCGGTAACTTCAAACTCTCAAGCTCTTTCTCCATTTCCACAATTCTGTCGATCACTTTATAGCGTTGCAAGGTGCTCATTACCTCCCATCGTTCTGCGAGCGCGACTCCATCTATCTTCTCCATGATAATATATTCGGCGCCCACTGGGTTTGCCGGGTCTGAGCTCCAAGCATATACTTCTGGGACTTGAACTGATACACGAGACCGCACGAAGACAATCACATAAGCATATCGGAATAAATTCAGCTCATAAGGGAACATACAAAATTTTAGCGTCGCTACTTCGGATGCCGTTGTCAGGAACGGCATCCCAGCATTTGGACAAGGGATTTTTGCTATAACTTCATTACAATCGTTCATTGTAAGGAGGAAAGCCTTGTTGAAGTTCCCCTCTAGTTTGATAATGCGCACGCATTTTGTGTCGGAACCAAAGAGAGAAGCGGTTCGTGAACAAAGTCTTTCGACGTTGAACTTTACATAACGCTGTTCTAGTTGGTGTTTCTCGTTTATCAGTCATCGGCCGGAGGTATATCTAAATAAGTCTTCCAGGTCATGTGTGCCAAGGCCTGCTATTCATCAGTTACTGTGCAGAAAGAACAAACCATTACAGGGTAATGAATAGACAAACTGATGTTCTTCATTATTGATTCGTTTCTATGTGCTCTTGCGCGATAGGTTCGCCCCATGTCCATGGGGAAATATCGAACAAGGGCAATTAGCCGTGTGCGGACAGGGCGATGCATTAAACGAAAGACCGGTGGCTTCCACATTATCTGCCAAATATCCTGTGTACTATTCTAATTGCTCAGACGCTGCTGACTGAGAACTTCAAATATGAGCTGCGAAGTGGTGGTGAGCCGCACCCAAAAGGTGGACACTTGGTTAATCACAGCCCAGCTTCGTTAGGTAGGTAACCCAGAGAAAGGGGTGGGTATCAGAGAATGTAAGGATCTCGAGCGATGTGTGAAGGAAAGTCGCTGGGAAGAGATCATCTATGCATAAGTAGGAAAAAGTGTAATACAGAGGCAAAAACAGAAAATATTATAAGAAGACTACCTAGGGGAAAGAGCAGAGTGCGCTTTAAATGAGTGGTCTTTATGTACAAGCTGACCATGCCGGGACGGCAAAACTAACCTGGAGGAGGAATTTGTGAGGCCTCACTATATTTACAAATGCGAACAACCCCCTGCTATGTGCATCGCCACTCATACAGTCCGCTCTTCCTCTTTTCCGCCTCCCACCGCTCAATCCATCCTTTCATGTTATCCCGACTTTTCCGACTTCCCACGTTCACCGTGGGAATCACCCGACCGATCCGGAGTGCGCAGCAGAACATGGTAAGCTCCCGGAAGGAGCTGTGCTCGCTGTAAGGCACCCCAAAGCAGGCACTCTCTCGCGTACTGCCGCGCTGGGGGACCAAGTCCTGAGCCGTAAACGGCGTCTGCCAGTGAGCCGAGTGGAGCACGGTCGACACCGGCGGATTGTCCAGCATCCGTCCGGCCGGGGGCCGATAGGACCATCCGGTAGGTCGAAAACCTACCACGCGCGTGAAATGCGGTTTCATCGAATCCAGGTAGTCCGCTAGGGTCTCGGCCCGGATTTCAAAAAGCGTCTGCATGTGCACTTGAGCCTCGTGCGGGTCATCCGTCAGGAGAGATGATAGCTCAGGATCCTCGAGGCAATTGCACACGCGCTGTTTAGCCGCCGTGGCGTAGATCTTACTTTTCAAGGCCCGTGCGATCCCCAGACAGATACGTTCCTTGCCAATACTATACGTCCCGATCACCACCAACAGTCGACCGCTTGGCCCGGAAGACTGCTTCTGCGACTTTCCAGAGCCCGTAACGGAGGAGAAAAAGCGGCTCATCATGCTCCCTTGCCCCGAATTTGTCGACCCGGATTGTCGGACCATCTGACCAAACTCCTCATCCGATCCTTGATCGAGGCCAGCGCAGAGTTCAGCACATGCTTTGATGACATCCCCTTGACTTGGAAACGCATATTTGGGACTGAGGTAGGTAGTGTCGAGATAGCACGCGTCAATCCGCTGCTGGCGACTCCGGCCTGTCGCAGAGTCCACAACTTCCGGGCGGAGGAGTGGATGCTGCACATGGGCCGGAGATGCTCGGAAATCACCGCAATGCAGGACACGTTGGAATTTGATCGATGGCCCGGATTCCGTGGTTTGCTCGAACAGAAATAGTGCACTTCCGGGGCAGTGGTTTGCTTCGATCAAGGTCACCTGCACCCCATTGGTCCCGGGAACGTCGTATTTCTTCTCAAATTCCAGGCCTACAAGCCATTTAGGATCGACTTTGAGTTGTTGGCGAACCAGGTTGGCTGTGGGTTTGCTGCAATAAATGGGACCGTGGCGCCATGACGCTGTGAGACCAATGTAATGATCACTGTGAAAGTGAGTGAGGAAGTAGGCACTGCAGCCTTCAACCGCTCCGTAACGGAAAGCATCCACGCAGATGGAGAATCCCGGCATGATCTTGTAGAACGGACAGGTGCGTTGATATGCTTGTTTCCCCCGAGAAGCCACCTCTCGTGCTGCGGCTGTTGTCCACGCCGTGTCTTCGGCGTTACCTGCCATGAGCTTTGAGAAAGCAGATCCCGTTTTCGATGAACTGTTCTTTGTGTGAGGGTCTCTTTGCGCGGGCCTGGCTATTGACGCCTTATCGGCGGGCTTTGAGCCTTTCAGCGGACTGAGAGGCTTTGAGACTGCCGGAATGGTGCTTTGCTTTCCATCAAGACAGTCGTTCACGTGCACCGAAATGTCCTGTAGGCCCATTAGTATAAGGTGTTGATGAGATTACTCAAAGCCACAACTTACAGCTTCGCTTAACCCTGGCAGCTGGGCCTGACATATGGGACATGTGGGAACTTCGCCGCAGGGACTCAAGTCGCCTTCTTCCAAACCGGTAGAGTCGTTCGAATCATCAAGATCGATTGCTCCATCATCATCCATATCTTCGTAGTCGTTCTCCTGGTTTAGGGTTTCGTCTTCCCCAATGAATTCGTCTTCTTCTATATCGTCAAAATTCGTATATTCATCGTCTGCGACGTGGCTCGTGGCTTCTCTTACCAATGGTGGGACGACGGAGGTCGGTCGTGTACTGTCTATCGAATTGTGATCGTTGTCATCGAGACGTGGCTTTTCTTCGTTTGTCTTTGTGTCTGTTTTCGATTCCGATAATTCTTCATTGAGATCTCCAAATCGACCAATATCATCCTCACTATCGGATTCATCGATAAACGGGCCGCTAATCTGGCGAGCCTTCGGGGGTATCGGCGCAGGGCTTGGATCAACCTCTTCCGAAGCCTTCTTTTGCCCATCTTCCAGAGGCGAATCCACCTTCCGCTTCTTCACTGCAGATCCATTCTCATTATATTTCTCATAACCAGGCCCATCTTGCTCATCGGCGTCTTCGCCCCAGATATCGTCCGGCGTTCGAGACCTCGCTCGTTCAGATCTTGTGCTCGCCCCACTACCTCCGAAAAGAGACCCCGCGCCATTTTTGTCTTCCAGAAATAACCCCCCGGCAGTATCGACCGATTTGGAGCTGCTCTGTCTTCGAAGATCAGGCGTGCTGTTCCCGCTACTCGGCGAGCGTTCCGATTTCGTGGCAAACTGCGTAATTCGAGACTGTCGCGATGTAGCTTGCGGGGGACCGTCCGTCTTCTGGAAGAAGTTGAGCAGGCTGCTGTTTCGTTTGACCGATCCCTTGGGTTTGGAACTAAAAGGGACTTTTGATGGGGTGGAGGTCTTTCTGGCATTGGAGACTGGCATGTTGTAACTGCAGAAGTCGTTCGTCTTGTTCGGAGCGTAGCGATCGGCGATTATCGGAGTGGCGAAGATGATCGGTCGGAGAGAAGATTCTAATATAATGAACTATAATACCGGAACATTCATCATGTGTAGGTTCAATATATTCTCGTCATATAATTCTTTCCGATAGACGCGACTGAAGAAGGCGAAGGAGGGGTGCAAAGAAGACTAAAAGCGCGGCGCGGCGAGTCGCCATTTTCGCAACGCGAGATCACGTGCTCCGTTACGGAATTACGGCAGCTTTATGACTGTAGAGGGAAATACTAAATTCGAGGAATTCAATCCGTTCGTCTTTGCTATGGAGGATCAAGACACGTTCAGATCAAGCGTACTGCTTATAACCGCATCTCTAAATCGAATGGCCATATTCGGAGGGAATTTATCCCACATTTATGGTGAATCCGGGGCAGAGAAAACCCTCCCGGTCGCAGCGCCCGACTCCTCCGATTCCTGACCCCAAATTGTAACAGCCCATTTCTCTCCTCCACGACCTGGATTTTCCTCCAAGCTGGGTTCCGGATGGATCATCAGTACAAGACAAGAAATTCGGTTCGTTCCGCATACGCAGTCGCAACATCGCATCGTTATTGAACAAAGAAAAAAAAAATTAGGTGGTTTCGATCGTGGAAAAATCATCGAGCCTTTCCGGCCTGGTTTGCAGCTTCTGTAGGACGAGGCGCATGTTAGCAAGACACTCGCGATTCATCTAAAAAGGGAATGAGAGAGCACCGGATGACTCTCGGTGTCTCGAGCATAGCGAAACTCACCTCTCCTCGTAGCATCCTCTAAAAGACCAACGTCGACCTCCGACCGGGGAAGCACCACGTAGCGCACCACACTGCCTCGAATGAACATGTTCTTGACCGACGAAAGATGGGGATATTTGTCCAGGTCTAGGACGTCGACATCGTCCAGCTTGATGTTGAGGTACTGATCGACCGATTTCAGAGTTCCCCGAATGCGAATATCGTTTTTGAGCTCGATAATGACAGTCTGGTTCGTGAGGGTCTTGAAGAAGCTGTAGCGGTATGGGTCAGCTGCGCTCGATGCAAGTTGGGAGGCATTGGTCGGATTTACCTGAAGAAGAGCATGGTTGCGGTGGTCGCGCGGTAGAGGGGTTGTAGGTCTCTGTGGAAATTCTATCGCATGGGCTGAGAAGTACTGGGTCTAAAGTTGTCAGAAAAAAAGATAGTAGTCGTCTAAAGCTGCAGTGAGAACTCACAGAAGGTACAATATATCCAGGTAGAGCGACCAAGAACTGTGATGTTGTAACTCCATCCCATCCAGCGGCATTAAAGGCGGGCAGCTTCCTTGTCACGTGAGGGCACCACTCATTTCTCTGCGGAGTACTCCATAACTGTCATAGCTTGGTTTACCGGGGCTTGGATTTTTGTTTTGTTCTTCTGGTCTACTGTCAAAATAAATTCGGGAGCGTCTGTTGGGTGTGCATATCTTTTATTTATGCACATACACCTGGTGGTGAAACTCAAGGGGAATATAACCACTAACTTGTGGGGTAAAATAATGGTATCTAGGAGACAAGGGCCTGTAATCAATAGTCTGGAAGTGATTGCTTAGACTTCTCTCAAAACCAAACAATGGTCAATGACCAACAGATCTCCCAGCCATAATGATCCTTATTAAACATGGATGATCGACTCATGGGACGACCCTTCCCAATGTTTACCCACACCCGGTCACTTCGGTCGTACACATACGCATAATTATTCGATAGTTGACAGTATTATTAAATATTATGAGTCGGTCTATCAATCTATTTATCAAGTATATACCAGTCTGGTATTAGCTATACTCAACGGTTGACCCTGTGGGGCATTGGATCTGCATTATATGCATACACATATGATATGTTGCATGATTACCTGATATGTGATATCGCTCTTTAATAGCACTCTGTAACGCCACCAACCGGCCCATCATATTATTAGGATAATCCAGGCAGGTTTTAGGACAGGTTTGACAGATTTACTCATGAAGACTTTAGATCTGCACCATATACACATTTTATCAGCCTCATTGCTCTAAGATGGTCATGATCAAGTATCAACCGCAATATTTCAGATTCCTCGTTGCCTTATTCGGAGTATCACGTCTCCAATTCCTCGATAGGCAATATAAAGGACACGGAATTGGGTTCCTTTGACTAAGCAATAGTATGGGATCTGGCTTTCCCTGGCTTAACATAAAAGGAAACGGTTTCCTGGGTGTTACACCCCCTCCAAGTCTCAACCAATATTGAAAAGATGATCACCATCCCACCACTATCCCACAATGAAGCTTAACTTGATCGCTATCTCTCTTTTCGCTGGCGCTGCCCTGTCCAAAACTATAAGACAGGACGAGACCTGCAGTGACCTCACCAAGCTTACTGGCGACCTGGACAACACCTGCCAGTACCTACATGACCAGCAGGCACTTGTCGCCGAGTCACACGGATTGATTGAGGCATACACGCAGCGACGCAGTGCCCCCCTTACCGTGGGCGAGGCAGCCGCCATCGCACTCGGGTGTTATCGCCATTTCGAAGTGCTCTTCGACGATATCTTTGCACTGGCTGACGGGCGTGTGTCCGAGTCAGTAGTTTCGGAAGTCACCCATCAAAGGGAACAATTGCAGAACCAGATCACTAAGCTTAAACAAGTCTCGTCGGATGACGAGAAGTCCAGCCAGCCCGCAGATATTGCGGAATTGGCACAGCTAATCGAGCTGATGGCCGAAAAGGCAGATGAGGCCAGGAATAAGCACAAGAGCAGTGGCATATTGAATCAATGTTCGACTAGTGATACAGTTGTCAAACGGCAGTTGTTGGGTTTGACCTCAGCTATACAAGCACTCACTAACCTTCTCCAAGGGGGTGTAAGTGCCAGCCCTTGATACGAAAGCATACTACATACGGAGAGGAAATTAACAGATACAATCAATAGATTCCCGTTGGTGTCGGTATACTAGGTACAGGTAGTGCGGGAGGGGGAACAGTGAGTGACCATAGCTGTTGGAACAGGTGTACAACGAGATAGAACAGACAGGCTGACCGATACTAAACAAACAGACTCAATGAAGACATGGAGTAACCTGCCAGTCAATCAGAATAGGCTCGGAGTTGCCTACTGTATAACCCATGGTCGACGACCGCTGGTCACCCAGGTAGATCAACATAGCTCGACATTTGTGTGGATACAAGCGATTACCGGATGCACGGGCAGTTTGAATACCGTGTATCTAAGCTACTTATCTCGTTATATACCTGGTCTCAATGCGACCAGCCTGGTCCCAGTTTGATATAATCTACTCTATGTAATCACGATGCGTTCAGTAGTGAAGTCAACCACTGATACACTTAAATTAGCCCACCGTGTCCTTCTCCATCTCCCCAGCCAACCAGGACGGTGTCAAGATGGGACAAAGTGTGCCGTATGTACATATACATATCATACCGCGGTCGAAGGCGGATCTGGATGATCAGGGAGGCACGGATGTGGTGGGCTTATGCGCAGCAGCAGGGTCGACAAAATGCAGCTGATGGGCGAGAGGGTGGGCAGCCTCGGGCGCGGAGAGCAGAGGTGACCAGGTACCAAGACTTAGTTACCTGAGGCAGTTCGAATGTTGATGTGATGGCTCTTTAATCTCAACAAAACGGGCGACGTCATGGGTAGTTTAAGTCTATTTTTTTCGCTGTAATAATACAGGGGGCCGTACAGCTGACTTAAGTACCGAGTCGTTTCGTCAAGAGAGCCTGGTCTGCGGCATTTAGGGCTTGGATACAACTCGTGGTATATAATATACGGAATCCAGTTCCGAGCGGCTCTGTACATTCCCGAAGAACGACCTGGCCGAAACACAGAACAAGCGCTACTGATGCTTATAATTGATGATTTACATCTTCTATTTAATATACAGCTTTACATATAAAGAAAGAATTATTGACCTCACTCCATTCATTTCACTTGCTATTCATATGCTCGTCACATATCCATAACAAATAAACAAAGTATCTCGGCGATTGTCCGACAATTACATTAAATCTCGCCACCAGGGCGGTACATGGGGGTATCAAATGAGTATGTGGTTCCAAATACTCCAGGTATTTGGAAATGCAATGCAAAAAGACAAAAAGGAAAAAGAGAGACAGAGATAGGATGGGAGAGAGAAAGACAAGGTGCAAGCCAGACCAACGAGCCTGGGCACTCGGACACCGTTGTTTTTCCTAGCAGTGCTGTTGAGTCCTCCGCTTCGGTTTTGGCTTCATGGCCCAACCCGACAAGCAAGACCAGCCGGCACCGTTCTTGCGGCCCTCATCAAACACACTTCCAATGCCTTCCAGTAGCTTATGCTGTTCGCGACCCATTTCGATCTGAAGTTTCAGAAGCCACTGTTCCCATATCCAACCACCAAACAACCCAGTGACACTGGCGACATCGGTTGTACTACCGATTGGACCGTGGACCGCCTCGTACTCATCGATTTGACTCTTCACGCGAGGTTCAGGGGTCTCTCTAGGCACTTGGGGTTTGGTCGGCTCAGTACCCATGGGCAGGAACATCCAGGCACGCTTGGTGCCGACAAACCTTCCGTTTCGCAGGCGGCCGAGAAATTTCTTCGTAGGCGTTGGATCGTAGCCTCTATTCTTCAGGTTGAATGCGAATTCGACTGAGGTAGCCGAAGCGGATGGACCTGCCCGCGAAATTTCTGCATCCATGACAAAGAATTCCAATACACCGCCAGGCTTGAGGCAACGATAGCATTCCTTGAGACAAAGGTCATACTCGTCCTGATTTTCACCTGGCGGATGCTCTGTCTTCAGAAGGGCAGGGAGAGAGCGAGCGGAAATCACGTCAAACTTGTTGTCGGGGAAAGGCAGTTTCCAAAGGCATGAGACCGACAGCGGTTGGTGATTCGAGGGGCCTTTGATGCCTTGATTGACTGCCTGGTGTTCGGTGAACGCGGTGTAGACCTTGACATTGGGATAGTCATGAGCGAACTGCCATGCCCACTCGCAGGAAGCATGTCCTCCCAGATCCAAAACCCTAAGGCGACGGGTACCAGAGCCTTGCGGAGTCTTTGTGGACGTGGAGGGTCGTGAAAGGCGCTTTGCGGCGGGACTAGGAATTAAGCTACCACCATTGAGGTATCTCAGAGCGTCCATGGCCCACATAGATTGACTAATTTGGGAGAGGACCATTTGCTCTTTCTCCAGCATAGAAAACTGTGCCTTTTCCGACAGAACCGATGCGATCACCGAGTTGCGGGGAGCTTGTGAAAATGGCCCTTTGTAAGCTGGACGTTCGGGGCGGACGAGCTCGTAATTACCCAGCAAAGATCTGGTGTGGACATTTGTCAAACCAAGTCGAATAGATTGGACAGCGTCAAAACGTGTGTTGCGATGCACAAAAGTATCCCGATTGTTCGACTGCTGGCGAACGAACTGGAAGCCTCGCCAATAGATCGAGTCCTTGCTTGCCATGGCCGATGGCCCAGAGCTGGGTGCCTCGGGAACATCCTCGGCAAACCTGACGGATCTTTTTCGGCCGATTTGTTGAGCTTCCTCGGCGGCAGCGGCAGCAGCAGTATCTTTGTCAATCTCATGGTCATCAGGCCGAGCATTGACTTCGATATCTAGGGCGTTGACGGGATTGGTTTCACGAAGAGCAGCAAGATAGGAAGCCTGCGCGGCTAGCCAGACACTAGTTCTGTCTAGGCTAGCCATTGACTTCTTTTTTAGTTCGTTTTCGTAGTTCTCGTCTTGTTCGTCGTCTTCGCAAAAGGTCTCTGGCCTCACAATCTCATGCACTCCATCCACGCCATCACTGACTGGACTCTCCGGATGTTCCAGCGGCTCGCCGGCATTCTCAGAAGGGATCCGGATGGCAGTCGGTGGGTCGTATACAGCTGTCAGTTGCTCTTCGGTCAAACGTCGGTTGCACTCAACGACTTGTTCAACAACTTCCCCTTCGGTCCGGCCGAAAGGTAGGTTGTAAAAGTTTTCGGCAGTGGCCGACGTGGGAGGTCTATACCCCTTTGGAATCGACCAAGTGTGACGTGCTCGGGGTCCGAGAGAGGAGAAGAAACCACCGGGCGAGGGTATGCTGAGCCTACTGAAGCTGTATCCAGATATATCCGAAGCCGGAGTAGCGTCATCAGCGCTGCGAGGTCGCTCGGGGGTCTCGACCTGCCACATCTCTTGATTGCCCTCGGAAGTCTCTGACCAAGGATCTGGTGTCCCGTCAAGTGTAATGTGTCTCAATGTTGCCAGAGCATCTTCAGGGAGGAACAGTCCTCCGTCTGATGGCGTGTCCTCCCGCGCAGGTTCGAACGGGAAATGGCGTGAGGTTGGCGTATCTTGACCGGGAATTTGAGGAAATCTTCCCAAAACTTGCTGCCAATCCTCTTCGGCATTTTCGATTGCAATTTCGATGTTCTGGATATCAGAGTCGGACTCGGGATTTTGCATGTCCACATTCTCTGTCTCCTCGAGATCCGGCTGGACATGGATCTCCCGAGCGTTCCATTCACTGTCGGGAAGGGACTGCAGGTCTGGAGTCGCTGGAGCGCTGATGTTCGAGATCTGATCCGAGGAGATACTGCCATCTAGGGATGGTGGAGCATGCACGGCGGGTACCGAGTGACCTAGCATTGACAAGGCCGCTGGTGAGACCGGTATCTTCGGTGGCGGAGTGGGCGGAACCGGCGAGCTTTTAGGAGCACCGTTCAGTGACGAGAAGGTTGGCGACGGAATGGTGAGACTTGGATACCGCTTGCGACTAACTGGGGATACTATTGAATTCCTGGTCGTAGGGGTCGTGAGACTTGTCGGTCTGGAACTTGCAAATGATGTACAGTCGTCACTCATGTCTGAATCGTCATCAGTGGCATCGTACAAATCATCGAAATTCCGCATCTGATGTTGCCATTCCGTATCCGAACAAGACGATAAAGAACCCGTGGACAAAGGCGACCAAACACGATTCAGCCTTGAAGGCGGTTGAAGACCAGTGGTTCTTAGTTTCAATGGTGGCGCTCGACTGGTCGTGCGGGAAGGCGGAGGACTGGGTTCGGCCTTCTCTGAGAACTGAGCCTCGCGCGAGTCTTCAATGATGGTATTTAGTCTCGTCCCTCGGCCCTGCCGAGGAGGCGGACATCTAGCCAAACGAACAGACTCCGATGTCATGTTGACTTGATTATTGCCAATTAAGGAATCACCTCTTCCTTGACTGCGACTGCAAGACGAACAATCACCGAGTATCGCGGAACTAAACAAAGCTTCTAGGGGTATCTCGATCGCATTAGACGCCGGTCAACGGGGTCTAGGTATGTATAACTAAAACGACAGAAGACGGCCAAGCTACCAGAGCTTGAAGCACAAATACTCGAACAAAAACGAGGACAACACAAAGATCGCGCGCACAAATGGAGTAGGTGAAGAACAAGATCTCTCGAGTAGCGCCCGGCTCTGGTATATATCCCCCAGAGCGAAAAGAGGGGAGGGGTTGATCCGGAGGAAGCGCCTACCACACCAGCCATGATCCGTGCAGAAACTACTGCAACATGAGGTAGGAACCTTGGAAATGGAGCCAGTGCACACAGTGTCATTGGATGTGAACTTGTCGGCGCGTCGCCCGCGAGGCCCCAACCACTCTAACAGGTTCATTCGGAGTGACAACAGGCACAGGTTGCATGGAGATGATGCCAATCAGCGTGGAGGAGGACCTTTGCACCTGCAAAGAACCGCCGTCCACGAACGAGAGTGGTGTCGAGGGATGACAAGCGATCCGTGATTGGTAGACTGGAAGCGCCGGGCGGGCTATCTTTAGAAAGGAAGTTCCGGGGGGTGTCGACGATCGGTGCGATGGTCAAGCACACCCTGAGTTCCCCTCAACAACGCTCTGCGCCTAGAAAAAGACCTGAGGTGAATGCCGTTGTCGCATTCCGTCGGTGAGGACAATGAGCAAGGGCAAATCAAAGAGGGATAGATTGCTTCCCCAATTCTTGCCACATTATCTCATGGATTGACTTAGTTGACCTGTCGGCAGCGTCAGGAAAGACGAAAAAGGGCATTCCGAGCGTAATGCCGCCCAACAGACGGGCGACATGGTCAGCCGACCAGCACATCGGAAATTGAGCGGATGAATTGGCATTGTTCTGCGGTGCTGAGAGCCTGAGAGCGCCGCGAGTCCAAGTCCTCAAGGACAAACACCAATCCGACTGAAGAGGCGGGAGGAATCCGATTCCCGTGACCCGGCCGACAAGGGACTAGCTTGAGGCCTCGACCCGACCGGAGAGCAGATTCAGGCACCTACTACTGTACTCAGCACGGCTTGACCCACGTGAAGGTCTTGGCCCTAGCCCTTATCGTCTATGCAAGCTTTCCTATTCTGGCGATCCGGACTGACGTCGACCGGCGACTGGCGGTGATATCAATGGCCGCTTAAATTTGCCCTTGGATGGAGTACGCTGTATTGCGTTCCACTCTGGTCTCCATCCTCCTTTGTTGTTCACACATTTCCCTTTTCTGAGTCATTGGTACATAAGTCGTCATCGCTGCTCCTGTCTTCTCTTCCGCTCCCTTCCCCCCACTTCATCCACTTCCGGCCGTTGCAACATCCGTACAGTGTACAGAACCTCACTTCATTCTATACAATCGTCCGACTCGACCCTTTGCCATGTCTCCTCCTGCCATTATAGCTCCTTCTATTCTCAGCGCGGACTTCGCGACTCTGGGCAGCGAATGCTCGACGAAAATCGAGCAAGGGTCCGATTGGCTCCATGTTGACATCATGGACGGCCACTTCGTTCCCAACATCACCTTCGGAGCTCCCGTCGTCACCAAGATTCGCTCTCATGTCGCCCGCCCTACGGAACCGAATGGAAAGGGTACTTTCGACTGCCACATGATGATCATGGAGGTGAGACGCCCCGTTCCATACGATCCGCGAGTCGCCGCGTGGTTCCTCGCGACATAAGCATCCGCGCATTCCGTTCGGGTCAATAGGGAACATCGTCGCTAACCATTTCATCATGATATATAGCCGCATAAATGGGTCAAGGACTTCAAGGACGCCGGCTGCGATCTCTACTGCTTTCACTACGAAGCGGCCGTCTCGTCCGTGGCCGCCACCTCGCCCGCCGATTCGACCACCACCCGCCAAACGAGCCCCAAGGAACTGATCCGCTACATTCACGACGAGGGTATGCAAGCTGGTATTGCCATCAAGCCCGACACGCCGGTGGATGTGCTGTGGGATATCCTAGAAGCCAAGGATGAGAAGGAGCGTCCGGATGTAAGTGCCATCACCGCCGGGATTTTCCCATGTCTGTGACCTGACCTGACTCTTTTGTTCTTTTAATAGATGGTCCTTGTCATGACGGTATACCCTGGCTTTGGTGGCCAGAAGTTCATGGCCTCCGAACTGCCCAAGGTCCAGGCCTTGCGCGAGCGCTACCCCAACCTGAACATCGAGGTCGACGGAGGCCTGGGAATCGGCACCGTGGACCAGGCTGCGGATGCCGGTGCCAACGTTATCGTCGCTGGTTCGGCTGTTTTTGGTGCCCAGGATCCTGCCGACGTCATCGCGAAACTCCGCGAGGCCGTCGACAGCCGTCGGAAGGAGGAAAAGCTGTGAGCAAAAGGGGATATATACCTTCATATGATTCGGTTCTTTTGCGATTTACTTTATTATAATGTCCCATTTTCTTTTCTCTACCTCAAATCATTGGAGCATGTGATGGCCAAAAGAAAAAGAGACGGAAAGACTACGTTAGTAATTTAATGCGGTTACGGTTGACGAGTTTACTGCTCATAGATCCCCAGCAAAAAAGCTACAATATAAATAAATTAACAGAAACACCTAAATAAATACATGCGAACCCGCAAAGTTCCTCGAATTAGGTACTAAAGAACACTCAACTGGTATCTTTACAAACAAAGGAAAAGCCAAATGAAACAAGTGTGATGTCATGTCGTGTTCGTCATCCCGACAGCACAGCTGACCAGGGTTATGCAACACAGACAACCCGGATTAATTCCCACCGCTAGCGGCTGCCTGGAGTTGGTGGTAATGATTGTCAAAATCATCCTGATTAAGTTGATTCTTGTTTCTTGGCTTCCGTATCCTTGACGTCGGGTCCATCTTCGATTGCGGGCTCCTCCTCGATAGGTTCATCCTGAGCAGCACCCTGCTCCGCCTTCTCCTTCTTCAGGGCATCAAGAATCTCTTGACGACCGCCAGAGATGGACTTGCGCAAGTCCTGCTTGACCTTTTCCTGCTCTTCGGGGGACGTGGCCGAAATTATGGAGCCACGGTGGTGTTCCACCAACCCTAGAGCTTGGGCGTTATCAGCATGAATGTTGGCAGACGAGACCGCAGCAACCTCTGGTATGATGAGAGGCGGACGCTTCAGGTTTTCCGCATCTTCAGGAACCAATGATTTCCGACGTACTGAGTCTCCGCCATCTTCTTTCTTGTCTGTGCTGGCGGCGGCGGCAGGGGCAGGGGCAGGCGGCTGCGGGCTGGGTTCTCCCGTGGCTGCGGGAGCCTTCTCGGGCTTCGCGCTGTTCTCCTTGGCCTTGGAAGCCGCCTCCTCGCTGGCCTGGCGCAATGCAACAGTGATGGAGTCATCCTTCTGCGCTTCCTTAGCAGGAGGGTTCTGGATCTTGATCGTGCTCTGCTTCGGAGCGGCCGAATCGGGGGTGGGGGTGGATGTGGCGGAGGGCGTGTCGGTGGGAGCTGGGTAGCTGGTGGCAGGCATACTGTCGAAGTCTTCGACGCTGTTCACCTGCATCCTCAGCTCACCGTACTCGTTCCATTCTTCGATTTCCTCTAGATCCTACAGAACAATGCGCTATTAGCGGACACCCCAACAAGCTACGTGAAACAGGAATCAAGGGGGAGGGGGACAGAATATAGCGCGTGGTTGAGATAACCCCTGCGCCGGTAACTATCCCCTGCCACGATGGAGAAAGGGGGGAAGAAGACATACGCCGACCACGGTGCCGAATTTCACCAAACCCGGCAATTTCTTGCCCTTGGAGCGACGACCCCAGAGCTTACGAGCTGCATCGTCGGTGGCGACGTCAATTGCGCGAAACGGGAGCTTGTTGGCCTTCAGGATGGTCTCCAATCGTGCAGTGGCGGTGACGATGTGGGATGACCCCGCAGTAAGGGAGGTGTAGAGGTAGAGGGTCGAGTCGGACATGACGAGAGATGAATTAAAACAAGAGATTCTAAGATGAACTCGTTTAGAGTGAAGACCGATCACAGAACAGATGCGGTGAAGAGACGATCATCCAGATGAGTTGGATGGAGATGAAATATGCCTGCGCAGTTTCGGATTTTCTCCAATTTCCCTCCTTTCTTATTTTTTTTGTTCCCTGCAGCTTTCTGGAATGGGGAAATCATTCGCAGGTATGACGTGGCGGCTTTGAAGGGGGGGGGCCCACGCGGTGTCACGTGTTTCGCGGACAGAGGGGTCGTACGATCTTAGACAAGCCGATGGGCGGTGACGGTGAACTATGAATTGTTCTGCACCAGTTCTAGGAGCGAGGGATAACGCCCTGTTGCAATGATTATTATATACTCTTGGGGCTCCTTATGTCATTGTCCTGGTTTTGGATGCCTCTCTCTGCGCGGTTCTTGTATCTTTGGGCGCCAACCATGCGTGGCAATCTGACGTCAAGTGGATTATATCGCCCACTCAGAGTGTTCCCAGTCTTCAACCTCCTGTCACTGACACAAGTTCGAGCATCTTGACTGGGCAGAATTACCTAACCAGCGGATATATCATCTTAACTGTACCAATTGGAATGGTTGATGTCATTGGCTTTGTCTATCGATTCTGCAGGGTGATCTTTCTCTCGGTTCGGGTTCCCTTATGCCAGTCTCTGTTGCTCGAGCCTATCCAAAATTGGAACTAAAGATCAGATGGGCAGCCATAGAAAGACAACTCAAGATGAAACGCCCCCAGCCCGAGTCATCGTGCCCAGGTTCCAATCGATATCAATGTCGTGACACAGCTGATGTCCTGTGAGGGGTAAAGGCACCCCTGTCCAGGCTAATTGGCTAGTGCTGTGCGGCTGGGTGCGCAGCAAACAGCCCGATTCCCTTAAGACTTCTCTGGTGTGGTTCATCATCCAACTTCAGCGCTTGAGAGCACTCCCATCTCACCGACAAGAGCAAAGCGGGCTTTGCACATATCATCGCTGTGTATCATTACTGTATTTTGCTTTCTGCTGAAATGCGCCCACAAAGCCGGAACGATTTTGCGATCGCGATTATCTGCGCCCTTACTTTGGAGGCAGACGCCGTCGAAGCCCTATTTGATGAAACCTATGACCGGTTAGGAAGGTTCTATAAGAAACAGCCAGGCGATGCAAACTGGTACATCAATGGAAGGATCGGGGAACATAATGTGGTTCTGTGCTATCTGCCGGGAATGGGAAAAAGGGGCGCGGCAAGTGTTGCTTCAAGCCTGCGAGTCAGCTATACCAAGATCCAGCTTGCTTTAGTTGTTGGTATATGCGGAGGAGCCCCGATGCCATCACGCGACGAAGAGATATTCCTCGGTGATGTCATCATCAGCGACACAGTGATCGAATATGATTTTGGCAGACAGTATCCCGGTGGATATCGACGAAAGACTGGAGTAAAAGAAACGCTCGGCCGGCCCGATCGGGAAATTCGGACTCTCCTCAACGGTCTAAAGGCTGATTATTCCCGCCCTGAACTCCAGCGTCAGACATTACACTACCTTAACATGCTTCAAGGGAAAGAGGACGCAGAGAGACCAAACAGAGATAAATGGCTACATCCTGGAATTGATGATGTGCTTTTTCGTGTCGGGTATCTTCACCAGCATCGAGGAAAACCAGTTCCTTGTGGATGCTACAGTTCACAGAGCAGCTCGTCAGATGAGATCTGTGAAGGTGCTTTGCAGCTGAAGTGTGGTGATCTTGGTTGCGACAAAACCCAAGTTATCCGCCGTCGACAGGTGTCGGACCATGCCTCAGCTTCTGTACACATTGGAACCATCGGTTCTGCTGACACAGTGATGAAGTCCGGGCAACACCGTGATGAAATCATGAGAACCGAGAAGGTTATTGGTTTCGAAATGGAGGGGGCGGGGGTATGGGATAACCTCCCCTGTATTATTATCAAGGGGGTGTGCGACTACGCGGACAGCCATAAAAGCACATCATGGCAAGCATATGCAGCAGCAACAGGAGCTTCTGCGGCCAAGGCTTTCTTAGAGTACTGGCCTAGCTACAGAGAAGGTTAGTGAAAAAAAAAAAAAAAAAAAAAAAAAAAAAAAAAAAAAACTTCCAAAATACGATACTATACTAAACTTCTATTGTCCATTCTTAGATCCAACCAAAAAAGCGCATGTGATGATCCCATTCAGGAGAAATCACCGTTTTGTGGGCCGGCAGCAGGAACTTCAAAATGCAGAAAGACTGATGTCCATGCCTAATGGACAGAGGAAGCTTGCTATTTTCGGATTGGGTGGCGTAGGGAAAACCCAGGTAGCCCTTGAGCTAGCCTACCGCATGCAAGACAGAGACGCTGAATGCTCAATATTCTGGATTCCCTGTACTAGCCATGAGGCTGTTCAACAGGCCTGCATAGAGATTGCTGAGATGGTCGGGATCCAGATCACGGAGCCAGCAGAGGCAAAGGGTGGCATCAAAACTTACCTCACCCAACAGAAGGGCAAGTGGCTTCTGATCTTCGACAACGCAGATGAGATGAACATGTGGGACAAGGGAAGCAATACTACCACACCGCTGAAAGACTTTCTTCCTTATACTGATCAAGGTCAAATTATTTTCACCACTCGGAATCGGAAGGTAGCCGTACAACTGGCATCCTCTGATGTGATACACGTCCGCGAGCTCGATGAAAACGCTGGGTTAGAATTTCTGGAGAATTCGCTCATTAGGAAAAGTCTCCTGAACGACAGCAATGCGGCAATTACATTTCTCGAACAGCTTACCTTTCTTCCATTAGCTATTGCCCAGGCTACAGCGTATATCAACGAAAACGACCTGATGGCATTCTCGATTTACTTGCGTCTTCTCCAAAAACAAGAGGCAGAAGCTGTCCAGTTACTAAGCAGAGACTTTGGTGACGATGGACGCTATGAGGGTATCCAAAATCCGATAGCAAAGACGTGGTTGATTTCATTTCATCAAGTCCAAAAGCTTGACCCGCGTGCAGCCGAATATCTATCGCTCATGGCTTGCGTTGATTCACGTAACATCCCTCGGTCTCTTCTACCACAACCAACATCTGAACTGGAAATGATTGAATCCCTTGGCCTGTTGAGCGCTTACTCATTCATTACTATTCAACCCGAAAATGACCTCATAACTCTCCATCGCCTGGTACATCTCGCGACTCGAAACTGGTTGAAAAAAGAATCACAGTTCCCATTCTATGTAACTAGAGCAGCGGAGCGGTTGGATGAGGTGTTTCCACATAATGATCATGTCAACCGACAGATTTGGAGGGAATACTTGCCCCACGCCCTGTTCTTATTGAACGAGTCTGAGTTCCAAAGGCAAGAAGGCAAATATACCGACTACATACGAAGAGTCGGAACCTGCTTAGAAAGAGATGGGAGATACAATGAAGCAGAAAGGCTGTTCGTGCAGGTGATAGAGACCTGGAAACAGGTGCTGGGGCCAGAGCACCCTAACACTCTGATCAACATGGGCAACCTTGCGTTAACATATCTAAACCAAGGACGATGGAAGGAAGCAGAAGAGTTAGAGGTGCAGGCAATAAAGACCTGGAAACAAGTGCTAGGGCTAAAACATTACAATACTCTGGCCAGCATGACCTGCCTAGCATTGATATACTGGTATCAAGGACGATGGAAAGAAGCTGAAAAGCTAAATATGCAGGTGATAAAAATCTCAAAACAGGTGCTAGGGCCAGAACATCCCAACACTCTGACCAGCATGGGCAATCTTGCATTGTCATACAAGAGTCAAGGACGATGGAAAGAAGCTGAAGAGCTAGAGGTGCAACTGATGGGGACCCGGAAACAGGTGCTAGGGCCAGAGCATCCTAGCACTCTGATCAGTATGGGCAATCTTGCGTCAACATATCTCAACCAAGGACGATGGAAAGAAGCTGAAAAGCTAAATGTGCAGGTGATAGAGATCTCAAAACAGATGCTAGGGCCAGAACATCCCGACACTCTGAACAGCTTGGGCTACCTTGCATTGTCATACAAGAGCCAAGGACGATGGAAAGAAGCTGAAGAGCTAGAGGTGCCTCTAATGGAGACCTGGAAACAGATGCTAGGGCTAGAACATCCTAATACTCTGACTAGTATGTCTTGCCTTGCGTCAACATATCTAGGCCAAAAACGATGGAAGGAAGCAGAAGAGCTACAGATACAGGTAACAGAGGTCTCAAAACAGGTGTTAGGACCAGAGCATCCTAACACTCTGACCAGCATGCACAACTTTGCTTGTACTTTGAGGTTTCGCGACGATACTCAGGCCGCTATAGCTCTGATGGACAAATGTGTTGAGCTCCGCTACAAAGTATTAGGTCCTGAACACGCAGATTATGTGTCTTCATCCGACGCCCTTAGGACCTGGAAAGCAGAAATCCCTGTCAGAGGGGCTAAACGGCAAGCTTTTATTAACTTTTTCCGAAAACGATGAACTAATTTGAGTGCCCTATACTCTGATGGACCATCGAGAATAACAATGCAAAGAGAAAGAAAGCTTGGCCGAACTTATCAGATTTCCAAGGGTGCTAGTACAATATCATGATACAAAGGGCTGGCAACGATTTCAGACCGCTTACCGCTCTGCACGTGCCCCTGCACATTCTGCTACTTTTCACCGAAGCTTCAAGAATGCCGTGTTATATCCTTGAGTTGATACATCCCGAGATAGCTCACATTCATGTTCAGTCATCTCACAACTGCATGTTACACCGATGATGATATAGCAGTCGTCTCCCCAGCTCGTAAACAGTCAAGGACATTGGATTCCAAAAGACGGTCAGAGGTCGACATTCGAACCTGTCGAATACGACCCGCTACCACGACACTGACAGTATGGAACCTCAGTGTAGATCTGATACGTTTCTGGTTCTCTGTTGCTGTCTCAGAAGCCACGCTACTCGTCAAATGAAGTACATGTTTATTTGTCTCCAGTTAAAGGATTTGTGGGCTTCACATAATTGGACAATAATACTGATCTCCTTACAGGACAGAGTACTCCGTACGCAATACGAAGTGACCTTCTTAACACAAGGAAGTGATTTCCACCAGGACTGCCTAGGCCAAATCTTCCACCGGTTTCTGCTGCATGCCGGCATGAACCTGCTAGTATCGACAAAAGAAGCGTATTGAGTCTTACCGTTCATTCCTTGGGAGGTTCTTGCCCAGTGTCCGCAGCGCATTGCATCTGAAACCGCGACTGAGCTAGCAACGCAGGCTGCCTCTATCTATCACTTTGCACTTATGTCTCCTAGAAGTTCGATCATTGCTCGGGCCTGAGACATGGGTCATTCATGCAGGCGTCGCTCGACTTATCGGAGGTCACCACATCGAGCACACCCCAGGACACGCTTCAGGGCATGCGTTGTATATGCTCCGGATCTGGAATCGGTGATCCGCACTTGTGACTAACTTCTTGCCCGCAATGCATCCGACTCCCATGAGCTGGTCAATGCGGTCATTCCTCCGGTCGCGTTTACATTCGCCATTCTGGGCATGGGGATGATGGTCACCGCTGTAGAATCGACGGCCCTAGCGGTGGTGGATCAGTCGGTCTATATCGAACGGGATCATCCCGTGGCGGTGAGCATGCATGTACACCGTGTAGACACATGCTGAGTAGAGCCGGGAAGAGCGGGTTCTATCGTCTCTTACGGGCTACGGGCTCGTAGTTGTTGATCTGTGCTTCAATGTTAGTATTGTCGTGGTAAGAATTCTATACATACGAACGCATGTCGTAGCCTCGGGGGGTTGACTCTTGGTTCTAGTATGTTTCTTCTTCCTCGATGTCGCCAGTGCATTAAAGAAAGCAAAACATCGTGGACTCAGATGGCATCGGCACCGAGATAGAGAATAGGCTCACTGGTCTGGTGTTTATGACACTCGCAGTTTCTATGCTTGTACCAGGCTAACACTTCGATCCTGAGACCCTAGTGTGACTGACTATATCGCAGTCCTACATATCATACATCCCAAACGAACAATCTGAAGAAAGTCCCTTGAATACTTCATGGGTGAGAGGAGGACTTTCCTACCACGCCACGGAGCCTCGACTACACTATTAGAGTACCCTACCCATATTCCAGTCTCCGGACAAACACATTCACGTATAAACAGTTGTTATAGTCAGGGAGGCTCTAGTGCTTTTTCCGTAGCGACGCTACTGGTGGTCTTTGATTCCCATGCAGGCAGGTCCAGTACCTACATACCTACGAACACATCTCCCTGCCTGAGGCAAACTTCTCAAACAGATCACCAGACACCACGTCCAGGGTACAAACAACATACAGCAACATGGAGAGTACGTACAGCACACATACAATGAACCGAAATGTTTGACATGATAGAAACACTGCAACACCAAACGCCCGAAATCGCCCAGTCCCGAATCTAGATCCCACCGCGCCAAGTCTGACGCCCGACATGAATCCCCCAAGAATATATTCCGCGATCGTGAAGCACCGAAGTTAGGGTCTGAGCACACTCCCATCGGCATAACGCACCAATCAAGTAACACCAACACCGTTTGAACCCCATGCCATTAACATGAGCCATTTTCTGAATTCCTACATTTAGCAGAAACTCGAGTAGATAGGAATCCAGGTAAGCCGCGAGCGGCAAACGAGTAACTACACCGCCGCGTCATCGGGCACGTCGCTATGAACGAACAGAAGAAAGACAGATATACTACTACAATGGTAATGACTCAAAGCGCCTCCGTGCTGGTTTTAGAAATCCGTATATACTGGCCAGGAGAGTTTTTTGGGAGCAAAGCGATGACCCCGGGTACACTTGGCTTTCAGCCTGGCGCTCATTCTGCTGTGCCGAAGAGTGTGGTGGCTGAGGGTGATGGAGAGGTTAATTGGTAGATGTTGCATGCTGCCTGAGAGCTGAGAGGGTTTATCTTTTTTTATTTATATTTTCTTATGTGAAACCTGTTCTGTTGCTGCGTCCGTGGCCTATAATCTACGGAGGATATTCTTTTGTTCAGGGCAATTCAGGGCACAAACATGGTTAGTCAGCGAGGGGATAACAAAAAAAAAAAAAAAAAAAAAAAAGCGGGATAAACGTTGAAAGAGGGAAATAAAATGCCCAAGGCAAACGAGAGAAAAAGAAAGAAAGATGGTGGTCAGAACGGGGCGTCGGCACAGCCTTGGTCGGTCAGGCTCTACCTACCTCTTACCCGCGGGCTTGGGTTCGGTTATTATGATTATTATGGTGATGACGAGAGGTAGTAGCACCACCTCGTTTATCCCGTTATCAAGCATCACGATATCGACAGACTACATTTGCCCGGGCACAGGCAGACAAGAGTGTCAGATGCTCAGATCGCATTTGCTTTCTGAGCCGTTTCCTCATGACACGGATGGATGGAGGTAAGGCAGACACAGACGGAGATTGGGCACGGCTGGAAGGGGCAGTAGGTACTAACTACTACTGTCATGATTATAGCACTCGAGATCTTTGACCCGGAAGTTCTGACGTCGACGGTGATTGACACTGTCTGGTAGATCGATTTAGAACTGTTCATGTAGGTGGATGTGGTAACGGGGATTCTTGACCGTCGCCAGTCGAAACCCCGCCAATCAGTAGGGACGAGTTTCCTTATTTTCTCTCGAGTCGATCGCTTTAACCCCGTATGTACAGACTGTGTACATACGGAGTATGTCGTCGCTGTACGTGGATTCTTTCCCCGAACGCATCTCGTCATTCAGTTCCTTTCTCTTCCTTTGTTTTCCACATTCCAATTTTGTTGATTCCGATATTATTCATTTTTGCCCTTACTCTCCCCCCAGTCCAATCCTTCTCAATCTCCCAACGGAACTCTAACCTTCCAAGAAGCCTAAACCCTTTACGAATGTGCCCAGTTGCATAGAATCACAGATAGCGTGCATTAGCGGTCCCATGTTTGGAAGATCCTCAGCCTATCATTCTGCCGTGTCAGGGACACTCGGCGATCACGCTTATCTAGCGGTCCCACTCAGCAACGCCGTTCCCCCTCCATTTGTCGAAAGGAAGTACTTTTTCAAGGGACCTTTCTGGCTTTCTGGAACGCATACCGCGCGGATGTCTATTTTTGTGACGGATTTGTAGCCAAATGGGTGTCGTGTCGGTAGTTTGTACCTTACATCGGGTTTTCCCCTCTCATCCTGTAGGCAGAAAAGAATGGGATTGGGTTGACCTGGACAAAGTTGATTGTACAGAACAATCGAGGGGATTGACAATATTGGATGGAAGGTCAGCTGATGGGCTAACGTACCTAAATTGTTGATACTACACGATGGGTGTGAAGTGTGAACAGAAGGCTGAGGAGGGACGGATGATCTCCTACCTAGCGACATTGAGTCATCGGCATTGTTGAAACATTAAAACTTGAAACGAACAGAGCGAATCATTCATGGTGCTCATCGTGACCATTCGAGTTAGTGGAGTCGGAGTACTACTGCGCAGACAGCAACTTTTCCATTGCGGAGTCGCCTTCTGGCTTCAGCGCGTTTCGCTCGGGGCTCGTCAATGGAGGGGTACTCGTTTCCATTATTGTTCTCAACTTTCCAATCCGAGCCAAAATTCCTGATCGTAAGGAGATTTGGTCTGAGCATGGACCAGGGACTCCGAACGGCGGACTTCTCCTCGGGACCCAGAACGAGCGTTTGCAATGGCTGGAAATTGAAGGGGCCGTTTTCTATTCCTCCCACAGTAAGACCCAGTTTGAAGTCGCTGGAATAACTTCCACCACTGTCCAGTAGGCCAGACATCATAGCCGCAATCCGGAACCACTCAAGACATAAACAGCGGTGACCTGGTTGTGGGTTGGCAGTGGATGCTGCCTGGGACGGATGAAACAACGGCGGAGTGAAAGGTTGACCGCTGGAAATTCGGCAAGCGCTTCTGCCACCGAAATAACTGACCCACGAAGAAGAGCGAGACTCCTCTGCGCTCCATACCGTTGCGTTCTTTGGTGTCGTATCCGCACTCCGAGTGAGGGCCGATGGCTCGATAGGATAGAAAGAGGGCCCCGCCAAGACGGCCAACTGTTCATCCACCCGAAACGGGAAAGAATGCACGTGATTTCACGTGACGTTTGCGCTTGGCCTATTCGAGTCGGTCCCCACCGCGTCCGCAAATGATCGAATCCAGCGTCGATAGTGTCAAGATCGTCCTTCCACCGCCAGCAATGGGGGGCACCGCCATTAACAGATCGGGAAATCTAGCAGAATTTCCCTGTGACGGGCAACCCCTCGCCGAAAGAGCGAACTGAAAGGGTATCAACAGCAACAACAACACCAACAGCAACAGCTATCCTTTGTTCAACCAGATCGGGAGTCTGGGCGGCCACGCGCAGAATAGTCGAACCTTGGGAACCTTCCGCGTGGTACCGTAGGCTCGTTCCGGGGGAGGTATGTAGGTTATTGTTACTGTTGCTCTTACGACGTGAGAAGCTCTATCATCTGCAGGGAACAGAAGAAGCTGGGGACGACCCCAAACCAAGCAAATTTATTCTGATCGGACAGAGGCGTGACGAGGTAACTTGCATGATTTGGGGGCTCTCGCTAGAGTCGACACCCATAGGGCCATATTTGTTAAAGAGATGATATGGCATCAACCAACAAAGACAAGATCAGTCTTGCAAACGGAGGTGCCGTCGTCATCTACAAGAACTTGGACGAGGTCATTTTTTTGACGGAGGATGGGAAAGGTCAGTCCACATAGTTAGCAGGTGGTCGTGACTATGAGGGGCCGAGACCACCAGATCGGGTGTAGCCCAAACGACGTGGCAGATTTCGAGTCGAGGGGGGAAGATTCAGCTGAGTCCCGAAGTACGGTAGCTTGTGCTTGGGTGTCAAGCACCGCTAAAAGGATAGCTTGTAGCACGCTGTCTCCTTAGACCGTGAGTGTTCCAAGTGTGAAGACTAAGGCATGCCGCTGTAGGCGCCTGAAGGGGAAGAAGCAGGTCACTGTCTCTTTCAGCAGGAGGGAGTACGTCATTCTTCCTTTCCCTTCTGGGCCTACCTAACAGAGCACTTACCTAATAATAGCACCAACACGGCTCGTACTCAACCGTAAGGAAAGCGGATGACTGATCCAGGAAGATCCAACACATCGACCCGGGATTTTCTCTTGCTTGGTGCGGGTGCCGGTCGGCGCAATCCGTTTCGCTGCCTCACTTTGGGGCTCACGCCGTGTTCCTTTGCTTCTGTTGTCTCCGTAAATGCCCATCCGTTTGTGGTGTAGGCTACATTCGGAGCTTGGGTCGACCAGTCAGGGTGTCACCTTTCCCCTATCATGCCCCCCCCCTCCCTCCTCTTCCAGCTTCTCTTCGGCTTCCTTTTCTGGACGGATGAATGGAATTTTATCAGGTGAAATTTCGTGGTTAATTTGGATTTCACACTCAGAGTATTTTTATTCGATTCCGTGCGTAGATTCCCGGTTATTGGTGGTCGGGTCTGTGTCTTTTCTTGGACAACTGTGAAATTACCTGTCCACTTTCTATACGGTAGACCCTTACGAAATAGGAAAGCATTTGCTGGACACCTTTGAGACCCTTTTGGCTGCCCTAGGCTTGGACTCTTCTTCGGCGTTCAGCGTTCAGACACTATTCCGTATTCCGTAGACGATGGCAGAGGGACGGCCCAAAGGTAGAATAAATTAGGATAAAATAACGAAAAATCAGATAATTGTGGAATTAATTTTATTTTCTTGTTTTGACGGGAGAGTGAAATATTATTTTCCCAGAGAAATAAAATAAAATAAAACGAAATAAAACAAAAATGGAAGAAAAGAAAAGCAAAAGAAAAAGCGGGCAAAAATCGCTGACCAGTGGCCACCCCCCGACCGACACGACGAAAAGGTTCCAGACCTTCTTCTTCCATCCTGGTCCACGATGAATGAGGATGGGACCCAATCCTTCTTTCCATCTCACAGACCGTCTGCTTTCCCCCACCCCGGTCGTTTCCCAAGTTTCAACTTCCATGAACTACTGCAGCTGCTGCTAAACCCAACAGGTTGCTTGACTGTTGTTTCCGACGGATCTTTTGTTCTCGTTCCTATTCTCTCCCCCATACTTGCGGACCCCCCTCTTTCCTCTCACACACCTCTTATGCAATCCGGACCATTTGACCAAGCCAGGCTGTGGGGATAACTACTCCTAGTATAACTATTCCCCCATTAAATTGATATCTCCCGCCCTCCTCCCTCCCCCTCGTTCATTCATCTCTCTCAACTATCTTATCGCGATCCTGTCCTGACAGATTCATATTTCTCCTCTCCCTCTCTCCGTCTCTATATCTATATTTCTCCCTCGCATCTTCCTATTTCCCTCACATTTCTATCTTGCCTACTTTTTGTTCTCAATCCCCTCATTTCTGGTGTGTCATCCGCGCAACCTTACCCTCCTGCTGTACACCCACCGAAAAAACCACTGCCGTCGCGGGAACAATCTTGACCCTCCAGTCAGTCCTTCCTCCTGTCTTTTCTTTTCTTTCCTTTCCTTTCTTATTTTTTTTTTCTCTCTCCGCCCCTTCTCACGTCCTCGTGGCCACTGTTTTCTTTGTGGTTTTCACTGGATGGCAATACTGATATGATTGCGATAGAGATCCACTTCTCCCACCAGACCCCCCTATATAGTCATTTGGTACTGATAGCAGCTCTATCCTTATCGCTCGCCTCACACGGGAGAGGCACCATTCAAAGGATATCTAAAATGGCTGTCACCATGGCCGATGACGAACTCTTCACACGGGCCATTTCTGGGTATCGGGACGCTTTTTTGGTTCAGCACTCCCACCTTCCGGAATCAGAGCGAAACCAACTTTGGGGCCAACGGCTAAGTCAGTTCATACCGGCAACGGCATCCTCTTCCCTCAACAGCTACCGTCCGGTCTCCGGCTCTGGCATCCTTGAAAATGGCGCTTCAACAACTCTCGAGAAATCTGGGAAACGGGCTCGACAGGATACTCCCCGGACTCTACCTGGTTCTGGTCTTCCTCCGACGAAACGACGAGTCACCGTATGTGATCCATCTTGGTCTTCTGATCCCGCCTCTCCTCCACCTTACCACCCATCTTGTTCCTCCCGCGCTCTTGCATTCCCTTCTTCCTTGCTCTCCCGCCGGCAACCAGTCCCTGGATTGACAATTGGCAGACTCCGGATCCCCCGGTGACCGTTGATCTGACGCGCGAGTTGTCTCACGCGTCCTCTCCGGCAGCTCCACAGACGGCTCAGCACCTATCGAGGTCGAATTCTCGCAAGGACGGCTCGTCCGGTTTCTCGGGTCCTGGGTCCTCCCGACACACGACCATGGTCCGTTCGCAGAGCCAACAGACTCCGGTGTCTCACCGGCCTTCGCTGGCTTCCAACATGACGGGACATCGACACTCCTATGGACCTTCGCGCGCCCAACGCCGCCTTGACCACGTTAGCGAGTATTCTCCATCAGAATACGCCAAGCAGTACTTGGACGACCACCAGGCTCAACAACGGGGTGCTTCGGTACTCTCCATGGCACTCTCTGCGGACTCGACATCGAATGGACTCGATCAACAACCCTCCCGCCAATCCCCCAATCAGCAGTACCAGGGACCTTCCGCGCTGACATCCGGCCTGATGGGGATGGGACATCCTTCGTTGGCCGACCAGGCTGCCACGGGCGCTGTTGACATGAGTAGGAGCACCACTACCGATTCGATATGTGGTGGCATCGGCATGATGCGATTTGATTCTTCGGGGCCAAATCTCGACCCCAATTTCTCTTTCCCCTACCCTTCGTCTGATTTTGTTTCGTCCACCTCCCCTATGAACGTCCCCTTTTCCACCTTTACATCCATGCAACGGGATCTTGATCCTGTCACCTTCCCCTTCGCTGAATCTTCCGCTCCTCCCGCATTCTCCTGCTCTGCCCCCTCTGCCACGACTTTCCCCCAACAACCCATCTCTACCCTACCACTCTCTCCCGCCGTGGAGATGAAGCATTCCATGTCCGCCGAAAGCAATAGTTCCTCCTTCTCCCAGCCGTCTAGAGCGGCTCGAAGAACCCAAGAACAAATTGTGCAGGGCGCTCGACCCATCGCCCCCAAGGTGGAGTCGAGCGGTTCTCAACCTAAAGCGGCTGAGCAACACAAGATGATCCGCATCTCATCCTCCGACGGGACAGCCAAGGAGGTGGCAGCCATTCCCAAGGCATCGATTCAGCGGCCCCCACGTCCCAAGACATATTGTTCGATGTGTAACGACCAACCCGATGGCTTCCACGGGGAGCACGAGCTGCGTCGGCACATCGAGCGGGTGCACGCGGTGATTCGCAAGGTTTGGGTTTGCGTTGACATCTCTCCCGGCAAGACGTTCCTGGCCAACTGCAAAGCATGCCGGAATGGGAAGCGATACGGCGCGAATTACAACGCCGCCGCTCACTTGCGTCGGACTCATTTCAACCCTTGCCAGCGAGGCCGGGGTGGACGTGGGAAAGACAGTGAAAAGCGCGGCGGGAAGGGCGGTGGAAACCACCCGCCCATGGAAGTCCTGAAGCACTGGATGGTGCAGAAGGAGGAGATTGTCCTTGAAAATGCCCAGAACTATATTGACCAAGATGCAATCGGGGACGACCTGGCGGCAGCCCCGTCGTCGGTGCCCACCGAGGATGCGACGTTCCCGGGGTTGTCGTCAGCGCCGGCCGACGATATGCCCCAACATGGGTTGGAATCAACCATGATGACTGGGTACGATGCCTTTTCTGGTTTTCCCACGATGGGCCTGGATTCATCTCTTGATACTTCCTGTTATCTGGATGCTCAGCCTCTGGCTCCTGAGATTGATTCGTATGTGTGATCTATATAATCCTTTAGAACCTTTTCTTCCCCTTTGTTCTTTTCATTTGGTTTATTGCCAACTTCATGTTGATATATGGGATTTGTATTCTTTTTCTGGTTCGTTTTTTTTTTTCTTGTTATTTCCTTTGGACCCTTACATAATTTTCTTCTTCTCTTCTCTGTCATGCGGGTTTGACCCGCCTTTCTTCTCTTACTTTTACCCATTTCGTCTTCTTTCTCTTTATCTCTTCTCTTCTTTGTTGCTTTTTGACTTTTTCTTCTCTCTTCCCTTCTTCTCTTTTTTTCCCTTTCTATTTCTCTCTTCCATCGATTCTTCATTCTCGAATCTTTGCCTTTTGCCGCGCGCAAACTCACAGGGGTCGAAACAGCCGACCTCTGCGCCGCCTCAATCAAGGCGACATGGGACGACATAATGTGTGATGATGAACAGCCAAACAGTGAAACAGCCAGACTCCAGTGTTCTTTGTTCTTTTTTGCTCTCTTGAATATATTTGAATTGGTGAACGTCATTCTTTGACGGCAACGGCACTATCCCGGGGCACCCCTTGACTGGGACCCGATCGGGATGGCTCCTATCCGGCTCTGACCGGCAACGAATCCCTTGATAATTACCTACATTTTAGGTACTTAGTTGCTTTCACTACCTCCTACTTACCACCCAGGGCACACTGCAGAACGTACCTAGGACTGTAGGCCGCCAGACGGCACGCAACCCCAGCGCAGCTGAAGATGCAAGAACAGTGGGAGTGATAGGGCGCTGGTCATGCAATGAAGCCTACGAGGGAGGGCCTACCACGACGGTGTCTGCTTACTGATTGAAGATCAAGATCAAGAACAAGATGATGACGATGTCTGCTAACTCGTTGACTCGACGACCGCCACCGAGCGAGGCTGGTCGGTGGAGAAGGACGCCATCAGCGGGACTCGGGAATGCGGAAATCGGGTCTGTAGGGCAGGCCGGAGCTTTGTATTGTAATGAATGACCCTTGATGGGCTGGCTCGACTAATGAACCTCTGGGAAGTGCGGAGGGAGAAGATCGATATAACTGATATTGGGGACAGGTTACGGGAATAACATTCAGTTTTAGGAACTAGTTCAGGGTGACTAATTTTTTTCATCGAAACGACGGTGACGTAGAGGATCTGTCTTTTTCGTACGAGGGTACCGTACCGTCAGCCTGAGTTCTCGGGCATCGGCAGTTCAGCCTGAGGCTCGCAGAATCCACTCCAGAAAGGGAGGCGGTATAGCATAGAGTTACTTACAAGGGAAGAAAAAGAGAGAAAAGATAAAAATTTCTAATTCAAAAATGTTATAAATTGAAACTCACCAAACCAGGTCCCTAGTCCCACCTGAGATAGAGGCTTATGATTATACCGACGCTACGCAGCGATCCGGTCTCCTCTTTTTCTCCGCCCCTTTCGCTTTTGTCCCCCTAACGTCTTGTCCGGTTCTTCTTCTTACTCTTCTTCCCCCCCCCCCCTCTTTCCCAACTTTCATCTCCCTTTTCGATCCGTTCGAACTTGGCATTTCTTAGGTACGCTCTGCTCCCCTGTTATTGGCCCTGCTGCGTTTCCCACGAGCAACTCTTCCCCATCTGCCGACTCCCCATCGGAGATTGCTCTGAGTACACTCACTGACTGGTGCGACACCACATTTCTGCTGCAGCTGCCTCGCTATCCATCACCATGTCCCAGCCCTACTACAACGGCCCTCCTCCCCCTCCTCAGACGTAAGTGCTGCTGTTACAACCCACTCCATTTTCTCCCGACCGCCGATCTCTTTGCTTTAAGCTTGCTTTGCGCTGGGGCTCCGACAGAATGTCGCTGCTTGCAACGACAACGGCGGGCGAATTCTGAAAGGGCCAGACCTCGTCTTGGGTTGATCTCGTAACGGCGGAGACCACCCGGCTTTGTTCCTCATGAAGACAATGGGCTCACTAGGCTAACCCCCTACCGTCTATAGTTACCCTCCTCCCCCTCAGGGCTACCAATATCCTCCTCCTCAGGGTGGCTACGGATATCCTCCCCAGCAGGCTCCCCAGTACCCCCCCCAACCGGTACGTTGCGACCCGAGTGACTTGGCGACGAGAAATGCGATGCGCTGACAACAGACACAGCAAATGCAGTACCAGCAGCAACCGGCTCCCCAGAAGAAGGATCGCGGATGCCTGGGTGCTTGGTGAGTGCTCCGCCTGTCTTTTCCATCCTTGTGGCGCACGGAACTAATCATTTTTCTTTATTTCGCTAGTCTGGCCACCCTCTGCTGTTGTTTCCTCTGCGAAGAAACTTGCGAATGCTGTTTCGAGTGCATCGAATGCTGCGAGATGTGTTAAAGAAGCGATTGATACACGGGTCCGAGGTGGGCCACCAGCGTCAAAATGGGTATATGACCTCGATGATATGATGTATCGCATGCTGCTAGATCGCACGAGTCGATGGGCGGGCAGGCAATCCACCGGTACCTGCGAGCTTTTTCCTTTCTTTCGTGTCAATTTTCCTTTTATTTTTTCCTCTTTTTATCTTTACTTGGGGTTCTGTTCTGTTGGGTTTTCTTTCTAATCCTAGCTCCATGGAGTGGATTTTTCTTTGGTGTATGCCTCGGTATGATTTGAATTCAGGGACTACGGCTTTATCGCGAAAGACACGAAGCTGCACTAGCGGACAATAGGATTTTCATGCGCTTTTTGGGCCTTTTATACCAAGCTTTTTTAATCTGCAGCGAAGGAACAATGCAAGTGATATGCAGCACGACTTTCCAGCTGCGACCGGTCGCTTGGCAGGTGGCTTTGGCTCTTGCTAATCGGTCCAGCCCCGGGGTCGAAAAATCCATTGTTGCCTGGAAAAGGCACCACCTTTCCCTTTCTAAAGAGTTTGAGTTTTTTGTGTATCCGTTCACCATTGCGCCGTCAGCTCCATACTCAACTGACTAACCGCGGATCAATCGCGAATGGCCGTGCAAGATGCAAAAAGGCGTTCGTCGTCGGCCATGGAAGAACGTACCGGCGGATATTTGGTTGCCTGGTGGATGTGGGTCTCTCCCAACGCCGTGCTTCCCTCGTCTTCTCCCCGGAGTGCATCAGCCTTAACCAGTGGTCTTTTCTTTCCTTCTCTTTTTTCCCTAACTTTTTGCTTGGTGGACATCGGAATTGTTTCCGACAAAGCCCTATGGACCTATGGAACCATTGGCATTCCAAGTGGAGTCGGAGGTTCTGCAAGGCCAACCAGTAGGTTCCAGACCTTCTGAAGAACGCTCCACTGGACTGAACATGGGATTATACTAGTAGAGTAGTAAAATCGTTGCATGATTGACGGCAGACCTTCGTCATATCATATTTCTCGACGAAAACTCGCCGGATAAATTTCGGATGTCACCTGCATACTCACTCGTGGCATGCCGGAGAAATTAGCTCCATTGCAGGCCTGGAGATGCGGGGGAAGTCTCGAGCTTTTCCCTTCTTCGACATCGTCAAGCAACCAGCCCCAATGATGTGCCTGGAGATCCCGTCCCTCCTCGGCAAAGGCTTGGTGTGGCCTGCATCGTCCAAGGCCAATAACTGCCAGCGTCGGCTGAAATGGCTGTACCTCGTCAGTCTGCAATCTAGCCCTTCGTAACGTCATGCAATCCGGGCCAATTCTCGGAACAATTCCCTGTCACGCAAGGCTTGGGACGGTGTGTACCCTGTTCATCCCCCCCTCTGGACTTTTGCCAGAAGGAGAAACCGTGGGGATTCCGGTAGATTCTTCGGAGGGAGGCACCGACATTCGCTCGCTTGCTTCATGAGTTATCCCCTCTTTTACAAGGCGGACAAAAATGCGGAGGGCTCTTGGCCGTGGGGAGGGGGCAAACACAGCTACGGATGAGAAATGGACAGGCGATGCGAGGCATGCATATATAACCCGGTTGGGATCGTCCGGTTCTGCTGCAACCTTGTCAGTGACTGGGAATAAGATCGGCAGATTGCAGTGACCTTGAGCCCTGGTGTTTTGTGGAGTCATCGAGATGGTTCGCAAGTGTCTTCTGCTGTCGCTTTTGGCAGCCTGCAGTGCTGCAGTTAAGATCACGGTTGCCAAATCTGGTGGCAACGTTACTAGTGACCTGCAGTATGGCATCATGGAAGAGGTATTTTTATTCCGCCTATTCATGTAAGAGCATGGCCGACTGATTTTCCCAGGAAATCAACCATTGCGGTGAGGGAGGTCTGTACGCAGAATTGATTCGCAACCGTGCCTTTCAAGGAGGTTCTCGGTTTCCTTCCAATTTGGATGCTTGGATCCCCCTTGATGGAACGACCCTGGCCCTGAAGAACCTCAGTCAGCCCTTATCGTCGGCATTGCCAACCTCGGTGAATGTCAAAGGCAGCCGTGGAAAGGCCGGTCTAACTAACCTGGGCTGGTGGGGTATTGATGTGAAGAAACAGAAATACACCGGTTCATTCTTCGTGAAGGGGCAATACAAGGGATCCTTCACGGCATCTCTCCAGTCCAACTCCACGGGTGAAGTCTTTGCCAGCACCAAGGTCAAGTCCAAGAGCGTGCGCGGCGAGTGGACGCAGCATGAGTTCACTCTGACGCCTCGCAAGGCCGCGCCCAACACCAAGAACACATTCTCGATCAGCTTTGATGCATCTGTAAGTCCCCTCGTTAAATACGAAGGGCATTGCTGACTCGAGAAAAGAAAACAGCAGAGGGATCGCTCGACTTCAATCTCATTAGCCTGTTCCCTCCAACCTACAATGACCGACCTAATGGTCTTCGGAAGGACTTGATGCAGGCGATGGCAGACTTTGGCCCGGTAAGTCTGTCCTCAATATGGACCAGGATGATGGACTGATTAGAACCGTAGAAATTCCTGCGATTCCCCGGTGGAAACAACCTCGAGGGCGACTTTATTGCCGGCCGATGGAAGTGGAATGAGACCATCGGACCCTTAAAAGACCGTCCGGGCCGTGCCACCACCTGGAACTACCAGGAAAGTCTCGGGCTGGGATTGGTTGAGTACATGGAATGGTGCGACGATCTAGGAATCGAGCCGAGTAAGTCAGATCCTGCTTCCTGAGCCGTCGACAGCAGGCTTATCTCAACAATTCTAGTCCTCGGAGTCTGGGCCGGGTTCGCTTTGAACGGCGACGCGATTCCTGAAGCCGATCTTGACTTCTACGTACAAGATGCTCTGAACGAAATCGAGTTCCTCACCGGCTCCACGGACACCGAGTACGGTGCTCTACGTGCTTCGGTCGGTCATCCGGAGCCATGGACCCTGCGTTACATCGAGGTTGGCAACGAAGATAACCTCAACGACGGATTGTCCTCGTACAAGTCGTACCGATTCCAAGCGTTCTACGACGCCATCAAGGCCAAGTACCCGGACATGGTGGTCATTGCCTCGACGATCGACATGACTCTGCCGGGCGACGCGGCTGGAGATTACCATCTATACGACGTGCCCGATAACTTTGTCGCCCGGTTCAACTTCTTCGACCAGTTCGATCCCAAGAACAAGCTCTTGCTTGGTGCGTTCCGCTCTATCTGCTCTTGCGTTTGGGTGTAGACTTGCTAACTGCTGGGCAGGCGAAATTGCTGCCACCGAGTTCAACAACGGCAAGGGCATTGACTGGAGTGACACCAACTTCTCCCTGTATCCGTGGTGGATCGGCACCGTCGCCGAAGCCGTCTTCTTGCTGGGCGCTGAGCGAAACGCCGACAAGATCATCGGAACGACCTATGTATGTTGTAGCTAGCATTTAGCCCCTAAAGCTTGCGGTACTGACTACAATTCCTCTTCATCCAGGCTCCCTTCTTCATGAACCTCGACAACTACCAGTGGTCACCTACTTTTGTCGCCTTCAACGCTGACCCAGCCCAAACCGCCCGATCTGCAAGCTGGCATCTATATAATGTACGTTATGAAACCAATCAAATCCCCGTTCCCTTTATCCATCCTCCCCCTTACCATCTCCCCACATACCCCCTTCCCCCAACAAACAAGAATAGAACAAACACTAACCAGAATACCACCCAACAGCTCTTCTCTCACACCCACATCACCAACACCCTCCCCTCAACCTCCACCTCCTCCTTCGGCCCCCTCTACTACGCCACGGGCCTCGACAACACCACGAACTCCCGTATCTTCAAAGCCGCCGTATACAACAGCACCGCTGAAGTTCCCGTCTCGCTCTCCTTCGAGGGCGTGAAAGCCGGCACGAAGGCGCAGCTGACCGTGCTGAGCGCACCAGACCCGTTCGCCATGAACGAGGTCGGTGGGGAGAATGTGGTCAAGGAGAAGGTTACGACTGTGAGGGCTGGGAAGAAGGGGGTTTATGAGTTCAGTTTGCCGAATTTGAGTGTGGCCGTTTTGAAGACTGAATAAAAGGAGTCAATAGATTTGTTGCTGTGGCAATGGAGGAAAAGAGTGGTGTGTGAATTGAGTGGATGTTGGTTTGTTTGTTTTTCTTTGGGGAGATGAGAAGGGGTGGGTGGTCTAGTTTATGTGTTTCTGTTCGTTTAGAGAAGTCACGACAAGACGGACGACAGACATAGAACAGAAGAGAAACGAAAGAGCATCAGAAGACGTGAAGACATAAGTCAGACATAACTTAACCCCTACATACATTCATCATAATCACCATTACCATCGTAGCAACCTACTTTCCCAGAAGAGAGAAAGTAATCAATCACTCCAATCTCGGCCCATGATACCGTCTCTTCGCATATACAAACCAATTGATCACCCCAAGCACCAACATCACGGCTAACACGACAACCGCATAATCTACCACAAGCAAACAAATACCAGTTAGCCACAGCACATTATCCGTAACCATCCCACCCCAAGAAGAACATAGATAGCCCGTAATACAGAGCTTCTAATCGACCCAGATAGAGTAAAGGTTCAGGGAGGGGAGAAGGAAGGCATGGAAAACGGTAATGATGGAGAAACATACTCATATCCCCCGCCCTAGCCGGCAACGTAGCCGGAAAACAAAAGAACACCAACAATACAACCGTCCAGATTATGCAAAGCGTATTCGACACGTAGCCCACGACCAAAGGGAGCCGGAATGGTCGGGTAGGAGGAAGGTAGGAGGGGTCTTTGCGACGAGTTAGGAGTAGGAAGGCGGGCACGGCGTAGGAGAGCTGGGCGACGATGACGGTTGTGGATATGAATGCGTTGAATGCTATGTATTCCTTTCCTGGTGAGTATATTTGGATCGGTGTTGGGGATATGGGTAGGAGGAAAGGAGAAAGGACGGAGAGTGAAGAGGGAAGAAGTACGAACCAGTCGACGAAGCAACATATACAATCCCGACTAGTAGAACGATGACACCGTTCAATATGAGTGCGTAGACGGGAACACCGAGGGTAGGGCTCACGTGTGCCAAACGATGGGAGTAGAAGAGGGCGTCGTCACGCGCGAACGACCACGTTAGGCGGGAGGCTGTCTGATGGACGGCATTCAGAGCGACGCAGGAAACGGCGAATAAGGCGGCCATGAAGACCGTTGCTGCTGCTGGGGAGTGGATGGCTTTTTCCCAGATGAAGTAGATTGGGAAACTGTTGATTGGGGTGGTTTAGTTAGTTTAGAGTATAGGTGTGGTTGGAGAGTCTTTGGTGAGTTTGGCGAGTATGGGAGGTGTATGATGAGGGAGGATGTGCTGTACAAGGTAGGCCGGAATATAGAAAAGCAAGATATGCTCACCCTGTCACTGACTCCAACGAGCTCCCCACATCCTTCACACTATATAATATAGCCACGGAAAACGGAAACGCAGTCAGAAACCCCACTAGGACTGTGACGAGGACGGCGCGGGGAACGATGCGTTCCGGTTCAAGACATTCCTCGGCGAGATGCAGTGTCGCGTCGAGACCGGAGAGCATGAACTGGGGCGTTGAGAGGCCGGTCAGGAACGAGATACCGTCGGGCCAGCCGCCGGAGCCGTTGACGAAGTGTGTCCATACTTGGCTGGAGTCTACATCGATGGCGGAGCGTGCGGGACAGGCGATGGTGATGACAAGGAAGGTGGATATCGATAGTAGAACTGGGCTTCTAGTTAGACGCTGTCGAAGATAAGCCGGTGGAGTAGAGGAGAGGGTCATACAGCCGATATTGTAAACCCAGAGGGTTTTGTTAGTAAGAAATATATTATACAGAACGATAACCGCATTGAAGAGCTGATAAACAAGAAAATAGTGCCATGACTGCGCCTCATACGTTGGTTGCCATCTAAGGACGATGGCCATGAGGGCTTGCGTAGCTGCCAGCGCAATAGACGCAGCCAGGGTAAGCCATGAAAAGACCGCTGCCAGTCCGCTAAAGTAGGAGAGACCACGGCTCCAGCGCGCCGAGGCCAGGATGGAAGTAAAGTGGTACTGTCCGCCAGCGGTGGGGTAGACGCTGGCGAGCTCAGCCAAGGTCAATCCGGTAGCCAGCATCGCGACGGTGACGGCGATAATGCCATATAGTAAAGACACAGGCCCGCCCGACTGGATGGCAATAGCAAAGCTAGATGCAATCGCCACCCAGCTGTTGGAGATGTTATACCCGACGGCAATGATACTCAGGATGCTGAAACGTCGTTTCATGGGCATCTCAGGCAGGCCGACAACCTGGCCGGTGGCCAGCTCGACCTGTGGAACCTCATCGGGGGATTTGTTCTTCGTTTCCATGGCTAACTAGGAGTATGGGATGGGAAGGATGAGGGTATCACAGACAAGCGCATCACGAGCGTCTTGTAGTTAGGGCTGGACGGGCACATGCTGATAACCGGAACGCTTATCGAATTCCGAGGGTTATCAACTTATCTCGAAGATCGTCGACATAGACGTCTTTATCTATTGGGCTTAGCGGAATAAAGGCGGAATTGTGACAACTTTAATACGATCAGGAAAATGCGGGGAAGCTGTTGTAGATTGCTGGTCATCGAGGACGATCATCCCTCGGCTCTCCACTGCGGAATCAAGGATCCTTGGTACTTCGGGCTTGCAGGCAGCTATATTGTGACGTTATGTAGCTTAGAGGTGTCTTATAAACGGCGATAACCATGCTGATTGTTATTGTGACGGGATATTATGGTTGAAAGACCGTAATTCGGATTCAATGCTAATTCCGCCCGGAATCCACGACAAACCCCTTAGGCAAAAGAAACAAGACGAAGGACAGGAACCTGCACGTATTGTGAAAGCTACTCCTTTCTCACAGGTAGCATTTAATAGTAAGCCCCCTGATCGAGAGGGTGAGGAGTCTGATCTGGCCACAACTTGAGTATCCCAGCCTTAGCAGCCGAGACCTGCGACGCATCGGTGAGCAGCCCAAGTTGGCACAATAGATCGATCTGATTCGAGACCCAGAATCTGCAGCCAACCCCGTCTGCATCAAACTCGTACCTGTGACGTTCATTCTGGACGAGCTCGCTATAGACGCGTGCTAAAGTGAGACCTGGAATGACATCCAGAACGAACTCCGTCTCGGCCTCAGGGGGTACAGTGTAGGACAATTCTGATAAAATCAAGTTTGCTTTAGAGCCCCCGCGAAGAACAGTGCTTGGGACACTATGGCTGGGCTGACAATCGAGTTGAACTGCGCATTCTGGAGATACCACAAGATAGAAGCACCAGTGATTTGTTCCGGCTAATTGTCCATGTGGAATAGCAAGAATCCGACTCACTGGGAGGGCTAAGATTTGAGCCTCGCGATCTGCTGGCACGAAATGAATGATCTGGAAGTTTGACATTGTGAGCTGATGAACGGGAATGCTGCAGATATGGGAAATTCGGACGGAGCCAACATGTGAGATGATCGAGATGGTTGTTGTAGAGGAAGAAGAAGCTTTAGTGCCATGAAGGGCCAGGAAGGGAAAGGCTTGGCGTGTTGCAACCTCAGGCATCCAGGCATCCAGGCATCCAGGCGTGCTATGCATCATCATCATCATCATGCCCTTTTCCTGGAGAAGCCTTCGGCTCTCCACTGCGGAATTGAAGATCCTTGGCCCCCCGGATTTGCGCGCGGATGGTGACATCGTGACGCTACTAAGCTTAACAGTGGGCTAGTGAATCATTATTGAGATCTCTGCCGGTCGACGGAGACTGTCCGATAAAACTTGGCTAAAGACAAGTTCCAGAAATCACTACACGAAAAGGAATATTCTATGAATTAGGGCGGAATCCTGCGAAGAACCTTTTATCGCAACGGATATAAAAATAATCTCATTGACTGACGGCCCCCTCCTTCGTGCCCCACTCACTATACTTACACAGCCTTGTCCTTGTACCTTGAGGCTCTCCAGGCAACGACTACTAAACAACCGCAACTGCAATCTGTTCAGAACAGTCAACTCTCAACTTCATCTCAAACCACATCATGCCTCTCCAAGACATCCCCGATATCCTCCTCCTCTGCATGGAGAACAAACACAGCGCAGCATTCCATCAAGCGCTAGCAACCTTCTGGCCGACCTACCAAACCGGCCCCAAGATCCCCATCACAGTCGAAAGCGAGTCTCTGAAGTCACTCCCCAAAACCTCGTCTTACCAGCTAGTCGTGTCCCCGGCCAACTCCTACGGCCGGCTAGACGGGTCCTTTGACGACGCCATCTCACGCGTCTTCTGCCTTCCAGACCATCCTTACGACACGTTAACCGATGCCGCGCAACGGGTGCTCTACGATCGATACAGAGGCTACGCGCCCTCCGGCACATGCACCCTCGTCCCGTTCCCGTATGAACTGCTCGGCAAGAACCCCTGGGGCTGTCAATGGGTTGCGATCTGTCCGACCATGCGCACGCCGCAGAACGTCACCTGGGATCGGGAGATCGTGTACAAGTGTATCTGGAGCTTGCTGTGTGAGCTGGAGCGCTGGAATCGCGACGTTCGCGAGGGCAAGGTGAAAGGCAAGCGCATCAATCGGATCCTTATGCCCCCGATGGCGACCGGGTGTGGGATGGTTAGTCCTGAGAAATGGGCCGCGCAGTTGGTGCTGGCGATGAAGCATTTTGTGGACGCGCTGGAGAGGCCGCAGCGGTGGAGTCGGTTGGACTGGCGCAGTATTCTTGAGGAGGGGAAGGAGATCGAGCAGATAAAGAATTTGGGGACGCAGTGAGATCTATCTGGGCTACCGGCTAACTTTGTGGGTTGTGGGGATTATTAGCAATTATTGTCAGTTGCGCAAGGGGGAGGTCCAGGGTGGCACGAGCTGAGAGCTGAGCTTATGCAAGGGGCTTGAATTATTCTAGTCCTTTTTCATATTAACAGTACGGAGTAATAGGAGTTGATGTATTGGATGCCGAAGTCTGCAGGAGAAATGACAGGCCTTGCAGGGCCTCAAGATTAAATCTCTCGCGATGAGAGCATATATAGCTGCCGTCGTAGTCTGAAAGTAATTTTTGGAGATTTCCAACCAACCAAGTATATCAGATATGAAGCCTTTTTACGGGCTGCTATTGCCCCTTCTGGCATCCGCCCTTCCTACTGGCGCCCCAGTGGTCGATCTAGGATACTCGACCTATCGAGGCGTCAGACTCTCCGGAGGCATAGATCAATATGTGGGCATGCGTTTCGCTGCGCCACCACTTGCAGAATTGAGATTCCGTGCTCCTAGAGATCCAGTCCAGGAGACGTCTATACAAAATGCATTCACCGTAAGTCCTTTCCAGCCTCTTCCAATCCAGTCTGGCTCTTAAAATAAATCTAGTTCGGACCATCTTGTCTCGGCGTCGAACAGGAGGTCTCTGCTGAGAAATCCGAAGACTGTCTATATATCAACGTGTTCGCTCCCTCGAACGCCACAGACCTGCCTGTTTGGATATACATCGAGGGCGGAGGATACGCCACCAATTACGATCCCAACTATAATGGCACCAACGTGATCCGAGAATCAGGCCACAACATCATTTTCGTCAATTTCAACTACCGCGTCGGCGCCCTCGGCTTTTTGGCCAGCGAGAATGTCCGTCGTGATGGTGATTTGAACGCCGGTCTCTTGGATCAGCGAAAGGCGTTGCACTGGGTGCAGCAACATATCCGCAAGGTATAACCTCATGTGCACCATCGACTGACCTTGTAGTACTAACTCAACCAGTTCGGTGGAAACCCAGACCACGTCGTGATCCAAGGAGTATCTGCCGGCGGTGGTTCTGTAGCTCACCATCTCACCGCGTACGGAGGCCGAGACGACGGACTGTTCATCGGTGCAGTCGCTGAGAGTCCGTTCTGGCCTGCCCAGCCCACCGTGGCGGAGGCTGAATCCCAATTCGACCGGTTCGCCAACGAAACCGGATGCTCGGACTCTCCGAACATTCTCTCCTGTCTCCGGTCTCTCAACATATCCACCCTGGAACAGGCGAACGTGCTACATCCTCTCCCTGGTGCTTCCGACGAGCCCATATCGTTATGGTACTGGTTGCCAGTTGTAGACGGCGACATCATTCCAGACAGTTTATACAATCTCTTCGAAGAAGACAAGTATCTAAAGGTGCCACTGTTAGTGGGAAGTAACACAGACGACGGGTCCGAGTTTGCAAACAATGCCACCACCCCGGCCGAAGTATCCGCGTTCATCAAAAACAACTATCCCCATCTCACGCCCGATCACCTGGAGGCGATCAACCACGCCTATCCTCAAGAAGAGCCCATGCCACAGCACGCAGCATACTTCCCGTCTGCCTCGGCCGCCTACGGCGATGCCGCATTCACCTGTCCCAGCATGTTCATGGCAGACGCCATGATGCGATCCACCGGCCAAGTGTGGGATTACCTGTTCGACGTGCATGATCCGGCCATGGATGCCATCGGGCTCGGCGTTCGCCATATGCTTGAGACGGAGGCCATTTTCGGGGTCGGGTACGGGGGTGTCCATTATGATGCGTACGCTGCTGAGAATGCGGCCATCGTGCCAGTGACGATGAATTATTTTATCAGTTTCGTGAGAGCGTTGGATCCGAATGTGTTTCGGAAGGTAGGAACGCCGGAATGGACGAGATGGGGACAGGGAGAGCAACTCTTTCTGCAGCAGGAGACGGAGATGGGAGTGGTTTCGCGGGAAACGAGGGATCGGTGCGATTTGTGGAGGGCGCTGGGTCCCGTGATGGAGGTGTAGAGTATGACACGGTCATTTGGGGTTTATATGGGCATCTCACGCTACTGGGTTTTGCCCAGACCTGTTGCTGCTGTGAAAGGACGATTCTGATTTCGACTATTAAATACCAATCTGCCTGAAGGCACTTATATATTTTCATATGCCAATCTGGTAGCCTAAAGCTTTGAACATTTGGTTCGTATATTCAGCCAAGTGTAATCAAGGCCACTTGCTCTTGTTCCGCTGCACAAACTCCTTCCAACCCGTTGGCTTCTGGTCCAACAGTGCATGGGAGGTGTCCAAGCTCTCGCCACCATAGTATCCCGGGTCTTCCAGCAAGAGTATATTCTCGTTCAGTTCCTCCGCCACAGGGGGAGGCAGGAAGCTCTTGAACACCTCGCTGGGAATCTGCACAGCCTGCGCCTTGTGCCCAGTAACTTCAGAGAACTCAGCCATGAGACGCTCAGGTGTGTAGTACTCAGTGGCCGCTAGAATCCGCTCATTTGAGGGTCCGCGGTTAATGGCCGCAATGACAAATTTGCCTGCTCTAGGTCAGCTAACGTATTCTTATTGCCACTCAGGAGAAACAACATACCAGTATCGTCTCCGACATCAAACACGGGAATTTGCGCCTTGCGAGGATCAACAGGCCACGCTAGAGTGTACGTATCGCCTTGCTTGTTGATCATCTCAAAAGTGTTCGACATGAAGAATCCCGCCAGCACAAAGGAGCCAGGCACGCCACTGGCCCGGATGTAATCCTCGATCTCGGCCTTGCCGTCGAAATGAGCGAGCTGCGTCAACCGACCCTTGCTCATCTCCGTGACGTTGCGAATGGAGGAGAAGATAAGATGCTGCACACCGGCGGCCTTGCTGGCGTCGGCGACCGCTTTGCCCTGCGACACCTCTACATCTCTGGAGAGGGATTCCCAGAAGTTGGTGACTAGGAAGACCGTGTGAGATCCTTCGAGAGCGGCGGCGAGAGACGATGCAGAAGACATGTCAGCCTGTGCGCGTTAGATATGTAAAGTAGATCAAAGTTTACGGGAAGAGCAACGTACCGAGACCACCTCGACGCCCTTCGCGGCGAGGTCTTTGGCGGCGGGCTTATTCGCGTCGCGGGTGATTCCCCGGATCTTGAATTCCTTCGAGAGCTTGGGGTTGGCCTGGATGGCTCGAATAACAGAGCCTCCTTGGTTACCGGTGGCGCCAAAGACGGTAATAAGTTTGGACATCTTGTATGGATTTGGGTCAAGTGTTGGCTTGGGATGGAAGTTGGAATAATTCGATAGTTGGAGACTGTGATGATTTCGCTGATGGATTTCTATTGTCCCCTTCTATCCGGGCCTATTTATCTCTCCTTAAGCCAGCATGAATTCGAAGGAGAGGTTATTCAGAAAGGCCGATGTTTACTGATGTTTACTAAACTCGGCCTTAGTTGAGGCCGAAGGTCAAGTGGGGCGGGTCTTGGCAGATAGCGTTATGTTATGGGGGCTTACTCAGCGCCTTACTGAGACAGCTTGAGGCAACTGCTTTGTACGGAGTACTCCGTAACTAGGTAAGTGATGACGATTTAGAGCCGGAGCTCTAGTGGGGTTTTCTAATCACTTTAATTCAATCGAGAGGGTGGGTGAGACTGAGAGACCCCCATAAGTGAATCTGCTCTGGGACTATGATTTCTATTGGGATCTCGGGTCTTTTACTTTCTTTTTCCGTGTTTTTGCATATAGGAATTATTCCTATTATTCCACGCATGCTCGGAGAATTTCGTATTGTTTGTACGGAGTATGGACGTAGGATGCAGGGAGAAGGCTCCACTCCTGTCTAATGCCTGAAATATATATTGTCACAGTTCATAGCGCGTTCCCAAACAGTTCCAAAATCAGCGAGAATCTCCCGTATGGCAACCTGCCAGCAGATGTCAGAGTCAGCATGCACGCTCAAAGTATTAAACTAGGTCCAAGCCTCCGAAGAGTATTTTCCGGAAGGATATCTGACACATAACTCAATCCCTCCCCATATGATCCGCCCTACGAGTAGCCACGATAGAGAAAGGGAGAAAGAAACCCTCGGAAGCGCAATTCAGGCCTTCCGTCGGAGCTGGCAGTAGCCGAGGGATAAACCTGGTTCAAGTCAAGTTGTGTGAGAGGCAGATCGAGGCAAATCCGGGTCCTGCCCAATCACTTCTCTGGAAATACGGCCGGAATACGGCGCCAGTCAGCCCCCGTCAACGCTGATTGGCTAGTAGGCACGGGGTAGGTACCTCCTGGTACATCGATCCTGGTGGGACCATTACGATCTGCGAAGTACAGAGGAGGTACTGCCCTAGCTGTCATCTTCGCGGGTGCGAATACGATGGCACCTGATGATTGCCAAGGATCAAGTCGCTCGCCACTGCCTGATTAACCTTACGGCCCTTCCATCTCTTCTATCGGGTCTCGCTTTAGCATTTCTGGAGTTAATGTTTATGCCTGTCGTGCTCGGATGCCGCCATTCCGTCTTCCGTACAAGGAAGGTTCCCCTGTCGACATGGGGGCCGGAGTACTTGTACTGTACACACGCCAGGCTCACGGCGCCATATAGAAATAAATTTCTTTCCGCTCCCTCTTCTTTGCTTGCTTTTCTTTCTGCGGCTCGGTCCTGAGCTTTCGTGATAAATCCCCCGTAAGGCTGCATGTGCGACTGCATGCGAATGTATTCGTTCCCCTGTTCCTCTTCTTGACTCTTTTCTGTTTTGGCGATGCCATCACCCCTCCATCTCTACTGGGTCTACGGTACGTCTTGAAGATGGGTCTCCAACCGACACCTCCTGCTCCCTTTGGAGCTTCTACGATTTCCAGCGACGCCGCCCTACAATTCGAGAATACCGTTCGCCGGCACACTCAAGAAACTCACTACGACCGGATCACCTCCATCGAAGAGAAGACCGACAGCTCGGATACCGCCGCTGCAGACTCGGAAGATGCCATCGAACGCGAAGATCAAGAGAAAATCACCGAATTGGCGCGCAGGTTCTCTCAGATCTCCCAGAAAAGCATCGGAGGGGATGGCACCAACACCTTTCTCAACCCCACGAGCGACCCGGAATTGGACCCAAACTCGGGTCGCTTCAACTCGCGCAAATGGACCAAGAACATGCTGCATATCACTTCACGCGACCCGGATCGCTATCCTCGGCGTACGGCAGGCGTGTCCTTTCGCAACCTGAACGCCTTTGGATATGGCACGGCCGCTGACTATCAAACCGACGTGGCCAACATGTGGCTGAAGGGCTTCGGCTGGTTTCGCAACGTGCTTGGATTCGGGAATAAAGTTCGCATTGATATTCTGCGGAATTTTGAAGGCTTTGTTCGTAGCGGAGAGATGCTGGTCGTGCTGGGTCGCCCGGGAAGGTAAGCATGGCTGAAATCGCGTTTGTCCTCCTGGTGTTTCTCTCCTCTAACCATGGTCCTTGTAGTGGTTGTTCGACGTTCTTGAAAACCATTGCTGGGGAGACCCATGGTCTCTGGCTGGATGAAGGGACTGATATACAATACCAGGGTATCTCTTGGGACGAGATGCACAGTCGCTTCCGTGGAGAGGTCATTTATCAGGCGGAAACCGAGATTCATTTCCCGCAGCTAACCGCAGGCGAGACACTACTGTTTGCAGCCCATGCTCGAGCCCCGGCCAATCGATTTCCCGGCGTATCTCGTGATCAGTACGCAATGCATATGCGAGACGTCGTTATGGCCATGCTGGGCTTGAGTCATACAATGAATACGCAGGTGGGCAATGAATTCATCCGCGGCGTGTCGGGAGGAGAACGAAAGCGAGTGAGTATTGCCGAGACGACTCTGTGTGGTTGTCCTCTGCAGTGCTGGGATAATAGCACCCGTGGCTTGGACAGTTCAACGGCTTTGGAATTCGTGAGAAACCTTCGATTGTCCACCGAGTATAGCGGGTCGACGGCAGTAGTTGCCATCTACCAAGCTAGTCAGGCCATCTATGATATCTTTGACAAAGCGATCGTTCTGTATGAGGGCCGCCAGATTTATTTCGGCAATGCCCATGACGCAAGGAGATTCTTCATTGACATGGGCTTCGACTGTCCGGATAGACAGACCACAGCAGATTTCTTGACCTCTCTGACGAGTCCCACGGAACGACGGGCTCGAAAAGGGTTCGAGCATCTCGTTCCTCGCACGCCTGATGAGTTCGCCGCTCGCTGGAGAGATAGCCTTGAGCGAAAGCAGCTCCTTGTGGACATTGACAATTTCCAAAATGAGTTCCCCATTGGCGCCGACAAAAGAAAGGAATTCGACCGCTCCCGTGCCGCAGAGAAGGCCAAGCGAACCCGGGCGGCTTCCCCGTATACCTTGTCCTACCTGGGCCAAATTCGTTTGTGTCTTTATCGAGGAGGTCTTCGCCTCAAGGGTGACATGAGCATGACCCTGACTACAGTCATCGGTAACAGTATCATGGCGTTGATTGTCGCAAGTGTGTTCTATAACTTGGACGAAACCACCGAAAGCTTCTTCTCCCGCGGCGCCCTGCTGTTCTTCGCCATTCTGCTCAATGCTTTTGCGAGCGCCTTGGAAATCTTAACCCTCTGGCAGCAACGGCCCATCGTGGAAAAACATGACAAGTATGCGCTTTATCACCCGTCGGCTGAAGCGATAAGCTCGCTGATCGTCGACCTTCCGGCGAAGGTGCTTGTGTCTATCGTCTTCAATATCATCATATATTTCATGACCAATCTCCGCCGTACACCTGGACACTTCTTCATCTTTTACCTCTTCTCCGTAACCACAACGTTGACCATGTCCAACATCTTCCGATGGATTGGTGCAATCTCACGGTCTATGGCTCAGGCTATGGTTCCATCTTCGATTTTCATGTTAATTCTGATTATTTACACGGGCTTTACCATCCCAGTTCGAGATATGCATCCATGGTTTCGATGGCTTAATTACCTGAATCCAATCGCGGTACGTCTTAACAGCTACTCTACCTTTCCATCAAGTCCCAGCAGCCGGCTGACTTTCTAATAGTATGCCTTTGAATCTCTCATGATCAACGAATACAGCCATAGACATTTCGATTGTGCCACTTATGTGCCTTCGGGACCAGGGTACGAAAACACGCCTATCTCCTCGAAGATTTGCTCTGGAAATGGTGCCGAAGCTGGCCTTGACTATATTGACGGCGATACCTATCTCAACACAACTTTTCAATACTATCATTCGCATTTGTGGCGCAATTATGGTATTCTTCTTGGGTTCCTTTTCTTCTCCTTGGCAGCCTATATTATTTGCAGCGAGTTGGTTCGAGCCAAGCCGTCGAAAGGTGAAATCTTGGTCTTTCCCCGCGGAAAGATCCCGGCGTTCACAAAGAAAGCCCACCAGGACGAGGAAGACGCGCCAACTGCTGAGAAACCGCAGCAACTGGAAAGCGAAGCTCAGGATCACACCGGTGCCATCGTTAAACAGACGTCGATCTTCCACTGGGAGGATGTCTGCTACGATATCAAGATCAAGGGACAGAATCGACGTATCCTGGATCATGTTGACGGCTGGGTGAAACCCGGGACGTTGACAGCCTTGATGGGTGTGACTGGGGCGGGAAAGACGTCCCTTTTGGATGTTTTGGCCAATCGTGTGACCATGGGAATTGTCACCGGTGATATGCTAGTCGACGGGCGCTTGCGGGATGACTCTTTTCAACGCAAAACCGGTTATGTTCAGCAGCAGGATCTACATTTGGAAACCAGCACTGTCCGGGAGGCACTGATTTTCAGCGCCTTGCTCCGCCAGCCGGCCAGCACCCCACGCCAGGAGAAGCTCGATTATGTGGAAGAAGTGATCAAAATGCTCAACATGCAGGAATACGCCGAAGCCGTCGTCGGGGTCCTGGGCGAGGGCCTAAACGTTGAGCAGAGAAAGAGATTGACTATCGGCGTGGAAATCGCGGCAAAGCCGGGTCTTCTGCTCTTTTTCGACGAACCGACATCCGGACTGGACAGCCAGACTGCGTGGTCCATCTGTTCCCTCATGCGAAAGTTGGCGGATCATGGTCAAGCCATTTTATGCACGATCCACCAGCCGTCCGCTATCCTGATGCAGCAGTTTGATCGGTTGCTATTTCTGGCTAAAGGAGGACGCACGGTCTACTTTGGCGAGCTCGGCCATAACATGGAGACCCTCATTAAGTATTTCGAGAAGAAAGGCTCTGCTAAATGCCCCCATAATGCGAATCCCGCCGAGTGGATGCTGGAGGTCATCGGTGCTGCCCCGGGGTCTCATTCAGAGCAAGACTGGGGAGAGGTCTGGAAAGAAAGCCCCGAGCGCGTTCAGGTTCGCCAGGAACTCGCCGACATGAAGGCCGAACTCTTGCAAAAGCCGCCGCCTCCTAAAACGGTTGAATACGGAGAATTCGCGATGCCGATTTGGTCACAATTCCTGATCTGTCTCCAACGAATGTTCCAGCAGTACTGGCGCAGCCCGGCGTACATCTATTCCAAAGCGACCACCTGCATTATTCCGGTGAGTATCACTTTTTCCCTCTAGAATAATCTCGTGCGACCGCATTGCTGACGATACATGTGTAGCCCTTGTTCATTGGTTTCACGTTCTGGCGAGAGCCGACGAGTTTCCAAGGCATGCAGAACCAGATGTTTGCCATCTTCATGTTGCTCGTTATCTTCCCCAACCTGGTCCAACAAATGATGCCATACTTCTGCACGCAGCGAGCTTTGTACGAGGTCCGCGAGCGGCCCTCCAAGGCTTATTCGTGGAAAGCGTTCATGATGGCCAGCGTTGTAGTCGAGTTGCCGTGGAATATCCTCATGGCTGTTCCTGCGTTTTTCTCCTGGTATTATCCGATCGGTCTCTACCGCAACGCCTATGCGACGGACGCGGTTACCGAGCGAGGGGGCACGATGTTCCTTCTAATTCTGATATTCATGATGTTCACCTCCACGTTCAGTTCGATGATCATTGCCGGGATCGAGAACCCGGAGACGGGCAGTAACATTGCGCAGTTGATGTTTTCACTGTGCCTCATTTTCAACGGGTATGCTGCCACCACCTCCCTTTACGCCATCATGAGATAGACGAGGGTATGCTGATGTCTGACATAGTGTCCTTGCAACTCCGGAGAGACTTCCCGGATTTTGGATTTTCATGTATCGGGTTTCCCCCTTTACATACCTGGTTAGCTCGGTTTTGTCAGTCGGATTATCCGGGACGGACGTTGAGTGCTCGGACATTGAACTCCTGCGTCTGCCGCCTCCTGAAGGACAGAATTGCTCTACCTTCCTTGGCCCCTTCGCCGAGATGGCCCAGAGTCGAATCATTAACCCTGAAGCTGACACGGAATGCCTGATGTGTACGTTTAAGAAAACGGACCAGTTCTTGAAAACACTCTCGATCAATTTCGACGATCGATGGCGCAACATCGGGCTGTTGTTCGTCTACATCGTTTTTAACGCCGTGGCCGCCGTCTTCCTGTATTGGCTGCTGCGTGTGCCCAAGAAGAAGTCGCGGAAGGAGAAGGAAGAGTAGACGCGTGGATTTGGACAATGTACAATAGCAGGATGTCTCATTGTTTATTTGCTTTTTCCATGTTCCACTCCATCACATTTTCTCCATTTCTGCATAAATCGCAAATATTTCCGCATACATAGCTAGTCGTCTCAGAATAATTACTCCTATCTTCCGCTCTGCACAGGGATGCATGCACATCAGCACCTAGAGAGCCCCGATAACTGCGGACGAGGATCCGACCGGGATTCCATGGGCTTACAGCGACGGGGAGTCGAATCCTTTGACCATTCACCCGGGTTGACACGCGAGATTGTTGGGACGGACCGCCGGATCTCTCAAGATCCGTACACCGACCGGAGTACTCGTCGTTAGTTAGGCCGTTAGTCTGTCTAGGACTCTAGTTATCATAAGGGTCTGACTAGTAGGACGCCGTTGCGGGACTGGAAATAAGCCTTGCAGAGCGAGCGAGAGACCGACGAAAAGGGGAGGGGGCCAAAATCAGGATGCTGATTTGCCCGCTCGATTAAACCCGATCTTTAAGCGGGGAGTGGAGCGGGACAGGAGGCAATCATCAATCATGGAATCGAGAGAGTTGGGAGACAACGAGGATTTTCATGACACGCGCGAAGGATGGGCAAATGTGGGAACTGTGGGTACCGCAAAAATTCCCCGAAAGGGTTTAGCGGAAGGAAGCGGTGAGGGGCCCGCTCAATGACTCAGCAGGACGGGGGAGATGATCTCATTCTGCGTTTTCTCCTCTTCTCTCTCTTCCTTTGTCTACTCACTCTCTCCTGTCGGTCTGTCTGTCATTATTGCTTTTTCCTCGGGCGCAAATGCGGGCAAACAAACAACTACGCCCTGTCAACATGCAGCTCTCTCATCCCTGGTTGCCCAACCAGCTCTGACGATTGTCCCCGCCCTTACCCTTTCCAGTAGCCGCTGGCTGTGTTGGTTCAACTTGCTTCCAATTCTCCGCGCTAGCGGGTCGGGTCCGTTCGGCTCTTTGGAAATCTGGGGGCCAAAATTCTCATGCCCATGACTTGGTCGGCCTGAGCTAACACTGCCTGTTTGCGGCTGACTTCTTGAGTCTCTGACCCCCTCCTTTTGGGCCCTTGGGCAATCGCCAAAATGCGCCCACGAGGTGCACCCTGGCACTTTCGATGGACTGATGAGGCTCCCCCAGAGATTAGAGGACTGCCTTCGGACCAATAACCTCCGTCAACACCCTGGCTGACTGTCTTCCCACGAGACAAGCCCATGCAACGGGTCAAGCCATCGCTGGTCCAAACGTAAATCATGGTTTCCAATCGATGCTCCAGTAATTTAAAATAAACAAAGAAAGAAAGGGGTGGGGCGGTGGGTGGATGGATCTGAATGGCCGAGCCACGGGCCATGGCCGGACTGCGCCAGATGGACATTGCCCACTGCTGCAGGGGCTTCTCGACTTCCTTCCAATCCATCCACATGACGAATCACCGTCGTTCATCTCCTTCTCCGCCTAGTTTTTCTTGAGGCTCAACACAATACCTATTCTCTGATCGTCGTACTGTTGTCCCGGTTAGGGTGCTTTGGTACTGGCTTCGCCCCGTGGATTCTCGACCGCGCGCGCATATATACTGGAATGGCCCCAGCTTGGGGGGTACCGGAAAAAAAAAGGAAAAGTTCATCGTTGCGCAGCTCATGCAATTCTCGACTCGTTATTCTCCTGCCTTCGACAGCACGTAGGCAGATTTTGCTACTGACAACCATTCCACTGCTGCGCCATGATGAATCACTTTCCACCATTTCCTGAACCCCAGTCTCAGCTCTCAGCCCCGGATCACCTCGCCATGCACCAGGATTACCAGCTCTACCCCTCCGATTCGGAGTCCTACGTGACTTCGATCGCTCAGCAATCGATGATGGGAGATCAATCCCAAGCTCCCTACAAAAGTCTTTATATGCTCTCGCCGGCCCCATGGCCACACAGTGCAGTCCGCCCGGATCAAGTCAGCTCTCTTCCCATGGATATGGCTTACCATCCAACCGTCGCCGACCTCTCGCCGTCGGCTTGGGGCGGCAACGTCTCGACCATCTCCGGACCCGAGAGCCCGCAGAGCAGTAGCAGCAGCTGGGTCAATGCTGACTGCTACATGTCTCCGCCCTACAGTTGCGACGACTCCTTGCTTCCGCCGCAGGAGTACTGGGATTCGCCTTCCCCGAGTGCCTCCGCTGATTTCGATCGCTCGGTGGCCCCGTCAGAAGTAGTACAACACTACCCCGACCCGGAGCCGATTGTTGGCTCGGGTTACGCGCCGCAGCCCATTGTCGGTAGCTTTTCGCTGCCACTGAATACCCCGGGCGCATTCGGCGATGCGTCGCCCTCACCGTCCTTGTCTGCCACTTTCCAAGAACCCGCTCCCTCCTCGCACGTCATGCCCGTGCCATCTCAGACCTCCGCCCCGAAGAACCTCAAGACCAAATCGTCGCACCGCGTGACCAAGCGCTCACCTGCGAAGAAGCCATCTCCGAAGACCGGGCCTACATCCGCGCCCCGCTGCACTGCTAAAACCAAGCCCACTGGCAAGAAGGCCTCCGAGGCCTCCAATCGACTCTTCGTATGCAGCTTTTCGCGGTACGGGTGCCCGAGCACCTTTGTTTCGAAGAACGAGTGGAAGCGACACGTCGCGTCGCAGCATGTCCAACTTGGGTTCTACCGATGCGACGTGGGACGCTGCAATCTGAATAACCTCAGCGGAGACAACCACCAGATGTCCGAAGACGGTGCTTCTTGCGACGAGGTCCGCCTGGTCAACGACTTCAACCGCAAGGACCTCTTCACGCAGCACCAGCGCCGTATGCACGCACCCTGGGTGAAGCGAAACCGCAAGCAGCCGGTGACCGAAGAGGAGCGGCATGAGTTCGAGCTTACCCTCGACGTCGTCCGCGCTCGCTGCTGGCACGAGCAGCGTACCGCGCCGCTCCGCAGCCAGTGTGGATTCTGCGGCCAGGAGTTCGTCGGGCTTCGCAGCTGGAACGAGCGCATGGAGCACGTTGGCCGACATTACGAGAAGCGCGACGTCTCTTTGGACGCCGAGGCTGAAGACCCGGCCCTGCGCGACTGGGCCATTGAATCCGGCGTTGTCCGTTTGGCGGAGGGTCAATGGAAATTGACTTCTCTTGTGGACAAATAAACTCATTCTTTCCTTTGTGTTCTCCCCCTTTCCCGTTTCGTCTCTTCCGATGATTGAACCATCCCTCCCACCTCATTCTACTCGCTTTGCATCCCCAACGATTGTGACGTTCCCAAATGTCCGTTCTGTTGGTTTACGATTGATGACCGATATCCTGTATTTCTGATCTTCTGAAGCTTACTTTGACGGTCTGTTCATATGTTTTTAATCACATTTTCTTTCCTTTTTTGGACTTTGATATTCTGCGCGAAATACCCAAGAGCAAGGAATGGTTTGAGGGAATGATAGATGGACTGGTTATCTTATATTATTTTTCGGATTCGCATAGCTGGTTATTTTTATTTTATTGCATCTCCAATTCAAGCTGTGAATTCTTCAATTAAAGTTCTTCAATTCTATCTAGAAGTCTGAACAAACATTTAACACTCGACCGCCGTATCCTTCAGACTTCATGCATCATGCACGCTGCAGTCTACTTACACACCGCTAAGCCCATCTCATCTACTCCTGCCAGAATAATCTTCACCCGTGAACCCTGACCTAGGGAATCCACTCAACCACCCTTATCGATCCTACAGCCTGCACAACATATTCTGTCAGTGTCACCTGCCACCTGTCAACGGTCAAACTTCACTAGGCAACCGAGACTAACTACTAGAGAGTAAGTACATACTAACCAAGGCCCGAACCGCACCGTAGCACTACAAGTATCTCTCCACAGCGGACCTTGACGGTCTCAACCCATCTGACCCGTTAGGAGCTGATCAGATCAGATCAAGCCTTGCCTAACTCAGCTCGGGTCTAGATTCTAGATCTTAGATCATGACAGGTCTGCACGCTACGTACTAACCTACTGACCAACAGACCAATCCACTAACTATGGAGTAACTAGCTAGCTAACCATGTGGACGCATAAAAAAACCCCGAAACATGTGGAGTACTGAGTAGATCATATGTAATGTATTATATCCGGAACAGGAACTATAGTCCAGCCTGATTATAGTTAGATGGAGCCGAGCCCGCAATGCAAGGCTGCAGCCTCGTCCGCGGTCCGGGGCCTGACGATCTGTGGTTACCTACTTGATCCTAGGGAGTAGGCGGGGTTTATCTAGTTAGTGAACTAGCTGGTTAGGGATTGGTGTAGGGGTCTGTGTTTGTTGTGTTTGAGAGTGGTATGGTGTTTCATCCGGACGGGGTATATGTGAGGTGGGTACCTACTTAGGGTTAGGTGTGTTGTACGTGTCAGGTGTGTAGGATGAAACTGGACGTTGGACGAGAGAGAGATAGAGAGAGTTTTGAAACGATGAGCTGTCTAAGTGGTGTGTTTATTTATTTTTTTCAAGAGAGTCCATAAGTCAGCCTCGCTTTCGAAGTATATATGAGAAATGTCACGGAATAGGGAGTATATATGTATGCATGTAGACCCCTAGCTCAATAAACTCGACAGAGAGCAGTTATTTCAAAGCAAATACATCTATACATATCCGGACTCGAAGGCGAGAGTACTGACATTCCAGTAGAGATCGATTAACGAGTAGATGATGATGTAGATATTTTGATGCCTGAGGTGTCATTCCCTCTCTCTCTCTCGGTGGTCACTTTTCTCTTCTCCTCCACCACATCACCGTATACTTCCCCGCATCTCAAACACCAACAAAGAATTCGAAAGCGGGGATCTTCCCGCAACAAGAAGCCATGCAAGATACTTGCGATGAATGGTAGGCAGGACGTATTCGAGGTATACAATCTCAGTCCCGCTGATTGGTCGAGCACGGTCCGATGCCGGATAGGCTTGTTGTCTGTTACATCACCGATCATCTGCACTCCTCACTGCTCCTCACTACGTTGTATGCACTTTCGTCCACAATTGACTTGTCTGCTACTGCGCCGTGAATAGCCGACCAGCTGCACAGGCTCCGATATAGGAGGGCCAGAGCGAGGATATATCAAGTCAGTTTACTGCGTATAGATCTAAATTATACAAGACCAACGCTTCTATATCTATTGAACTCACCGAAACATCCATATACCAATCTACAGCATGTCTACCCCCTACCCCTGGACTTTCCAAACCAACCAGCCGGCAGCGGGCATCAACACGGGCACAACCCAGGACTTCTCGATCACGATCCCGCAAGTCCGGGGCTCGATTCCCTCCTTCCAGGCCTCCCGGCTGCGATCCATGATGCAAGAGGCGCATGCAGACCCGAGCAAGATCGTAGCCCACGTCTGCAGCTACGACGCCCTGAGCTCGCGACTCTGTCAGGAAGCTGGCTTCCCGATCGTCTTCCTCGCCGGGTACGCAATGTCGTCGGCATTCGGGCTGCCGGATGCAGGATACATTGCGTTCCAGGAGGTCGCGGGGAAGATCCAGGAGACGGTCCGCGAGACATCGGTTCCTATTCTAGTGGATGGGGACACGGGGTATGGGAGTCCGATGAATGTGAGGAGGACGGTTCAGGGGTATGTATATGCATGCATGCAGATTTGACATGTGACAGTTGGGGGTCTAGGAAGCTGCTAATAATCGAGTAGGTTCGCCTTAGCCGGCGCAGCAGGAGTGATGATCGAGGACCAAACCTGGCCGAAACGTAAGGATCCTATCTTACCCAATCAAGCCTCTCCTCTACTTGCCCCGCCTTAGATTTGTACACTCCTAGAATCAAATTGTCCTACTAACAACCACCCAGGCTGCGGACACACCAAAGGCAAAGCCGTCGTCTCCCGCGACGAGGCCTACGCGCGGTGGCAAGCCGCCGTGGACGCGCGCAACGAAGGAACTGACATCTGGATCCTTGCGCGCACCGACAGCTACATGCACGGGTACGAGGAAGCGCTGACGCGGGCGCGCAAGGCGATTGAAATCGGCGTGGACGCGGTCTTCGTCGAGGCGCTCCCCGACCGGGCCGCGATGGCGCAGATGCGCGCGGACCTGGACTTCCCCATGCTGGCGAACATCATCGAGGGCGGGAAGACGGAGAACCTGTCAGCGAAGGAATTAGGCGAGCTGGGCTTCGCGGCCGTGGCCTATCCGTGGACGTTGGTGGCGGCGAAGTTGAAGAGTATTCGGGAGGCGTTGGAGGGGGTCAAGGGGTCCTTGTTGACCGGGAAGCCGCCGACCATTCTGTCGTATGGGGAGGTCTGTGAGGGGGTGGGGTTTAATAAGTATTATGAGTTGGAGGAGAGGTATCAGTATGAAGGGTCAGTGACGGGGACGAAGGGGTATCAGTTTGAGTAGTCAGTTGTGGCATCAGTTAGTAGTATATCTCTTATTAGAGCTCGGGTCTTTGGATTGAATATTGATGGAATAGGCATCAGAAACAGGCAGTAAGCCTCGTCAGAGTTATGGTGTAGTGTACTAAGGAAGATAAACAATTGATCAACGAGAGCGATATAGATCTGCTGACTAAGGCGAGGGGTAGACCACGTGACCATGAGTCACGAATGCGGGGCGAAAGGCGAGCAGAGAATTGAAGGCACGAGAGAAGCTTATCGCACAACTCCAAAGTCGGCTTTACGTTCTTCCCTGCGTTTTCGACTTCTGCCAGAGCTGCTTCACGCTCCCAACAACCCCCTCATATACTTTCCCCTCTGGCCCTGTCTCCACCACCCTTCCCACCGAGAGTCCCGGATCAAAATGGCCGAATCGCAAAAGTCGAAAGCTCCGGTGCTGCCCCAGCCTGGACAGCGCAACATCCTTATCACTAGTGCTCTGCCCTACGTGAACAATGTCCCGCATCTTGGAAATCTTATAGGTTCGGTGCTGTCGGCCGATGTCTATGCTAGATACTGTCGAGGCCGTGGTCTCAATACGCTCTATGTCTGCGGTAAGTTGCTTGGCTTGTTGGTCTTGATCTAAATTTTATATATCTTCGTTTGCTCTGTTCGAAGGAAGAATTTCAGCTGATGTGTTGCTTTCCGCCAGGTACCGATGAGTATGGCACGACGTCCGAGGCCAAGGCCCTGCAGGAAAAGATGACCCCGAAGCAGCTTTGCGACAAGTACTATGAGATCCATGCCGGTGTCTACAAGTGGTTCAACATTAGCTTCGACATCTTCGGCCGCACAACGACCGACCTCCAGACCGAGATCACCCACGACATCTTCCTCAAGCTCCACAAGAACGGCTTCCTGTCCGAGAGCATGACGACGCAGCTCTACTGCGAGGAACACAAGTCCTTCCTGGCGGACCGTTTCATCCAGGGTGAATGCCCCAACTGCAAGTACCCCGAAGCCTACGGTGACCAGTGCGATCTGTGCGGTCAGCTGCTGGATCCCTTGGACCTGAAGAACCCCCGTTGCAAGGTCGACGGCGCCACTCCCGTCCCCAAGGATACGAAACACACCTTCTTGGACCTGGACAAGCTCCAGCCCGAAATCGAGGCGTTTAACAATGAGTCTATGGTGAAGGGTGGATGGTCGAATAACGGCAGGGATATTACTGGCGCTTGGTTGAAGGAGGGCTTGAAGCCTCGAAGCATCACCCGTGATATTAAGTGGGGTACCTCGGTCCCTCTGCCTGGCTACGAGGAGAAGGTGATCTACTCGTGGTTCGATGCCTGTATCGGGTATCCCTCCATCACCGCCAACTACACCGACCAGTGGGAGAAGTGGTGGCGCAACCCCGATGACGTCCAGCTCTACCAGTTCATCGGAAAGGACAACGTTGCCTACCACTCCGTTATGTTCCCGGGTACTCAGATCGGCACCCGGGACAAGTGGACCAAGGTCCACCACCTCTCGACCACCGAATACCTCACCTACGAGGGCGGCAAGTTCTCCAAGTCTCGTGGCATCGGCGTGTTTGGAGACTCTGCCGAGAAGACCGGCGTCCCCGCTGACGTCTGGCGTTACTACCTGGTCTCGCACCGGCCGGAGACCAGCGACAGCGAGTTCAACTGGGACTTGTTCATCAGCTGCAACAACAACCTGCTCCTGAAGAACCTTGGAAACTTCGTCAGCCGTGTGGTGAAGTTCGTGAACTCGAAGAACTACGACAACATCGTGCCGGACTACACCAAGTTCTCCGACCCCTCCTTCGATGCCGCCAGGGAGGAAATCAACGGTCTCCTTGCCGAGTACGTCCAGAGCCTCGACGCCGTCAAGCTGCGCGCCGGTGTGGAGAAGGTGCTGCAGATCTCTCAGAAGGGTAACCTGTTCCTGCAATCCAACGGCCTCGACAACAAGCTGGCGGAGACCGAGCCTGAGAAGTGTGCCGCTGTCATTGGCTTCGCTCTCAACCTCATTCACCTGATTGCCGCTCTTATCGCGCCTTACATGCCCGCCACCGCCGATGCCGTCAACGAGATGCTCCGCGTGGAGCCTCTCCGCATTCCCGACGAGTGGAAGGCCGACTCCGTCAAGCCTGGCCACGAGATCGCCAAGGCCAAGTACCTGTTCAGCAACATCAAGGCCGAGAAGGGCAAGGAGTGGAGAGACATGTTCGGCGACAAGGAGGCCAAGAAGGCTAAGGAGGAGGCCGCCGCGAAGAAGGCCGCTAAGAAGGCCGCCATGAAGGAGAAGTCCAAGAAGGGAGGCGACGCGAAGCCGGAGACCAAGCCGGAGGCCAAGCCGGAGACCAAGGCATAAAAAGCGTGATCTTTTTCTGCTCGAAGAAGGGGACTAGACTCTAGATCAGAGTGAAGGAAGAGTTGCATTTTACGGAGAAACAGGAGGGGGTGGGGCGCAATAGATGTCCCGACGACCATTTCAACACTTTCAACAAAAACGGGAAGTCGCCAGCGGAGTTGCGGTATACATACCTAACTAACGAATGATTGATTACGTTTTATTCGGATATAGGGGGGTTGCTATTCAACAGTTATTTTGTTTTCTTCTAGCAAGATTTGACCGGAATGATATCTACGAATTGGAAAGAAAGGGATCTTCTCTACTAGATACTACTACAATACCAGTAACTGCGATGGCATGCTGACAAAGTAGTGGCGCAGTGACATGATGTATGATGTAGATGCTCCAGTCTTGAATACTGATGTACCTCAAGGTCAGAGGGCCCGGCGATAAGGCCTAGATTCGGTCGAACTCTCGGCGATAAGTCAATGCCGACCTTCTGCGGCCTCGGCTGCCTTTCCGGGACTAGCCCCGGGCGATCCAGATCACGGGGTTGCCTGAGGTGTCTCCGAGTCTTCGGTCTATCCTCCACATCGTCCACACCAGCGTCATCAGCTTATACTGAACGGAGCCTAGAACAATTTCATGTCTCGGTATACTATGCGAGCATCTGTCTGCTGGAGAGCGAGAATGGACGGTCACACCTTATCTCCGATAGCATGGGGTGACATCGGCATGTGAACCCTCGAGAGCGAATATCTTCGGGGAATTCTGGTTCTCGGCGATTACCCTACATCACAGGAATCTTGTGACAGTCTCGATGCTCTATATATGCAGGATACGGGATATAAGTATGGCATATCAGTCGTTGCCCCCCTCAGTCCAATTCGAAAGCATTGGATCCATCCTCCGTTTCCTTCTACCTCATATAGTTTCTCTACTTCCATAAACAATACAAATCCCTACACAACAGCCAATCCACCCAATATGTCTATCGAACAGGTACGTCCCACTCACCACCCTCCTCTCCCCCCATACTCACTCCCTCCCAGACCATCGAATCCAAAGCGCAAGCTCTCCACACACACATCTTCTCCCAACCCCAAGCCCAATACACCAACAACCCATGGGCCCTAGTCACCGCAATCGAGGAATACGCCCTCGCCAACAAAATGATGACCTACCGCGATGGCAAGATCCAAGCCACGAAAGCGCAGCTCGAGCGCATGCCCCGCGCCCCAACCAGCCTGCTCGAATTCGGCACCTACGTCGGCAACTCCGCCCTCGCATGGGGTGCCATCTTGCGTGATCTTAACCCCGGTGCTGAGTTGCCAAGCGTGTACACGTTTGAGCTGAGCGCCGTGAACGCTGGCATCGCGCGGGACTTTATTCGTCTTGCGGGTCTGCAGGATATCGTGCATGTCGTGGAGGGGCAGAGCTCGGAGTCCTTGCGCGCGCTGCATGCGGAGGGCAAGTTGACGAAGGACAGCGTGGATGTGGTCTTCTTTGATCACTGGGAGAAGTTCTATGTGCCAGATCTGAAGATCGTGGAGGAACTGGGATTGTTGAGGGTTGGAGGGCTCGCGGTGGCGGATAATACAGATATCCCTGGGGCGCCGGAGTATGTGGAGTATGTTCGGGGGAGTAAGAGGTATCAGACGGAGGTGATTGATCTGGAGGAGTTGAAGCCTATGCCGGTAAGTTTCTCCTCTTTCCAAGTTCTTGGGGGGTTGTGCTTTGGTTGGATGCTGACTTGCTGTTCTCTGTTCAGACCATCGTGATGATTAGTACTTTGGTTGGCGAAGAATAAACTCATGATGGTATGATGGTATGATGGAAGTGATTTGGTACTGTTTTGAAATGGAGTAATGATTTTGTTCATCTTTATGTTCTCTGATCTAATATCTCCAGAAATGCTCGACCCTTGGGCTATGTTACCTGTAGAAGTAAAAAGAGTATAAGCCAACTAAAAGCCCACAGCACTAAGAACCAGAACCATATGCGCCTCTACCCCACGCAAGGCGGTCAACCCAAACTGCCCGCCTGACCGGGTGCGGTATAAACAGGCCGCAAACCTCCGCCTCCGCATCGCGATTCCATCTCAACAATGATGTAGATCATCCTCTCTCTCGTTCTCCCTCCTCGTCTCCAACCCACCAATTCCTCTTCTCCCCGCCAAGTAATGCTGCATAGACAGTAGCGTATACTCACTCTCTCTCCGACAGGGACAGCAATTGTCCGCCTCCATCCATTCATTCCATCATGTACGTTTCGGTTATCTGTCTTACTGACTGACTGGCCGGCCAGCTGTTATAACGCTATTCCCCCTCCCTTCACCCTGCGCAAACTGCATGGTTGCAACGAACCTGAAGCCAAGTAACACAATATCAAGACTTGAAGCTAACACATTTTTTCCAGGACCGTCTTCTCCCTCATCATCATCAACAAAGCCGGCGGGTTAGTCTACCAACGCGAATTCCAGCCCGGGCTCCGCAAACTCTCGACGAACGATTATCTCGTCCTAGCAGGAACATTTCACGGGTATGTCCTGTCCTGTCTTGTCCTCCTTCTACCTTCATACACCAGTCAGTCAGACGGCCAGCCAGACGGCCAGATAGCTAGACGTCCCATAGAGCCACCCACCCCATCCACAACCCAAACAACATCCACTAATCCAACAAAAACAGAGTCCACGCCATCACCCGCTCCATAACCCCCCGAATCCCCATCACCTCGACCCTCCCTCCCACGGCCGCGACCGCATCCTCCTCCCCCTCAACAGTGCCATCCCCCTCAGGGACATCAACACCAACCACCTCCTCCACAACACCAAGCGCAACAGCACACTCGTTCCCGCTCCCCGGCGTCCCCGTAACAGGGCTCGAGACGCTCGAAACAGACAAGTTCCGTCTGACGTGTTTCCAGACGCTCACGGGGACGAAGTTCCTGCTGTTTACGGACCCGATGATGGGGAATATTGATTCGGTGATGGGGAAGATTTATGAGTTGTATGCGGACTATGTTATGAAGAATCCGTTTTATCAGTTGGAGATGCCCGTGCGGTGTGAGGCGTTTGATCGTCACTTGGGGGGGTGGTTGAGGGGGAGGACGTGATTGATATGATTGTTTGGTCGGGTTTGGTGGTTAAGGGATGGGATGGGATGGATTTGACTCCCCTGGACTGGGGGATTAATGATTGCATTGATGACAACTTGTTGGTTTCTTTTTTGTAATTACATTCATGATTTTTCATTTTTTTTACTCATTTTTTCTTGTCTACTCGTTGAGATAGCGGGCGATCATATAGTGCAGACATAGATCAAGTCATCCTTCCAAAAGCGTCGCGGTGAAAACGCTTTCTAGAATTACAAAACGAAAAAGATGAGTAGGTACGAGCGAAACCAAATACAGAAAGAAAGAACAACGCCGGGTATGCATCAACGGTCATCCTCAGAAGAAATAAAACTGCATCGAGTCTCCCTCTTTACGCGGTGTCCATCTTATCGCCGTCTTCTTTCTTGTCTTTGCCGCTCGATTCGCCCGATTGGCCTTCCTCGGGGATGTTGTCCAGGTTCTCTTTCCGTTCTTGCTCCTCGCGCTCCTTCTTCTCTTTCTCCTGTCGGTTCTTCTCCTCCTCCAAAGACAAACGCAGCGCGAATGCCAGCTCGGGGTCGTTCTCGGCCGCATCTTCAAATCCAAAGCCACCGGCATCACCGCCTTCACCGGCCGCGCCCTCAGCCCCGGCGTTATCGGCACCCAGGATGGGTGTGACCTGGAGCTCCTCGCTGAGCAGGTTAGGTCCGGGGGGGATGATGGCCAGATGCGATCCATCGCCACCCTTGACGTTCTCGACGAAGGCCTCCAGTTTCTTCGTTTGGTCGGATTCCAGGTCCCCGAAGGCGATCACGTCGATGGATACGTTGTTCTTCTTCATCTTCTTCGCCAGTTTCACCAGCGTCTTCTCGTCTTCTTCAATGGGCGAGCATGAGAACACGATAATGCGTTGACGCTGCGACTTCTCGGAGCGGTGTTTCAGGGCCAACTACACTCCGCATCGATGGTTAGCCTGACGTTCTTGTATCTCTCTCGACAATTCATTCAGATCACGGAGCATAAAACATACCCCGGCAACTTGTATACTGGAGCTAAGGTGGGCGGTGCCGTGGATCTTCGTGCGGTGCAGACCGGATAGGATTCCGCCAAAGTCGGTCGTAAACGTCGAAAGAACCTCGGGGCCCTTGCCGCCCATGCTCATGAGACCGACGGCCGATTGAGGGTGTACACGCATCTTGGCGGTATGGATGACGCTGACGGCGTCGATCTGCGCTTGCCATCGTGTCGAGCTGGAAGCTAGCTGTTAGGCGGGCTGCGGCCCAGAACTGGCTCGGGGCGGCCATCAGGCGTGATAGACTTACGTATAATCTCCGTTTCGACTGCTTTCGCTATTGTCGACACTGTAGAGACTGTTAGTTTAGGCCCATGGAGCTTGGAGATGGAGATGGAGCAGGACGGACATGATCATGGTTGCTTCGAGCGACATCTTGGCGACGGTGTGTCGGTGGGTGGGGAATAGTAGATACTGGAATGTTTCGGATGCACAGAGCAAGATTGAGGAGTGTAGAGAAAGCTCTTGAAGCTGTCTTGGGCTGCAAAGCGATGGGGGAAAGGTGGAAAGGATGGTAGATGGAGGTGGGAGAGCTGGGCGGAAGTGAGAAGGCGAGAGATGCCACACCCTCGGGAGCTAAGATCGATTAAGTCAGCGCTTGTTTATCCCTTCCTTTCCTCTCTCTTCCACCACGCGCTCGCCCTCTCTTCTTCCACCCTCAACTTCCCCCACCTGCTACTCCCAACACCAGCTCGGTCGACGAATTACTCCCTGCGGTCCGATTTCATATCAACGTGAAATCACAATGGCTCCTCTAGGAACCAAGCGCAAGTCTGCCGAAGACGCGTACCCCAGCAACGAGGCTCGAACACCCACATCCAGCCCCCCTCAAAAGAAACTCCGGATCACACGAAACCAGAAACAGGCTTTGATCGATAATCTGCAGCTTGAAAGTACGACTCCACATCTGTCTCTTCATTTATCAAACTAGCGACAAACCCACACTAACAACCACAGTCACTGAACGCGCCCGCAAACTTCGCGCGCAGTATGCCCTTCAGGCAAGTGACCTCCGCGCTCGAATCGAACGACGCATCAACCGAATTCCCGTAGCTCTGCGCAAGGCGAATATGGGCGAGTTGCTGGAGAAGCACAATGCAGCGATCCGGGCACAGCACGAGAACGGCTCGCCCAGGAAACACATCAGCCCCATCAAGGGATCCCGGGGCCTTACGACCCTTTCCATGAGCCCTGCGAAGCAAAGGGCTGCTGCTGCTAGCCCTCAGACGCGCAGGGTCAAGAAGCAAAGGTAGAACTGCGCTCATGTCTACCATCTTTTCTAAAGCCCGAGCCGTACTGACTGAAATCACAGCCACGAAGGTCATTACTCCGACAAGGAGAACGCCCCGGCTGCAGGCGAATCTCTCGACGTATTGAAGAACCCCAAGAGACGCGGAAAGCCCGGGGCCGCAGCTGGTACTTCGCGCGTCGTGTCCCAAGAAGTGAGAGGGGCCGACTTCCGGATTTTGTCCCCCAAGTCCTCCAACTCCCGAACCTATCCCCAATCGCCATTGCGAGCCTCTCCCGAAAAGCCCCAAACCTCGTCCTACCTGTCGCGACCCATGTCGCCGCTGAAGCCGTCCAGTCCGCTCAAGTCGACGTCCGCTGCTCTGCCTGGGTCGGCTGTGCGATCTGCGCGTGCTGCTCCCTCGGCCGCTACCTCCATTCGACCCCCTTCGCAAGCGCAAACCAAGCGACCGGTGAGTCGGGCTGCGACGAGTGTGCGGTCCGTCCAGTCGCCTTTGCCGCGCCCTGCTACGCGCCAATTAGAGCGCCGAGGCAGCGTCTCGTCCTCCGCATCGTCCGGGACAACCGTTGCCAAGCCGACGCGCACTGGCACCGGTGCCCGAAAGGCGACCACCACGTCCACGTCCAGCGTCCCCGCCAAGAAGACCGTCGCGCGCAACCAGGTCCCTTCCACCTCTGCTAAGAGGATTACGACATCGGCAACCAGGAAAGCCACCGCGCCCGCAGGAGGCGAAGCTCCAACAACGGGCCGTAGGGTGTTGCGGAAACGCGCTTAGACAGGGACCTTATACTTACGTCCATGGGGAAAAAAGTTAGGTCTTGAACTATGGCTGGTATGACTGAATTACTCGGGAGTTGAAACAATCGGCGTATTATGGGATGGTTGGTTATATAGGAGTTTCGAACTTTACTATGCAGAAGCATATTTTGTGGGCTTGTCTTTCTTGATTGAAGAAATTTCTAGCTTATCGTTATCGCGCGCGTGCTTTATCTGGATTTTTGTCTGGTGTTTCATTGGCATTGATTAAATACTTATTGGGACTTGGTACCTAATCGAACTGCGACTTCTTCTTTGCATATTTCATGCATGTAGAATTGCCTTGAAAATTCCCCAACTCTACGTATTAAAATCATTTAGCGCGGTCGAGCGGTCAATTCCAACCCGTCTTGTTCTTGTTACAATTATCCCTGAATTTACACCCAAGTAGATCGCCATGAACCCAACCCTGAACCATACGGAATGAATCCATGCTACAACTGACTACCTACAAGGTAAGCCAAGGCAGGTAAGCGATGCAATAAACAGCATTATGAATTATGTCGATCTACAAAACGCCCAACAAACTCCTAAATAAATCAAGCCTATCCTACCTTACCTGATATCATCCATTTGCTACTCTGACAAGACCTAGATTCTCAAAATCAGTCTAGTTTAGTACGCAACCTGCTTCTCGAAAGGAAAACGGGGACCTATTATCACATGTCCTCTCCTCTCGTATCTCATACATCTCTTCGTTATGAGTGATACAAAAACCAAGCGAGCAAGCACCGGAATATGAGAGTAGATCGTAGATGAAAAAGTCCATGTCGAGGCAAAGGTAAAGGTAAAAGCGAGCCAAAGCCCACCAGAAGAAAATGACTTAAGAATCTCAGCTACTGTAGGCTGCAGATTGTATTGAATGAATAGAATGAGGGAGTAAAACGAAAAATGGTTTAGTTAAGAAACGGAAAGAAAAAGAGGAGTATAGAAGAAGTAAGAAAAAGCTATCAGCACAGGTATCTTGCAGTCACAACTGACCGGCTGGACAAGAAAATAGAAAGGGAAAAAAAACAGAGCAGGTCTTGTACTCGATTAATCAATTACCTCACGTCGCAATCAATGGGAGGTGATAGTGTTGGAGCATGCCCGAAAGCTCGCTCGCCGAGGAAGGGAAATAAAGAAGATGCCAAAGGGGCAAAAGAACAGTCCATCAAAGGAAAGGAAGAGATAAGAAAGGTCAAGAAACTAAGGGAATGAGATAGAGAAAGAATGCCAAGGTTAGATGAAGAGAAAAAGAAAAACAAACTGAAATGGAAATATTCACGCTAAGGTTTCCGGTGATGCGATGATAAAGTATGCGGGATGGGTGAGGAAAGAAGAGATGATAGTGCAAGATTCGTATCCACGGTGGACACAAATCCAGGGATAAAACCAACTGAATGACCACAAATCATCATGCCAAGAAAAAACAAGAACGAGTCACTCCGAATCTCGCCGTCGAATGTATTACACTTTTAAGTGATGGTGGGCAAGGAAGATAGGAAAGAAAAGAAAAGAAAACGTCCACACGTCGGATTAAAGCAGGTCAGCCAGATGTGAGCAACTCTTAACGATTTGAGTGGCATATCCGGCTTGTGCAGACTGACAGAACGCTAAAACAGCCCAGTTGTACTCCATTTGTATTCGGTAGAGCTTGCAGGATAAATGAAACCAAAGAGGTGGAAATGCAGTGGAAGAAGCGAACAGGGAGAAAGGAGAGGAGGGAAGCAGGGTATTTAATATCGCTCAAAATACAACGGACAAACATCAACTGGCAACCCCCATGGGCCCTGCACCCGGACGAGCTCTGTAAGGCATCTGTTGAGGCTGTCCCTCGGCCTGCATGGAGTTTGGCTGACTGCTGTTGCTGGTGCTGCGCTCGCGCTGTTCACCTGGCGGAGCAGGTCCGAGTTCCATGCCGTAAGGAGTGGCGCTGGCCGAATGTGCGTGGCTACCAGACCCTTGGACATGCCGCACGGAGCTCTGTGCCTGCCACGCTGCGTCTTGGGATGGGTCGGTCTCAATGCGTGCAGAGGTGGGAAGGTTCGCTCCCCGGTTAGAGTTGGTGATGGTAACTGTTTCACCGCCGTTGCTAGGTTTCTGCGAGAAGCTTCCACGTGCGATATCCCCATATCTTTTGAGGATCTCCTTCGTTGTGACTTCAGAATTCTCTCTGAGGAAATTGGTGTCGCTGAGGACCGATTGTAGGTCTTCCGGAATCTGAAGGACATGTCAGTTTATCAAGAAACCACGAAACCCATCGATCCCCCAGGCCATGGGAAGGTGAAAGGAAAACTTACCTCACACATCGTATCGTTGTATGTGATCAGTGCATTGATAGCCTCAATCGACAAAAAGCTTTCATCCACAGTGCTATTCTTGGTGTTAGGGTACAAGATATTCGGTGTCATAACAGTTGCCAGGTTATGAATATCCATCTTGCTGCCCGTTTCTTCGTCGACATGCGAGAACGACGACGTCCAGTTGAGGAAGGCAAAAAGTACCTCCATAGTATCTCGATGAGCCTTCGGGAGCAAGCAGCATGTCAAATGAAGCACTCGCTTTTGCTTTTCAGGGTCGGAGAGTTCTACAACGGAAATTAGTCAGCCACAAAGTACACCAAACAGAGCGGTCAAACACTTACTCTGCGATACGACAAACAGGCGATGGAGTTTGAAGGTCAGTAGTGGATCGGGCATCTCGCGAAGGAACTTCTTCAAAAGGGCCGCGATTTGCACAGGATTTTCCTTGGTCATGTCCACCTGTTCGTACTTGTTGTCAATCAAGTCGGAAATGTCTTTCAGTCGACGGATGTTGCCATTCTTTCGGAAGACACCCTCCACGGACATGTCCATCTGTCGCATGGCGGATACGGCGTCATCGACAAGGGCAGGGACGCGGAGTGCCCCAGGCCCAACGCCGTGGCTAGACTCTGTGCCCTCCTTCTCGACGAGATAATCCAAACTGACGCCAAACACGCCCTTCTTCTTTCCAACCTTCTTGCCCTCCTTATTGAAGGCACGACCAAAGATGTTCCAGATCGTCGGTTTGCGAGATTCGATCAATGACAGCAGCTCATCCAAAGAGAAGTAGCCATCTAGCAAGGGTTCCATCGACAATACGGCCACATGGCGAACGATGAAGTACTCCAAAGCGGACAGTTCGGAAAAGTATTTCTTGGTTCTTCCGCCCTGTTCGAGGAGATGCGGGTCCAAACCAACATCGGAAACACCACGCTGATGGCCCTGGTTGTACCTGGGGAGCGGTTCGGTCGTATTGACAAGCTTAGTCCGAGCATGCTTGTACGCGTTAGGTCGTTGCTCTTTGG